TGTAGAGTTGCTCTACCTGAAGATTACAATTTTCGAAAATGTGATTCATGTCGAGTAAATAGAAAAGAAATGAAAAACAAACATTCGAACGAACCTTATATATATATTTTTGTTTCAGGAACGTGCCCGAAACTACGCCAGACAGAGAGCTGCATTAAGGCCACCTAGAGCACCTAGAGCACCTGCCGCTTTCATATCAGAACTTGGAAGAATGCAACCTCATTATCTGGGAAGAATGGACGTTGTATGTGATGGTTGTGGCGCATTGCATTGGGACGCAGCAAGAACTACCGGTCAATCCAGAAGCAACAATCTCTTCTACTCTTGCTGTAAAAAAGGAAAGGCCATATTGCCCTTATTGCAAGATCCGCCTGAGCCCTTGAATAGCTTAATCAACGGAAGCCATCCACGCTCATCCCATTTCTTGAAGCATATAAGGCAATACAATACTTTGTTTGCTTTTACTTCATTCGGTACCACTGCTACGCCAGCAGGGGCCCAGAGAGAAGGAGAGGAGGAGAGAAGAGGTGGAGTTACTCCAGTAAGTGCCCATGGTGAATTGTATCACATGCAAGCACCCTTGAATTTTGGTAATGCTCCAAAGTACAATCAACTGTACATTTACGATCCCGAGTATGCTGCTGCATGTCGATCTGCCAACCCCAGAAATCAGCATTTAGATGATTCAATCATTGAAGCATTAAGTGAAATGATTGATGACCCGGTTCGTTGTGGTAACCCATTTGTACGTATCTACAAGCATGCCCACGAAATTCTGAGTGCAGAGGAAGAACGACAAGCCCAAGATCATGTCAGCGAGGATGCGTATATTCGACTCAATCCTCAAATGAGACTGGAATTGGTTGTCGGTGAAGATAGGCGTACTCAGAACTTGCCAACTGTCAACGAGATTGCAGCTATTATCCCCAATGAATATGCTGATTCAAGTTTCAGAGACATCCTGATTACCTATCGAAATAGCACCTCCACCAGTTCCAGAGGACTCTTTAGAAGGATCAACGAGACGCATGCTGCCTACATGCCTCTCCATTACGTTTTGCTTTTTCCCAGAGGTGAATATGGGTGGCATTGGGGCCTTCGTTTGCAATTGCCTGCTTCAACTGTTGATGCCATGGATGTTGACAATGAAGAAGCGCAAGAAGAGGGACAACGTCGAGCAACAGGCAGGCTTACCCAGCGTGCCTTCTATAGATTTAGATTGCATGTCAGGAATGGTGAATCCAAAATCCTGTTCCTCTCGAGACGTCTATTCCAGCAATACCTGATCGATGCTTGGGCTGTTTGTGAACAAACCAAGTTAAACTGGATCAAGGCTAATCAAACGACTCTCCGTGCTGATGTCTACAAAGGTCTTGCTGATGCTATCAGTGCTTCTGATACAGATCTTGAAACGGTGGGTAGAACGTTTATTTTGCCAAGCAGTTTCACTGGTGGTCCCCGGTTTATGGCAGAGCTGTACCAAAACGCAATGGCTATTTCTAGATTCTTTGGTAAGCCAACGTTATTCATAACGTTTACTGCAAACCCAAACTGGAGGGAGATCCAAGATGAGTTGTTGCCTGGCCAAAGTGCTGCTGATCGCCCAGATTTGGTTGCTGAAGTATTCAACCGGAAGCACGACGCATTACTCAAAGACCTGAAGCAAAAGAAAATCTTTGGTGCTTATAAAGGGATTGTGAGAACAATCGAATACCAGAAGCGCGGCCTCCCGCATAGTCATATGCTGTTGTTCTTGGATAACCAAAATGACCGGTTTGATACGGCAGAGAGGATCGACCAGATTATTTCCACAGAAATTCCAGACGTTCATCAAGACCCTGAACTACATGCAATTGTCACCCGCAACATGATGCACGGTCCATGTGGTGGTTATAACAAGAAATCTCCCTGTATGGTGAAGGATGCTTTCGGTAACGACGTCTGCTCAAAAAAGTTCCCAAAGCCTTATCAGCCAGCAACCATAGTCCCTGATGATGGGTATCCACTCTATCGTAGAAGAATGGATGGCCGCTCTCATGTAATACGCATCAAAGATGATCAGAACGTGTACCACGACTTTCATATGACAAATGAATGGGTGGTAGCGTATAATCCATTCCTATCAAAGAGATACAACGCTCATATCAACGTGGAAGTATGCGCCAGTGTCCAGGCTATCAAATACATCAACAAGTATATATACAAAGGTTCTGATCAGACTACTCTGAAAACCACGACTACCGCGACAACAGCCGCAACAGCTGGTACTGCAGCAATGTATCAGAATGATGAATGTGCCAAATATCTGAATGGCCGTTATATCAGCCCGTGTGAAGCCGTCTGGAGGTTGAAAGAGTTCCCAATGCATGAGGAAAGCCCACCTGTCACTACACTTGCTATTCATCTTGAAAATGAGCAGCCTGTATATTTTGATCCTTCCTGGCCTCAATCAAGAATTGATAATGTCCTGAGAGAGAGTCATACCACGCTCATGGGTTACTTTCATTATAATGCCGTGAATCAAAACAAACCTGGTTTTCAACCATTGCTTTACCAGCAATTCCCAGAGCATATGACTTGGAAAGAAAAGAAGCCAAAAAGGTGGGAAGCAAGACGAACCGATACCATGTCTATCGGCCGCATGTACTACTGTAGCCCTGCTGCCGGCGAGAGGTATTATCTGCGTCTGCTGCTCACAGTTGTCAGAGGAGCCACGTCGTTTTCTCATCTGAGAACTGTCAATAATCACGAGTACGCCACCTTTCGTGAGGCCTGTATGATGCTGCATTTGATCGAAGATGATGGAGAATGGACCAGAGCCTTTGAAGAAGCTGCTACCTTTGCCTCTGGCTACGCAATGCGTTCAATGTTTGTCTCTGCGCTCATGTTCAACTCATTGGTATCGCCTGTTCAGATTTGGAATCAATTCTGTGAAAGTTTCTGTGATGACCTTGAGCATGCAATCGTGCAAAAAGGGTATTCGCTGCTGCTCAGCGTGCAACCTGACGCTGAATTTTACCATGGAACGCGAAGTCTTGATTATGGCTTATATCTGTTGCAAACATCTCTTGGTGCACAAGACAGATCTCTAGGTCAGTTCAATTTGCCTTTGCCTCTCTTCAACTGGAATGGCTTGATAAGCAGAATGACTGGCATACAGCGCAATTCATTGATACTCAATGAAATGTCATATCTCCAAGATCAAGAAGCCTTTTCGTATCAGCAAAAGTATGCTCAAATGAACGCTACCCAGAAGCACATATTTGAGACCATCACCTCCTCCATCAACAGCAACGCCAACAGCTCACATTTCTTTTTGCAAGGTCCAGCTGGCACTGGCAAAACCTTCATTTACAATACTCTTTGTCACTTTTATAGAAGCCAAGGAAAAATTGTTCTCTGTGTTGCCTCCTCTGGCATTGCTGCTTTGCTACTTCCTGGTGGGCGTACGTCACACTCTCGCTTTGCCATTCCACTCAACATCCACGAGCAGTCTGTGTGTGCGATCAAGAAGAACGATGACCTTGCTGATCTCATTCGAGAGACAGCATTGATAATTTGGGATGAAGTGCCAATGCAGCATCGATATTGCTTTGAAGCTTTTGATCGAACACTTCGTGATATTTGTAGTCGTGGTGATGAAGTTACCTTTGGTGGTATTCCTGTTGTTCTTGGCGGTGATTTTGCTCAAATTCCACCTGTTGTTAGGCAAGGTGGCCGTCCTGAAATCGTCAATGCCTCACTGAAATCGTCAAGATTATGGCCCAAATTACAAAAGCTGAGCCTGACTGAGAATATGAGACTTGCCAACTCCAATGACACAGATAGGCAATTTGCAGATTGGATAGGAAAAATGTCGTATGAACCATCCATGATTGGCAGCATTGCTTTGCCCTCTTTTTTGAGGCAGATGACTGATCTTGATCAGTTCATTGAAGATATCTATCCTCAGCATGTTCTGCAGTGTCCTCTGCAAAATAGTGATTTCTTCAAGGAAAGAGCTATTCTCTGTTCAAAGAACGTCAACGTTGATGCTATTAACAGCAAGGTGATGGAGAACGTGATTGGGGAAAAGGTCACTCTGTACTCTGCTGACACAGCTCAGTCTGATCTGACCAACACGGAGACCCAAGCCTATCCCTCAGAGTATTTGCAAACCCTTTCGCCTTCAGGGCTGCCGCCAGCAGTTTTGGAGTTGAAAGTAGGTCTTCCTGTAATGCTCTTGAGAAACCTCAACCCTGAAAGAGGTTTGTGCAATGGTACAAGGCTGATCATTCAGCAAATTGGACAGTATGTCCTCAAGGTGAAAATCCTCGGAGAGTCAGGTGCAGTCGAGTTGATTCCTCGCTTTACTTTGTCTACATTGCCTGGCACATTGCCATTCATTTTGATCAGAAAGCAATTCCCGGTTAAAGTATCTTTCGCAATGACCATCAACAAGTCGCAGGGTCAATCTCTCAGGAAAGTTGCCGTGGACCTCAGGAGTCCCGTATTTACTCATGGTCAACTCTATGTTGCCATGTCAAGAGCAACATCTGCCAATGGCATGACTATTTTATTACCCGAAAATATGAAGCACACAGAAAATGTGGTGTATCCTGAAGTTCTATTTTCAGATACTACCTAATATAACTACTCTATATATTTTTTTTACCCTTTATAACCATTGATTTAATCAGTTTTATTGTAATCGGCCAAAGCCCGCAGGGCGACGCCGTCATCGAGCGTAGCGAGATAGATCGGCTAGTCTTTTTATACGAAAAAGCCAAGATAGCCATCATTTGCCTCTGAAATCCAAGCCCAATCTCTATTAGTGCCGAATCAGAACAAGGTCGGATTTTAAGCTTACATTTTGGGTATACGAATGGAGGCTACACCAAATTTGTTACTAAAAATACACTATACTAATAGCAATCATTTCAAAAATAAAACCATTCAACTGCCAAGGAAATGTGTCCTTTTTCTTCTTTATCTTGCTTTTTCACACACATCACCATAAAATGTCAGCCCCACCCTACCATCAACACGGCGATTTCTACGATAGACCTGCACCTCCACCTCTGCCACACCACATTGAAACAAACAGAGACTCGACAGACCGCTACCCAATGAATGATATTCCAGTAAATTCACCTTCGCCTTATCCAGTCTATAGTCAACAGAACAACAGCTCTTTAACAGCTGTTCCATCACCACCTACACATCGCTACAGTGATCAATCAGATATGAAATTCATGGATCACTATGATTCGGACGATGATTTGGAAAAGATCATTCCTCGTGAAAAGAAGAAGAGAACATGTATGGATAAACTCTGCTGTGGCTGCTGCACATGCTGCCCCAAATGGGCTCGTTGGTGTAGTTGCATATTCTTGATCATCATTATTATCATTGCTATTGTTGTCGGTGTCTTGGCGGCTTTGTTTAAGGTTCCAAATGTCCAATTTACCGGGCTTAAACAGGATCCCGTCTATGGCTATGCCAACAATGTGCTCAGCATGACATTTGATGTCGGTATCAGTGTGGATAATCAAAACTTGGAGAGCATCACATTCGAAACTATCAAGGCAGATGTAAGTACAGTGTATTCATGACGAGGAAAAAAAAAATCCTAACTGGCACTAGGCTTATTACCCTGCCCCTTACAATGTCTTTATTGGAGGTGGTAACATTACAAATACACACATTGCCTCTTATGCCATGACCAACATCACCTTCCCATTCTCGGTCAAAGTCAACTCATCAGATCCTGGACAACAAGGTGTATTGATGGATTTGGTCACTCGATGTGGTCTCGATGGAAGCACACCACAAAAGATTAACTTTGATTATTACATTTACCCCACTGTGCGTGTTGCTGGTATTGCCATCACACCAAAGATTTCTAAATCAATGTCGCTTGCATGCCCGGTATGTGTATTACATCTCCCTTTATTTTACCATGCACTAACTCGCTTTCCTTAGACATCCGAATTAAATCAACTATTGGGTGGTTTATTCACAAAATAAACCCAACATAAAATCCATGTATATCAGTGTATAAATATTCCTTTAACTATCAATAAATATATAAATGCAGTGTTTCCCTCAGCTAAGCCCAGTTTTGATCCTTTGATGTCAGTAATCATGACAGACTTTGCTATGCAATGTTGCCTTTTATAGGTACTACAAAACAGGGCTAAAAAGAATTCTTTGAGTCGTACGGTTAGATGCACATGTGTGTGCACATTATGCCAGATGACTATAGATTTTCTAATGCACAGAAATCCATACTTTAATTCACTTTTTTATATCTTAATGCGAAATCACGCAAATCATCCAACCAGTCTTGATGGTCATTCACACTATGGAATTAGGGTTGGCCTTTGCTAAATCAGCAGTCGGTTTACCAATGTGAGATTGTGTCAAGATACGAACTCGACCACCATTGAGATCTTCAGACATGCAAGACATCTAGCTTTTCTTTGGGGGGATCCACCTTGCTTGGCAGTCCATGATAGCCGAGCAGCTTGACTGGGGGAACAGGTGCAACAAATGCAACTCCCTTGGCACTTGAAAGCTAAAATCAAGATCGGCAAAAAGTTCAGGTCCATCACCTTGAGGAAATGTAATGTCTGAAGTACTTGGCCCAATATGCAGTGTTGGCAAGGTAAGGCCAAACAGCGTCGACAGAGAGGTCCTTGACATTGGTATCATTCGAGACATAGTTGTCAGCGAAGCCAGGTGTGTATTTCTCAGGCCAATTGATTGTAGATTGAGTTGATACAATTTTAAAAACGTATTGTGGTTTGATATTCAACAAAAAACAGGCCACTTTATATATTTTGTTAAGATAAAGTAAATTCAACGAGATTCTTTGCAATCATTGCCTCATACTGTAGCGTAAACACGGGAGAGCGAAATTCAGTTGGTAGAGAAACAGCCTGGTTGAATTAGCAGTTGTAAAGATGATGGCGTCGAAACACTGTTTTTTTTTTTTTTTTTTTTTTTTTTTTTTTTTTTTTGTACTGCTGGTTACTTTATTACACTTTACTCGCTTAATTCCTTGGGAACCAATGTAGCGACTCAATATCTGTTCATATGTTTAGCAACCCCTCCAAGCGGACATAGAGTCGTTCTGATATGAAAGCTTTAGCATCGACATAGGACGTAAAAAGCAATTTTCCTCCTCACCATAAAATGCTCAGTACACCTTTTAAACTTTGCCAAACCACAATGAAGCAAGACATCAACAAACGGTTTTAAATACAACCGTTACCAACACCGTATCCAATGATCTATTACTCGCAATCACTTGTAATAAAAACCAACAGGTTCCCATTATATGAAGGTCATGGTTTAGCATTGACTCATTTTGAAAGGCGTTCGTTTCTCAACAATAAGCCTTCCAATCTAAAATCCACTTATCACACTACCGTTTTCATCGCACAATTTTGCCGTCATTGAAACATGCTACTTTTCAATCTCTTGCATCAACATTTCAAAACTCGATTATGGATGGCGCCAGCCTCGAAAAATCGAAATCGCTTTGTTGGGGTGTTTTTATAAGTAGGTAATCGCCCAAAATCAATGCCGCAAACGATACTAGCTGTGCAATAGATTCATTTGACGCATACAACCAATCTTTCTGCAAAGAGGTTGTAGAAACAAATAACTTTGTAGCCCTATGCATTTCCAACTGAGAAAAAGATACTCTTCCTTAAACATGAAACGCTGCACTATAGTTTCAATAGTAAAATGATTGCTCAGTGGAAGGATGGTCAGAATATAATACTGTTTTACTTACATCGTAAACGGCACTGCATACGTTAAAGTTGTTCATATACTGTATAACTTCCCCACATAATAAATTTAAATGATATTCCTCACAAAAAAACTGTTTGATGGATACTAGGTCAATTGATTGCACCTCATCTTACTTTTGAATAAAGAAGAATTTAAATTGTATTCATTTAGTTATAGCTCTTTTATTACAAGCATAAAATTATATTAAATGCTAGATGTTAAGCACAGAGAATAAAAGGATTATTATTTGTAGCTTATAAAAACTGTTCGATATTATAAAAACAAGAAAAGACTTATTTGAATAAGATCAGACACAAAAACTAAAGATTTATTAATGAAGACAAGAGTTATTCAATTTATACTAAGTTCTGAATGCTAAAGTAGCAATTTATCTTGTACAACGCTTATCACATCTGGTGAACCTCAGTATTTAGATAGCTGAGATGCACTTCAATTATCATAGCTTGTCCATGTTGTTGCACAACACAGACATATCTACCCATCAAGAATACCTTAATCTTTATAGACAGTTGTAGCCCTTCTGCCACAACACTAGATCAATAGGAAATCAACTAGTTGTAGACCTTCGCTGTTTCGACCTCTCAACCAATCAAATCGCTCAAAAACTCCGCTAACCTAAAAAAAATTTTGCGAGGGTTTCCCCCTGTTTTGATGTGAGGCAAAATTTTAAGCTCCGCTATATATAGCACTATAGCCGTTACTATCATCAAATTTCCCTCAGGTGCTAGAGCATGCCTTACTTACACCACCTAGCTTTAGATTCTGGCATTGAGACCCTCAATCATCACTAAAGTAAGTAGTGATAACCAAGCGGAGGCGGCCTATCTACCTCCTAGCCTCGGATAAAGTCTTGTTGAGCTTCAGGGATAGGCACATCCACACAACGTAAAAAAGGTATGCTTCAAAAGAAACATAATAATAATAAAAGAAGGAAGAAAAGAACATAATACTATAAGAGTACAGTAGTATGTAGGCAAAAAAAGGAATGCTCACACGAAGAAAGCCAAAGAAAAGCATAACAAACACAACATCGAAGATGTTTAAAAAAGCTCGTTGCTGTTGCAAGAAAAATGCATGCATGAGCAACGTGCATAGTAGTAATAATAGTCGGATGTAAAGCAACATGACACAAATACGCACAACTGCAAAAGCAACAGTGGTATTATAAGTTTGCAATACAACATAATGACTAGTGTTGTTTCATGTAAAGCTACAGAGGAAACACTACTCACAAAAAAAAAGAAGAAAAAAGCGCAACAACGCAAACATCATGAATGCATTATCATGAGAAAGGAAGCAATAACATAAGCGTTCAAAGAAGTTTTATATCATTGCGACCAGAAGAAAGAAGATACTTACCACTTACCACAGCCATAAATACACCAGAGGAGTATGGGCAATCACCGGGCACAGACCAGAGAACGAGCATGCACCAAGTACAGCAGACCAGGAAAGACTAGATTAGCAGCAGCAGCAGCAACACCAGCGACATAGAAAAACCAAAGAACGAACGTTACAAGCAGAGACCAGACAAATACCAAAGAAATTACTTACCGCTTATCACCACAGATAGACCAGAGAATAGGCAATCACCAGAGAGAGAGACGAGAGAACAAGCATACATCACAGATAGCAGACCAGAAAAGACCAGACTAGTAGCAGCAGCAGGACCAATAGCAACACCATCAACAACACCGTCAGCAATACCATAAAAACCGAAGAACGAGCGACGCCAGAGACCAGACAAAGATTAAAGAAGCAACCGCCGTAGATAGAGACAACAGAAGCAGCTACCAGACATAATAATCAAAGAATCAGACAACAGAGATAGCAGAGAAGTAGTGACAGCAGCACCTACGTCAAAGAGGCAAAAAAAAAACTATCGAAACCTAATAAACAAATTCGATTAGTGCTTATTCTACGTCTTCTAGCGCTTGTTATCAAATGGTACCTACTATATTCCACTTCAAAGAAGCAGTATCAAGTATTTCTAACTGTACAAGGCCGTGTTATCAGAAGCTAGAGTGTTGTTTTCAATCGAAAGGGTTCCAAAACCGATATGGTTTGATACTAAACGTGTTTGCAAAAAGGATAAAAAACGAGGGCATGGAAAAATGAGAGGGCGCCACAACCGACGTCACGGCCAGTAGATTTGGCCTCAGTATTGTACTATAGCAGCGGTAATTGCGACCATTTAATTTGAAATTGTGCAGTGGTATTTTTGTGTTTAAACTTGGCTTGATTCCACATCCTTTAAACGTTTTTTTCTAAAGTTGACTATGAAAACTGTGATTATAACACCCAACTTTCTAATACATCTCTAGAGAATTAAAAAAGCCGCATCGAATGGTGCTAATTACATCCAGCTTTTAGACCGAAAATAATGAGCAATTTGCAAAATTATGAAAACAGGTTTTCTGTGAATATGTCAGAATCTAGCATATACAAGTCTCATAGAAGCAGCTTCTAGTGTTGCGTTGCATCTTTACGATCAATTTGATCCGATATTTATCATAGAAAAAGTCGTCATTTTCGGGGTAAAAAATACGATCGTTTGATTTTCAAGAATTTTCCTTTGCTAATACTCATGTGAAAATGGGGATTTTCATGGATTTGCAATGATCCAAAGAAAATTGAGATAAAGCATCAGGAAGTAAGGCGTATCAAAGGAGAGCCGTTTGGTGCTATTCCAAGCGCACAGAACGCTTTGTGACATGAGTTATTCGTGCTTCAAAATGGCCAAGTTTGGACATAATTTGGTCTAAAGATAAGACGTAGTAGGCTGTGTCGTTAAGCAAGTTAGTAACCCATAGTTCCGTCTGATAACTCAAACGTTTTTCCTTGTACGGAACCCAATTCCTAAGCGATATACGGTCCTACTCTAGTTCTGAGGCTCAGATCTATCTTTTTGAAATGCGCGACTAGAGTAGTAGCTTCAAAATTTGAGCGTAAAAGATATTATTATGCAGATTTGAATCTAACGGCTTGCTCGGATTGAACGAGATGCTTATCAAGTTAGCAGGGCAATTCCGGTAATCGTTCGCCACAGGGATACCATATCTAGTAGTTGTAAAACTAGGCTTAAATGTTGTATCAAATGTCATAGCAACGCCTTATTACACTAAAAGTTTAGGTTATTCTTAGGTCCTTTGGATAAATCATGCTAATCATGATTTACAAAACATTTGTTAAGTAGATAGTAAACCTATTCGTACTATAGTTCATCGTCATGCTGTAGATCCTACTAGCATAATGAAAAGTATATAAATGCATCCTTGGGATGCATTCTCAATAAAAGTGTAACTCTTTGGCAGATTCAATTTTACCTTGTATTTTGACATAACATTAAAGTCTATCCAAGCTGCTGTTGGACACTCATAATAAAGAAGAAATAGCTGATACCCGACATGCTGAGCCGGTGCCAGGACGACTGGGGAAACAAACAATAAAACTTTGCAACTATGTCAAGCGAATAAAGGTTCATGGTACCTAGAAATTTTGTAATATAGTGAAATCGGGTTTAAATGGTTTCACGGAGCTGCACTATCGCCGAAAAGGCCACCTCCAGCTAAGTTGTCTAAAGTCAATTGCTCTACAGTAATGGCGCAAATTAGTTTTCTCTTTTTCGTCAGCGTTAGTCAATGCACGCTCTGAATTTATTTTAAAGACTTCAGCACCGCGTATGGACGTTTTTGTGCTGTTGTTACGAAAGTGAAAGTGTTTTGTCGCTGCAAACTCCAATTTAGGGGTTGAAAAACGATTTTGACAAAGAAACATTGTAGATGTTTAAACGAAGCTTCATTCTGTAGAGTAAACACGGGAAAGCAAAATCTAATTAATGAAAAAACCAGGTTGAGTTGACGGTTGATCAAGGAATAGCGTCAAAACCGCACTGGTAGTTTTTTTTAGTTTAGACTTTTAAAGCTTGAATCAACGGGAGAACCAATGGAAAAAAAATCACTCATAAAGGAAGTGGACACGATAGTTTGATATTACAGTTCAATAGAGAGGCCATTGTGTGTGTTTTTTTTGTAGCCGATCCTTGGGCTATGATAATAATGGGAGTCATGACACAAACCCAAAACGAGAGAGCATGAGCCAAGCAGTTACAAACACTTACATAACCCGATTGTGCTTTCCAGCGACTACCGCATATGTACTCACAATGATATTCACATTAGTAACCCCAGAATGGATGACAACTGACGTATGGTATTTACCAAATGAGATGAATAGAAGCATATTACATTCAAGAGTTTGGCTAGCAATTCTGAATGTTGAAGCTTCCGCACCAGTGGCCTGAATTATTAGGATCCTAATAATTTCATTTGTCGGCTATCTCCATTCCCAGTGCTTTGCCCCTCAGGTTTGTCCAATTCATTACTACTGATAGCGAAGAAGGAAGGCAGTGATCCCATATGTACAAGTACCGCGTGGATCCTTTTAGCTGGTAATTCTTTTCAAAAGTATTTCTAGGCCCAAGAACTGATAATGGGTATTGATTTGAATGGAATTCAGTGTTTAGATGTGTTGTTCATAGCTTGGGGCTTGAGAATATGGCGGTGCACAGTTGATATTGCACATGCTGATATACTGTATATTGACTTCTACCATCAGATATAAAAAGATAAGATAATGTTGCTCACTGTGAGAGGAAGGAATAGTTTTTTTCTCTATCTTTTTCTACTGGACCAATTTTTAATATGAAGCTTGCTGTCCTGCCTTCATTGCTGCTGATATTTCTGCTGCCTACGCAAAAGCTGCCGTCCCTAACAGTGGTGTTGCTGCTGCTAGCATATCCATTCATGATACAAGTATATTGGTGGTGACAACTTTCATGTACAAATTTTATTGATGTGTTCTCAAATCATGGTAGGCTGTTACTACCACGCCTATTCCTGCTTCTTTGACATCCTACGATTAATTTCATGATTGACATGATTGGTCCAATCACCATTTCTTTTGCATGAAAGACGAGCTATAAAAAAGAAATTCTTTTTTTTTCCCTCTTGCGAATAATAAAATTTATTATATAACACGCTATTTATTTCCTAGTCATCCCTGCTTATACACAAAGTCTATTTAAAATTAACACATTGCAATTACAGACAACAAATTTAAAGGTATTGTATCTGCACTATATATGCACAAGTCGCGTATCACTGTGTATTCAACCAACCCTACAGAAACATGGAATTATGCGCCCATCAAGTACAATACAACGGATTATGCGCCGTGTGTGGCTCACTACTAGAAACGTATGCGAGATAGAGAACATGTTAGTTGGGAAACTGCTAATCATATAGGTTGTGTATAACCATAGAAACTCGGATGACCCATCAGGAGCAGTCATCGGCAACAGTAACATTCGTATGGGATATGACACGTTTGGTTTGACAGTGAGCCGCGAAGTAAGTGGGAGGGCAAAAGAATAGGATATGCCAGATATTGAATCAGGATTTGACAGGAGGCAGAAAGACTGGAAGCAGAAAATGCAAGAAGATTACTGAAAATTCGGAAATTATCACTCATACTGGATCTGGATCAGACGATAGTGCATGCTACTTGGGACAAGCATGTGGATGAATCACAATACAAGGCTGACGATAAAGGCATCCGACGATTTACATTGCCTGGCAGTGATGTTGTATATTATATCAAGTTGAGGTAATGCTGAGACCAATGATTTGTAGCAGCAAGTTTTGAAAGTGTTGTGTACGTAGACCTGGATTGGCAGAGTTTTTGAAGCAGGTAGAAGAAATGTATGAATTACATATATATACCATGGGAACAAGGGGTTATGCCGAAGCAGTAGCTAAAGAGATTGATCCAAACGGATCCTTATTTAAGGAGAGGATATTATCCAGAGATGAGAGTGGAAGCAAGTATGAGTTCTGCTCGTGTTTTATTTGTGAGCTGACACTATTTCCTAGGTGTTACGCAGAAAAAACTACAGCGACTATTTCCTTGTGACACATCCATGGTAGTTGTGTTGGATGATCGGTCGGATGTCTGGAGCTTTTCACCCAATTTAATACGGATAAAGCCATGTAAGTTCTTGAGAGGTTTCAGCAAAATAGAGCAACATCTTAAAAAGAATGGGGGATAGACGAGTTCTTTAGCAATGTTGGAGATATCCATAGCCAGAATACCCAGATTACACAAGCAGTGGCTGGTAAATTCCATCAATTAACAAATTCGGATAGGATGAGTATTTTAACCGAGAATTCCATTTGTAGAACAAAATGACGATCCTTTCTCCAGACATGACGATGATAACGAATTAGACACAGTTCTTCAAGTAATGTGTATAACCAAATGACGAAACAATAGAAGAAAGATTGGCTCAGCGATAAATTTTTCCCAACGATAGATTTTGACAACCATACACACGACCTTTTATTCCAAGCCTGCAGATGATAAAGAAGCCGATGTTACTCATATTATACCGCACATGAAAAAACAGGTGTTAAAGGGTGTCATTATTACGTTTTCAGATGTGATACTGAGTCCTGATTTGAAAGACCCTACGCTGTCGTGGATTTGGCAAATGGCTACTTCGTTTGGAGCTACTTGCTCGCTGGATCTCACAGGCAAAACAACGCATCTGATCGCGATTTCCACCAGCAAAAACAAAGTACACGCAGCACGAGAATACGGACATTGCAAAATAGTGAATCCTCTCTGGTTACTGGATAGCACAGCAAGATGGAAAGTGCAGCCTGAAGAAGCATACGAACTCAAGGAATACCAAATCCCATCACCAAAGACGTCTACAGAAGACGAGGAACAGGCGTTGCAGGACGATCAAGAAGCCCCAGAAGAAGAGTTGATTGAGAATATTAATTGGGATGATGCCAACAGGGAAGTCGAGGACTTTATCAACGAGAGTGGCATTGACGATATATGGGGTGACACTGATTCAGACACCGTGGAGAGGTAAGGAAAGTCCTCTTAGTCTATTGTATTCTAAATTAATTACAATCGTATTAATAGCCCATTACCGACGCCGTCGCATGGATGGAAGCGAAAGCGAGACAGTGGCGGAGAGAGTGGCGGAGATGGCTCTGATGATGAATCGACAACCTCTAGCATCAGCACTGCAGGTGGACCGAGTATCTTGGCAGTGAGACGATTGAAAGCGAAAAGACGAGGCAAATCACACCTATCCAAGGTAACAACAGCACCCAGCTCAACATGTACCAGTGGGAACACAAGCGACAATGAGGATAGCTCATTAGATGATTTTGCTGGTATTCTGGATAAAGCATTAGAATAATAAACATTGGCGTCATTTAAATGAACGAAATCAAGGAAGCATCTCTTAATTCTTAAATTGAGCCGAGCTAAGCACCAAAAAAATGATTACCAGCCATTTCCATTTATATCAACAAGAAACCTGCTTGATTGAATAATCATTTCGAAAAGCATATATTTTACAATATAAAACCCATCACCTAAACCAGAATATTTCCTTCCTTTTCTTCTTTTTCAACTTTTTTTTTTTTTTTCTCTTTCATTAAAATCTGAAATATGCCGACGAGTGAAGAAAGAGAATCACTTGTTGCCCATCATGGTGGTTCTGAAGGTCATTTTGACTTGTCTGCAGAGCAATTAAGTGAATTGTTTGACCCCAAGAACGAAGATCTTCTCAAAAAATTAGGTGGCGTAAAGTCTATTTGCAAGAAAATCCAAGTGAACACATCGGTTGGTCTCTCTGCTGACGAGGGCTCCAGCCAATCTGATCAATCAGCGTTCCAAGATCGTCAAGCTCATTTTGGTAAAAACATATTGCCTGAGCCAAAGACAAAGACATTTTTGCAATTGCTATGGGCTGCTTATAACGATAAAACCCTTATTATGTTGAGGTATGTTTATTTTGTTGGGTGACATGACGTAGATATTAATCACTACCGCTGTACAGTATTGCTTCTTTGGTGTCATTGGCTGTTGGCATCTGGGAGGATTATTCACCTCGCCACCCTGAAGATGAACCTCGTGTTGGATGGTACACATAGAGCTTGTTTGGGAAAAAAAAAATCACCAAACTAACCACTATAATAGGGTTGAGGGTACTGCCATTATCGTCGCTGTATTAGCTGTTATTTTGACAAATGCCGTCAATGATTATCAAAAGGAGGCTCAATTCAAAAAGTTGAATGCAAAGAAGGAAGACAGAGTGGTTAAGGTATTGCGTAGTGGTCGTGAGCAACAGATCAGCGTGTATGATATCAATGTTGGCGATGTATTGATGTTGGAGCCCGGAGACATTATCCCTGTGGATGGTCTCTTTTTGGAGGGCCACAATATGGCCTGTGATGAATCCTCTGCTACGGGTGAATCAGACACTATGAAGAAGAAGCCTGACGGCAAGGGCGATTGTTTCATCTTGTCTGGCTCCAAGGTACTGGAAGGCGTTGGTCGTGCTGTTGTCGTCGCTGTGGGCGAGAACTCATTCTTTGGTAAAACCATGATGTCTATGCGTGGTGACGAAGCTGAAGGCACTCCTTTGCAAATGAAGTTGGATACACTCGCTGAGCAGATTGCAAAGATGGGTTTCGCTGCTGCCATCTTGATGTTGTTGGCTCTTGTGATCAAGTATTTCGTTACAGCTGCTCTTGCACCTGAGTTCCCTCCTGCTGCTGATATTGCTGCTGCCATGATCTCTATTGTTATTCAAGCTATTACCATTATTGTCGTTGCTGTGCCCGAAGGCTTGCCCATGGCCGTCACCATGGCTTTGGCTTTTGCCACTACACAAATGCTCAAGGATAGTAATCTTGTACGTGTCTTGGCAGCTTGTGAAACAATGGGTAACGCCACAGCTATCTGCTCTGATAAGACTGGTACATTGACTCAAAACAAGATGACCGTTACTGAAGGCACGTTGGCCGAAGAATCTTTTGAATCCCAAGAAGAAACCAAAGAATGGTCCAAGAACGTTGACAAGAAGAACGTATTGCCTCTCATCTACGAAGCCATCGCTCTCAACTCGACTGCTTTTGAAGGAAAGGACGAAGATGGCAAGCCTGATTTCGTTGGTTCCAAGACTGAATGTGCTCTTTTGGGCTTCACTAAAGGCTTGGGTAGCTCTTATGAAGATCTCCGTCATGACGCCACGATTGCCAAAGTATATCCCTTCGCCTCCAAGCGCAAGACAATGACAACCATCTCTGAAATCAAGGAAAACTCTGCTCCCTCTACTTCGAATGGCGATTACAGAGTGCACGTCAAGGGTGCTTCTGAAATTGTATTGGAAGCTTGTAAATATTATATCAACAACAAGGGCGAGAGTCAAGAACTCGACGAGAAAGCCTCCAACAAGTTTAACGGCATTATCTCCTCCTATGCTGATAAGGCTCTCCGTACTATTGCTTTAGCTTATCGTGATATCTCCAAGTCCAAATACAAGAAGGTCAATGATGATGAGCCTCCTCTTGAAGAGTTGACTTTGATTGGTATTGTTGGTATTATGGATCCGTTGCGTCCTGGTGTCGTTGAGTCCGTTAGTGCCTTTAGACAAGCTGGTGTTTTTGTTCGCATGATTACTGGTGATAATTTGAATACTGCAAAGGCTATTGCTCGCAATGCTGGTATCTTGACCAAGGGTGGTGTTGCTATGACTGGTCCTGAATTGCGTGCCATGTCTGTTGAAGAACAGCGCAAAGTCATTCCTCGTTTGCAAGTGTTGGCTCGTTCATCTCCCACTGATAAGACTATTGTTGTCACTCGTCTTCAAGAGCAAGATCAAGTGGTTGGTATGACTGGTGATGGTACTAATGATGGTCCTGCTCTCAAGTTGGCTGATGTCGGTTTCTCTATGGGTATTGCTGGTACTGAAGTCGCCAAAGAAGCCTCTGATATCATCTTGATGGATGATAACTTTAATTCCATCTTGAAGGCTTTGATGTGGGGTCGTGCTGTCAATGATGGTGTTCGCAAGTTTTTGACTTTCCAATTGACTGTCAACATTGCTGCTGTTGTCTTGTCTTTTATCTCTGCTATTGGTTCTGAAAACGCTGAAAGTATATTGAGCGCTGTTCAATTGCTTTGGGTCAATTTGATTATGGATACTTTGGCTGCCCTGGCTTTGGCTACTGAACCTCCCACTGAGGATTTGCTCCAACGCAAGCCTATTAGCAAGTATGCTCATTTGATTAACTACCGCATGGCCAAGATGATTCTCGGTCAAGCCATCTTCCAAATCATCATCAACTTGATTGCCATCTATTTGGGTCCTCGTATCTTCCATTTGGGCGATACTACCTACGATCAAGAAGTGTTGCGTACTATTGTCTTCAACATCTTTGTCTTTTTGCAAGTCTTTAACGAAATCAACTGCAGACGTATCGATAACACGATCAATGTCTTTAAGGATATGTTTGATAACTGGATTTTCATTGCTGTCCAAGTTGCTGTCGTTTTAGGTCAATGGTTGATTGTTACATTCGGTGGTATTGCTTTCAAGACTGTGCCCTTGACTGGCCATCAATGGATTGTCACCATCTTGATTGGTGCCTTGTCTATTCCTGTTGGTACCATCATTCGTCTGATTCCTGACTGTGGCTGCGAACGTCGCTTCAACGAAGAGGCCAAGCCTTTAGCTACTTACTCTCGTATGACCTGGGAAGGTGCTATCGGTGATGTCCGTGATGAATTGCGTGTCTACTCCTTGTTGCGCCGTAGCCGTGGTAGTAAATCTCGTGATATTCCTGCTCGTTCCAACACTCGCAACTCTAACAACGAACACATGGCATTCAGTGCTCCTAATACCAATTATGGCGCTACTAGCAATGGTAACGGCAATAAGAACAGATTCGCTGACCTTGTTAAGAATGCTCAAAAGTATCAACAACAAAATGGCAATCAAAATAATGAAAACTAAATTATGGTCGTGTATATTTACTGTACTTTTATAAGCAAGTGAATAAAATCAATTTTTTCAACTAAACAAGCCATTTTAAAGAGTTACTCTGCAAGAGAGGTAAATTGAATATAGGCTCGAACATGGCGTGCTTTAGCTCGGAAGTCTTCTTGAATGTACGAGCTAGCTGTTAGAATGTATCTGAATGATGAACACCTTTTAAACATTCTTCTTGAATAGAAGCCATTTGCCAATGGACACATTTCTGTACTTGTCATCTACCATGCGGAGTGCAGTGTTGGGCGTCTTGATGACATTGTTGTGAGCAAAATTCATCAGCTCGCTCACCGAAAAGAGTTCCATACTCGGGATCAACAATAATAGCACATGCAACATTGACCAGTGGCAACATTTTCTCGACAACGAATAATGATGATCGTTCCTAGAACAGAAAAAAGTAACAAACAAATTGCTCTTCGATTTATGAAATGATCTCCTTGATGATTACTGAAAGTTAGTTGTCCCATGTTGAAATCAGTTGTATTGTTATCATTATGTGGTGCAGACTAGGGTAACTCAATTGTAAACATTAGCCCTAACAAAGTAGCTCAATTATTAGTTATCCCTATTATAGTACTACTATATTCATCATTATTTACTATGCTAATTAATGTGAAAGAAATACAGCTTTGAGAACCTCGCTTCGAGATCGAATTGATATCACCCCCATTCATAGCACCAGACATTTGGGTAGCACTACCTCCACCTTGTTTTCAAGATGGCCATAACATGTAGTGCATTCAATCTGTCACTATTTTGGATTTGAGATTCTCACTTTTCCTCTCATTTAGGAATTATCTTTAAACAAACTGAAATAGTAGGTTTGGCTCTTCTAGGATGCCTCACTCCTGTATTGGCAAGAGCAAATCACGTTTGGCCTCACAGCAAACCACAATTAGCTCTTACTACTCAAAAGTATGCAAAGCACCGCCAAGTCTGGGCGGATTTGAGTAATAATTTCTTGTGTTAGAGGCTGTTTCAGGCTACCAGAATAGCACTAAACAATTGCTTTAATTTAGTAGTTACTTATGGACACCTTTGCTCAACTTTTTTGAGAACTAAAAAACATCGACCAAAATCAACCAAAAATCACGAGTGGGTGCCTCGCGGTTTTCATCAAAATTCAAACGATCGAATTTTTGACCCCAAAAATGAAGACTTTTACTAAGGCATATATTGAATCAAAAAATTTCCCTCAATCCAACGCAACCCCTGGAATCTCTTTTGTGAGACTTTGGTGCGTAAAATCTCAACATTTTTGCCAGAAACCTGATTTCATATTTTCACCTATTGCTCAACAAGTTTGGTCATAACATCTCTTTTTTATAGTACCATTGGATGCGTCTGGAAAGTACTTCAGGAAAGCTTAAGAGGATATCGAAGAGCCATGACAATTTATATAGTCGACTTTTGAAAAACAAGTGGATCAGGTCGATTTTCCACAGAATCTGGCCAATCTGATACAGAACTCGTGCGGACCTTGAAACGTTTTTGGCTGCTTCCAGAGTGCTTTCTCATATAATCAATGTTTATGAAGCTAATGAGAAGGGGATTGCGAAATTAATGATATAATGGCTTATCCTAACCACTGTATTCTGCTCTTATTGTGCGTTATCTGTGATCAATACATAGCGCCAATCGTTGTAAATTGCTCATGTAGATACGCAGTGCTAAGTTGTCGCCTTATTCAAAATTGCATATGCTACAGAGTTGCCAGCCTTGTCATAACATAATAAATTTATGATTCCTAGGTACTTTTACAACCCTAATATAAAACTGAGTTGCCAAGCATTTGTCAGGCATGGTTCATATATGATTAGAGCTTTATATTAAATTACTATCAATCGACAATTAAGTTTTTTTTTCTAACATTTTAGCTATTATTAATCTTGCAATATTAGCCAAAGACCCGCCGGCGGCGCAAGCCATCTGAAAGTAGGTTGACTTCCACCAAAGCAAAGTATAGGTCAGAAAACTAACTGAAGACTCGAAATGTTCATCATAACATAATAAATTTATGTTCCCTAGACATTTTCAAAGCCTCTAAAAGGAAAGAAGTTGATCTAATATGTATTTTGATAGACTGGTGTTATTAAATATAGAATTCAAGAAAGATAGCATGGCTAACGATAGCGTTATTTTTTTTCACCTACTTTCCATACGCTTCAAAAGCTTCTATTACTGTATTGCTTTCATGATGAAAAAGTATTGAGTTTGCCAGCTGGCCCCACCAGCCAAAATCAATTAAAACTCAGAATGCCGTTCTACTCCAGATTGGTCAGATATTAATAGTTTTTCGACTTGATTGAACTATTATTGCAGATTCGACTATATAATGTATGATGATCAACCCCTACTTCTTTAAGCTTTTTTGGAGTACTCTTCAAGGCGCATCCAATGATACCAAGTAATATAGATGTTTTAAATAAGCTTACTGAATAATTTACGAAAATATGAAAAGAGGTTTCTGGCCAAAAAGTCGAAATTTTACATATCAAAGTCCCACAAAACTGACTTTGGCGGTTGCATTGGATCGATAGAAACATTTTGATTAAATATACACCATAGTAAAAGTCTTCGTTATCAAGGTAAAAAACGCGATTGTTTGATTTTCGATGAAAACCATGAGGGGTACCTCATGGTTTTTGGTTAATTTTTGGCCGTGTTTTTTAAGTCCCCAAAAAGTTGAGCAAGGATATCAGGAAGTTACTGCTACTCGAGTACAATTGGTTGGTGCTATTCTGACAATCTAAAACGGTCTTGAACGCAAGAAAACACAGCTCAAATGCACTCAGATTTTGCTGTATCAGGGACTGCAAGGACTAAAAAGGAGGGATACCAGTATGCTGCTTGCCCGTACATAAAGTAACTACGTGTATATGGATGTAGAACATCACATAGGAATCAGATTTACAGATAATATGAAGAGTTTTCGTGTGTAAGTGGAGGGTCAGAATAAAAGTAGCAGTTTTCTAATATGATACACAAGGGCAATCGGTAGCGCAAGTTGGTTTTCACCGAAGCGAAGCAAAGGTAGAGAGTCATCTGACGCGTAAATACTCGTTTACTATTGTGAAAGCATCTTGGCATACAAATTGGCGCACTATCCCGTGAAAAGGATGCACGTAATTGTACCCAGACATTTCAACCTCCATATTTACAATACAGTTGAATATCATGATGGAGTGGCTTTTTAAGATGGACTCAATAATCCAGATATACGGCAGAGAACTGCTGACAGTTGTTCTTTCTTGAGAAACATCGTCAATGATTCGTCTTTGCTGATTGATGTACGGGCAGCAATTGTATTCCCAATGTGTTGTTCTTAACGTACACACGGGGTTTTCGCGCTGAATAGATGGAGTGTAACGAGTAAGAACAGACATCTTTTGCTCTCTTCCATGCATGGCTCTAACGAAATAATCCAAATCAACTTACTGCACAATCAATAGGATCTACATGTATGTCCCACTACAATTTGACAGCCCTTCTTTAATTTAGTTAGATAGATTCCTTTTGTTTGTTCCATTTTCAATGTGATCAAGACGTTACACTAAATACGAACAGTTGCCATAGTTATTGCCAATGGAAACTTGTCTTCTGGGGCAATTCAGACAACCGAATACCAGTTTTCCGTGCATTTGCGCAAAGTTCTTTCAAATGTTTGGTATTAATATAACCTTGCCCCATGCTATTACTGCTCAATCAAGATCTGAAACAGATAGGGGTTCTCTCCCCCCGTACTGTCTCTCTCTGTCCAGAACACACGGGCTTATTCTTTTTATCAGATTTTCAATCTGAGTTGGTCATCAGCGTATGAACACACAAACAACATACAAAAAAAAAAAAAAACCAATGCATACTTATCTATATTGATAGGATATATATATATATATATATGTACCTGACATGGCCGATGGTGCCTTATCCGTAATTTTCCTCTCTCTATACTACGAAAACGTTTCTCCCCAATTGAATTAAGAGATGACTGAATAAAACATTTATCCCAAACATTGACATTCCAATTGGGTATTTCCAGAAAGACCTTGTTTAGATCCATCAAGTTTTCAATCTCAAAAATTTAACGTTACCAATTACAATTGAATGTGGGGGGTCAAGTTATCAAGTCAGATCAAGAAAACCTATATAAATGAAAGCATCTGGGGAAGGTAACCATCTTCCTTATCTCTCTCTCTCTTATTTTAAAAAAGAAAAAATGGTTGCTGGTGCCGCTGCTAACACTGCTAAGAAGTCTTTCTGGTCTATCTGGTATAAGCATGAAATTATCCCCATCTACGTTACTGTTGGTGCCGCTTGTGGTTTAGCTGGTTACTATCTCACTCGTCTTGCTCGTGGTCCTGAAGTTGTTTGGGATCGCACCAACAACCCTTACCCTTGGCAAAACATTGACCAAGACACTCAAGTCAAGTTCATGACCGTCAACCAAAAGTTCGGCAAGACGTAAGTTGTTTTTATATACATCCATAACGACAGATTGAAGTCAGGTACTAACATCATGTTTCACCCTATAGCTACTCTCGCGATAGATTATAGATTATATAACCAAAAACACACACTCATTTAATATAGCAGTACAAACATTTTTTCTTCATCCATGTATTTAGGATGATTGCTCCTCATCATTCTAGATAAACCTATCTACCTATTTATTATAAAATAAAGAAGAGGCTCGCTTGCTTTCTTACCAGATAACAATCATTCAATTCACTCTTGAATTAATTTTTTAAGTTTTTTTTTTTTTTTTTTTTTTTTTTTTTTTTTTTTTTTCTGAAAAGAAAACGTCCATGTAAAACCAAAATGATCTGATACTGTTTGAACCTTGTTGCCAAGTTATATTGCACTGAAACCTTCCTTCCTGCCTTTTTACTGCTATCCATCCCCCTTTCGAATTTCCATGTTGTATAGCTTAAATGTCCAAACATGCAATCGACATTTAGACCAGGATGCCACCCCCCCCCCCACCCTAGGCCAAATGTCGACATCTTTTGATGACCCGAAATAGACTGATAAAGACGTACTCATCATTGGTCGAAACGAGATGTTGTTGATTATCAATTTTTGTGGTTTTGATAGGTGTTCCATCGCCCGTGATTGAGTCACTCAGCTTCCCCTTTTTCTGATTTCCTGATTAATGTCTATTGTTATCGTCTGTGCGAGAGAGCAATCATGGAAATGATGTCATGATGGTATCCATGAGTTGGTGGAAATGTCATCATTGATGTCAGTAATCATGATGACACTCACTGAAAGTCAGGCTACCACTGCCTCCTGATGCGAGATGTGAGCAAAAACGAAGCATCAGACACTTTGCAAAGGCCATTCCTTTACATTGTCCATGCCAGCATGTTTTCACTAGTATTATATAATTTTTATTTGTTTTTTGTTGTGAAATGAAAGAAAATAGCAAATGAACAAAGGGAATGTAAGTGGAAGCAATGCTTTTTTGCGTGAAAATAAGCAAACATGGAAAGACTATTAGTATGATTTTTTTTTTTTTTTTTTTTTTTACATGATTTATAATGAAGGTTGCTGGATATCCACAGCAGAAGAAGGTGGTTCATTCGCCGCTGCATCAGTATCATGTCTGCTATACTTTTTGTTGTGGTTAGAGTTGTGCGTGGTTTGATGGTGCCCTCTACCCACACCCGCATTGTTCATCATGGAACCAGACCAAGATTGAGCTGCTCCACCACCTCGCTTACGGTGTGAATTACCTCGGCCGTTGCTTGCATTTTGATATACATTAGAATTGTGTGGATAAGTGTGCTGTCTGTATCCGTTGGATGCTAAGTAGTCATTGTAAGTAGTGTTGTAGGGTCTACGATGATGTGATGGGTGAAGGTGATGCTCGTAGGCAGGTCTTAGAGCCACGTTTGCGTGCTGCTGTTGTTGTTGTTGTTGTTGCCAGGATAACGTAGGATAGTAAACGGGCTGTGCATTGCTTGTTCCCACCTGGGGATAAGGTACTACGTATTGATTCCTGGTCAAGAAGGGTTGCTGTGGCATAAGATAGACACCCAAAGGTCGATTTTGTGGTGATTGTTGGTGATGAGATAAGGGACCTATTTACCAGATGAGTGTAAGTTGGTGATGCTATCAAATACATCTGCAGGAACTTACTTTTGGGGCCTATATCCATGGAGGAAGATGGTGAACTTGGATGATCCAACGTACCTGCTGTCGTTGTAGTTGCTGATTGAGCTGTTGGATATTGATACACCAACACAGGGAAATGTCTATTCACGTTCAATCTTCTCTGCTGTTGTTGCTGTTGCGAGGGGAATTGTGATTTGGGTGGTGTCGATGCTGGGCTGTTCTCAGTGGTTGTTGTATGGGTGGTAGCCACACTGATCATGTCGTCCTCCACGGCAGCTGTGATGGTGTCTTGTCCTATCATGGCAATTTCTTTGTCTGACTCTTCCATTTCCACCATAAAGCTCATGTTGGCAGGTTTCTTGGCAGCCAGTTTATCGATGAAATCAGGAAATATAGGCGAAGACGACTCTTTGAGTAGGTTGGTCAATCGCGTCTTTTTAGACAGCACAGGCTCTTGCTTCTTTAATATCTCTACCACGACAGGCTTCTGCTCCTTTTCCTCCTGCTCCTCTGCTGTCGTATCGTGTCGCCAGTGATCTGTAGAGTGGGTGGTTGTTCGATTTTTAGCATTGGTCTGGTTGCTCGTGCGACCCGTGTCTCTGCTCATGCTGCTAGTGCCACCGCCACCACTTCTGCCTCCTCGGCCACTGCTACGTTGACCATTACGCTGACCCCGTTGTTGGTTGTACGCATGGTCTTCACGGGTCCAGGCACCACGATCCGTGTTACGACCGTTCATCAAACTGACAGGCGGTGCACCCCAACTCTCATGCTCGTAGTCATAGACTTCCACAGCTTGAGGCTGTTGTTGTTTATGCTGTTGACTCTCCAGTTGAATTTCCTTTTCCACTTCTCTGATCAATCTCTCTCTCGCAGTAGCAGCAATCGCATCTTGTTCAGCCGTGGTTTCCTGCAATCGATTCGCATACGAGTTCCAGTCCCCGGATGTCACGTCTTTCTTAACTGCAGCCTGTTGATCTGTTCTGACGGTGGATACAAACTTTCGCCATGTCTTTTCATCCTCAGTCAATGGTTTCTCTGCTTTGTTGTCTTCTTTTTTTTCGTCTACTTGTTCCGCCTTTTCTTCTTTGGGAGCAGGTTTGGGCTCTTTCTTCATCATGGTAACAGGCTTCTGCTCTTCGTTCTTGAGGATCTGTGTAGGCTGACTCTCTTTGGATGGTGTAGACGATGGCTCTTCAGGTGCTTGCAAAGGAAGCTGCTTGGATTGATTTGTTTCATTGGGTGCTGCTGCAGCTGCACCTGCGGACGATGTGGATGGTACTGCTGTTGTAGTCGTGGTAGGTGGTATTTGCTTGTTGGCAGCCACTAAATTCCAAGGTTTGCTGGTATCAGGAAGTTTAGGTGGTAAAGGTGCCTTTGGTGCCGGTGTTGCTGTAGCGTTGGTTGGCGTTGGAGATGCTTTGACAGAGCCTTTGTTGGTAGCAGCTGAAGCGGACGATGGAGATACGGCAGTTTTCTTTAATTGTGTTGTGTCCGCAGAGGCAGCAGCTGGCTTCTTCAAAATCGTCTTTTCCTTCAATTCAGCTTGTTTAGCAGCCAATGCATCTGCCTTTTGCTTGGCTCGCTCAGCAGCAGCTTTGAACTCTGCTTCTTGTTCTTCCCGACGTTTCTTTGCACGCTCTGCAGCCGTCAACATGAGGTTCTTTTGGACGACAATAATTTCCTCTGTGCTTTCAGTGGTGGCATTGATGGGTTCAGGTATAATGTGTAATGCATTGGCGTTACTGATCTCTTCACGAGAATGGTCTGATCTAAAGCTCTGTTCGGATAATCGCCTTGGTCTCTGTAACAACGACGTAGGGTGATATGAGCCATTGTCGTACTTTCGATCATAACTAGGTCGTCGATGGCCATAATGTGGTTGATGGTCCGTGCTCTCTCGTCGTGTGGACGCTGTTGTAGAGCTAGCAGCTCCCCGTCTGTCACTGGTACCTGACGTGCGTCTCTCATTGCCTCCGTCCATGGCTGAACTATGGCGTCTACTGTTATAATTGGTGTTGCTGTAACGAGAGCTGTAACCATAATCTTCCGAACGGCGATAGGGTTTGTAGTTGGTATGATGTGGGTCGTTGTCATGGTGTTGATGGTGATGTTGTTGATGGTGTGGTGGTGGGTGATGGTAAGGTTGCTTTGGAGGGTAGCTTCTATCATAGTCGTCTGTAAAGCGTTCTGATGGTAATACTGGCTCTGTTGTTCTTGAAGCGGATGTATGACTGCCCACACTGGAAGCGTCTGATCCAACCTGAACTTTAGTGCCATCATCAAATTCGACTACGTCCACAGAGAAATCGTCCATGTCCTCGCTTACCATCTATTTTGCATGAAATTTGAAATTAAGGTTTTTTCTTTTTTTTTTTTTTTTTTTGTGGGGGGGGGGGAAAAATCAATTCTTACCTCATCCCATGATCTGTGATTTGGATCTGATGAAGCATATTTCAGGTATTCTTTATCGTCCTACAAAATAGACACAACAGGTTATATATCAACAAGAGCTGAACCTCACGATAGGAAACAAAAAAAATTATCTTACGATCAATGATAGTTTTTCTAAAAAGACAAAATCGTGTGAGTCCTCTCTTTGTATGCATGTGTGTGTGAGAAATTAATTCGCTTACTCTTGGTGCCAGAAGCAGCTTCAGCAGCAGTTGGAAAATCAGTTGAAGGTGGCACTTTGGTCTGTGTAATTGCAGGCACTGCCCATGCTCGGGTGGGTTTCGCTGATGATGCTGATGCAGTTGCAGGAATCAATACAGGTGATGTAGCAGAGGTGTCTGATGGCTTGCTTGATTTATCATGCGTGGTCTCGGCGTCATGCTTCTTTTCAGATACTTCAGGCTCGATGTGCTGCTGCTGCTGTGAGAGAGAAGGAGAGGAAGCAGAGCCCCAGCCATGCGATGGAGCAGGTGAGGATACTGGTACATCTGTATCCTTAGCATGTTCTCTTCTTAAGCTGGGCAAGTTGATGGGACGGGGAGCAGATATCTTACTGGAAAGTAGTCTCTGACGAGCTTGTAAATTGCGATTACCTAGAGTAGATGTGTTAGAGCTACGTGTCTAGGCGAGGCTCGCTGCACTGTATTTTACCTGCATTTGTGTTGCTATTGTTGCTGCTACCAATGTTACTATTACTCAACATCGGGCTCTTTGGTTTTCCGGGGTATTTCTTTGTAGATGTACTTGCTGAACTTGGAGTAGTGAATCTGACAGGCGGTGTATCTCCAGAAGACATTGGATAGGATAGACGCGTTTATTATAAAGATGAATTAAAGCAGGAATGGAGAAAAAAAAAAGAAGGGAAAAAAAGGTAGTCTATATAAAGAGAGTGCAGAAAGAGAGACAGAGAGAGGAGTGTGGAATTCACCACAGTCTCCTTGTAGTGTGTGTGTGTGTGTGTGTGTGTGTGTGTGTGTGTGTGTGTGTGTTTTGTGATACATGTGTCAAATCAATCAGCGTTTTTGATTGCCACCTAATGCAACACTTTTTGGTATATAGAAACTTTGCAGAAAGCTGAAGATAGACAGACATCCAATGATGTAGTAGACTAAATGTCTGTCCAGAGGGAAGACATTGCCGTCTTTGATGGATAGGGACCACAGTGTACCACCAAATGTAGGGCCTATACCTGGGAGATCAATACAAGGTTATACTTATGCTGTCGATAGTAACCTACCTAATGCTCGCACCAGCGATAAACAAGACTGACAAATACCATTGACTGTTCCCAAAATTTCTGGAGCAGCAGATGTGCTCACCTAATGCGAGATGGGTTAGATTATGTATATTCAAAACGCATTGATCCAATACCATGATACCCAAACCAGTGTAGGCTAAACAACATCCAGCATATCGGATCAGCATCAAAAACAAGTAGGCAAATCGAAATGTCCAATCCTCGCTTGCTTCACCACTGATATTGCCTGCCACCCAGTCTCTGATTGTGCTTAGTTCAGGAAACAAAAAGTACACTGGAATAAAGACGAGGAAAGCCAATCTACACAGCACTAGTGTGGAGTAGTATTTGGTCAATCGAGGATAGATGCCAAACTGAAAGATGAGCTGGATGACACCAAAGAAAGACAGAGCCTTTGCAAAATCAGTGCGTGTGATGCCGAGGCCACCAGCAGCCACTGGAGCAGTGAAATACAAAGGCAGTACTTCATCAAACACCATAGCATGAAAACCAAAGACACTAAAAAAAAAAAAAAAAAAAAAAAAAAAAAAAAAAAAAAAAAAAAAAAAAAGCAGAGAGGTGAGCCAACTTGTATATACGCCTTAGCACTCTGTGTACTCACGAATAGGCGGTAATGATAATGATTGATGTCTGAGTCACTAGACGCATGGATCCACTCTTTGGCAGTATTCTCTTGGTCACAGATTCATCCATGGTGGTAGCGTCGTTATTGGTTGCCAAGAGAGCCGTACGTTCGTTGGCATCCGCCTCCCACTTTCTGTCAGCCAGCACATTGGGGTTCGACTCCTTTAGGTAAAAGTAGCCAATGACGAAACCAATCATGGATCCGCATGAAGATACAAAGCAAGGCAGAAAGTAAGGGTATTTTGTCAGGAACACAGAGTTACCAAATAAGCCAGGAAATTGCTCCACAGGCCTGGCGAGATAACCACCTAATGCTGGACCAGCTGTTCATGTGGTCCATGTGTTAGCACTCAAGACAAATCATCGCATCAACCACAACAGCAGCACATTACCAATCATGCCTGCACCCCAGCAAAAACCAAAGATGGAGAATGCCTTTGCTTTGTTTGTATTGTCCGTGATCTCACTGACCATGCTGCGAGCAACACCTGAATTGCCATTCATAATGCCGCACAGAGCTCTTGCGCCAATAGCCCACCATAGACTCTTACTGAGACCAAACATGCAAGATGAGATTGTATTGCCAATCAGCCCTGTAAGCAGCACTGGTCTTCTGCCATATCTATCCGACACTCTGCCCCACATAATGGCAGTGCAGAATTGCGCAATAAAAAAGACAGATGCTGGGGCAGCATCAGCATGCATATTAATCAACTTGTTTTAGGCCTAGCATCCATACTCACTTATCCATCCTGCGTAAGCGCCAATTTCCTTTTCATCATTGGACAAATGAAAGTCTTTGATCTGGTTGAGTCGCCAGAGCAGCATCGTGTTAACACTGCATTGAACCGCACGCAATCACACATAGTAAAGCTTACCATAAAATAAATAAAGGGAAACAGAATAGTAGATGTCAGTGGCTCGCTAAACAGCAAGATTGAAATCACCAACATCTGTACTTTGGGCAAGGGCGTCACTGCACCGTCATCGTCGTCGTCTTGGCTCTCGTTGTCTATCGAATACTGATCAAGCGAGCGCACGTCGCCGTTGGGATAGTGTCTTGGGGAGGAGTAAAGGGAGGAGCCTCGTGTCTGTCTTGCTGCGTTGTTATCATCTGCCATGATCTTTGGAATTGCGATAATAGGCGTGGTGTAACCAGTCGAGTTGAAGTGGCTCAAATTAGAACTAATTGACTGATTTGTACCATGTCTGTTTAAGTTGTTATTGTATAGACTCTCTACATCGTTGTCCTGTTCGTAGAGATAGCTGAATATGCTATCTGTGTAGCTCTTTGATAACGTATCTTGAGGATCCATTCCTGTTGATGAAGGAAAAAGAGGGGAAAGAAAGAAAGAGACAGGAGAATAAAAGGGGAAGCCTTTCCCAATTTAAATAGATCCAGTAGTTATCATGTAAGCGTGTCAATAGACACAGTGCAACAACAGACTATACAAAACAGCAGCAAAGCCTTATTTTAGTCACATTGAGTCAAAAAGTGGTATGCACAGGGTAAACTCTAAATCACACACACACACACACACACACACACACACACAGAAATGGATCGTCATTCCTAAAGAAAAACACACCCCCCCCTTTTCAGTATAAAAGAGATTAAAAATAGAGTAATTTATTATAAGAATATCAAATCAAAACAAATGTTAAACCAGGCTGTAAACTACAGCCATGGCCATGGCAATCCATCCACCATTGGCTCCCAATCTCATTCCGCTGGATTGCATGCTGTCTGATCCATTGCCATTACTGGATCCGCCACTGCTGCCACCACCGGCCTTATTGGCTACAGAGGGTTTCTGGCCTACGGTAGGCACCATATTGGACTCCTGCATACTGGCTGTACAGCTCCACGCATTTCCCTTGACGATATTCTCGCCCTTGAGCTTGCGTTCGATATCAGAGCATCCCAATTGAGACGAGGTTGTTTGAAGACGCATACCGCCACGGACATCTTGAAGCACAGGCAAGTTGTATTTGTTGAATCCACCAGCCAGATCTACGGTACCATGGATTTCAGCCAACTTGGGGAAGCCGTCAATCGAGGTCAGCTGGGTGTTGTTGCCAATGGACAAGGCACCGTCGATGCGGGTCAAATTCTTGAAGGAGGTTTCGGTCAGTTTGTTGTTATTGGCAATGGTCATGGTGCCGCCGATGAGCTCGACTCTGTCCAGGTTGAGTACAGTCAATTCATTGTCATGGAAGGAGAGATCAGACTGGACGTTGGTCAATGCAGGCATATCAATCTGAGCCAAATTAAGGAAAGTGGCCATCTTGAGGGCAACCAATTGATTTGCCTAGTAGCCATGATGAGTAGAAGCACACGCTACTAGCAGAGATGTCTTTTTTTTTCTTACCTCAAATGTCATGAGCTTGTTGTTACCGAGAATAAGCATTTCGCCAGTAACCTCCTTGACTGAATTAAAGTCAAATGACTTCATGTAATTGTTGCTCAGCAATGTGAATGATTCAATGGTCTCTGGTCTAAAGCCATCCACCTTGGGAGCACGGGTATCTTCAATGCGCATGTTGTTGACCTTGGTCAAGCCAGCGGGGAAGCTGATGACCTCCAAAGCAGGCACCACAGCCATGGAGAATGTCTTTGCTTCTGTTAATTTGGGGAATTCCATCTTGTTTAAAATAGTGTGGTTTTCAATCTTGACGGCACCCTCGACTTTTTGCAATTCAGGGGCACTGAATTTCTCCAGATCCACATTGCCATTCATTACTAAATCACCGATCAATTGCTCAACGCCTTCCATCCTGAGTTGAGTAGCTGCGATGTGGTCGATATCGATAGTACCCTTGAATATTTTACATGTCCTGATGGCGTCTAAATCAGCTTGGGACATGACTTTCACGTTCTTTTCGCAGCCGGCTTCCACCTGGACATCACTTTGAGAAGAGACAGCAGAGGCAGCTATCAAAATGGGGAGGAGGGAGGTTACACTTGGTTTCTCACGCTTACACAAAGGCACACACACACACAACTTACATTCTTCTGCACCCAACACAGCAGTACAGAGAGATGCCAGCACAATGGTTGCTAATGAAATGCGGGTCATGGAATAGGAAAATTAAATGTATGAAAAGAGAAACAGAAACCAAATGTTTACAACATACCTTGCTTTATTCCTTGACTTTATATACTGTGCCGTTGAATGTGCATTTTGTTCATTTTGAAATGAAAAGAATGGTATTTATTGTTGGATCAAATTACAACATTTTACCCACATGCATTTGTTTTTCTTGCCATCTATCACAAGGGAAGAGAGAGAGAGAGAGAGAGGAAGTAAGGACCTAAAAAAAGTGGAAACACTTTTATTTCAAGCATGCTGCTATAATGATAGATGATGGTAACTTGGGTAACAAGGCCAAAAAGGGGAGCAAGAGAGTTACAGAGCCTAAATTCCTCTCTCTCTCTCTCTCCCTCTCTCTCTCTCTCTCTCTTTCTCTTTTCTCTCACACACACACTCAAATATGGTCAATAACAACAACAACAATAACATGGTTGTCTTTTTAAACTTGACTTGTGGTAACAGCCATCATGAAGATGCTCAGCATCATCATCAAGACCAGAAAGAGCCAAATTCCACTCATGATTTAGCAGAAATGATGATTTACGCCTATGTAGATGACTCACCTTCTGTTGCTGACTTGTTGTGGTCTAAACAACAGCTCAATCAAGGCGAATTTCTTAAGCTTACCGACGAGCAAGAATGGTCTCAACTGCCTACAGTCGATTATTCAACTCACGAGCCTTATTTCCTTTAAGATTAAATGAAAAATAAAGCACAGGTTCGGAACATTTTAGCATGTTTGTAAATCCAGGGCACTCAAGTGAGAGAAAAAAAAAAAAAAGAGAGAGGACATGAGAACATGGCTTGATGATATATGAAATAGACTCACAAAAACACATTGGAAACGTATCTTTTGCCTTTGTTTCCCAACCATGTTTCTATCAGAATGACATTTAAAGAAGAACCTCGAGAGCTGTTGGTACGGTAGGTGCTGTTTTGAGCACTTATTGTCCCATCCTCATGTTCAACCTGTGCCTGACTTGATTTCTAAGCGAAAAGAGCTTGAAAAGGCGATGGGTGAATTCAAGGACGATGAAAAGGAAGCTGAAAATATACATTTGACCGGAACTATCATTAAGTATACATCGTTTTCAAGTTGAACCACATCTCATTAGTGCTAGGCCCATGGACCTCATAGGCCAGTCTTTGGTATGTCTTTCTCCCACTGGCAATCACTATATTTATATTAGCAATAAAATATTCCATCACTGGCTTTTGCTACTGAGGCTACAGTCGCAAGACTACTTAATGGAATGCCAGGCCAATTCATCTGCACACTTTAAAGACTAAGATCTGCAACTACTTCTAGTAGCTTTATTATATATAAGAAATTAACCAGATTAATTTCTGGCAATTTTCAATTCACATTGCCCTTCTAAAGACCTTGCAACGGTATCTATTGCCTCCACATCACTTCTGTCAGCCAAAACCAATTCAGTCTCCGCCTTTTTTCTTTTGTTAAAAATAGAAATTTTTTTGTCAATTTTTCAACTTGTTTGACTATTTCGTCAATTTGACTATATGAATTGGCATAATTGTAATATACCCCCTTAAGCTTCCTAAGAGTGCTTTTCAAGGCGTATCTAATGGTGTTATTTGTACAGATATTATGAATTAATTTATTGAGCATTTTCGGAAAATATGAAATGAGGTTTTGGGCCAAAATGTCGAGGTTTTACATATCAAGGTCACACAAACAAAGTGTCAGGAGCTGCATTGGATCTGTAGAAACATTTTGATTTAACATATGCTATAGTAAAAGTTGTCATTTTGGAGGTCAAAAACGCGATCGTTTGATTTTCGATGAAAACCATGAGGGGTGCCTCATGGTTTGGAGTCGATTTTCGACGATTCCATAAAAGTTGAGCAAAGGTGTCAAACAATTGCTGTTAGATGAGAACAATCGTTTGGTGTTATTCTGGCAGCTTACAACTGCCTGTAGCACGAGAAATTGCTGCTCAAATAGACCCAATTTGCGCTGTGTTTGGCATATTTTCAGAGTAAGAGGTGGTGTAGGTGCGCTGCATACCCGTATACGAACCGTTCCCAATGGTACAAGCGCGGAACATCCTACAAGAGTCTGATCCACAATTGTAGGTCGTTTCTGAAGAGTTCTTACGTAATAGTGGAAGGCTGCAAAGTGAAATTTTAGCCTTTTTTTAGTAGGATGTCCTACTTGAATTCACGAGAACAATTAATTAAAAGGCATCCTACTAAATACTCTAGCTCGAACGTCTTTGCAGATAAGTCCATCAGTCATAAGGAATCAATGTTAGATAGTGGAGCCATTTCAGCTTTATCTCTCTCTCTCTCTCTCTCTCTCACTTTATGCGTAGTCTATCGCCACGTTTGCGATTAAAATGCCGCTGAACAGATTGTTATAGACATGTATACACACAGGGTGGGGACACACGTGGGGCTGAGAAAAGCAACATGCTGGAAGAAGATGTGTTGATTTATTGAAAATGCTAGTATTCATCATCATCATCATCAGATACCTTGCTGCCGCAACGGCATACAAATATGTATTCAAGATGAAAAGGCAGACGGCGTTGGTATATAAGAATGGTTTACCCCTGAATTGTCGTATAAAGAAAAGCTAACCTAACTGCTTCCACAATTTCCAGTTATAGCTTTCTTGAGTTTAGATAAAGGTGTTCCATTTTTGCAAGCCTTCAGTATCGCTTGGCGTCATAATATCTGGTGTTTCGGCTGTTGGAACGGGAGAAAAGTCTTCAGTTTGAATAGGTGGCACTGGTGCTGCTGTTGCGTCAGTGGTCGTGGTGAAGGCTGTTTCGATTTTTGTCAGATGCGCACTCAAGTCTCTATTCATGCCAAAGCTATTGACTCGATCCTGTTGAAATATGTTTTTCAGGTTTGCATCGCACAGTATATAACGTCTATCAGCTGGATCTTGGAGTTGATTTGATTTTATGTATTTCCACAATCGCTGTACAATCTCTGGTCTGGATAACTAGAGAAAGCCACTGAGAATGCACACTTTGCACAACTCTCCCTCTTGATACATACCTGTGTTGCTCCATCCATGATGGTCTGTAAAGACGCACTTAATATAAGGGGTTTGTTTAAGCCCGTGATTCGTTTAGGTTTGGGAGGTGCGTTTGGATCGACATTCATTACGAGCTTCCTCTTTCTCTTCTTTTTTGGCTTCTTCACATCCACCTGCTGCTCTTGTTGCTGTAAAGAGGATTCATCCTCGATGGGTGCTTTCCTCTTTCCTTGGGAAGATGCTCTTTTTTTTATTTTTTTAGGTTGTGTTGCATCCAGGTCCGTGAAAGGTTCCACGACAAGACCATTGTTGCTGTTGTACATTTCATGGTGTAACATCATAGTCGAGTCATTGCTGTTGATAATGAAATCCTTTTCCTGTTGCGAAAACAGATCAAGGAAATCATGATTGGGTTGCATGTACAATTCGTTTGAAATGGCTGACGATGGCTCCCCAAACATGAAGGTTTCATCCAATAAGCTGGCGCTGGTGGTAGATGAGGAGATTGGGTCACTGCTGCTGCTGCTGCTTTCATTGTTTGTATTATCCCATAAAAACAAGTCTAAGAATACAGTTGATATACATGTATTTGGCAGTTTATAAGCGGCTTCTTATGCTCTGCTTCTTTACCTGACAATAACAGATTGTTATTTAGGTCCATATCATTGCTATTATCCATTGGTTCGTTTGTACAGTGACACTCGCGCTGTATCAGAGAGAGAGAGAGAGAGAATTGATAAATGAAAAGAAAGAGAGGGGGGAAAAGAGGGAAGAGAGAAAAGCAAGGAATAGCCATCGATAATGGGATTACTTTTTTTTTTTGCTACTTGCACACCTTTGTTGAATGGGGGAACTGCTATAACGGTGCTTATCAGTCTTTCATTTGGCTCATTTGCACTGGGATCCAATTACAGCAGATCTGCTTGAATCAGGCACCATTTTCACAGACGTATCATGCACTGGTCAAAGACAACAGTTCCATTTAAGCTGTTCAATTACCAAGGCTTTTATTATCGTATGTTACTATTTACATGATTTCTAAATAATTTAATCCGTCTTTTGCTTCTTTTCCACAGGTTCAACAGGCACTGCTGTTTCAGCCTCCTCTCTCTCTCTTTTGCCATCTTCAGTCGTCTCTTCGGCTTTGTCCAAGATTGACTTGTGCTTTGCTACAGTGTCATTGTAATAGTCCACCAAGTCAAACAGCTCACAGATTCTCAACATGGACTTTGATCGTTGCACATGGGTGTATAATTCAGATCGAGTATGAGACGTATTTTCCGTGTTCATGCTCAACAGAACATACTTGGTATTTTGAAACAAGTTGTCCACATCAATTGCCTTTTTAATGTAGGTGCGCACAACAGTCTCGAATGGCAACAATCCCTCCTTTCTGAATGCTGAGGGGTTCCACTGAGCGCCTCGAGCAATCATGACAGAGTCGGCGTTGGTGATTTGCTTTGCCTTCTCTACATCTGACCATTGAAACACATCACCATTCACAATCACGGGGATGTCAGTGATGGATTTGACAACCTGCACGATATCCTTGAGTGCTTCCCAGTTTGGCTTCTCTGTTGATCTTTGCTCCTTTGTACGACAGTGGACTGTCAGCGCTTTGACTCCTGTCGAGGCAATCATTCTGACGAGATCCAACGTCTTTTCCTTGGTATCCAACAGTCTGATCTTGCAAGTAACAGGCATGCCAGAGTGCTGTACCAACTTGGTGAGGATTTCTCGGAGCTTGTCAGGATTAGATAAGAGAGCGGCGCCCATACCGCCCTGAACCGAAAACTTTTTAGGACAACCACAGTTCAGATCCACTGCAGCAACGTCCTCCTTTAATGTCAATGCTGCCTTCAGGGCGAGATCTGCGTCTGCTGTACCCAATTGAAGAATCACCTTTCCCTTTTCTGCTGCATGCGTACTGAATGTCAATGATTTGCCTTTGGTGTAGTTGATGGTGCCAGTTGCAGCTAATATGGTATACGTCAATGAAAATGCACCATAAAGATTGGTGTACTGACTTACGATTGTAGGAGCGCACAGATCCAATAATACGCTTGTCGACGAGTTCTTCAGACCACACCAGATCTGTGCAATGATGAGTCTAAGCTATTTCTTATCCTTTGATGTAGTTTCCTACCTGCCCCGTAATCAAGTGCAACCAAGCGCATAGGCAGTGTGCCAATACGAACCTATGTGATGTTGGTTTGGATGGCAACTGTCAATGTATTTCAACTTACCATGGGTGCAAGCACAGCTTTGTTGGAGTAGTCGATATCTGGATGAGTTACAGACATGGTCGAGAGTTAATTCAAAGAAAAAAGAAGGGGTTGATCGAAAATGGGATCAATGGATTATAGGAAGAAAAAAAAAATCGGTGACTGCCAGAGCTATATTTTTTTTTGATCTTATTGGTGTGGTTCATTGTCTAGCAAGGCGATATTGGGCGACGACGCTTAGTGATACATGCTGGTCAGTGTCAAATGAACTCTGTAGGTGTGCTTCAGGCACAAGCTCAACATTCTAATCGAAAAAAAAAAGTGGATAGACAGGTGAAATAGACTATGAGGTTCTTGATATGATGTTATCGCCATCTCAAAATTGCGTCTGTAGACATCATGAGATGTACATGTTTGAACCAACATCCATTGTCTGTATCGGATGAGTTGCTAGATATTGTGTGAATCCTGTGGATGAGACCATGATTCATGCAACATGTAGTGTCCAAATGCCTATCCAAACCCATTTGATTTACCATCAAACCATCCGGACATTTCTTTCACTAGTGATGGCATTTGGCACTGCCTTTACTGGATACCGCATCAGATGTACATTAGCACCAAGCACATTGGCAAGTAAGCAAGCATGGCACTCCTGAATCAAATGTGCCTTTTTTTTTTTTTTTTTTTTTTTTCTAAAGCTTGCTACACCATTGTTTGTGAAAATGGGAGAGGGTGGCCAATGGAAAGGGACCAAAGCCATGGAAATTGAATAAATTTGTCAAGACTGATTTAACAAGGCGCGTTTGCGTTTTTTTTTTTTTTTCATTATATTCGTTTTCATTTCTTTCAGCATAAGCATGGCCTTTCATAAATATGTGGTTACAGCTCAAAAGCCAACTGCAACCCAATTTGCTGTAAAGGGATTGTTCACATCACCACATGAAACGAATCTGATCTTAGGGTATGTGTTTCTATGTACATTGGGACTGGATAATGAGAAACTGACGGTAGAGAGCATGCCAAATAGCAAAGGAACACGTATTGAAGTATACACATTGACAGTAGATGGTTTAAAACCAACAATTGAATTCAGTATTCATGGCACTATCATTGCCCTGAGACTGTATACACCTCAGGTAAGTGCTACAGCTCTTTCAGTTGCGGTGGTACTGAAAGCGCGTTTTTTTTTCGTTGCATGCTGCAGGGTCGAGATAAAGCATCCCTCTTCCTCATCACCTCACGACACAAGTATTGCGTACTCTCATTCGACGCATCGCAGCAGATCATCACTGAATCTACTGGAGAGATTGGGTTTCCCGGCCAGCCTCGCAGCGAAACGAGTGATTCGAACCTAGCCATCGATCCATCTTGCAAATACTTTGCAACAACACTCTACGAATCGACTGTTACCATGATTATACCAGACTTTTCCAAGTTCAAAGAGCATGCAACACCACAGCCACTGCGAAAAATATCACTTAGATCAAAAGAAACAAAGCGACGACAGACACACGACACCATCTATCATCCACAGGACTACATGAACATCAGCCTGCCAGACAAACACATTGTCTCACTGGCCTTCTTACAGGACACCCACATTGAGCCCACATTACTGATCTTGTACGATGATTCCCTTGGACGCAGATATCTTCAGACATTCACCGTTGACGCAAAGAATCGACGATTGGTGCCTGGAAATAGTGTGATGGATCATTTCGAGCCTGATGCGAATACACTGATTGCAATGCCTGCTGCTGTAGGTGGTGTCGTTTTGATTGCTGGAAAATTCATACGATATCTCAAGCCAAATCAGCCTCCCGTGGCTATCGGTATTCGACCTTCTACCATCAACAGGTAAATGCATTGCACATGGACAGGAAGAGAAAGAGTGTGTGTTATTGACTTGGAATGATGACGCTAGTTATTCCATCATGAATGCAGAAGGGTCTCGCATACTACTAGGCGACACTGAAGGCATGCTTCATTTATTGACATTGAACATTCTACAGCACAGGGTGGATTCGTTGAGCTTTATTGGATTAGGCAGCACATCTATACCCTCCTGTTTGGTGTATTTGGACAACGATGTAGTGTTTGTGGGCTCAACAGTGGGCGACTCCCAATTGATCCATGTTCGACGCACAAACGATGCAACTGCAGCAGCTGAAAACGGAGACATTCTAGAAGTCATTGACGAGTTTCCTAATCTTGGTCCCATCACTGATTTCTGTGTTGCTGATCTGGACAAACAAGGACAAACGCAGTTAATCACATGCTCCGGTGTGGCAAAGGACAGTTCATTGCGGATCATTCGAAATGGCGTTGGATTGAATGAGTTGGCCACTATTGGTATCAGTGGTGTAAAACGTGTGTGGGCCTTGCGTCCCTCGTTTCATGAAAAACATGATGACATGCTGGTAATCTCTTTTGTCAATCAGACTCGTTTGTTGGCGTTGCGTGGAAATACTATGACGCAACTGGAGACTTACTCGGGCATCGATGTCAACAGCAGAACTCTGATCGCAGTGAATGTCAAGGATGATATGGTGATTCAAGTGACGGACAAGAGTGTGAGGCTGATGGACGCCAATGGGCAGGGTGGGCTATTGGATGAATGGGTGCCTCAGGACAATGCACAGATCACTGTAGCAAGTGTGAATCCCTCTCAATGTGTAATTTCCACAGGCTACAACCGACTTGTGGCACTGCAAATTAGAGATAAGCGATTGGAGCTTCTTGGGTAACTCACGTTTTTTTTTTCTTCTCAATCATGGTTCCTGCGCTATTTATCTGACTCTTGTCATAGGACCACCCAGTTACCAGACGAGATTTCATGCATCGATATCAGCCCTATTGATGCCGAGAATCCTCTTTGTTCCAGTGTAGTCGCTGTTGGTTTATGGGAGAACGTGGGCGTGTGTTTGCTGTCGTTACCTGATCTGCAAGTGATACATGAAGAAAAGTTGGCCGGCACTGTCATGCCTCGATCCATTCTCATGGCCAAATTCGAGAATATATGCTATCTACTGGTAGCACTGGGAGACGGGCAATTCTACAATTTTAAGCTAGACACGAGAGAGGGTACATTATCCGACAAAAAGAGATCTTTCTTGGGCAAGTTACCCATCCATCTCAGCACATTTACATCCAACGGCACCACACACGTATTCGCAGCATCCGATAAGCCCAGTGTCATTCATAGTCGCAACAAAAAACTTATTTATTCCAATGTCAATTTGAGGGAAGTGCGATGTGCCACGTCTTTCAACAGTGTGTCATTCCCTGATGCAGTTGCATTAACGACCAAAGACGGCTTGGTGATTGGACAGATGGAAGAAATTCAAAAATTGCATATTACAAAAATATCAACGAGCGATGCACCCAGACGCATCACCTATCAAGAAGCATCGAGGACATTTGGCATTGTCACTGAACATATCTCATCAGAACCGTACACTGCTTCAACGACAACAGGCGGATTTGAGATCCTGGACGATCAGACCTTCAAGCAGTTGGATAGAATTTACTTTAAGCAGTTTGAAAGACCATTGGCAGCTACCTGTATGACGTTTGAGAATGACAGCGCTGAATATTATATTGTGGCAACTGGCAGAGACACAGACGAATATGAAAACAAGAGCGTGGGTCGTATCATTGTGCTGCAAGTAACCTCTCAGCGCACATTGAGGTTTGTGACGCAGATCAAGACAGATGGCATGGTGGACTGCATTAGACCCTTCCAAGGAAGACTGCTAGCCAGCGTCAAAGGCGTGGTACAGTATGACGATTGATTCGCTCCAACACTGTATATTCACCATTTCGTAGGTGCATGTTTACAGATGGGAAGAGACAGGCACTCTGGTCTCCACATGCCAAAAGCAACTCCCATCCATCACAGAGACCATGACAACACTGAATGATTTGATCATCACTGGCGACATGGCATACTCGATTGTTGTATTACGCTATGACAGTAAATCAGACACATTGACAGAAGTAGCAGCGCATGAGAAACTCAAAGAGGTCTTGGCTATCGAAGCTGCTGACGAGAATGTCTATGTTGCTGCTGAAAGACACGGTCATTTGTTTGTGGTAGAAAAGTGTGTAGACGAGAGCATGAACGATGAGCCACTGCTAGAAACTGTCAGTGTGTGGCACTTGGGAGATACTGTGCGTAAATTTCGCTTTGGTAAGTGTTCAGTTAGTGAGTAGGGAGTTGTTCTCATAACCAACTCATTTGCTTGTATTTGCAGGCTCCCTGGGAATGAACAATGCAGATCCTGATCGCAAGCCAGAAGCACCTACACTCATCTTTGCTACGGCGAGTGGTGCTATTGGGCTGATCGCTGATTTGACAGCGGATCGATTCAAATTACTGGACCAAATGCAATACAACATGATGCGTGTAGTCAAGAGTATAGGTGACCTCAGTCATATAGAGTAAGTGTTGTTTTTTTGTGCTTCCAGGCCCACAACTGACATGCCTTTGCACGCAGCTGGAGAAGTGTTTCCATCATGGACAGAAAAGACGAGGCTGTCAATTTCATTGACGGCGATCTCATTGAGAGCTTCTTGGATTTGACACCGCAACAAATGCAGGCAGTCGTAGATGGTCTTCACGGAGGACGCAAGTTGGACAAATCAGTGGAAGATCTGTGTAAAGTGGTAGAAGAATTAATGAGCGCACATCCTTAAGAAAGTGATGTGTCTGTAAATAGTAAAGAATAATTAATAGTATGATCTTTCTTGGTGATGAAAATGCTATATGAAATGCTATTTATTTGAATTAGGTGCGAGATAATAACTGTGGTTCAATACGCGAGTAGAAACACGTATCGCACACGCGAGCCCACTCGCCACAGTCTTGACCATTGGATACAAAGAGTGGCAACTTGTTGGAGCTGTGTTCCTGACAAAACAAATGGCCACAGCTATATGAATGAACGTCAGTCTGCTGTCATTATCATGCATTTAGATGCTGAGGCAACTAGGATACACTACCTTCTGCAGTGATGTCTACGTTGAAACACACCGAATTCAGCGTTGCAGTGCTTGGTTCGCTTGATATAGTCATGTCTGTCTTGAATCTGGAATTGGCATTTGCTGGCATGCTCATCTAGCACCCACTCCTTTGGATCCAGCAATTGAAACTTGGTCAGTCTTGATTTCCTGGTTAAATGAATCATGTATTTATGGCAAATGACTTGATCTGGCTGATGATATGGTTTAAAGTACTTTTGCAGACCCTTGAAATTTTTATGGGGAGAGATTGTATGAGCTACCACGGACGTTCCAGAATATCAATACTACTCCACCCATCAACACCATGCGTTACCTTTGGAAGCAATCCCGGCTCTGTTGTGACACAAATACCAGAGATGATTACATTTTGAGGATATCCGAGTGCATCAAAATCTTGCTCTTCAATGTCGCCTGTTCCAACCAGACTGCCAATCCATTGACTCACGTTCCATTTGAAGCGAGTGACCCCATATTCTAATTTGGTTTGCCAGTTGCAAGATTGCACAGCAGGAGTAGTAATAGTAGTAGTAGTAGTAGTAGTAGAGGTAGCAGCAGCAGGCGACGACAATGAGGAGGGCGACTGCACGTGATCTTGATAGGTGCTACTGACGGCATTTGTGGCAGTGGGAGGTTGTGTGGTATTGTAAATGTTGACGGGCGTAATAGAAGCACCTGAACCAGATACGCCAAAAGCTGATGTAGATGACGATAAAAATAGTAATGCGTCCTTTTGTTGTTGTTGTTGTTGTTGTTGTTGTTGTTGCTGCATCATAAGCAAAGTGAATTTTTGCAAGATTTTGGCTTGTGTTTCCAATAAAACTGTTTCATATTGCTCCTGGTTTGATGTAACGAGTTTCGTAATGTTTTGTTGAATGGAGTTCATTTCATCATCATCATCTGCATTCATGTTTTTGCCTCCAATGGTTGCCAAAAGTAGCTGTTGTTGAGATAGCAATTGGCTCCATTTTTCAATCAATCGATGAGGTGGTTTTCGGACGATGGTTGTCGTCTTGGTCTCAGCTGAGCAGGGTTCCGTCGTGTTTGCAAGCGAATTAGTCAATGTTGATTTCTTCTTTGTGCGTTTACGAGTTGGAATGGGCGACGTAGGGCTAAGCGATCTGAGCACTCGATGTGTGGGACCACCTTGTAGATTGGAGTTGCTATGGTTACTGCCACTGCTGCTACTACTGCTCATCATGCTCTGGATACTATGGTCACTACCTACTGTAGATAGCGAGGATGTAGCAGACATCACATTAGGGGTAGCAGCACCTTGATCCGTACGGGAAGATTTGGTGCGAGTGACAGTGTGCTTTTTGTGGATGCCATCATGGCCCTTGGAAGTGGTAGTTGCAGTGGTGGAGATGGAGGAACGTCGACTACTGTTGGCAGTGCTATGTGATTTACTCACCAAGGCCACAGCAGCAGCAGTGGTGCTTTCAGAACTGGAGGTGACTTTGACATTACGGTTACATGCAGCACAAATGGGTCGACGCATATAACTTGGCAAATGATCATCCTCACTGTTATGTGTATGTGTGTGATGGTGATGATGTTCTAAAGAGGACGAAGTGGTAGATGATGATGACTGAGATAATGGGCGTCGAACAGCAATGACCTATAGACATGCATAATGAATGAATACAAAGGGCAAGTCGATATTCAATCTGGCTTTTTCGTTTACCTCATCAGCTACCATCACATTAGGAGCAGGCTGTGTTGCGTTATCACAAGCAGCCTCATTAATTACAGCTGCCGTAGTGCCAGCATCTTCAGATTTGGAACGAGGAGTTTGTTGTTGATGACCTGCAGAAGGTGCTGCATTATTATTGTTATTGATATCATTTGTAGCAGCACCGAAAACAGAGGCAGGTTTGTTGATACCAGTATTGCCACCCTCTGTGTTGGCCATGACGGATGGATATTTAGATGGTCTTTTCTGTAATAGCATGGATGAGCGGCGCCGTTGATTGACCTTATTATCGACATTATTACTAGAGCTAATTACAATAGAACTATCATTGCTTTCATGATTGGGAGATGTGCTACTGGGTATCATCGATGCCCGTCTTCTTGCCTCAAACACTTTGCGCAATGGTGGTGGTGGGGAGGGCGAGGGCGATGATGGTAACTCGGGTACTACAGTCGTTGTAATTTGATGGGGATGTTGCTGCTGCTGTGATGGTGACCAGGAGCTGCGTCTTTGTCCATTGGCATTAACTGGCAATCCCACAAGAAGCAGCTGCTTGTTCTCTGCAGCAGTTGTGTCATTGGATGGCGGTGGTAATGGTGCTGTTGTCAGGGATTGTTTTCTGTTTCGAACAGCTGCTGATAATCTTCTCTTAATGGTGGCTTCTGTTGCATTGGCATTGGCATCAACTGAAGGCGAGCGAACAGCCTTGGCTAAACTAGAAGCAGTGCCTCTTGTGATGGATTGATGGCGAGCCAGTAGCTTGCGATTGACTTGCTGTGGACTTAATTCAATGCTCTTTTCAGGTACAGGTTTTAGTGGTTGTTGTAATATCATCAGATCTTTTTCTTCTCCCTGAGCAAGAGGAGAAACAGCGGCAGCAGCAGCAGGTGGAAGGAAATTTAATTCATTGCCCCTCTTCAATAGATGGGTGGTAACTTGAGGTTCTTCGACCATGATCAATGTATAAGAAAAAAGAATAAAGAAAAGAAAAGAAAAGAGAAAAAGAGGGAATCATGCTAAAACGCAACCTGTATGCCAGGATACCCTATTTAACAATGCTACACGCATTTCAATGAAATCATGTATAAACCCTAAAATATAACAAATTTAAAACGGAATCTCCCTGTTTCCAATGTTGTGTGTGTGTGTGTGTGTGCTCTTCAAATGTTGCAGTTACACAGTGTCATTTATGGATGTACCGATACTTGTTCCGTCAAACTACACTATTGTTGATTTTTTTATATATAAAAATCACACAAAATAGCACAAATGAAAATACCCAACGCCGCACATGTTTGAGCACCATCAAGCCAAGGAGATCCGATTTATGCAAAGAGTGTACTTTAATTTGCAGCTTCTCTAGACGAATGGAGGGATTCACCATATGCTTCCCTAGAGTCAGTCGTACGTATCTGTTGTAAGCTTGTTGCAGCAGTTGTCTACTCTTTCGTAGATCAATAGAGGAGTGTTGCATTCCTTTTGATCTCGTGTCTATAGAAGAAAAAAGAATGACATGATGCTGTCCAGAGTGTGAGCTTTTTGCTTGTGCTTTATAGAATATATCCCACCTCAATGTCCACGCTGAGCTGCTGGATTTTGCGGATGTAGTCTTCAATTACTGATTTACTTGCTTCAATCCGCTTGATTTCGCTGTCTATCTTTTGATCAAGCAAAGTGGTATCTTGTATGATGCTACTAGAAGGAGGTTTCTTTTTTAGTTAGTTTAGCCATTCTTCTTGTTACTTGCCAATGCTATTGCAATCAAGACACATATTCACAACTGGCATTTCGCCCCCTTTTCTGTGCAACAGGCTGTGTACTTACAAGTTTGTTGTTGTTGTTGTTGTTGGACATTTGTTGACTTTTGAACTTATGCATGTCCAATCTGCAGGTATTTTAAAATCCATCATTTGGTGCCTTATTTGAATTAATGAGCTTTTTCTTTCTTGCTCATTTGCTGCTGATTCGGCTGGTTTCGTCGTTGCTATGGGTACTCTTTTTCCATGTTGTTGTCTTTTCCTCTTGTTTATCAGATTGATGTAGAGTCTTTTTCGTTTGTGCGATGATGTGGCTGTCGTAGTGGAGGATGATACTGATGAGAAATAGTAAGCAGATGTCTGATCTTTGGGCTTCTTCTTTCTCTTAAAGTACTTTTTGTTGGATCTGATCGTCTTGAGGTCATGTTTATGACGATGCTGATGCTGAATCTTGACATCTTTCTCTTGTGCCTCCTCCAACTCATCGTCATCATCGCCATCATCGCTCTGGATCATGGAAGTAACTAAATGCAGGTGCGACGAGTGATACCGTTTGATTTTCGACAGAAACTTATGGTGATGATGATCTACTTGTATCAATGAGTTAGTAGGGTACACAAGAACACATGTTTGACTGGAATACACACTTTCGGAATAATTTGACTTGTACGTTGGCGCCTTGGATTCGAAAAATTCGGTGCCTGTTGTGCATGCTACTACAGTCTCTGTCTCTTTTGGATCGAAAATGAAGATAGGGTCATTGTTGCTATGGTAACCCATGTCATCGCTGTGGATTTTACTAGCATCATCGTGGATCTTTGGTGCCTGCTTTTTAAATTTCTTTACTTGATCTACCAGTTTGCCAATTTTTTTCTTTCTATTCTTTTTCGATTTTAAAATGGGAGATGTAACATTGAATTCAAAACGACTGATATCTTCTTTGCGGCTTAAACTGCTGATGCTGCTCTGGCTACTACTTGTATATGCCATGATACTAATCAGCGGAAAAGAGAAAGAGGGAAAGAGAGAAAGAGAGAAAGAAGATATCGGAGTTGCCTTAATGTGAATCATATAAATACTTCCTGGTCTTTATCAAATCATCATTCCCTTGCCCTTCATTGTAAACATTTGCCTTGATCTTTATTTATCTGGTGTGCTGTCCTGGATCTCCTTGCTCTTTAAAAGTATTACATCTTTATAAAATGAACTATGCAGTGTTCAAAATTAAAGCTAATTTAGTTACATTGACATCGTCTTGCCATCCAAATGTGATGATGGTGTGTCTAAATCATGAAATTGAGAAGGAGAAAGGAAGTGCCTGAAATTCCTAAATTTTGAATAATCAGGGACACTCAGATTTGAGTTTCAGCACATGGATGTGACATGCAACGTCTTGAATCAAGATTTATTGTAGGCAATGCTCCTCTTTAGTGCTGCTTTTCTAAGCATTTTATAGCAATAAAGCATTAAAATTGGTTTGCTCTCAAGCCAGCCATGTTAAATTGTTAATTGAACTTGGGAGATTTAAGACTATTCTCTGTCTAATAATAATAAAAAGCGTCAAGGTGGCCAGTCAGAGATCAGAGGCGCAAAAAAGTTTAAACATGAGTGTCGTACAAGGCTCGAAAAAACCACCAACAAACCCGGCATCGAGAAAGGGTATGAGCTCCTCTACCAAGAACTTAACATATCTAATATAAAATTTGGTAACATTGACCTATAAGAACGTCTTACTGTAGCGAAGTTACGGTGCAAAACCATAGTATTCAAGTAGCAAATTCGGTTTCTTATTTCCGTTATCAATAAACTTACCAACAACATAACGCTTCAAGATTCGCATGAATTAGCTTTATCAAACTAAGTATGCCTCCTATCCGAATTAGAAATCGCACAGGCTGCGAAACTGCCCTTCTAGAAGATTTCAACTACCAAAATAAAAGCTATAAAGCAAAAACAAAACCAAATTGGATAGTTTTCAAGCCTTCATACATTAAAATGTAGACTTTTTTGAGCCATCGGAACGACACCAAACAATTATACTCGAGTAGCAGTAGCTTCCTGACACTCTTGCTCAACTTTTTGGGGACCTAAAAAAATGGCAAAAAAGCATGAGGGGTACCTCATGGTTTTCATCAAAAATGAAACGATCGCGTTTTTCACCTTGAAAATGAAGACTTTTACTATGGCATATACTAATTCAAAATAAATCTACCGATCCAAAGTAACACCTGAAAACTCGATTGTGAGGCTTTTGTATGCAAAAACTGGATCTTTTCACTAAAAACCACATTTCATATTTTACCAAAATGCTCTATAGTTTTATTCAAAGCATCCGTTACAATTAGCACCATTGGAAGCGCCTTGAAGAGTACTCCAAGAATGTATTAGGAAACCTTGGATAATTATCACAGTTTGTATAGTCGAATCTTACAAAATAGTTAAATCAAGTCGAAAAATAACAAACTTTGGCCAATCTTGAGCAGAAAAAAATAGCAGGACTTTAAATTAATCTTGGTAGTGGATAGCGCTGTTGACTGACCCAAAAGCCTTTCTGGTGATGACAATGATGATTGCAATGCTGATTAAATAAGAGTTATGAATTTCAAAGGACAATCACTTAGCTCAAATACTTTTTTTTTGGCTTTTTTTAGAGTGTTTCCTTATAAAGGTGTCTTTTGCAATGGCATTCTCTCGAAAGAGTTGCTATAGATCTTATTATAGAAGTCCTGCATTTACGCATGGCTAGCTTCATGATGTCGCCATTTCAAGAGTAACACCAGCGAACGGTAAAACAACTCTACTGCCTGAAAAATGTGGCACGAATGGAGAATCCTTTACGTTTGTAGCGATAGGGATAATTTGTATATGGACAGATAGCATACTCACATCACCTCTCACTACACGAAAGTGTGCAAAGCACTGTAAAATTCAGGTATATTTGAGCCTTGATTTCTCGTGCTTGAAGCAGTTTTAGGCCGCCAAGATAGCACCAAACAATTGCTCTCATTTAGCACTTGCTCCCGGACACGTTTGCTCAACTTTTTGGGGATCAAAAAAAAAATGGATGAAATTCGACCAAAAAGCATGAGGTACCACTCATGGTTTTCATCGAAAATCAAACGATCGCGTTTTTTACCTTGATAATTAAGACTTTTACTATGGTATATCTTGAATCAAAATGATGTTATCGATCCAACGTAACTTCTGAAATCATCTTTGTGGGACCTTGATATGCAAATTTTTGACTTTTTGGCCAGAAACCTCTTTTCATATTCTCGTAAATCATTCAATAAGTTTAGTCAAAACATATATCTCACTTGATGCCATTGGATGTGCCTTGAAAGGCATTCCAAGAAAGCTTAAAAAAGTAGGGATTGATCATCATACTTTATATAGTCGAATATGCTAAAATAGATCGATCAAGTCAAAGATTGTTGAAATTTGGCCAATCTGGAACAGATTATGGTTCTGGATTTGAATTAATTTTGGCTGGTGGGGTTGGCTGGCAAACTCAATGCCCTTTTCCATCATGAAAACAATACAGTAATATATGCTATTGAAGCGTATGGAAAGTAGATGGCAAACTACATAGCACTGTCTGTGGCCATGCTATTTTCATTTAAAGTCTTATATTTAATAAAGCCAGTCTATATTGTCTCTTGTGAGACCTTGATATGCGATATTTTTGACTCAAAACTTCATATCATATTCTCAAAAATTGCTCAGTAAGCTTGTTCAAAACACTTTTTGTAACTAGCACCATTGGATGCGCCTTCAAAAGTACTCCAAGAGATGGTTCAGGGAGTATTGCAAAAACCTCGCGGCTTAAATAGTCGAATTAAGCACACTACTTCAATCTTTTTTTTTTGTAGTGCTTTTATTTAGGGTCTATCAATCATCACCTAATTAAAGGGAGAGGAGAATCAGACAGAAGTAATAATGGAGACGGAAGATAATGAGGTAAGCTGTTTTGGAATAATGTGCATATATAAGAATAGAGAAACTAAATAAACGTTGGGGACTATAGAAAGTGTAATTAAAGAGTTAGATTTGATGACATACGTAACGAGAGGGGGAATACTTCAATCGAATCGTAAATTGAGCAGGATTCTTCCATTTTGAGTAAGAAATATTAGCTGATGTTCTAATCAGTTTTGGCTGAGGGCAAGCTCAATCCCGTTCTAGCAATGGAAGTAAACGATGGTCATGGAGGCTCATAAGCAGGTGAGTACAATTTGAAAAGCGCTATAACATAGGCTAGCTAACTTTCTTTTGCTTTTTTCTGTGTTTAGTATTTGATGGTTCAGTTGTTGCAAATTTCTCGTTCAAAAGCAATGCGAGATGCAAATTTTTTTTGTCATACTCTGATACTGCAAATGCGAACGCAAGTTAAGTGTGCCGCGCTTTGTTATGTCAACTTTTATGAAATGACTGAAATCTCCAGGTTTTCTGTATCCTATATTGATTCTGATTTGGGACAAAATTGAACCTGATATGAACAGGCCTTAGATGTCTTTAGTCACAAAGAGCTCACTGATCGATTGGAAGACATTTTCGGTTGATCGACTACAGTGAACACATACACATGCCACAGTTTGCATATACATCGCTTCTTGGTGCTGAAACCAGAGGTTCTATGTGCAGATTGTCTATTGGAGATGTCTCTGTTGCTGATGTGCATCTCCTCTTGAACAATATTTTTCACTTCAACGAAAACAAAGCACTTGCTATGTAAAGATAGAAAAAGTTCGTGGCATTTCTAATCATAAAGGCCTTGCATTCTATGTAAACTTACTCTATGTAATGAGTCATTAAAAGAGAGTAATCAGACGACATGCTATATGCAATCCAATGTAATAAAACATAGCGAATATCACGTCATTGCTATACAACAGACAAGCATCTTCATGTTCGCGACAGAAAGAACTTTTAGTTACACGTCTGTAGTAACCAATATGAATAATAGACAGACCTCTTGCGGTCATGTTGATCTCATGGCACAATTATCAGTAGCGAAAAAACTGGCTTTCAAACTGCTGGGAAAGTGCCTTGGCCATTCCAGCCATGGAATTGCTTTTTTATGATGGAAGAGACTGGGAAACTTTGACCCGACTTTATGCTAAAAGGTAAAAAAAAAAAAAAACAATTGATGTGTATGCAACATATCCTTGATTGCGGTTTTGTTGTTTCACACATTGATTCGAAACTTAAATTTGTGGCATTACTGACTGTATGTGTTTTATTTGAGCAGACTACTACAAGGTGGAGTTTCCATTTTACAAAACTTCATGTGGGTGTGCAAGGCTTTGCCATTGTAAAGAGGGAAAGAAGGGGGGTTTTTTTTTAGGTGGCCGCTATCATACCACTTTTGAATGCGAATGTATAAATATGTTCATGGTATTGCGACCTTCGCTCGGGCCTGCTGTTTCTTATTTGTGTCTATACCTGTGCCCCTGCCAACAAAAGTGCGATTTACATGCTACATTTTATTGAAACACTAGAGAAAAAATGCCTCAATCATCATCATGATATGATGCAGTGTAAGCTCTGCATTTTAAGCTTAGAGTAATTAACAGCTAAACCGCAAATGGATGAATACGTTGTAGTCAATCTTGCATTATAGTAGAAATTCTGGTCCACGAAGCGCACAATAGTGTATATGACGACATTTCCCTAGTATTCAAATCAAGTTGACCAACCAAGAGAGGGTTCCTTTGTGATGGCCCCCCCCCAGTTTCCCAATTGCCGCGCTCAACTGGTTTGGTTCCTCTGCCAATTTCTACATAAAAAGCATTTGCAAATCCGCTTAATGATTATTGACATTCCATAAAAGTGACACAGAAAGAGTTTTTCAATTCTATTATATCCCCATTTTCCAAGTTTCTTCCTTCTCTTCTCCTTTTCCCTGTTTTAGTTTTTACAAAATGGAAGGCTCTGAACATCCGCTTAGTAAAAAATCCCTACACCATGACACTGAAGACGACGATCAGTCATTTGAAAGATCCAGATCACTCTCGCTTCAGTCCAGAAGATCATGGCCCCTTTTGCCTAGATTACAAGTCATCAGTTCAGAAGGCAGCAACTCAAATCAATTACACAATGGCAATACAATTCGTAGCCCGATTATTGATAGCTTTGAGCAAAAGAGCATGGCATCCAGCGACTCCATTTCCTCTGAATCCAGCATCTGCTCTGATTATGATGTGAATAAAGAAAAAGACTCGGTCTTTGGGATCAGCCATGACGAACCCCAAATCGATGACAGAAGACGCAGCACCGTTAAATCGAGTAAAGCGAGAAACGATTCGGCCGGCACTTTGGTTGAGGCGGCTTTAGATCAAGATGAAGCCAGAGACAGACATGTACAATTCTCTGCTCACATTGCCGAAGCTGGATCTTTGGTTCAACGTATGATCAGCACACGATACCCCTCTGCCTCTGGAAGCACTGCAGCAACGACAACAACATCACATTCAATGGACCATCATACCATTCACGAAGCCCCGGAATCTCATCATACCGGTGATTTAGAAATGCAATCCATACATTCCCCTGCTCCTACTTCCAGCTACAACAATGCGACTACGACAGGAGGCGGCAGTGTGCTGGCCAGTTTAATGAAACTGGAGGCTCAAACGAGACGTCCTACTGTCAAGAGACGCAAGACCATCAGGAGGAAAAAAGTATACTTGTTTGTCATCCCCATGAAAAGTAACTAGACTCATTTTCATATGTATTTTTAGGATAAGGCACCAAAATTGCGGAAGCCGGCATCCATGTACAACCTTACAGGCCAGACTAATAGTCTCGATGCTCTCACACCAGCATTCGCTAAATCCAACACACTGACGACCCTTAATGCAGCAGGACCAAAGCGACCCAATTTAGCGCATAGACCTACCAGCTGGCTGTCCACTATCACTACCAGCAACCATCTTGTGCCCAGTCTGCAGAAGCGAAAGATGGCTAGTTCTGTCAACATGTCTCGTCGATCCTCCATTGATAGTATGTTCACAACTGCGTCTCAATTCGAACCTATCACATTAGAAGATCGTATTCGTATTACATTTGAGATTGCAAACATCTTGCAAAAGCAAGAGTTCTTACGCAAACTAGTCAAATGTCTGATGCTGTACGGCGCACCAGCACATCGACTTGAATACATCCTTCGCACCGTATCCCGCACCCTCGGCGTAGATGCTGAATACGTCTATATTCCCAATGTCATGTTTCTGACCTTTTTCGATCAGTCAACTCACACCACTGAAACGCACTTTATTAGAAGCCCTCAGCTATTCGATATGCACAAATTGGGCGAGATCTACCGGTTGGAAAAGTTGATTTCTCACGGTGAAGTTTCGGTTGATGAGGCGCTCGAGTTTATAGACAAGGTCACCAATGAGCCACAGTTTTTCCCTGTTTGGCTGAATCCCTTTGTGTATGCTACAGCTAGTTTTTGCGGCTGTGTCATGTTCTACGGTGGTCGATTCAAGGAAGGCGGGCTATCGGCTGCCATGGCTAGTAAGTGTAGAAATATGTTTCAATAGAAGCTTGATTTACTGATGCAATGCAGTCTTTTTCGCTTTCTACGAGCTGTTTTCGGGTCGTTTTATGAGTTTCCAGCCAATTTGGGAAATTACAGTTTGTATTCTTATCGGTTTTGTGTCGAGAGCTGTCTGGCAATACGATTTTTGCTTTACGCCAGTAGCATTTGCTTCGTTTATTGTGATTTTGCCTGGCTATTCAATGGCTGTGGCTCTTGTGGAGTTGGTGTCAAGGCAGCTTGTGTGTGGTGTTATTCGGCTTGTGTATGCCATCATGTACTCCTTCTTGCTAGGCTATGGTATTGAGATGGGATCAGAGATTTATGGTGCTATTCAACCTGAATCAGTGTCGGCTCGAGGACAATCTGAAGCTTGTCAAAAGGCCAGCGGTGCGTCTACCTGCGTTACCATCATCCCTCAAGCATTCTATTTCCTTACCGTGCCTCTCTTTGCTGTCGCTTATTGCGTCTACCTTCGCGCAAGAATTCCACGATGGCCCGTCATGGTGATTGTCGCTGCCTGCGGTTTTGTCACCAACTATGCACTATCGTGCAAGGCCAATGCACCCTCGCAGGTGTTGCAAGTGGTTCCTGCCTTCGTGGTGGGCCTCTTGGGAAATTTACTGAGTAAATTCACTGGCAAAATGTCGCTGGATGCTGTGATTCTTGGCGTAAGTGGTTGATATTGCACAAACATCTCTTTTTTGTTACTAATTGTCGTATTTGGTTGCACACATTAGATCTTTTATCTAGTGCCCGGTAGTTTAGGTATGTTGTGGTTGTACCATCATGAAACAAGAACGCTTGTGTTTATTGACATTATTGCTCTATTTGTAGGCCTGAAAGCAGCCCTGGGTTTCTTTGGTCAACCGGCTACGGACGAATTCGCAACTCAAGGCGGTGCAGGATTTGCACTGAGTATGATCGAAACATCCATCGGCATTACAGTTGGATTGTTTATAGCTACGTTAATTGTATATCCAAAGGGTACCCAGCATACGCCCTTAATGAACTTTTAAACAAAGAAGCTCCCTGTACTTGTATATTACCTCAATACCTCCCATCAAAACGTACGATTAGACATCGCATCCAATTATCTACTTGACTATTTAATTATAATATACTATTTCTGGTGATTTGAAATCTATTTCAAGCATCATGGCAACCTCTAAAAGTCTAGACCCGTTCCTATCAACGCTCAGAGCTACTGTATATACACATGGACACGCTTTATTTTGTACACTTTTAATATTTGGCTATCTTGGCGATCAATTCTTCTTCAGCAATATCAGCCTCAATTTTTTCCAATTGATCATAATCTATCAGCTCCCCATAGTACGCTGTGAGGGCCTTGATTTTACCGTTCAACGAGTTTTGCTCAATCTCACATGTGTTGCCAGGTCCAGCCAATTGTGCTAATTGTTGTGGGTCGGTGTTTCTAGGCACAAAGAAGGCAACATTGGGAGTGATGCTGGAAGCAATCTTGTGAATATTCATTCTAAGTGATCGTCCATGTGAGTACAGGCATAAGACACTATGTCAGCTATACACTTACCCATCACCGGGTATCATTGATTTCAGGTCATACACATCTTCTGCCATGTAAGCGGGTCCACCCCAAGGAGGCGATAGAAATACGCAATCGGCCTAGATTCCATTCATATTAAACCATCATCATCATCATCATCATCACCATCATCATCATCATCATCATCATGACCTGTACAAAACGTTACCTTGAGATGAGGTGCAAGATCAAAGAAATCGCCCAAGATGAACTCGATTCTGTCGGCGACACCATAGATCTTGGCATTTTCGCGAGCACAGTGTAGCTTGACAGGATCAAGATCAATCGCAATGACTCTCTCGCAGGTAAGCGCAAACTGAATTGAATTTCCACCGCAACCACAGAATGCATCAATGATGATATCAGATTGACATCTCAGGGCAATATGACGTGCGATCTTCTCGGGTGTAACAGAAAACCAGCCCTCTAGATTTGGCATATGTCAATCATCAGGATGTGATTTCTGAAATGCCATTTATGTACCTTTATCCATCAAAATGCCTTGGTCAAATTTAGAAAAGTAAGCATACCGTTGAAAGTAGTATCTATTGTCTAGATGAGTATTCCGCACATGATCTGCAAGCACCCTTCCATTCTTACTTTTGCATGTCTTTGGGCATCGTCTCTTGACTATAGGACACAATGACATTGTTGTATACAGTGGATGGATCCATGATTCTCTGTTTTTTGGTCTTTTGTCGCTTGGTTTTCCTTCCATTAGGCGCTAAATAGCCTGAATAAGGGTCATTGCGTACTACTGCTTTAGAGATGGGTATTTCTTCGGGCTTTTCGTCTTCGTCCATGGGTTGTGCTTCATTCACTGTTTCTTTTGCATCTTCCGATGTTTCTTTTAACGAGTTGACAAGTGTAGTAACTTCATGCAATGCATCATCCATGACTACATTTTCTGTTGTTTTTTGGTCTTCTGCTTGCTGTCTCTTGAGCTCTTCGATACGTTCCTTGACCGCTGAATCCACATATGATTCCAAGGCACTTTGTTGTTGAGATGGAGCCTCTGTGCGCTCTGTCTCTTGATTCACGGTTTCCATGGCAACGTCCTCGCCCTCCTCTTCTTCCTGTGGCTGTTGTTGTTCCTGGGATGTGTCGCTCGTTTGTGTATCCTGAAATCCTTGTTCCTCTGATTCAGGCACTCGAATTTGCTCTACTGTTACTTGCATTGTTTCTTGTACGATTTCTGTGATAGTCTCCAAAAGATCTTCATTTTCAACTGGTTTATCTATGCTTTGTTGCTGTTCCTCTGTAGCCACAGATTTGGTGTTGATCAGAATCTTTTTCTTTTCTAGCAACGTATTGACAGTTTTCGATGTGGGTGGTGAAGGCTGATCATCATTTTTCTTGTTACTGTCCAAAGAATCAGCGGCTGGATTCTGTTTTCTTGAAGCAAGCGTAGCTTCTTTGTTTTCTCGTAAAGCTTTCTGGCACAGTTTTGTTAATTTCATGAATCTACTCCTATTATCTTTCTCTTCAAATTGTGAAATATTGTTTGGTGACTTGAATGGCTCGTCGTTCACCTTGTCCTCCTTCTTTGAATTGTCTTTATTGAAAGTAGTCATAGGCATTTCTGCTTCATCATCCGTTGATTTGGTATCATCTTCATCCCCATCTTCTCCATTAGAATTAGAATCGTCTCCAGGGCTATCTCTGCGGTGGGGTTGTGTGTTGCGTTTGTGATATGATACTCGTGCGTACTCGGATCCCTCTTCTTCTTCCTCTTTCTCTAAATCCTCATCCATTTCATCATATTTTTCCTCTTCGCTCTGGTCTTCTTTGATGACCTTTCTCTTGATCTTGACTGTATTCTGGACTTCATCCTCATTGTCATCGAGATCATACGTTTCCTCCTCGCTAAGAAAGTGAGTGAATGGTGTCTCTGTTTCATTACTTGACGCACTGGGAGCTTCACTTGGCTTGTTTTGTGTATGGCCATCATCATCGCTGTCTGATAGCACTATGTTATCATCTCTGGCATCATGAAATGGCGTTTCATCCTGATGCCAATCACGTCTTTTAGGTATATGAAAGTCTTTGATCTCTTGAATGTCGTCGTCGTCGTTGTCATTGCCTGCTGCTAATACCGTTGGCAACGCACTTGTTGGGATATCATCTTGGCCCTCAGAATCAGAATCTAGTAGGATGACCTTTTCAGGAATCGTAAACTTCCCCATAACGTTCTAATGTCGGTGGAAAGTAAAGTTCAATAAATAAAAAAAATTGATGTGTTCTATGTGATGGACAAAAGGCAGTCCATGCTAACAGGGAAAGAGGAGTTTATTAAAGCATTTAGTTTGATTTGCTGATGGGAGACAGCATAATGGGACCTTTGGTAGTAGTAAGTAGAGGAGGAGGGGACATGGGTTGAAATGGATCGCACAATCCACCTGAAGACGCTGTCGACATAGTGTCATGTCTCGATAATAATCCTGGGGTGGAACCGCGCTCCTCATAGTCGCCATTTGTCTCCAGTGTCTTGGCATCGAAATAATCGCAATGCGGTTTCTCGATGCTGTTGCCTTGCTTTGTAATAACATCGCCAGGGCCAATTTCATGAGGTGTTTGTGAATGGACGGATAGTAAAGAGGGTCTTGGAGCACTCTTGCGATTTAGATAGCTCACTGTGTTGAACGGATTGACTTGAGTCGCTTGCATAGATGGCAGTGGTGTCAGAGATCTGTCGATGCTGTTTACTGCTGTGGATGTAGACGACTGAGCGGATGAAAAGGACAATCTTCTAAGCGGTGTAGTTGGTATATAGTCATCAAATTCTTGTTGATAAGATGATGTGAGCATGGATGCTGATGGTGTTGGTGATTGTGATGCAGATGATGTTGGTGGTGGTGATGACGGTGATTTGGGTACAAGTAAGGATGAAGATGAGGATGAATGACGGCCATCATAAATTTGTTTTTTAGTGATTTCTTCCAACCTAGGCAATGGCTTGATATTATCAAATCCAGAGAATGATACTTGATGTGGCGATGGCGAATGCACTGGCAGTGCACTACTGCTTCTTCTATCAGGTAACAGAGCAGTTGTGCTTTTTTTATGTGCTGGCAGCGGTGATGATGGTGCTGATCCTAGTGTATGTAGTGATATATAAGAGGAATCTGTTTACAATAAAATATTAGCCTTGTACATCAACTACTCTGATATGTAAATACTTGCTGCTGTTGGGAGCTGTTGGTGTATTATCAACTGGAAAGGTACCAATGACTATAGCAGCTTCCTGCTTATACATTGATTTCAACTTGATGGCTGATTTGACACCCTTCATCTTCAATTCAGCTTGTATAACATAAGACACGCTGAGTGTTCTGCCTGTATCAGGAAATATGCTGGGTGGTGTGTCTAATGGTATTTGCAGTGCAATGGGAAAAGTCTGGCTTGGCGAGCTATCTTTTGTGTCCAAATCAATGGTAGTAGTGGATAGCACTTTGTTCTCCACAACCCTAAGCGTGCACAAACATGAACACAAAGATCGTCATTCTTACATACAACATGCTCTTACTTTGCAGAACTGGTTTTATGCACTTGTCTTGATAATGTTATCTTAATGGCCTTTGACTTTTGCATGGCTGGGAAATGTTGAATTTGGCACTCCAGCTTGACCTGCTCACCTCGGCGAAAAGCTGATTTAGGTAGGTTTAAGCACCATTGCGACAGTTTACTGCCATTGATGAAGCCTAGATCCTTGTTCATCTTTACAGGCGCCCGGTATTCAGGTAGCAGCACATTGATCATATCCAGCACCTTGATCTCTTGAGTTACTGATGATAAAGTGGGTGATAATTTGAACATGGGCTTTTTGTGAGTTGCTGTGATCAGGTAGGTGATTTTGGCCACTTTTGGAATCTATGAAAAGTAGGCATGTGTCAGTCAATTATCGTGCTCATGGTGTGCCTCATATAGACATACATTGGCAAAGCTCGGTAATCTATCATCTGCTGGAATCCCGAACTCAAAATCAAAAGTATGGCACTTTCCAGGGCTGAGCGTGGTGTATTTTCTGCCTGCCGTGGCTGTTGCTAACAGTTGAGTACTGTTGATTACGGTTGTCTTGTCACCACAGCCATCAATGCAACCAGCAAAATTAACAGACAGATGCTGAATGTCGATCGACTTTTTAGAGTCTATTCTGATTTGGCCTATTGTTCAATGAAATCAGATATGAGGTAGGAGTAGATCAAGAATCGCTGCTCATTGTTACCACAAATTACGTCACCAGGATAATAGCATTTGTCTGGATTTGCCAGTACAATGGCGAGTTCCTTTGAAGTCGACATTGAGAGAAAATAAAGAGAGGGAAAAGAAAAGCAAGAAGCAAATGTGGTATCAAAGAGAGTATAAGAAGAAAACAAAAAGGAGGGACAGGGCTTATTGCATTTGTGTCACAACAGATTTGAAGCTAAAAAGATCCAGATTCTACATATCATTACGTCTGCCATATGCTCATATTCCATTTATAATATCAACATTAATACGCTCTATTCTGTTTTTATGCCAAGGCTATAGTAAACAGCTTTTATCCAAGTTGAAAAAGAGAAGCACACTGAAAATATACAAATATATAGAACTCTCTTCTCATGGCGTACATGGCATTACATGGTGGCCAATAAAGTGCATCTCACTCACGAATGTTGCCAAGATGAACCTGCTTGGCCATGTTGTGCTATTAACAATTACATGCAATGCTCGTTGTCGAGGTCATCGATCATTTTTAGTGTTTATTTTTGAGATAGCTCACTGCCAATCTTGTAATTCAAAATCTTGTTCCAATCCATCTTGTTGCGGGTCATGGGCAAAGCTCTTCTCAAGCCCTTGAAAGTGTTCTCGGCAAGATCGTTGTAGCTTTCATTCATGGAACTATGGTATTGTCTATCAAAAGTGGAGATCTCCTTGATCATGGATTTCGCTAACTGTTCAACATCCTAATGACCAATGGTCAGGCATTGTAACTGAATGAAGAGCTGCATTCTCTTACCTCTGCCTTGGAGACTGCAACATTGACATTCTTCTCAGCATTCAACTGAACATTGCCGTCTTCATAGTAATGAACATTCACCTTGGTAGTACCTTTTAGTTCGCTTGACTGGGTATCATAAATCCAAGAAGCAAGCCATCTTCCATTCCAAAAGTTATTGGGGTTATATTTGTTGTCAACAATTGCAATAGTGATCTCGTTGTCTGTGCAGTGGATGGTACATACACCGTTGGGAAAATGATCGTTCACATAGGCCAAACACTCCTTTTCAACAGCGGCTCTGAGTGACTCGAGTTGGCTTTCAGTTGTGTATTCCTCTACATCTGAGGCGGTCTATTGTTGTATATACTTTGGGTAAGTAACATCTTCCCTGGCATCCATATCAACTCACCAAACGCATATGATCAAATTTGAAGGTTTGCTTGGAGCGAGGGTCAAGATATCTGTCTTGTCCAATTTTACCGTATTTAGATATTATCACCTAGTTTTCCAACTGTGAGCTATCATCATCATCATCTCGATGAAACTACATGCTATTTACATCATGGTCTAATCCAGGAGGAGTCACTGTAATATGCTGCTCTGTGTTGTATTGCTCGAGTGCTTGCAAAATACCGTCTTGGAGTCCTTCGTCGTTATCAACCAAGGTACGCACATCTATGTTCATGTTTCAATACACGCGTGTTCTTGAAATCCTGCAACACACTACCATTAAAGACATCATTTACTTCTCCAGGTGGACTGGAAAGCAGAAAATCTGATGCAATTTTGACTTTATCCTCGATAGAAACTGAATCCATGTTCTTTTGTTGTTGAACTTATTGAAAGAAAGCTGTGTTTGCGTACACTCCACCACCTTCTTCATTTCATTCTCGTTTTTTTTTGCCTCTCCGTCACTGGTCATCTGTCCAACATGAATGATCTGCTGCTATTAGGTATATACATACTCAGTTGTTAGGTTTCATTACTAGTATGAAACTGAATCCTGTCATTTTTTTCACGATAAAAATCCTCTTATTCACCTGTTTCATTCTGTATGGAAACCAGTGTACCGCCATTACAATTAGCTCACTTGATGCTTGAGGGTGCTGTCATATCGCTTTGTGCAGAATTGATCATCAAGACATTGTTCTTTTCTAGCAATCAGAAATCATGGCTCATCCGTGGATTGAAAATAACTATGGCTGTAGCAATGATCGTCAAGAGTTCTATATTTGCAGCATTGAGTTCAAGGTAAATCAGGTAGCATGTCTGATGTTGAACCAACAGAAGGCTTATGTTGTGTTTAGATCGCTGATGCATCATTGCCTACTATCAGGCAGAATCGCAGACTTACTCTACCATGTCAGCTGCCTGTCTGCCATCTATATCTTGCTGTTACGAGTCAAAATCGTCATACCATCATATCGACAGATGTTGTTCAACATCATACATGCCCTGATAATGGCTGCCAGGGTTGTTCTCATCGTCTTTGATGTGATCTATTCCTACATTTGGTCAGATGTAACTATAGGCGTTTGTAGATACAAGGACAAGCATGAGGTAGATGTGCATTGAAGATATGTTTGGTCACTTCCACTCACTCTTTTGATAGATTAGTGTCACATATACACTATTTGATACTGCAGTCGATTTCTATGTGAGCATAATGATCACCTCCATTCTTGTCACTCATATTAGAAGGATGTACGCTGACCAAATTGGCGGCAATGTCAATTTATACAAATCTGTGGTCATCTCCAATACCATCCGCACCATAATTCTCTCCATAGTCAATCTTATCTGCACAGTGTACTATTTAATTGTAATGTACCTTTGGCATTCACATCTGAGTCTCTTCTAACTACAGTTCGATAGGCAAATGATAACCCTATCATGGTCTTCATTGTCTGGCCCATTGGCAACATGTCTCTCATTGTTCTGGTGGGATACGACAGTGACATTACGAGATCCATCAATCATTGCAAACGCCTCCTTCCATGTACTCTGACAAGTGATGCCATCTACACACCAAAGGATGAAGGCCAAGCAGAGCTACATCACTCAAACCACACAGCATCATCGTCCAATGTGATAAACGAGCCCATTCTAGCGACAGCATCTTTTAATGACAATGATCGCTCCTCTTTCCCTTTGCGACGACTTTCCAATATGAAAAACCTAGATGTGTATGACGATTCAGAGTTTGCCAAAGCACAAGGCGGATCTTCAGATGTTACCAATAGCTCTTCTTGCACCATTATCAATGTGGATTACTGCCAGCAGGGAAATTAAATTTGTATTTATTATATATGCAGCTTCCGTGAAAGTATACCCATCAACAAGATGCAAACGCTTGTTGCACTACATAGCTTGATATCATATTATAATAAATGTTCAGTCCCTAGGCACTTTTACAACCCTAATAATATGGAAGCTAAGTTTGCAGGCATCTGTCAGGCCAGGCTCATATATGATTAACTAGCCCCACCAGCCAAAATTAATTCAAATCCAGACCCATCATCTGTTTCAGATTGGCCAAATCTTGACAATGTTCGACTCGATTGAACTATTTTAGAAGATTCGACTATATGAAGTATGATGATCAACCCCTACTTCTTTAGGCTTTCTTGGAGTGCTTTTCAAGGTGCATCCAATGGTGCCAAGTAATATAGATGTTTTGAATAAACTTATTGAGCTATTTATGAAAACATGAAAAGAAGTTTCTGGCCAAAAAGTCAAAATTTTACATATCAAGGTTCCACAAAAATGATTTCAGAGGTTACGTTGGATTGATAGAAACATTTTGATTCAAGATATACCATAGTAAAAGTCTTCATTTTTAAGGTAAAAAACGCGATCGTTTGATTTTCGATGAAAACCATGAGGGGTACCTCATGCTGTTTTGTCGAATTTTGGCCATGTTTTTTTGGTCCCCAAGAAGTTGAGCAAAGGTGTCAGAAAGTAACTGCCATATGAGAGCAATTGTTTGATGCTATTCTGACCATTTAAAACGGCCATGAGCGCGAGAAAACGCGGCTCAAATGCACTCAGATGTTGCTGTATTAGGGACACTAAGGAGTAAAAAATGGGAATACCTGTATTCTGCTTGCCCGTATATGAAGTAGCCACGTATATATGGATGCAGAGCATCACATAAGAATTGAATCCACAGATATTATGAAGGGTTTTCATGTGTAAATAGAGGGTCAACATGAAAGTAGTAGTATTTCGATAAGATACGCAGGGAAATTGGTAACGTGAGCTGCCGCTGTGCAAGTGGGTTTCCACCGAAGCAAAGCAAAGGTAAAGAACCACCCGAAGCATAAACTTTCATATGATTAATGATTTTATATCAATCAGCAAACAATGTTCTTCTAGCATTTTAGGTATAAAAATTTTGCGATAATAGCCAGAGGCCTACTGCAGCGCGAGCCTTTTGAACGTAGGTCAGAAAACCGCCCGAAGCGTCCAAAGGCTCGTATCTTTATAACACCTTGTTTATTTAATAAAGTACATATGCCAAAATGTTACGCTCACATACTTGAGAGCAGCATTTGGTCAGCAGCTAATAACATCGATTTTTTCTCTGTCCGCAGAATCCGATTTGACCAGATTCAACCTATTTTAGACCATCCTTGACCTTTTACCTCAAATTCGACTGCATACCTTGTAGTAACCACTCCCTTATCAATAAACTTTTCTAGAGCATTTTTCAAAGCGAATCCAATGGTACTAATTATCAATAAATTTTACATGGAAAATAGTACGCAATTAGTGAAAATCTTGAACTCAGTTTATGGCGAAAAAAGCCAAGATTTTGATGAGAAAAGTTCCAAAAAAACCAGTTTCTGTTATTGTATTGAACCTTCAGGATTGTTTTGATCTTATAAACCCCATAGTAAAAAAATGTTGCTTTTGGGATGAAAAATGCCATTGATTGATTCTTCGTGTTTTCCATTAGGGATACCTCATGGATTTGATCATAATCTCTGCAACCAAAACAAAAAAATGGAATGAAGGCACAGGACGTAACTACCAATCGAGAGAAATTGTTTGTTGCTACTCTGGTGATTCACAACAGCTCGTAGAGCGAGTAATCGGTGGTCATATATAACCAGTTTTGGCTGCAAATTCATACTATATCGCGTAGCAAGAAGTTGTTTTAATATCATACTGTTCGAAAAGATGCTATTAGCTGCTAGCTCAGACTTCCAACGTCTCATTTATCTGATTGCGACGTGCGGCAATGGGTGCACATAACTTGAGAGACGCGCTCTCAAACCGAAAAGCTTGCCATCTTTAGCAACCAACTCACATAAAATGAAACGAACAAAAACAAATGATACCAACAAGCCGCCAAATAAACGTGCCTTCAGGCGAGCTACAACTATCAGTATTGGTGAATCTGATACACAAGAAACGAAACATTATCTAGGCGCCAAAAGCAAAGGTACAATCGAATTTGCAGAGAAACAGCAAAATACCCTAAAGAATAAGAAACCTTTTGGCAAATGCGAATATGGCAACTATCAAGGCTACTATACGTAATAGCAACTGACACAGTACAAGGATGCACATGCTAACTGCCCTTGTTGCATAGCTCACGTAGAAAGCAAGGGAAGGCAAAGCTCGATGCAAGACTTGATTTGCTGAATGAAGAATTGTTTGAAAACAAGCATGTGCTGGATATTGGGTGTAATTCTGGCAACATATCTATTGCACTAGGTAAATGATATATGGTTTTGGGTTTGGATGTCTCTGACTGATGACTACTTCGCAGCGAAACGATACAATGTTGCTTCCATGCACGGTGTTGATATCGATGATACTTTGATCTCTAAAGCCAATATCAATTTATGCGTGGCCTATTCCCTTGGGCATCCCACAAAACCTTCGCCCATCGACCTTAGCTTAAGGTTCAATTACTTTCCAAAGTCCATGTCCAACATGTTTGGTATGATGCCAATGTCTCTACCGCCTATGAAACATAAAGACAGCCATCGATTTCCATTCAATGTCTCTTTCGAAACGATGGATTGGGTCAAGACGCCAATCACCAAATACAATCAGTACGACACCATTTTAGCGTAAGTGGCAGATTATTTCAATCTTATAGAGTGGCACTAATCTACAGTGTAGGCTGAGCATAACAAAATGGATCCAGCTGCACAATGGCGATAAGGGCTTGAGATCATTCTTCAAAAAGGTATATGATTCATTAGCTCCTGGCGGCACATTAGTGTTGGAGCCTCAAGACTTTGACACATTCCAACGAAGAGCAAAGAAAATCGACGTAAGTTGGAGCAAGCTTGAATACACAGCGTTACTCAGTCCATGTCCATAGCCTTCAAAAGATGTTGAGCAGGAACTCAAATTTCGACCTGAAGATTACGCTGATTTCTTGATCAATAAGCTAGGGTTCAAAGAGCGTCGCGATCTTGGTGTCCCCAAGAGTGAAGTCAAAGGTGAGTCCTGTATAGACAAGCAACATGCTGCTCATGCTCATCCTGCTTGGCATAGGCTTTGAAAGACCCATTATTCTCTACATCAAATAGTAGGGTTACTCAAAAGTAACTCGCCAATGACAACTGGTTGCTTTAGTATGACGTCTAAAACCAAAGAGCAATGGAAGCGCAAGAGTTTTTTTCAGTTCTGTAAAACGCATTTTCTTGCTCTTTTTTCTAGTTTACCTAACAATAAAAAAAAGCTTTTTTAATCATGTCTTTGGCTGGTTATTTCTTTGGTAATGTGGATGAACAAGGTCGTCTTGAGAGTGATTTAGATGATGTAACTACCAAATTGAATTGATGCAACCAGAAACATGAAATAACCTGTTTGTGTAGGATCTCAAAGAAACCCTTTCCAGTGTCGATGCGAATGTATTCACCCGCATTTTCAGCAACGAAGATACGTTTGGCTTGGAAAAAGCACGCAGAAAGCAACCTGGAGATGGAGACAGCGATGAAGAAGATGACGACGATGAAGACACGTCTGCACGCATTCCAGTGGTTCCAACTGTGCACGCAAAAGACGCAGTGGATTATTCAGACTTTGACGACGCAGTGCCTGATGATCTATCTGAAAAGTATTATCGCCGTGGCATGGGTATGGTGCAAAAGAGTCTGCCAAAGTCAAGATTGGCTCTGGTTACAGACAATTATGATGACAGCGAGGAGGAGGAGGAGGAAGAAGAGAATGAAGCAGCCGCCAAACCATCAACCACTTTACAACAGCCTGCAACGGCAACATCCGCAGACACAACACAGAGTATGCCTTTGACAGACACAGCAGTATCCACCTTGGTCAAAGGAGATGATAAATTATCCAAAGACATCGACATTAAGCAGCTGTATCCTGGTTTTGAAAGAGACCAGATTCTCAAGTTCTCTGAATTGTTCATGGCCAAGATCAAAAGACCGCCCAAACTTGTGCCTCACAAAAGAGGTAAGTTGTTGTATCAAAAGACGAGACAAGGTATTGACCTTTGGAGGGGGGCTGGTAGTGGTTTACGGCGATGGATACGAATATGAAGTGGAGAGGGATGAGCGGGCAGCGTTCCTGAGAGCCAGCAAGCTTGATCGCTTTAGAATTGAGCAAGCAAAACAGCCTGTCAAAAAACGACGACTAGAAGTATCGCACGAAGATAGTGCCAGTAGCAGTAATGAGAGTGAGGATGACGAGTACATGGAGGAGCTGGCAGAGCGAGTAAGTACTGATGTACGTCTAAAGAGAGTTTGTCTAACGGGTGTTGTGAACAAAAGGGATATACTACGGAACCGCCCAAAGAGATTTTGGAGAGTGAGAAGCTGTATCATTCCATCATGTTGGATACCTGGGAAGACGAAATTATCTGGGACGACAAGGATGAGAGCCAAGACCAGCAATTGATGTAGGTGTTACAGTATCAGAGTGATATATATATATATATGGCATGTGTTGATCCCAAACAAGTGACAGGGTGTCTGCTGACAAGGAGCAAGGAAATGATAAAGTTACTGTCAAGCACCTCAACATGCAACTGGAAGAAGGAGACTGGCTTGACGCTATTATCTGGGATAAAGAGAAGCCATCGCCAGCCACCATGAAGATTTCACTCGATCTCAATGATCCCAACATGCTGTTTGATGTAGAAGAAGTAGAAGCTACCAAAGAACTACTGATTCAGCCCAAACATGTCAAAAAGGGCCGCAAACCGCTTCCCAAGCCATTACCCAAAATCCAAATATACCACACAGATACAGAGCCTCACAACAAATTGCCACTCAATCGTTTCAATCTATCCAACGACAAGCACTACGAATCTCATTTGGCTGGTCGTTTGATCCGTGTGCGACAGACCTTTGGTCAATTGGTGGTGCAACATGCGCTCCCTGCTCTCAAATTGCATCCTCAGTTGTACAAAACCAAGCTATCAAAGCAAGAGCTGAGATCCTTCCACAGACCCTTGATGCAGATACCTCCCAACACAGATATTCACTTTTCTCGCATGAAAGCGAGCAAAAAGAAGAAGAAGGACAAGAAGAAGGGCCATGTGGACGATATTCGCAGCACCAAGGATTTGACGCTCAAGGACAGCTCTCAGTTTGTGCTGATGGAGTATTCTGAAGAGCACCCGCCTATCATATCCAACATCGGTATGGGTACACTAATCATCAACTATTACAGAAAGACGGAGCCCAAGGATGAGTTTGTGCCCAACGCTGATATTGGCGAGCCCTTTGTGCTGGATATTGGAGATACCTCTCCCTTCATGACATTTGGCAACGTGGAACCAGGCCAAACCATTTCTGTGTACTATAACAATCTGATCCGTGCTCCCTTGTTCCGTCATGATGTAAGACACACTGACTTTTTGCTGCTCAAGAGCACCTACAAGGATCATACAAAGTACTATCTGCGTGAGATTCCTGCCATCTTCACAATTGGTCAATCTTATCCTGTGCAAGAAGTACCTGGCCCTCACTCTCGCAAGGTCACCACCACCATCAAAAACCGTCTGCAAGTGGTCGCTTACCGTTTGATCAAGCGCAATGTGCTTCATCGCCTCAAGATGGGTAAACTGGCTCAAAAGTTCCCCGAATACTCTGATATCCAAATACGTCAAAGACTCAAGGAGTTTCTCGAGTTCCATCGTCGCAGTAAAGATGGAGGAGGCGGTTACTGGAAGACACGCGGAGGAGGGGACCCACCCACGGAAGAGGATCTGCGCAAAATGGTGACCCCTGAGATGGTCTGTCTGTATGAAAGCATGTTGGTCGGTGAGCGCCATTTGCAGGACTTGGGTTATGGCGATGTCAATGATGATGACGAGACTGGAGAAGGTGACTCCAAGCTGGAAGTGGAGCAGCAGTTGGCGCCTTGGTTCTCGACTCGCAACTTTATCAATGCAACTCAGGGCAAAGCAATGCTCAAGTTATATGGTGCAGGTGATCCTACAGGCCGTGGCGAGGGCTTCAGTTTCATTCGTGTCTCCATGAAAGATATCTTTTTGCGTGCTGGTGAATCAGCAGAAGAAAAGCTGGCTCAGATTGAAGCAAGACCCAAGAGTGCGCATCGATACAATGTAGCTGAGCAGCAGCAGATCTACCGTGAAGAAATTGCTCGTATCTGGAAGGCACAATTGGACTCGTTGGGCAACAAGGTGGAGCCCGTTCTCTCAGACCACGAAGGTGAAGATGACGATGATCGTGAGGATCAAGTCGACAGCCCCTCTGCCTCCGAATTCGATTGGGGGCATCACCGCAACAGCCGTGGTATGTCTCCCTCACCGGCAACACCCTCATACGGTGGAAGAAGTAGATATGACCGAGCCATCTCTGAAATTGATGATGATGACGTTTCCGTCACAGGCAGTATGAGCTCAAACTATCATGTGAACAGTCAAAACAAATATCTAGTGATTAAGCGACTCATTACTCAAAAGAACGGAGAAAAGGTGTGGCAGCAAGAGGTGGTTCGTGACCCTGTTGTTATGAAATCCTATTTGAGACAGCGTCAAATGATTGAAGAAGAAGCCACCAGTGCTGAGGCGCTGGAGCCAACAGATGATGAAGAAAAGAATGCACGCATGAAGAAGCGAATTCAAGATCAATTAGCTAAACTCAAACGAAATGCAGAAAGACGTAGACAACGCCAATTGGCCAAGCAAGCCGCATTAGCAGAGAATCCAGTACTAGGTTTGATTAGAGGCAAGCGTGAAGGTGCTATGGTAAGTCTTGTTTTTTGGTCTTTGGGATAGTGGGTCATTCGGTTCTAACTTTAGTATTACTACTAGCGTCGCTGCGGTAATTGCGGTCAATTGGGTCATATGAAGACAAATAAGAACTGTCCCAAGTTCTATCTGAATAATGTCGATAGTGTTGCCGCCGCTGGCACTGTTGGAGGAGCAGGAGAAGGTAGCACGCCATCTAACTTACAGGAACCAGGCACACCTACTGGTGATCTAAGCATTTAATTAAAATACAACACACTCTACTGCATCTCTCTCCCTCTTTGTCTCTCTTATCATGTAAAATAGCACTAATACACACATACACGCACATTGTTTAATAAATATAGCCCTCTCTTTGCTGATCATGATGCTATTTATTTCAAAAGCAACCAACGCATTGGAGACACACTTGCAATCACTGATTTTCCTGCAGGCAAAAGATGCTGCTGAAAATAGCAATTCAAGGAAGAAAAACGTGAACATTGATTTAAAATTAAATGCTGATGACAACTCGGTACATGATGTGTGTATTTCAGTACTGAGATCAAAGGGCTTTTATTACATTTTGATGTATTAGTGCTCGAATATCCAGTCTGTGCGTCTAGTTTGAAAGAGAAAAAACCGCTGAGCTAAATCATTGGCACTAAATCTTCATTAGGGTCGATCAATAATGCTCTTTTGTTTCATCGAGTGAACAGGGCCCACACCACCATCGCCATCACTACAAACAATTATTTGAGCAAATCCATAATGATGAAATGTGTGTTATAGAAAAAGCTTTTATTTTGGACTGAATTTTCATTTTATGGTACAGTGCATCACATAGAAACAGCATGACACATCAACAAGCAGAGAAAGCACCACCATCATGTATTCGGATAAACAACAAATTAGGGCGCATTGATTTACGCTGTCAAATTTAGTTTTTGTGTATTCCGAAGATCCCGCGTTCTCGCTTGATTTTGCAACAGTACGAGAGTTTAGTATAGAGCTGTAACAAAACAATGGAAATAGGCGAATATTATGGTCAAGGCTCGTATTGTAAGTTTATTTATATGAATAAGAGGTATAATGTTGGGTAGTATTTGAGTGGCTCGTTTGAACTGTTACATTCGCTATTGCCTTTAATAGATATCCCATTTGGATTCAAGTTTTGATATAGTGATAGTATTGTAATGGAGGTAAAATGTACGAGTTCATATCTATTGGCGATGATGGATGCATACATGCAGAAGCAGCATGGTGTTGTTGCTGTTTGGATTGTTTATAAGAGTCCATAACAGGCGACAGTAGTGGGGAGTATCTGGTGATGCTTGATTCACTACTGTGGTCGGATGATTCGGGAGACTCACTGCGATGATAATTTGACAACATTTCATAGCTATTTACACGATTTCCTATCAATACGCTAAACTCTTTTTATTAAGACCATCATATACTTACTTGTACTTTGTTTGTTGTTGTTGTTGTTGTTGTGCTGGCTGTGGTCGATGCTCGGGCATCAAGGTTAAAGAGCCTGGTAGATGATGCGCCTTTTGGTGCCTTAACAATGTTGCTTTACGAGTGAATGATTTCCCACATTCACAAGCGTAAGGCCGATTTCCCGTGTGAGTTCTTCGATGGCGAGCTAAAGAGGAAGACTATAACAAAACATCAGTTTCCGATGGCGGCATGGAAGGTATACAACTTACATCACTAAACGATTTTCTACAACATGACACCTCACATACGTGGGGCCTTTCGCCTGTGTGCGTTCTTGTATGAACCGTCAGGGCAGATCTTTGTATGAATTGCTTTTTGCATCCAGGCCAATGACACTGAAACGGCTTTTCGCCGGTGTGGATTCTTCGGTGGCGAGATAAATCCGATCTTCTAGAGAATCTCTTTTCGCAATCGTGCCAATTGCATTGATAGGGTTTATGTTGTGTGTTTGATTTGCTAGTAATAGCGGGTCGAGACATGGTAGGGTGATTCAGCAGGTTTAAAATGTCCATATTGTAAAAAATTGAAAGGTAAAAGAGTAAAGAGCAAACAGCATTTGAGAGAGAGAGAGAGAGAGAGAGAGAGAGATATGTCTGATTTTTATGTCTATTTTGATGCAGCAAACATCATGGGAATCGTTCAAAATGGCACGAACCACACACTCACTTTGTTTCGAAACTTGCTCACACAAGAATCCCGTGTTACCAACAAAGCAATGACGCCCTGGGATTTCAAACAAAACTAGGGATTCGTTTGCCACGTTATATCAATGCTTGTTCGTCACTGTACAGATGGACGGCATTTGTTTCAACTAGTGCGTACAGTTTATTTTTATTATCATGTCAAAAGATAGTTGTGCGTATGTGCGTGCGTGTGTAAGAAAGAGAAAGGGAGGGAGAAAAGGGAAGGAGAAACGTTATATATATATATTACTTTTGTAATTCTTGAATACTATACAATCTAGCAAGACTGGGACCAGCGAATTGGTTGATTTGCTTGGTAAAGTTATGCATTTGAGCACTCAAAATCATGGAATCTAAACGACTGGGCTCAGCTGGAAGTTTGAACAATGTGTTGACTTCATCCTCGGGCAAAGGCTTTTGTCCCTTTTCAATGCGTTGAGCATTCTCTTGCTTTCTCTTGGTCAACCAGGCTTGCATTTTGGCTTGCTCACGAGCAACAGATCTTTGCCAGTATTGGTAGTTGTTTTGTTCTTGCTGTTGAACATCAGCACAGTCCAACAAGTATTGCAAGTTCTTTTGCATGAAGGGGTCTAATTCTAAATCAAGGACGTCGAAATTGGGTGCCAAAGGTCTAGCTTCTTCTAATTCAGTTTGAGTCTTTTGAGTGGAAGCAAAGGTGGAGAGTGAGCGAAGACGATCAGCTTCCAACTTGGGCATCTCAATGTTGTGGAGCATCATGGTAACGTAGTGAGAGTTGTGGATTTCAACAGGCAATTCTTCGAAAATGTTAGAGAAAGATAACTTGGCTTGAGCAAGGCTAACAGCATATGTTAGTTTCTCTGATCAATAACCCCACTACCTCGCTCTCTTCTTTATCCGCCTTACCTCTCAGTTGTGAATTTCTTGGCTTCATAAGCCTTCATAAAGGTCTCTGTCAATCTGAAAGCTCTCAAGTTCAGGTTACCTTGAGCAGAGCTCTTGGACACGTCGTGAATGAGAACAACAGATTGAGCGCTGAGTGAGTTTTGGTAACTGTATTGTGTCTCGATCAAAGTGAGATCAACAAAGTTGCCCAAATGGCCAGAGCGGTACCAACCAACAGTGTTGTTATCGACATTGACAGCACGAAGACATCTCATCATATCGAGTTGATATTGAGCTATATATACACTCACACGTTAATTTTTCTCTGCACCATTTTCCTCGGTTCGCAATTGATATTTACCACTGGCATCCTCATCACCATCAGAAGGGAAGGGGAAACAGTTGGTCACTTCCAATAATCCCTTGTCGTCTAAACCTAAAAGTTGACCTGTAACATCATTAGGGTATGACTCGCGACAGTGCTTGATGATCTTTAAAACGACCTGTTCATGTTGAAAGAGAAAAAAAAATTTTTTATACGCTTAGTGTTTTGCATTCTCCATCATGCCATGTTGAAACTTTTGCTATTTACCAAGCCGTCAAGTTGCACAGATTGAAGGGCTTCGTTATTGTTGCTAGCCATTGTTGTTCTGCCTGTTGTTTCTACGAAAAGACAAATGAAAAAGAGAGATTAGATGCCATCCCATTGAACGAGGGGGCTTTCGTTCCATCAAACAAGAGAAAAAAAAAGTGACTCTTTCTCTTTCTTTTTCAACATCAGTTATAGCCATCAGAGCAACCATTTCAACCATTATCCTCATGAATCGAAGTCTATAACATGTCGAAAGAGTAGGAAAAACGCCCATCATCCTCATGTGCAACCTCTCGGTCATGGTTCATCAGAAAAAACTGATAGTAATGCATCATGTATACTCTCGAATGAGGTATCAATTTGATTGGCATCTCTCTGTCTCTCTTGGACCATGTAAACCAACCAAACACAGAGAGCTCAAGTGACCATAAGCAGCCCCTCCACATTAGAGCGAGGCACAGCTGCTTTCATGTCTGGTCGAAATTAAAACAAAGCAGCAGCCAGCAGTAGTTTATAAATAGGCGTCTCATGATCCAATGCTGCTAAATGCTGATTTCAACGCAAATGGTAATTATGAGGAACATTTGCTTGATACTATCTAGGAATTGCCAAACCAAACAAATCGTCAGTGCCAGATGATGTGGTTTGAATTCACCATAATGTAGCTCTAGATGACTCTGTTTGCTGCGTCCGTTCAGGGCTTCACTTGGATTTTAGAGTAAAATTAGCGTCTTGCTTGCATTCCATCTATCCGATGCTTCTTTCCCTGAGCTTGCTCACACTTGGACACTCTAGCGAAAGATCAATTGATTGTTTTTAGCTTGGAAAATCAGTGAAGCAAGTTTCAATCGAGGCGTTTGCACATTGATACTGTAAATTAAGGAAGAACGGGGGCGGATACAACACCTGGCTCCACATCACACTTCGCGACTGGGTTCAACATTTACTCAGCCTGCATTGATTGCATGGCTTCTGCAGGTTTCTGAAATAATACGTACAATTAAGCAAAGCCATATTGCTGTTATTGTATGGCTGAATGCTTCTCTCTGCTTGAGTTCATCGTAGTTGATCACGATTTTACCAGTAGACACTACAGTATCACTTTTTAATTTGCTCTTCTTTCATAAACCCTTTTCATAAGCAACCTGTCACCGTGGACCTAACCCTTCTACATTATTCCACGTTTGTATTGCTGGAAAAGACCTACATATGGGCAGACAACATACTTGTCTTACCACGTACTACTCAAATACATGCAAGCAAAGCGAAACTTGGATGCATTAGGGCCATATTTTCTCGTGCTACAAGCCGTTTCAAGCCGTCAGAAAAGCAACAAACACTCGCTTTCATCCAGCACTTACTTTTTGACACCTTTCCTCAACTTTTTTGGGGCCGAAAAAACAAGACCAAAATTTGACCAAAAAGCATGAGATACCCCTCACAGTTTTTATTGAAAATCAAGCGATCGTGTTTTTGACCTTGATAATGAAGACTTTTACTATGGTATATCTTGAATCAAAATGTTCCTCTCGATCCAAAGCAACCCCTGAAACTTTGTTTTTGAGACCTTGGTATGTAAAACCTCAACATTTCGGCCAAAAACATCATTTTATATTTTCAAACATTGCACAATAAGTTTATTTAAAACAGTAACTCTATCTACTACCACTAGATTTGCCTCAGAAAGTACTCCAAGAAAGCTTAAGGGAGCATTTTTTTTTTTTTGTAGGGGAGCCGAGCTCCATTTTTTATTTTAAGTAGCTTAAGGGAGCATAGGATGATGAGCACGGTTTACATAGTCGATTATTACAAAATAGATCGACCGAGTCGAGAAATATCCAATCTTGGACAGAAATGTAAATCTGAGGTCAAATTATTTTTGGCTGCGGAGGCGGCGGCCATCACCACGCACTATGGCAAAACCACATGTAAAGAGTATGTGAGCTCATGTATACGCGAATTGGTGTAAAAATCGCATTACTTATACCAAATGGTGCAAAGATTCAAGCACATCTAAAAGCATTATGTTTAAATATGTAATTGCATGGGATATTGGCACAGTTTCATATAGTTCAATTATGGCATAGTTATCGCAGTTCATGTAACTATTATCCTACTGTAGACTTTATCTTTCAAGTGTAGCCCTCATTCCACTCTAGAGAAAGCTTTAAACATGTATATAGGCTTTGCTAATATCGTGATACAAGCACATGAGGACACTGCTGTATTATAAATACATCTCCACTACCTTATGTTATTTGAGCTTTTAGATGATTAATGAATACCACACACGTCAAATAACTCAACTTGCAAGGTTCCGTTATACATTGGTGATGGCAGACAGTCAATATTCTTTACAATGAGGCGTTCCTATACCACGAAAACTATCCTACTAGTGAATTGTTGCCATGGATGGCATCCAACGCGCATCTCCACTGCGTGGTTACTTTGACCTGAGAATCTACCATCGCCATAGATCAATTGAGCACGCGTTTACGTTTTGTTGTAACAACTGCATCTCCAGCGGTACAACTCAATCACATCATATTCGTCATGAAGGTTAAAAAAAAAGGGCATCCAAGCGCGAGATCAACAAGTGTCAAGCGCAGCAAATTTATGTAATGATATATACGCGAACAAATCAAATATGCAATCTATATATATTTCTTCCCCATCAAACTTAAAATCGTCATAGGTGAACCACATAGCAGTTATAAAGATCGGCTCCCTGTTACACGCTGTGTGGAAAAACGATTTAACAACAAAACTGGTGTAGCAAACTGACGTCAATATGCTATCAGACCACACATAGTGCACATTTCGCAATGGATATAAATATAAAAGACACTTCTCTAGCCCACCCCTTCCCCTTATTCTCCTCGTTCATAGAATACAAAACACATAAACAACAAAAATGCTCTCTCAAATCTCTACTCGTTTCGCCTCTGCTTCTACTCGCTCCAACATCTTGACTCGTCGCAGCTTGCACATGACCTCCATTGCTCGCACTGAGGGCGCTACTGCTGGATCCAAAGGATTCAAGGAAAAGGAAACTGCTGTCGAAAACCAATGGGCCCGTTCTCATGATGCCGAATTACTCCAATCCTTGAGAAAGACCTTGGCTGACCAAGAACAAGCTACGGCTGACATCAAGCAAAAGTTGACTGAATTAGAATCCAAGCAAAAGAAATAGATACATCTCACCCTTGCCCCTTTTCTCAAATACAAAATCATATTACTTTTTATACATACAAAATAAAATCTATTGTAAATTATCCAACGTAACAAAAGTGCATTTTTTTTTCGTTTGGCTTGTCTCGTAACATTTGGTTTATGTGTGATTTTATTTTCTTCAAACAATAGAAAACAGAAAGAGGAATTTGTAGTTGTTTAAACCTTGAAACCACGAGAAGCACGCTTACCACGAGCACGCTCGAACTTACGACCCTTGGAACGAACGAAGGGCTTCTTGTTCTTATGGGGACCCATACCAAAGTGCTTGACGGACTCACGAGAGTTCTTGGCACCACGGACGAGGATGGTGTTGGCACCAGTGGGAGCACGAAGAGCCAATTGATCCAAGGTCAAAACCTCACCACCAGCCTTCAAGATACGGGCCTTAGCGGTCTTGGTGAAGTGAAGGGCAGCAACAGAGAGCTTGGGGAGGTCCAAAAGACGAGAGTCATCGGTGACGGAACCGACAACAACAACGGTCTTGCCTTCCTTGTTGTTCTTGACGATGCGAGAAACAGTGACGGGAGGACGGTTGACGCGAGACATAAAGAGACGCTTCAAGACAACCTTGTTGAAGTTGGCATCAGTACGACGAGCAAGGAAACGGTAAAGCTATCAGGTGAATATAGTTAAATGGCTGGTCTACATGTCCAAAATCACACTTTAGAAGTTTACCTTAACCAACAAGGCCAAGTAGACGTTGTCAGACTTGGGAGCAGTACGGTTGGAGTTCTTGACGTGGTGCTTTTTGAGATCAATACCCTATATTACACACAGAAAGGTTGTTAATATCTTTCTTTTCTCAATTTGTCTCTCTCTCTCTCTCTCTCTCTAAAGCCCCAAATGTTCGATAATAGACGAAATGATGAATGAATTGCACTGATCCAGCAACTGATGATGGCTCTGTTGGTGATATTCAGCAGGGCGGTCCAGTTGAAGGTGGTCGTCTGCTCAAGAATACAAGATCGAAACGTCTCCCTCGAGCTGCAATGGAGCAAAATAGCCATGATAGCAGTACAAGACGAAAGCTATACTAAATTAACGTGATGGTGCGTCGTTTGCTTCAACTATTCTTGCTATGGTGAGTCTCCTCGCTATCATGTGTATCATGAGCAGTGGTGGCAGTGCAATATTTTTTCAACTGAGCTGAAACATCTACCCAAGTAACAGACATCCCATCGTCGTTGCTGATAATCCATCTATCCAGTCAATTCATCCAAATGCATCCATTCATTCATGATTCAAACTATTATCGATACAACAAGGATTAAGTGCATTACCATTTTAGACTACAAGGAGAAGAGGATGATCTATCTGTTTGGCCCTTAATCCTTTACCTATATTGCTTTCATCTCAGCATCACACCCTCCTGCCCATTTCAAATGCGTCTGCAATTTTTTTTTCCGTGTCAGACAAGGTGGGATGAAGAGCTTCATCCCGGCTGTTTTACTTGCACATGCTACAGCTTCGAACCGGACTGTGACATTTTCAACGTTTCAGATCAATACCAAATGCAAATGGCTAATAAGGTAAATTTTATTTGCTCTTTTAACGGAATAGGGGAGTGAGTTCCTTGCCATTGCGTAAATTGCATGCACCAAGCTTTAAGGATTTCCCACCGACTGACGGGGGGTATAAAGCATGAACAGTAACTGTATGTGCCCATAAACCGTCCCTGCCCAACAACTTTTTGTCACATTTAGCACAATAGCCGTGAGGGTTGAAAAAGTCAATTTGGGCGTTAGGAAACTTAATCTGTCTCTGTTTCTTCGCAAGATTCCATTCATGGCCCAAGCCATGCTCGAAAGTTACATGACGTCCGAAAGTAGGCTGATTGCTGAAATGGCGTTCACATTTAGAGCAGTAAAAGTCAGGGCTATTCAAATCAATCTCTGCATCCGGGTTTATATTGACGAATTTTGACATTCTACGGTGCTTTGTGAAATGTTGTTTGAAGATTTCCTCTGTGTAATAGCGATCGCATTTGGGGCAGTAGTATGCTGGATCGCGCTTCTTGGATACATCTACAGAGCTTCGGATATTGTACAATGTCGACATATGGCTATCTTGCAGATGATTTAAAAACAACCTCGCACCTTCATACTTTTTATCGCATTTTGCACAATAGTTGTCAAGGTGGAATATATCGATCTCGGCATTTGGGTATTTGACTAATGGTGTTTTTATACTATGCGCCCTTTTTAAGTGCACACGGAAGCTGGATATGGTTGGATAGGTGTGATCGCATTCGGCACAGTACTGCAGAGGCTTGAGAAGATTAGTGTCTGCCTGAGGATGCTTGGAGCGTTTGGCCATGCTGTCATTCTGAGAGTCATGGTGGTTTCTGGGAACGCGAGGCTTACTAGTTGCAAGACGAGGCTTGAAATCTTTGTCTTGTAGGCCGTGGATAATCCGCAAGTGTTTACGAAAGTATTGCTTGTGATAGGTCTTGCCGCACTTTGAACAGTAGTTTTGGGGATGGTTGGGATTGATGATTGCATAAGGGTGTGCAAAGTATTTTGCGTTTCTCTTCTTCTGGGAGCCACGATGGTTTTGACGGGCGTAAGGCTTGCTTGTAGCATCAGTTGATTTGGGTTTTTTTACGTGTAAGCCGTGCTGCTTTCTTAAGTGTACATGGAAATAACTGTCAGGGTAACTCCTGCCACACTTTGCACAGTAGTTCTGGGGATTGTTAGGATCGATGGTTGCATGGGGGTACTTGAAGTATTTCACGTACAAAGAATGCGACATTCTTACATGTCTACGGAATTTAGCTTGGTGTGAAAAAGTCTTCTCGCACATTGCACAGTAGTGTTGGGGATTGTAGGGATCAATGATGACACCAGCTTCTCCTGTATGTTTGGCTTGAAAAACTCTGTCATATTCAGGCTGCCTTTCGATGGTAACAACAGCATTATCACGCCATCTCTGCCTTGGAATTGGAGGTGCCTGTGGCCGGCTCTCAGACACTAGCATCTCTTTTATATATTCCTCGTTCTCGACTTTGACGAATGTTCTATAATCCTCTTCATCCTGGTACATGAGCGTGTCTTCAAAACTGAACTCTTGCTTCAGCATGGGCTCCTGATCTTCCTTGCATAGACGCGTTTGCATATCGTAGAGTAACTTCAGTAGTCTATGGTGGCGCGTTAGATGGCTGTGGTATCATAGTCTTACATGTGCTTAGAGACAACAGTACCTGATGATCTTGAAAAGATATTTTTGTAAAGAAGAAAGAGGTACTGATTAAATCTCCTCAGATCTGCTATATAATTTAAGCTGTTATTGGATGGCCAAGTGCGAGCTGTAACTGGTGTAGCTTGGAGTTTATTTACAAAATTAATACGTATTATAATGTGAGATTTATAGTAAATCAAAAGGTCTATCTTCTCTCCTTGACAAACAACACAAGCCATATGTAAGCAATGAAGATGAACAAACCAAACATGGAGCTCAAGCGAATCACATCAGGCCAGTAGTTCTTTGCATTGAAGCCAAAGGTAGACAAGATGGTAGCTCCAGGCACATCGATTTTGAGGCCGAATCTCTCCTCCACCAGCTGGAGATAGAGTAGCTCATTGACCAGCATGGCCTCTAAAGCGTAATTAAAGAATGAGAGGTACTTGAGCCAGCTGAAATAAGGTGACATGGTATCTAAAATACGAAGGTTAGTTCATATGCCCATGTATTTGATCTCAATGTGCATTGTACCTTTGTTGAGCAACAAGCCGGCAAACAGCATGGAAAAGAGGATAGACATACAGGCTAATAAATTGGCTAAAGACAAGTTCTTTACGACAATGCCAATGGCCAAGCAAAGGGCAGCAGCAGTGAGATTGAACAAGACCAGTACCAGCAAAAATTTGAGGAATTCATTGACGCCTTCCACCAGACCGACCATGGAATACGAAATTAGGGCCATCATAAGAGGAGGCACGACACGCAAAGGAATAATGTCAAACAATACTTTGGACAAAAAGTAGGTTGTAGGTGAATAATATCCATTGGCACGCTCACGGGCAAACAAGATGCGTTCGCTGCTAAACACTTGTAGCGAGGTCAAACACATGAATCCCAACAGTGCTTCGTAAAAGAAAAATAATCCCATGCGATTTTGAAAGCCTGCAATGGTGTTGGATACTTGGTAGAACAAACCACCACATACAACTATTTGGGAATGGGGATTATTAGCTTATACGTCCAAGCAGCTTATGCCATAATTACTTACGAGCCAAGATCACTGCCATGGCATAGTGGCTAAACATGAGCATGGGGTTTCTGTACAGATTCTTGAATGTTCTGTTGGCCAAAATTTGGAATTGAGCAAAGGGGCCAGGTCGCTTGTAAATAAGGATGCTTTTGGTGCTGACAGTGTCTCCTTCATTGTCGGATTGTGCTTGCGTAATGGCAGTTTGGATGTTTTCCTTGAGCGCATTGGCAATTATGCTGTGCTGGTAGTATTCTACTAATTGACGGAGGTGAGAGGAAAGTCCATCTGCTTGAGCTTGTTCTACAACCACATTGGGTTCATGGCTACTAACAGCAGCAGCAGCAGCAGCAGCAGCAGCCTCATATTGCTGTTGTCGTTGCTTGCTTTGAGGATTGTTGGATCGTGTATTTAATTCAGAAGCCCATTGCTCGGTTGTGTTCTCTAAACCATCACTGAAGCCAGCAGGTAACACGGATGGAGCAAAGAACCCATCATCATCTGCGAATGCTGTGTTTGTAGTCGATCCTTGCACTGCTGATGAAGGCTGTTTGGGTGTTCTACGCACGGCTCCTACGGATAAATCCACCAAATAGTCGGCAATGTTGAATCCCTGGGGGCAATCATATCCAATTTGTTTAAAGTAATGCTGTGCTTCAGACTGAGGGCCAGAATAAATGACTCTTCCAGCAGCTACAAGCACAAGTTGGTCGAATAAGGTGACAATGTTGGAGCGAGGTTGATGAATAGTAAAGACCACAGTTCGCTTGTAATTCTTTGCAAGAGCAACGAGACATTCGACCACGTTAAAAGCATTGTAGGCGTCCAATCCACTGGTGGGTTCATCCAGGAACAGAATCGAGGGTGATGTGACCAATTCACAAGCAATGGCAACTCGACGACGCTCACCACCGCTGATAGAGCGGGCTCCAGGTTGTCCAATCTTGGAATCCTTGATAGCATCAATGCCCAATTCTTGCATAACCTCCATCACTCGGTATTTCTTGGCTGCTTGGCTCATGGAACGAGGCAAACGCAGTAAAGCAGAGTACAGGATAGTTTCGTATACAGTCAGAGTAGGAATCATGACCTCCTCTTGGTCCACATAGCCGATCAATTTCTTGTAATGGGAGGCGTCTACCTCTTGGCCATTCAAATACACGTCTCCCGACGAAGTGCCTGATTTTGTGCGTTTTGCTAAAATGTCCAACAAGGTCGTTTTTCCTGCACCGCTAGGACCCATGATGGCCATGATCTGGCCAGGTTGCACCATGCCACTTGCTTCTTGCAGAATCTTTTTATCGTTGACTTGATAGTTGATGTTATCAAAAATGAGACTGGTGGGTGTATGCTCTGACATGAGCTTGCCTGCTTCGTCGTCGGCAATCTCAATTACTCCCTCTGGTCCTCTCTTTCCTGCAAAATAGGTCACCACACTTCCAACGATGACCAGGAATACGGCCACGCCTGACAATCCACTGATGATCATGGTCCAATTGGTACGTCTCTCGGGTCTTTCAAATCCAGGCACCATTGTGTAATGTAAACATTCGCCTCCATGACAGTCCAAGAAGATTGAATCATCACCAAAAACAGCAGAGATCAGGTCATCCATGGCAGGCTCTGAAAATGCGCAGTTTGGACCAGCACAGTTGAATGAAGCAGGACCCTTGATTTCGTCTGCCAAAAGATCTACATACAACAGGCATATTCAGCATGATTGTTGCTACGGAGGCCTTATCGCACTTGCGCCTGCTTACCTGTCAAGTCAATCGAGCCATCTTTGCCGCACAGAAATTCGTCCTTGATACAACGACAGTCGATGTTTTGACAGGTATATTTGGTTGTATTTTTGCCGTATTCGTACTGTTGTTCGAATCCACAAGTGTTCAAATGGCAGTAAAATGACTCAATCTCGTCCACCCAAACTGTGTCATGTCATTATGAGTATATCTTGATTGGCTGTGGGTTCATGCAAGAGATACACTTACACTGGAAATCACATGTTGCTTGATTCTTGTTGCAGGAAAAGGTCACTTGAGGGATTTGCGTTTTCAACTGATCCAAGATTTTTCGGTCTTTTTTGCACAATATCAGTATGAGGCCACTATCTAGCAAGCGCAATCTACTTACTGGTAACATTACACATTTGGTAATTTTCAAAGACGGTGATGCCATTCTTGTAGCAAGTACCATTTTGTCCAGTGGGGACCAAGGAATTACATACCGAATCGGTCTTGCAAACTACACAAGGACACAAGGTAAACATCCTTTCAGCATCAGTCATGATGACGAATATCCAAAGCCCTCTTTGTTACACTTTACCATTGCAGTTGATTCCTTCCCATCCCTCAGGACAATCACAGTGATCATTTTCTCGTGGAGATCGATTGCGGCCGTCTGGTAAAGCACCACACACTAGACACGCAGATTTGCATTAATACACGGGGCTTGTTTCATGCAGAAAGACACACTTACGAGGCTGTTTACAATCATCGCCACCAAATCCAGGAGGACAATTACATTTACCGTCGTATTCAGAGCAGTTAGCAAAGTGCAAACACTCAAAGCCAGGCAGCAAACAGTTAAAACAAGGAGGGCAATCTTTATCACCATTGCCAGCAAAGATGTCGTAGGTTGACTTTAATGGTGGCGTGTTGGGGACCAAATCGTAGTTCTCTAGCAGCAAATTGTATTCATATGCTCTTGTTATTTGGATTATACACAGTAATCCAAATAACAACCATAGTAGTCTGGCCATTTTATCGTCAATGTGAGTATAGCGTTGTGTATGAAGGAAGAAAAAAGAAAAATCCGCTTGTTTCAAGATTTTAAATGCGAGAAGGGCGGGTCTACTAAACAAGCAAGTTTAGAAAAATCGCAGTGATGTGTTCGGATGGTCAGCGGGTCGAACAATGCCCGTCTTTTGTGTAATCCACTGGTTCTTGTGAGCACATCATCCTTGGATCCAAGCTAAAGCCATGTACTAATGCAACAGGTCGACATTTGAGAGGCATCATCAACCTCTACCAAATATGGCATGTCGCTGTGTCAGGAAGCGAATGTCTGGACTTGCTGCTTGGAGTTATATTACTGCATTTGATAAGGTTTGGAATCGCTTGAACAGCTCTCAAGCAAGCTCACCTACTACGCTATATCACCATAGCAATGCCATCCGTTGCTCATTACCATTGCTTGGACTTAAATATCCGACACACAGCAGTAGTAGATGTCTTTGTTGGAGTCACAGCCAAATCCTCTCTGTGCCGTATGTGACGCAAAATAACATTGGAGAACTCTAGTGCGTTTGAAATTCGACATTTGTTCGTTCAATAAGATTCTTTCATTGTGGCAAAATGGTAGAAATATTGAATTCTCAGTAAATCAGTCGTAGATGGACTAAACAAAGTGTAGATAAAGGAATTGGTGCCCAAGCCATCTCACTCGAGCGATGCTCTTCCTCTCTATCGCAATGGGGAATCAAATTCACCTAGCTATTACACTGAAAGCGACAGCAATCTCTCAACGGGATCTTCCACTGGATCCACCAAGAGAAGAAGGCGGTCTACAAGACTGAACAGCTTGGGATATCAAAAGAAGACAGACAAGAAAAACATGGCTCTTGCTCAAAAGAAGTTTAAAAAACTGGATTTGGCTCCATCTCGAGGTAGGTAATATGAGACATGTCTTTATCCAAGACATCTCATGTGAATCTTTATTTGCAAATGTGTAGAGAGAAGTCAGAGCTGGTCTGTTGGCGATCGAGTAGAAGCGATCAAATGGGCGGATGATGTGAAGGAGTGGTATTGCGCTCGTATCGTAGAGATAACAAAAGATCATCATGATGAAACGCTTGTCTTTGTTCATTACGAAGGATGGCCACCAGAAGAGGCCGATTGGATAAGCCCCACATTGCTTAGAGTCCCTCAGAGAGCAGAGAGCTTGCGGTATGGCCCAGCAGGTGCAGAATCTGACAGATCTTGGAGGGACTATGTTGATTTTTACAATTCAAAAAGAGGTGGTATGGCAAGACAAAATACAGGCATTGTGCAAGACAGACGTATGGGTTTACATTGCTGTCCATGTCATTCTCGTGAAACCATTCACCCTGAAAGACCTGATAGAATTGGCTCCATTTTGCAAACATTTCATACCAACAGGTATTGCTTGGGCATACTTCTGACTGGGATGTATCACTTGCTTATACTTTTTTTTTCATTGCATTTCAGGATGCTTCGATATTTCAAACGAATTCACGCTCGAGAAACCACCACACAGGAGCTGCTCCGCGTGCACACGTTTAGTCATGTTCGCAACTACTATCCATTAGATGAGGAAACCATGGTGAAGAAGGAAAAAAGGCCATTGAAAATAACGTCAATTGCAGCACTACTGAATCCTGAACCGCCAAAGAATCCATGTATACAGCAGCTAGGTACTATTGACAAAGTTTTACGCGGTGTCGGTGGCGACACGATTATCAAAGCTGACCAGGACCATATCAACAGACAACACCGTCGATTCTCAACAGCGGCTGCTTTTGCTGATGCATCTCAGAGCAATCCACAGCCAACAGCACCTCCTACGTTGGTGTGTAAAATGACCTGTGGTGAACTGGGTATTTCAGTAGATACAACATTCCACCCCCTGTACACTAGTTTAGCGGCGAAAGTAGCTGCTGGTGCTCTTCTCTCTCTTGTGGAACCGATTGTTCAGGGTCAGCTACGGAATGGATTTGCCCTCATTCGTCCTCCAGGGCATCATGCAGAAGATGATTTGGCTATGGGCTTTTGCTTTTATAATAATGTAGCTGTTGCTGTAGCGGATACATTGGAAAAATACCCATCAAAGATCAAGAGAGCTGTTGTTATTGACTGGTAAGCTATATACAGACATGTGTATTAAATTTTTTGAAATTAACTTTGTCTTGATGATAGGGATATTCAGTAAAGTGTTTCTTGAGATGTTGTATTACTACATGTTCTAATGTTCAATCGTCTTCATGTAGTCATGGCAACGGCACCCAAAAGATATTTTATGATAACCAAAATGTTCTATATATTTCAGTACACCGATGGGATCATGGCAAGTTTTATCCTTTCAGTGGAGCACCTAGCGAATGTGGTGAATATGAAGGCATTGGTAAAAATGTAAATATTGCGTTTTCAGAATCAAACAGAAAGCCAAGTGAGTATTTACATGTCTACTGTAGTAGTAGCCTTCGACTAACAGGCCCTTTTATAGAACCAATGGGCGATACAGAATTCGCTGCTGCATTCTATCATTTTGTAATTCCAATTGTCAAGCAATTCGGACCAGATATGATATTTGTTTCAGCTGGTTTTGATGCGGCCGAAGGACACCCAGAGAATGTAAGGCAAGATGTCAAGCTTGAGAGTTGTAAACTAACAATTTCTATTATGTAAAATGATTAGCTTGGCGGCTATAATGTAACACCGCGAGGATATGCATTACTCACGAAAATGGTCAAGGATTTGGCTGAAGATCTCTGTGAAGGTCGACTGGTGCTGACATTAGAAGGTGGTTACGAACTTCAACCATTAGCAAAGTCATGTGCTGCAAGCGTGGCCCAGTTATTCTTACCAAATACCATACCAAACCAGCAGATTACAACTTTTCAAGATACTCTTGACAGTACAAAACCGAATCGAGATGCAATAGACAGTTTTCAAGATATATTACGATACCAAAAGAAGCATTGGCACTTCTCTGAGGAGACGCTGGACCCCGATTTCACGTTCTCTTTACCAGATGATTGGAGAGCTACTGATAGCATAACTACAAGACCACGCAGAGATAAAAAGGCGGTCAAGACATTGACCATTGAGAGTTATTAACAACATTTAATATTTTAATATCTATCGATCATTAAATAAATGAAGCTGACATCGTAGTTTGATAACTTTACTCCATTACATTTGAATGAAATATAGAATATACCTGAAATTAACCTGAAAAATAAGTCAAATACTGAACTTTCGCTATTATCCTGCGCGATAGCACAGGTAATTGTTGTGCCAGAAGGGCTACAACTGTCTATAAAGATTAAGGTATTCTTGATGGGCAGATATGTCTGTGTTGTGCAACAACATGGACAAGCTATGAGAATTGAAGTGCATCTCAGCTATCTAAATACTGAGGTTCATCAGATGTGATAAGCGTTGTACAAGATACATTGCTACTTTGGCATTCAGAACTTAGTATGAATAGAATAACTCTTGTCTTTATCAATAAATCTTTAGTTTTTGTGTCTGATCTTATTCAAATAAGTCTTTTCTTGTTTTTATAATATCGAACATTTTTTATAAGCTACAAATAATAACCCTTTTATTCTTTGTGCTTAACAGTAATGAAAAATGAAATGCTCTTCTTAAACCATAACACCTTGCACTATAGTTTCAACAGCTAGAACAATTGCTCATCAGTGGCGTGATCGTCAGAATAACATACTGATACAATATCAATAATATCGTAACCCACATTGTGTTGCTATAGTAGTAGTTTTTAAACTGTATATAGCGTTCTCCACATAATAAATTTAAACCACATACCTCAACCACATCAAACTGTGTAATGGATGCCAGATTAAACAACTGCACTTGATTACTACCATACTTTTGGATAAAGAAAAATTCAAAATTTTACTTATTTGGATATCATTTTATTACAAACACAAAACTATAGTAATAACAGATCAATAGGAAATTAACTGGTTGTAGACCTTCGCTGCTTCGACCTCTTAGCCAATCAAATCGCTCAAAAACCCCGCTGACCTAAAAAAAAATTTGCGAGGGTTTCCCCCTGTTTGATGTGAGGCAAAATTTTAAGCGCCGCTATAATAGCAATATAGCCGCTGCTATCATCAAATTTCCCCCAGGTGCTAGAGCATGCCTTACTTACACCACCTAGCTTTAAATTCAGGCATTGAGACCCTCAATCATCACTAAAGTAAGTAGCGATAACCAAATGGAGGCGGCCTATCTACCTCCTGGTGTCGGATAAAGTCTTGTTGAGCTTCAGGGATAGGCACATCCACACAACGTAAAAAAGGTATGCTTTAAAGGAAACATAATAATAATAATAAAAAAGAAGAAAAGAACATAATACTATAAGAGTATAGTAGTATGTAGACAAAAAAAAAAGAATGCTCACACGAAGCAAGCCAAAGAAAAGCATAACAAACACAACTACAAAAGCAACAGTGGTATTATAAGTTTGCAATACAACATGATGACTAATATTGTTTCATGTAAAGCTACAGAGGACACACTACCAACAAAAGAAAAAGTAGAAAAAGAAAAAGTGCAACAACGCAAACATCATGAATGCATTATCACGAGAAAGGAAGCAATAATATAAACGTTCAAAGAAGGTTTACATCATTGCGACCAGAAGAAAGAACATACTTACCACTTACCACAGCCATAAATACACCAGAATAGTATGGGCAATCACCGGACACAGACCACCAGAGAACGAGCATGCACCAAATACAGCAGACCAGGAAAGACCAGATAAGCAGCAGCAGCAGCAGCAGCAACACCAGCAGTAACACCAGCAGAACAGAAAAACTAAAGAACGAACACCATCAGCAGAGAGCAGGCAAAGACCAAAGAAGTTACCACTTATCACCACCACAGATAGACCAGAGCACAAGCAATTATCAGAGATAGACGAGAGAACGAGCATACATCATAGATGGCAGACCAGAAAAGACCAGACTAGCAGCAGCAGCAATACCAGCAGCAATACCGTCAGCAATACCGTCAGCAACACCGCCAGCAAGACCATCAGCAATACCATAAAAACCCAAAGAACGAGCGACACCAGAGACCAGGCAAAGACTAAAGAAGCAGCCGCCATAGATAGAGACAACAGAAGTAGCTACTACTAGACATAATAACCAAAGAATCAAACAACAGAGATAGCAGAGAAGTAATGGCAGAAGCACCTACGTCAAACAGGCAAAAAAAAATATCGAAACCTAATAAACAAATTCAATTAGTGCTGATTCTACGTCTTCTAGTGTTCGTTATCAAATGGTACCTACTATATTCCACTTCAATAAAGCATTATCAAGTACTTTTAAAAGTACAAAGCCGTGTCGTCAGAAGTTAGAGTGTTGTTTTCAATCGAAAGGGTTCCCAAATCGATATGGTTTGATACTAAACGCGTTTTGCAAAAAAGATAAAAAAAACAAATGCATGGAAAATGAGAGGGCACCATAACCGACGTCACGGCCAGTAGATCTGGTCTCAGCCTTCTGCCGTGGTGGCAGCCGCAACTGCTGCACTTTAATTTGAAATTGTGCAGTGGATAGTTTCATGTTCAAATTCGACTTGATTTCACATTCCTTAAACATTTTTGCTAAATTTAACAATGAAAAATGTCGTTGTAATACTTTACTTTCTAATGCATTTATATAAAGTCAATGAAGGCGCGTCGAATGATGCTGATTACATTTAGCTTTCAGGCCGAAAATAATGAGCAATCTGCAAAAATACAAAATCAGGTTTTCTGTAAATATGTCAGCATTTAGCATATGAAAGTCTCATAAAAAGAGCTTTCAGTGCTGCATTCCATTTTGACGATCGGTTTGGTCTAATATGTATCATAGGAAAAGTCTTCATTTTTGGGGTGAAAAACGCGATCGCTTGATTTTCAAGAATTTTCCCTTGCTAGTACTCATGTAAAAACGACAATTTTCATGAATTTGCAATGACCCAAAAGAATTGAGATAAAGCATCAATAAGTAGAGCGTGACCAAGAAGAGACGTTTGGCCTTGCTCCGAGTGTCCACAACGCTTTGTAGCATAAGTTATTTGTGTTTGAAAATGACTAGATTTGGACAGAATTTGACCTAAACATAACGCGTATTAGGTTGTGTTGCCAAAGAAGTAAATAGAGTAAGGCACTGTCTGATGTCTCTGATGTTCTGCATTGTAAGGAACTCGAGTCGTAAGTGATAAATGCCTCTATCTAGTTCTAAAGCTTGGATCTTCCTTTTCAAAATACGCGAATACAGTAATTTTAAAATTTGAGTGTCAATGATTCTTTGCAAATTTGAATCTAACAACTTTGCTCAGATTAGACGAGGTGTTTATTAGGTTAGCAGGACACTTTCGGTGGTCGTCCAAAACAGAAATACCAAATCTAGCCGTAAAATCAGATTCAAAGTTTAGCGTCAATGTTGGACATCGATGACTTCACAATAAAGAAGTCGACGAAAATAATCAGTTGTTAACTCTATCTAAAACAAAGAGCTTCTTCATTACAGAGGATTATCTTAATAGTAGCTTAAATATGATGGATTACTAGTCAATGATTACTACTATGTTGACATGGTATAAACAGCAGCCACTAGGAACATATTGATTGTTGGTAACTGTTGTGCCAGAAGGGCTACAACTGTCTATAAAGATTAAGGTATTCTTGATGGGCAGATATGTCTGTGTTGTGCAACAACATGGACAAGCTATGAGAATTGAAGTGCATCTCAGCTATCTAAATACTGAGGTTCATCAGATGTGATAAGCGTTGTACAAGATACATTGCTACTTTGGCATTCAGAACTTAGTATGAATAGAATAACTCTTGTCTTTATCAATAAATCTTTAGTTTTTGTGTCTGATCTTATTCAAATAAGTCTTTTCTTGTTTTTATAATATCGAACATTTTTTATAAGCTACAAATAATAACCCTTTTATTCTTTGTGCTTAACAGTAATGAAAAATGAAATGCTCTTCTTAAACCATAACACCTTGCACTATAGTTTCAACAGCTAGAACAATTGCTCATCAGTGGCGTGATCGTCAGAATAACATACTGATACAATATCAATAATATCGTAACCCACATTGTGTTGCTATAGTAGTAGTTTTTAAACTGTATATAGCGTTCTCCACATAATAAATTTAAACCACATACCTCAACCACATCAAACTGTGTAATGGATGCCAGATTAAACAACTGCACTTGATTACTACCATACTTTTGGATAAAGAAAAATTCAAAATTTTACTTATTTGGATATCATTTTATTACAAACACAAAACTATAGTAATAACAGATCAATAGGAAATTAACTGGTTGTAGACCTTCGCTGCTTCGACCTCTTAGCCAATCAAATCGCTCAAAAACCCCGCTGACCTAAAAAAAAATTTGCGAGGGTTTCCCCCTGTTTGATGTGAGGCAAAATTTTAAGCGCCGCTATAATAGCAATATAGCCGCTGCTATCATCAAATTTCCCCCAGGTGCTAGAGCATGCCTTACTTACACCACCTAGCTTTAAATTCAGGCATTGAGACCCTCAATCATCACTAAAGTAAGTAGCGATAACCAAATGGAGGCGGCCTATCTACCTCCTGGTGTCGGATAAAGTCTTGTTGAGCTTCAGGGATAGGCACATCCACACAACGTAAAAAAGGTATGCTTTAAAGGAAACATAATAATAATAATAAAAAAGAAGAAAAGAACATAATACTATAAGAGTATAGTAGTATGTAGACAAAAAAAAAAGAATGCTCACACGAAGCAAGCCAAAGAAAAGCATAACAAACACAACTACAAAAGCAACAGTGGTATTATAAGTTTGCAATACAACATGATGACTAATATTGTTTCATGTAAAGCTACAGAGGACACACTACCAACAAAAGAAAAAGTAGAAAAAGAAAAAGTGCAACAACGCAAACATCATGAATGCATTATCACGAGAAAGGAAGCAATAATATAAACGTTCAAAGAAGGTTTACATCATTGCGACCAGAAGAAAGAACATACTTACCACTTACCACAGCCATAAATACACCAGAATAGTATGGGCAATCACCGGACACAGACCACCAGAGAACGAGCATGCACCAAATACAGCAGACCAGGAAAGACCAGATAAGCAGCAGCAGCAGCAGCAGCAACACCAGCAGTAACACCAGCAGAACAGAAAAACTAAAGAACGAACACCATCAGCAGAGAGCAGGCAAAGACCAAAGAAGTTACCACTTATCACCACCACAGATAGACCAGAGCACAAGCAATTATCAGAGATAGACGAGAGAACGAGCATACATCATAGATGGCAGACCAGAAAAGACCAGACTAGCAGCAGCAGCAATACCAGCAGCAATACCGTCAGCAATACCGTCAGCAACACCGCCAGCAAGACCATCAGCAATACCATAAAAACCCAAAGAACGAGCGACACCAGAGACCAGGCAAAGACTAAAGAAGCAGCCGCCATAGATAGAGACAACAGAAGTAGCTACTACTAGACATAATAACCAAAGAATCAAACAACAGAGATAGCAGAGAAGTAATGGCAGAAGCACCTACGTCAAACAGGCAAAAAAAAATATCGAAACCTAATAAACAAATTCAATTAGTGCTGATTCTACGTCTTCTAGTGTTCGTTATCAAATGGTACCTACTATATTCCACTTCAATAAAGCATTATCAAGTACTTTTAAAAGTACAAAGCCGTGTCGTCAGAAGTTAGAGTGTTGTTTTCAATCGAAAGGGTTCCCAAATCGATATGGTTTGATACTAAACGCGTTTTGCAAAAAAGATAAAAAAAACAAATGCATGGAAAATGAGAGGGCACCATAACCGACGTCACGGCCAGTAGATCTGGTCTCAGCCTTCTGCCGTGGTGGCAGCCGCAACTGCTGCACTTTAATTTGAAATTGTGCAGTGGATAGTTTCATGTTCAAATTCGACTTGATTTCACATTCCTTAAACATTTTTGCTAAATTTAACAATGAAAAATGTCGTTGTAATACTTTACTTTCTAATGCATTTATATAAAGTCAATGAAGGCGCGTCGAATGATGCTGATTACATTTAGCTTTCAGGCCGAAAATAATGAGCAATCTGCAAAAATACAAAATCAGGTTTTCTGTAAATATGTCAGCATTTAGCATATGAAAGTCTCATAAAAAGAGCTTTCAGTGCTGCATTCCATTTTGACGATCGGTTTGGTCTAATATGTATCATAGGAAAAGTCTTCATTTTTGGGGTGAAAAACGCGATCGCTTGATTTTCAAGAATTTTCCCTTGCTAGTACTCATGTAAAAACGACAATTTTCATGAATTTGCAATGACCCAAAAGAATTGAGATAAAGCATCAATAAGTAGAGCGTGACCAAGAAGAGACGTTTGGCCTTGCTCCGAGTGTCCACAACGCTTTGTAGCATAAGTTATTTGTGTTTGAAAATGACTAGATTTGGACAGAATTTGACCTAAACATAACGCGTATTAGGTTGTGTTGCCAAAGAAGTAAATAGAGTAAGGCACTGTCTGATGTCTCTGATGTTCTGCATTGTAAGGAACTCGAGTCGTAAGTGATAAATGCCTCTATCTAGTTCTAAAGCTTGGATCTTCCTTTTCAAAATACGCGAATACAGTAATTTTAAAATTTGAGTGTCAATGATTCTTTGCAAATTTGAATCTAACAACTTTGCTCAGATTAGACGAGGTGTTTATTAGGTTAGCAGGACACTTTCGGTGGTCGTCCAAAACAGAAATACCAAATCTAGCCGTAAAATCAGATTCAAAGTTTAGCGTCAATGTTGGACATCGATGACTTCACAATAAAGAAGTCGACGAAAATAATCAGTTGTTAACTCTATCTAAAACAAAGAGCTTCTTCATTACAGAGGATTATCTTAATAGTAGCTTAAATATGATGGATTACTAGTCAATGATTACTACTATGTTGACATGGTATAAACAGCAGCCACTAGGAACATATTGATTGTTGGTAACTGTTGTGCCAGAAGGGCTACAACTGTCTATAAAGATTAAGGTATTCTTGATGGGCAGATATGTCTGTGTTGTGCAACAACATGGACAAGCTATGAGAATTGAAGTGCATCTCAGCTATCTAAATACTGAGGTTCATCAGATGTGATAAGCGTTGTACAAGATACATTGCTACTTTGGCATTCAGAACTTAGTATGAATAGAATAACTCTTGTCTTTATCAATAAATCTTTAGTTTTTGTATCTGATCTTATTCAAATAAGTCTTTTCTTGTTTTTATAATGTCGAACATTTTTTTATAAGCTACAAATAACAATCCTTTTATTCTTTGTGCTTAACAGTAAAGTATACTTAGTCGAGGAACCACCTAGGTGGATATATTATATATAAAGTAGGTAGAGCTCGACATCTTCTTAACATTGGGCAGATTGAACCTGTTGTAGTTCCTAAGGCATCTATGGACACACATTTGACTGGACTTGTAAGCATAGACGTAATGTTATACGGCAAGCATCATCTATGTTGCTACACTATGAAGTGGCTTGAGAAGAAAGTGAATGTAGCTTAGGGCAATGCATGCTTGTATACAACAATAAACAGATTTTCACTCGCTACATTGATTGTCAAATTATTAAGCAATTAAAGTGTAAAGTGATCTGAAATGAACTAGAATATATTCCCAACATAAACAACGTCCAAAATAAATGCCATCTCGATCAAGCCATGCTACCATCAACAGATAAGCAACATAAATAATAATAGTATTAGTATGATGATAGCAAGGGTAAAATACTCTAAAAATAAGAGATGACAGATTCTAAAGTAAATGTTAAGGGTATTGTAATGTGTTGCAACATAAATATACCTAAAAAAAGATACATGCTCAACAGTAAAGAGCTATTCTTTACGCATGATTCACAAACCATGTATTGAAATACCTTTCTTGATCTATCAGATCAACAGCTAAATAACTGAACAATAATACACAAAATAATAATGAAATTACTGGCAGCTACCAAACTGTTGCCAGATAACAAATATAAACCAAATAGTATAAATAGAGACATAGAATATACATTTGATGGCACATTATCGTAATTTCGATTAAAATAAGGATTTTAACAGTATTCTATCTGCTTTTATAACTCCTTTTTACTGCAAATGGTACTATTTGATGCGCATTTGAATTCTGTATAAGTCTGCTATGGACCAAGAACAATGATAAATATGGGGTATAATACGTTTGGCCGATGGATATTGGAAATATAATAAGCGTCAAACTGCTATTCGTTCTGTAAGAAAACTCGATCTTGAGTACGGATCTATTTGCGTGAAAGTTTGCTTAGAGTGAGACAGCAATTCCGTAAAGACTGTTGAATTCACTAGGCAAGAAAGGATAAATCTAATATTATAGAGCCATATTTAGGCTTCGAATTTCTCTCGGGATTGCCGTAAAAAAAAAGCTAGTCCTCCTCCATCCAAGTCGGAAACATGCAGAGTCTTATTATGACTCACTGGCAGGCATGCATATCAAGAAGCTTACTACCCAGATCGTACTCCACGATGAACTAGGAAAGAGAATAGTATATGCAGATTCTTGTAAACTGAAAGTTGCTATTCGGTCTGCTCAATTTTAAAATACTCCAAAAAACAAACTGATTGCAATTAAAGGCACTTTCAAGTCAACCATTTAATGCAAAAGCAAATGCTTTCTTGTAGAGCCAAATAGATCAGGTTGCAAATGGCCCAAATGGCAGGACAGTTACTTGGCGCATTAAGTTGCAATGGCTAGTTCTTTGATAGCTGCTTGTTTGTGAGAGAGCTAATCCCTACGATCGCTACGGTAAGAGGAATAAGAATACAAAGGACTAGAGTAAATTATATGAATCGCAACTCTGTAATTTTTTGACAAATGTCGTGCAAGACCGAGTAACACGAGATAACAAAGAGTGCCTGTCGAAAAAAGTAATCTTAAAATTGTTATTTTCGTTGAAATCGTTTGTACAGAAGATTGATTCCGATGGATGGTAATATACAGATCTAAACTGTTGCCAAAGTGCATATGCTCTGAACGGAAAGAATGTTGCGCGACTGTCACTGTACATATCGTGCAATGTCATGTCAATGTAAAGACTAAATGTCTTTCCATGGATGATGAGGGTCCTGAGAGACGATTATCCAATCAGCCAAGATGTTCCCGACTGATAAGATCCTTTCTGATATCCGAATCCACTCATTTGGTGTTACATTTGTATATTGCAGCTCATTGCCATGTCTATATTTTCGTTTTATCCCACACTACAAGCAATTACCCACTTATTTAGGAAAGACATGTACCTTGTAAGATTTGTAATGTTGGCAGGTCTCCGCTCAAAATGAAATATACTCTGATTTTCTTTTTTTATCAACATCAAAGGGTTATTTCGGATGAAACGGTTGACTTTTGCATGTCTCAAAAATACATTTATCTTTTAAAGAAAAAAGAGACCAGAAAGCAAAAGTAGCTGCACAAAGAACGAAGAGCATCATTCGATAATTTGCAATCAAACATGTGGCTTTTACCTTGATTCGCTTGTTGTTGTTCGCTGTCAACAGGTTACTTTTTTTTTTCCCGGAACCAAACGTAACTGGATTATTTACAGCCGTGTAACAGATACCGTTTACATATAAAATCCCTTCCCATCAAGCCAATTCCACACTTTTTTTTTTTTTCTTGCTCCTCTTGTTCTTTTTCATTTTGAAAATCGCCTGCTTAAAAAAAATGCTCTCCAACATCAGCCGTGCTTCTGTCAAGCCTACCCAAATGGCCTCTCGTGCCTTCATCTCCACTTGGAATGCTGTTCCTCAAGGTAAGTTAATCTTATACACAGGGCATCACGTTTAGCGGGATTAAATTAAGCTTCCCCGCGTTTTATTATCATGTAGGCCCTCCTGATGCCATTTTGGGTGTTACTGAGGCTTTCAAGAGAGATACCTCTCCCAAGAAGATGAATTTGGGTGTTGGTGCTTACCGTGATGATGGTGGCAAGCCTTACGTCTTGACCTCTGTCAAGAAGGTAAAAGCTTTGGGAATGGATTTGGCAAAAACAAAGATTTATTCGTGATTTACGTGTAGGCTGAAAGACTTATGCTCAATAAGAACATGGACAAGGAGTATGCTGGTATTACTGGTGTTCCCTCTTTTACCAAGGCTGCTGGTGCTCTTGCTTATGGCGACAACAGCCCTGTTATCGGTGAGGATAGAGTAAGCAGCTGCTATGATACATGATTTTAGAGTCAACATTAACCATTGGTGCTCTTTTTAATTTACAGCTCGCTATTGCTCAATCTATCTCCGGCACTGGTGCTCTTCGTATGGGTGCCGAGTTCTTCAATGCTTGGTATCCTCATGCTAAGAACATCATTGTTCCCAACCCTACTTGGGGCAATCATATCCCTATCATGAAGAATGCTGGTCTCTCTTTGGAAAAGTACACCTACTTTGACAAGCAAACCAATGGCCTCAACATTGACGGTATGTTGGAAGATCTTCACGTAAGTTTTTTTTTTTCGATTTGCTCGGGGCGAAAAGCATGATTTCTGATTCGCTTCAATTCAATAGAAAGCACCCAAGAACACCATTGTCTTGCTTCATGCTTGTGCCCACAACCCCACTGGTGTTGATCCTACCAAGGAACAATGGAACGAAATCTCCAAGGTCATGAAGGTATGTAAAAGCAACAAAAATTTCTTTAGGGTTGACTCATTCTTGTGCAACCAAGAGTCATAATTGATGTGGAATTACAGCTTACTGATGCGAATTGTCATTGATTTAGGAACGTGAGCATTTCTCATTCTTTGACATGGCCTACCAAGGCTTTGCCTCTGGTGATTGTACTCGCGATGCTTATGCTCTCCGTAAGTTTGTTGATGATGGTCATCAAGTTGTTTTGGCACAATCCTTTGCCAAGAACATGGGTCTCTATGGTGAGCGTGTCGGTTCTTTCTCCATTGCCTGTGCTGATGCTGAAGAGAAGGCTCGTGTTGATTCTCAACTCAAGATCATCATCCGTCCCATGTACTCCAATCCTCCCATCCACGGTGCTCACATTGTCAGCACTGTCTTGAACACACCCGAATTGAAGGAAGAATGGCTCGGTGAGGTCAAGACCATGGCCGATCGTATCATCACCATGAGAGATAAGCTCAGAGGTCATCTTGAAAACGACTTTGGATCCAAGAAGAGCTGGAACCACATTACAGATCAAATTGGTATGTTCTGTTACTCTGGTATGACTCCCGAGCAAGTTGAGAAGATCAAGTCTGACTGGCACGTCTACTTGACCCAAGATGGCAGAATTTCCATGGCTGGTATCTCTTCTGCTAACGTCAAGTACCTTGCTGAAGCTATTCACAACGTCACCAAAGATTAAACTTGTTTCGAATCGACATTTTTTATATGATCCATGTAACATTTAGATATATTTTAGTATTGTTCTTTCTTCCCTTTCGAATACCTTTCCTCCCTCACTTGTTAATAACAACAGTATATGCTTTTATCATGTAATTTTTGTTGTGGTGCTGTTATTGTTAAGATTTCTTCGATTTTTCCCGTCAAAATAAAAACTTACATTAAACAAAAACGACATGTAACTTTAATAATAGGGTTCAGTGTAACAACTGCAATAGACAAAAGAAGAAAAATCCGGGAAGAAATAGGTAATTTCATATGGTATCAAGGGCTATCTCATGTGAAATCTTGTAATACTCTTGAATCGGGTAGTCTTATTCATGCAACTTGAGTTCATTCAATGTGCAAATAACTATAGCTTAGACTAACTATCACTGCTCATGCCCTAGCAGAATAGTCTACAGGCACACGGCATTGGGATCTTAACTTTGTTAGAAAGCAACATTAAATAAGCCATGAAAGCTGAAAGAAAACCTTATTGGTAATTCCCACGAAGGAGAGGCGATTCTTTATTTGCATGTGTACAGGAACGGTCGTCAGGGTAAATTATTGCATACTCGGAAAAATAACTAAAAAACTCGTATATCTGAAAGGAGTAATACTTAGAGATGAGAGCTGTAAACTTAGTTTGATGAACAAATGGCTTTGATGCCTGACTACCGCCCAGATTAGACAGAAATTTCGTATACAAAATAGTCATCGTACTATACCTAATTAAACCATGCAAATACAATAGCTAATCAGCCAATACAAAGCAATCGCTTGGCGATGACCGCCATCCATATCCAAACTGAAAACACTTGAGAAATGTTCACGATAAATAGAATGCAGATATACAAACAGCAAATGAAGTACTCTCTCAACTTTGTTACCCGAGTTAATGTAAAGTGGGTTGTTGACGGATCCATTGCTTCCATGTTGGCTGCCAGTGGTGAAGATATGATTCAGACATCTACCTTCAACCAACATTTGATTCAAAGCCATAACTTCTATCTCAAAGATGCCAGAAAAAAAAATACAGTAATTGTCCTTTAGTTTGAATAATAAAGGCGAGATTTTTATTTATGTATTTACGTTGATATTTGTTGGTATGTGTAAAAAAAAAAAAAAAACGGGGAGGTTATAGTATATATAAAACAATAAATGTAAGTTATTGGCGAGAAGAGTTCATGAACTGAGGCATCCAAGAGCTACGTTTTTCACGCTTGCTGTCATCTTGCTGTGATTCAGGGTTGACAGCAGCACCGCCTCGCAATGGCTTGGCAATTCTACCAAAGTTGATGGCTGACATGGCTGGCTGGTTGGATTTTTGAGTTCTTGCTTGCTCCAGTCTATCTCTAACAGCTTGAAGTTGTGCTTCAAACTTTTGATTTTGGTGTATCAATTTCTCCTGTGCGTCTCCCAATAATGATTCTAAGCTTTGGATACGTTCATTTCTTGCAATCAGTTTGCGCTCGGCAATAGCTACTTCCTTCTTGAGTGAGCCATTTTGTTCAACGAGCTAAATCCTAATGTTAGATCATCGGTATATGCGGCCTTTTAGCTGATGTACTTGCCTGCTTTTGAACGTTGGTTAATTGCTCTAAATTACGCTCCAGGAAAGCCATCTTCTTTTGTTGTCCCTTGTTGTTACTAGCACGCAATACGTTGTTGTATTGTTCGCGCGTCTCATCAAGTGACATTTCTAATTCGACAACTTTCTCACAACGGCCTTGCAGATCTCTCATCAATGCCTTCTTCATCATCTCAAAATCAGCTAGTTGCTGAGCCATCGTCTTTCGCATGCGTTCGAGATCTCTTTCCTTTTCAGAAATGTCTGTGGGTTCTCTTGAGGATTGATCCGAGAGAGCAGTCTGTTGCAATGCATGAGTCTCTGGTGACTAGCAACATGCCTCTATATTGGACACTTACCTGGAGTTGATCGTTGGCTATCTTTAGATCATTCATGGCGCTCGTCATCTTTGCATGATCAGCGGCCTTCTTTTCCAATTCCAACTTGAGTTCATCGATCTCTCTTTGTTGATTCTCCTTTTTGGAGGCATACTGGTGTTCTAATTTAGACTGTACATCATCCTATTTAGATCACAACTGGAACAGAGATTCGAGCATAATTCCTTACCTTGAGTGTAGTGATGGTTTCAGCAAGATCCTCATTCTTTTGAACTTGAGCTTCCTCCTCTGCAATAGTCTTGTCTAAGAGCTCCTCGTACTCTTGTTCTAATGTAGCGAAACGGCCTTCCAACTCTAGCTTCTTCTTCTCGATAATTTCCTTTTCTTCTGTCAATAGGTCAATCGTCTTTGTGTGCTGTTCTACCAAGATGCGAGAGTCAGAAAGGTCGCGTCTGAGTGAGACTAACTCCTCGACAGATAGGCCATTGCCGTCCAACTCCAACTTGACCAGGGCATCTCTGATTTGACGTTCCTTCTCGTTCATTTCACTAGTGACATCAAAGCCAGACATGATTTGAGCCATCTTCTCGGCCTTTTTCTTTTCCTTGTCGCTCTGAACCACCTCGTTTTGAGCCAACCTCATCTCTACAAGGCTCTTCTTCAATTCCTCCAACTCCGAAATCAGCTCTTGATTTGCCTCCTTGAGTGAATCGACAGTGATGGCATTTTCCTTGCTTTCGTAAGAGATCTTTTGCAGCTGCAAACGCAAATTGCTCAACTCTGAAGTCATGACCTGATTCTCTTGTGTGACAGACAGCTCTTGCTCCTTGTAGTAGTTCATTTCTTCCTTGATGGAGTCCAGCAGCTTTTCGCGGTTGTTCAACTCGGTTTCCTTTTCTGTAATCTGATCCATCAGCTCATTTTCACGGCGCAGGAATTCATCACGCTCGTCTTTTTCTAATACGATAGCAGGTGTTGCAGGGCGAGACAGATCATCCGGCAGTGGACTTCTGAAACCTGAAGGCAAAGATGAGGCAGTTGTGGGGGTAGCAAAATCACCTCTCGTGACCTTATCCATTGTCACCCATCGCTCTTCAGGTACCGTGTTGCCTGATCTCCAAATGCTAACTTCACCTTCCAAAGCAGCAATGTAGGTTTTGAACGTAACTGTCTCTGTTTTCACCTTCTTCAACAGTGCCTTGAGCTCAGCAGGACTAAGATCAGCGTTGACTTTGGCCTTGTTCTTGATGGATTTAGCTCGCATACCAAAACGTAAAGTTGACAGTGTCTCAGCCTCATTGTACGACGAAGGAGAGCAGTTGATAATAAGCGTTGTTCGAGAATTACCACCCAATGACTCTTGCAAAATACGAGTTAATTTGGAATCTCGATATGGAACATGACTCGACTAGAGCATTGAAACAAATTAGTTTGAGATTTTCGAAACTAATAAATGAGTAATATTTTTTTTTTTTACCTTTCCGTCAGTCAGCGAGTTGATGACCATACCAAGTGCCGTTAAGGATTTGTTGATTTTCTTAGCTTCTTCCAAAGTCTGGCCTGAGGCTCCAGTTTTGCCTACTTTTTCGGAACCAGCCAAATCAACAAGATACAGTTTACCGCTCTTTGCTGCTCCAGTGTCAATATTCTTTTGAGTGATGGTGACAACGACGATGGAATGACTACGGGAACTCTCGGCGTTCATGTTGGTAGATGCCACTACACGATTGCCACTACCATTTCTCATGACTTCGTATACATCCTCAGAGGATCCAACATACACCTCCAATAAGCCCTTGACATACACACCGTGCGCTTTATCTTCGTGGATGGGAAGGTTGTCCATGGATGCTGAGAATTAAATGATGATGGTGTTAATGTGCATTTCATTTCTCTCAAATGTTCATATACGTACGATTCAGCAAATCCCTGACCTTCTCCATGTAAATTTCCATATAAGACACCTTGACAGTGAATTCCAGGTTGCTTGGTGCAGCCATGATACTATCAAAGATCTGACCAATGATACGAGGAATGATACCTCTCGTATTTTCATCATCAATGTCAGCACCCTAATGCACTTTTGTTGTTAGTTTAACTGTTGCTATGATCCATTAGGAAACACACTGTACCATCATGGTGAATGTTTTACCAGAACCAGTTTGACCATAGGCAAATACAGTACCGTTATAACCAGCAGTGACATCTGTTCAGCGTTGCAATGGAGAGATGGATGATGGGTAATTAAGATTTTAATTTAAAGCTCTTTATGAATATTTGAATAGCGAATATCAGCAACATTTACCATCAACAATCGTCTTTATAGAGTAGTCAAACACATCTTTCTGAGGGGTATTCATGCCAAAGACTTTGTCAAAGGCAAAGCTGCCCTGAAAGTCTTTGCCCTGTTTGTAATTTCATGTGTTAGTCTTTGAAAGGAAGCGACTGCATCATGAAGCAACTTGCCTTTAAATCCAGTTGAGTTCCTTCTTCGTCGATATCGATAATGGGGACACCTCCTTCCCTGATTTCAAGGGAGTTTTGAGGTCTAAAACGACACACAACCTTGATGTTGTTGGACATGCTTTGTATGTAGTGGAATAAAGAAAAGAAGTGGAAAGAGAAAGAGAAAGAAATGGGAAACCTTCAACAACGGAACTAAAATAAAAAAGATTGGGACCTGTAAAACCTACGTTACTGAAGAACGCGCTTAAACCTTGTGCGTGTGTGTGTGTATATATATGTGTGGAGAGAGAGAAAAGAGCATCCGATGTGCTCTTGTGAGACAATTTCATTTCTTTTTCACCATACAACATGAATTCACAAAATTTGCCTTCTTTACTGACTGCACCAAACAAAACATTGGCAGGTCCACCACCAACATCCAGAAGGCCTTCAAATAACAACACACCGTCCATTGGACCCAATAAGCCTAGTAATATGACTTCGCCTTTACCTCGTTCACCTTCATTGGAACTCTCTGATTCTTTCTCGGTCCTGTCATCTATCTCGCCTATTGCAACTGCAACGACTCCAGCTGCATCTGCTATAACACCCAAGTTTGGTATCAGTTCACATCATAATACTAAATCTCCCACGGAGCAGCATGGCCCTTTCTTTTCAGTCTCTCAACTCACTGCAATAAAGCCTATTTGCTCACATTTGACAATAGAAGATTGGTCGTTTCTGGCATTAGAGAAATACCCAGCAACTCACAACTCGTAAGTGTGCTTCGTCGATCAATGTCAATGTACCTAACAGCTTCTTCATTCAGACAAGATGCCTATGACTTGGAGATAAGCACATTGGGCTTGTCCATTGAACTTGGTAATTGCCTTGGATAAAATACTTGTGCAACATTTTATTAGATGTGCTAAACTTTTAATACATAGCTGCAAATAATACAAGAACACGTAACTTTAATAAGCTTCTTACCCATCTCCTCGGTCTATTGCAGCATTTGCAGACCAACACATTAGAGTAAGTCTTGTAGCTTTATGCAAACCATGCTATTAACATGCCAGCCCCAGCACAATTCCTATAGAAACTTACAATGCATTATTCTTGGTGCGAGTATTTACAAAGCAATTCAACGGAAATCTGACGAATAACGAGATTATGGAGCAATTTGAGGATGATCCTAATATGTCAAAAGCAGAACAGTTGATTGAACATCTATTATACATTTTGATTAATATGGATCCAAGGTATTTGATTAAACCTATCATACCGTAACGGCATCACTCTAAAATTGCTCCCCATTTTCTTTCAGCATGAATTACTCGACCTACGAATTTTACACTGAAGTGCTCAATACAGTCCTCGTTTTATGCTCAACCCAACTCCAGCAAAACAAACTATCTCAAGACAACAGCTATTTTCTAGGGATTCTCATGTCAAAGTTTGAAAACCGAGCTGAAACTGTAGTCGCTAGATTGCTAGAAAATCTGATCGAGCAAAAGACGCCGCCTCCTCAGTCTTCTAGCGTCATGTATACAGCTTACAACTACTTTTTCTCGGGAAGATCCAACGCCAACTCGGATGCAGATACAATGCCTGTAGCAGATCGAAGTCTATTGCTGCTGCTTTTGCTAGGCATGCAATCCGGCTTTGAAAAAAGGAATGCAGCATGGAATAAATCGTATCGATTCGCTATTGCCAATTTGAGCGATCATCATGGTAGGTGAAAGAGAAATTCAGGCGCAATATGGATCTAATCCCACACACGGCTAGTCATTTCAAGCGACATTGATGGATGTGATCGCAAAATGCACTTGATTTCATTCAAGGGCTTGTTTGAGATATTCAGTACATCCATTCAAGTGGAGGAAAGAATGTTGTTGTTTTATTTGATACTGGTGGAGAATGAAGCATTTCGAGTGTATGTTTTATCCAGAACAGACCAAGAAACAATTGTAAGTGTAAACACGGTGTTGACACCTTGGAATGGCTTGTGACTCAATTGAATTAGTATCTACCAATATTGAAATTGATATATGAATCCATGGAAGGAAAGACCAATTTCTCTCAAATCTATATTTTGATGGTGATCCTGCTAATTCTTAGTCAAGACGATGTGAATAATGAAGCCATACAGAAGATTGTAAGTGGAAATGACTAGAATGCTTTAGACATACTCAACAGTGACGCTCTAAAAGATTGTGCACAACACCACTTGGTTTACAGAGAGACCTTTGTTGAAGTCAGTGTCCTTGGGTGGTCTGATGACATTGGTGCTAATACGTACTCTGCAATTGAATCTGTCTCACCAAAGAGATGTATATCTGCACACGAATTGTCTAGCTATTTTGTCAAATATGTCCAACACAATGTCTGACATGCATGCATACGTAGCTCAGAGGATCATTAGGTAAGAGTGCCGAAATGTCATCTGCTCAGTAAAATGGTTGTACCAACAAACTTCAGTTTATTTGAAGTGTTAGCAAGACGTTACACTAAACTGGCCGAAAAGCAATCTCTGGATGTAACAGTATACGAAGACTTGCTTGTACTTTTGCTAGAAATCATCAATTCAACGCTGACACATCGTCTAAAGCACAACTCGCAGCTAGTGTATGCTCTATTGCAAAAGCGAGAGATCTTCTCTCCATTTCGAAAACATCCTCGACTATCTGACCTTGTACAAAACCTAGAGCAAGTCATTGTTCATTTCAATACGCGTGTTTCCGAAGCCAATTTGAAAGCACCATCTTCCAATGAAGTCCTGAAGCTGATTGAGCAAGCTTCTCGTACATGGTCTAATCAAAAACTCACAGTAAGTAGGCTATATAATTAGCAGCATGAACGACTAATTTGCAATGATAGCTACTACCTCATCTCAAGTTTCAGTACAAGGAGGAGCAAGATTCGTTCGAATTCTTTATACCCTATATTTGGGCTTTGGTCCAAAGAAAATCATTCATTTACTGGAGTGAGGAAAAGAGCCACGTACTTGATAATTATCGTTTAATGAATGAGGAAATTGAGCAATAAGCATCGTTAAGAAGGCTCTATTGGATGAATAAAGTGCACTTTACAGATTAGTATCAGCGTTTTCATGCAAAACGACAGCATTGAGCTTTTCACCTTCAAATTGTCATTATTATTTTTTTTTTTTTTTTACCATGGTGTTCCTAAGCTGAGATCGGTCAAACCCTTTTTGATGCATATTTTTGTGTCTTTGTACACAATCCTTTACTGAATAAGATACTTGAACAATAAAAAGGGCTATAGAGTTACAATACTGTCGGTGCTGCTTTTTGTATCTCAAACTATAATGAACTCATACGGCAGTTTCCATTCTGCCATCAATGAACTACTATAGGTTTTCTTGTGCAGTTGTGTCTATACCAATTGTTGCCTTTGGTGAACAATGCGTGGTTTCTCTTGCACGAGAGACATAATCGGCAAAAACATTTATTAGAACTATAACGCACTTCCTCATGGCACTGCAATCTCCAGTGCCGCAGATTTTGACAATTCGCATGAAGACCATAGTATATATTTATCTTCACAAGTCGCATAACATGTAGATTGATGTATGCACATCATGCAACTACGTATTTTAACAATTAGGGCTGATGATAGACCAATATACAGCAAAATTTAGGTGCATTTGATCAGTAATTTCTCGCTTTAGAAGCCTTTTTAGACCGCCAGGATAGCTCCAAACAATTGCTCTCGCTTAGCACTTGCTCACTGATACCTTTGCTCAACTTTTTGAGGATCGAAAAAACATGGCCAAAAATCGGTTCAAAACCATGAGGTATCCCTCATGGTTTCCATCGAAATTTAAACGATCGCATTTTTTATCTTGAAAATGAAGACTTTTACTATGGTATGTATTGAATCAAAATGTTTCTCTCGGCCCATAGCAACCTCTGAAACCACTTTTATGAGGCTTTCATATGCAAAATATGGCTATTTTCGCTAAAAACCTCATTTCATATTTTACCAAATTTCTCAATAATTTCAGTCAAAACACTTATTACAGTTAACACCATTGAAAGCGTCTTGAAAAGTACTTCAAGAATGTATTAAGAAGCATAGGGTGATCATCACAGCTTATATAGTCGAATAGCATGAAATAGATTAAAGAGGTCGAAAAAAGACTAAATCTGTCCAATCTTGAACAGAAAAAAATAAGCTGAGTTTGAATCAATTTTGGCAGCGGTATTGCTGCTGGCTGACCTAAATACCTTTCTACTGATGACAATGAGGATTGCGATGGTATAAATACTGCATAAAATTTAATTCATGTTTCACATTGTCCCAATAATGGGCTTTGTTTGATGTCAGTGTAAGCAAAAAGGATGCTGAGGGAGATACCTCCTCTCCTCCTCCTGGATCTGATATCACTTTTCTTTTACTAACTAACAATAATTGGTTGTTTAAAACCTACTTGATTTACCAAAATGTTATAATATCTGAATTAAAATGTCTTCAATGAGAGCCCGCAGGGCGGCGCCGATATCGAGTGTAGCGAGGTAGATCGGCTAGTATTCATATAGCTGATACTACGATGTTATAAATGCAACTGCAGCGTTTTCAGATTAGTGGTATTCAGTCTTCCTCTTTCTACATACCGCGACACACATATTTCAGAGCTACTTGTAACGTGAATGATGAAAAACCGTTGATTGCATATGGCAGAAACTCATAATCCCGTATGTAACCTATACATTGAGCGAAAAAGTTTTAAACATTATGGTACAAGGATGCCGCATGTGTACTTGCATAGCAATGGTTGTACAAATTACATTTCTAAATCTCGAAACCTGAACTGAAGAAGGGAATAAACATTTTCTTGTTTCATTATATTATGCTATACCATTGCTTTTATTGAGCTATAAGCTTTTGCTTGCCCGCAGCAAAGGAAAAACAGGTTATGGATTGAATAATGCAATTTCTTGAGAATAAAGAGGTGTAGACATTACGCTGGTAATGTATTCCTCAAGGATTGATTTGAAATTTTATCTTATAAAGCTCATATTTCTTCCGCCTGTTCTATGTAGAATACTTACAACGCCTGCCGTAGCACTAATCATAAAGTGCAACTTCTTTACTTTTTCTCTAGCAAAGCAGGCTGTTTATAATCAGAGATGCAACTGCTTTTATAACCTTAGCCTTTGAACATCTCAAACGCATTTTTGTCATAAGAACAGCGATAACCCTCACTGCCTGCCCTAGCCCCCAAGTATCAATATGACAATCTACATTACGACACGTTTATAAAAATAAGAAATTACTAACCGTATTCTGAGCAAAGGCCACACAAAGACCCTTTTATGAGGATGCTTATATTTCTATAGTCTGATTTATTCACATTGGTGTTATGGAATAGGCTTTCATCCAAATTGAGTGATATACCATGTAGCCAATAGAGTTTATGGAGTCTAGACAAGTTGCCATACAGCAAGGATCATGCTGTTGCATAGTAGTAATGTCTAATCATGGTACATCTTCCGGATGGGTCCTTGAAAATTTTCGCGTGTCCTTGCGACAGAAATTCGCTCATGCAACAATAAATTGTGTGTACAATTCGAATTCCATTGGAAAGAATGGATAGGTGTTGGCTGATCATTAAGCAGTTAACAATGATTCTCGAGAAATAGGAAAGATTTACTTTTTTAGCATCTGATGTATAAATAGTCCGTTTTACTTGTATTCAGTACATGACCATTTATAGTGAACACAGAGAGTTGTTATACTACATTTTATGGGAAAATCGAATGCAAATCAAAGGAGCCATCTCCATGTAGTTTATCTCGAAGCATTTACCGAGGCGGATGCAATCATGATACATGCTTATTGATCAGCAAGCAGAGTATGACATGGCCACAAAAATTAGTTGAAAATCATCGTGCCATTGATCCATGCTTAGTGTCGTCGTGCACAGAGCTTGTAAATAATAAACAGATCAGCTTTAACTTTATATATTTTTTTTTGGGAGGCACAATAACTTTTTGAATGATGTATCATCAGGTGGTTAAAGGCACTGCTAAGCTACTGTACGTTCTTGATCTCTCTAAACACCCACACTGTCGTTCGAATCTGAGTAGAGACAGACATTTCATATGAATTGAACAAAAAAGTTATCCCACACCCAAAAAGCTTGTAATTGTATACATGATTTGTGCTACGAAAATCCATTCAAAAATGTGGTATTCGCTTCTGAATTGAATATTCTTGTATGATTTAGAAATTTACTCAAGCATTGTACAACACGAAAACAGAATCTAGGTACTCTTTCTTTTCTACTACAAGCTGCGTTTCTGTGATCCAGCATTGACGATACATATTACTGTTGTATATTTAAACAAGGACATCTCACCATGTATCTCCTCTTTTCTTTTCCACATTCATTCTGTTATTTATATACTGTTTGCTGCTTTCCCTTAATTCTTTCCTTACTCTCCACTCATTTTTATTATAAAGTAATAAACACTAATTCATCTTCATGGCTGATCATACACATCAGACATACAATCATGATGCGGTTGTATCTGATAACCACGATTACTATCACAACGATCATGATGGTCTTCGCAACGACGATTTAATGGAGGAATACTCTGAAAAAGCCGCTCCTCCTCCTAAACAAAAGTTTTACAAAAAGAAAAAGTACTGGATCATTTGCTCTATTACTACGGTCATTGTAGTGGTAGTTGCTGTTGTGTTAGCTCTCTATGTCATCTTCCCCAAGATTGCTCAGTCCTTGATGAACAAGTCCAAGATTGATGTTACTGCAGCTGGCATCACATTCAACAAACCCAATGCCTTGGCGAACCAGGTCTATGCTAAGCGTGATGGCGACGACATGAACTCGACCTTCTACATGAACATGGAAAGTGCTCTCTCTGATACCGGTCCATTCCACGCCACCATTAAGTTCCATAACCCTGTTCAAATCTTTTACAACGAATCCTATCTCGGTGATATTTTCTTGTACAATGAAACAAGCATTGGCGGTGGCCATGGTACTCTCAATGCCATTACTCCTTTCTTGATCAGAGATCAGGCTGCTTTTACTGCTTTTGCAAAGACCATGCTGGCTGTGGAATCATTTAAATGGACCCTCAAGGGTAAACTTGACATTACTGCTCTCTCCAGGTAAAATCATTGGTCCTTCCTTTCTCATAATACAAGAAGCTTTTTTTTCTTTCTTTTTTGCATATATGAGGAAACGATACACAAAATCAACTTGATGCTAACCTTGTTTCATAAAATAGAACCGCCACTGTGGACCTGAACAAGGAGATTGTTCTGAATGGTAGGTTACGCAAACCAAATTGTATGTATTTATCCAAAAACTCAACCTTATGCTTGATTCCCTTATTTAGGTATGAATGGTTTCCCAAATGTTAAGATCAATTCATTCCAGCTTCCTGGCGATGATCCCAATGGCGGTATTCTAGTTGAATTGGGCACTGTCTTAGAGAGTCCGTCTCCTATCGGTGTGCAGTTGGGCACTATCAAGCTCGCTATCGGCTACGATGGCGTGCCATTGGGTATGGTTGCTGCTCAAAACGTGAACCTTGCCAAGGGTGAGAACAACATCCTCCTCAAGGGTACTCTTTCTCCTCACAATGACACTGCTTCTCTTGACAAAATTGGTGTGCTCTTCTCCAACTATGTCGCTGGCCAACTCTCTAATACTTCTGCTGTTGGTGTGTCTTGTGCTCCTGACGGCGTGAACCCTATCAACTGGCTCTCTGAAGGTTTCTCTACAGTCAACTTGAATGTGGGTCTCACTGCTGGTGCTCCTCTCAAGATCATCAACGGCGTCAGCATGGGCTACCTTGACCTGAAGTTTGACCCTGCTGCTCCTTACTCACCCATTGCCAATGCTCCTGCTGTCACTGCCAACTTCCAGTTGCCCTTTGGTTTCTCCTTGAACATTAGCGAAGTCTCTCAAAACATTACTCTTGCCATTAATACTACCGGTGCACAAACCGAGAGCTTTGCTGTGATGCAAACACCTTTCACTCCTGCTGTTAGCAACCAACAAAGCGGCACCATCATCTTCCCACTGAACAATACAGCTATTGCTGGTATCCCCGGAAAGGAGAGCTTCTATAACCAATACACCTATGCCTTGACTGCTAGTGATAATTACACCTTTATGGTCTCTGGTATCGCTACTACCAAAACCAACACGCCGATCGGTCCCATTGTATTGACTGGTATCAACTTTACTGTGCCTACCACGCTCAAGGGCTTGCAATTCTTGAACAGCACAGCCACTGTCATCAATTCGCTGGATGTCACTGGTGGTACCGAGGCTGGCCTTGCTCTTGCTATCAATGTCACTATGGAGAATCCATCTGATTTCGGTATCTCGACTGGTGATGTGAGCTTCAATATGGGTGCTAGTGGTACAACCCTTGGCCTTGTTACTTTGAACAATCTTACCTTGAACCGTGGTCAAAACACGGTTGCTGCTGCTGCTTCCTTTGACCCCAAGTCATCCGATGTTGGACAAAATCTGCTCAGTACCTTTGTCATGGGCTCCAACAATGCTGTCGATATCTCTGGTTATGCCAACTCTACCAGCATTGCCTCTCTTGCTCAGGCCTTGAGTGTTGTCAGCCTCAGTTCTACGCTTCCTGGTCTCACCACTGCTCTGATTCAAGGCTCTTCTATGTCAGTTCTCGACAACACCTTGCAAACAAGCATGGTTGGTGTCAAGGTCACTATTGCCAATCCCTTCTCTGCTGGCTTGAGCATCTCCAAGGTGGTTGCCGCTGCTACGTTTGTCGGTATGCCTGTTGGTAACATCGATCAGGACATTAGCAGTAATCCCTTTGTCATTGGCGGTAAGGCCACTGCTACCTCTCAAGACTTGAGCATGAGCATGAACCTGGAACCCGCTGCTGTTGCCTTGTTGCTCCGTACACTTGCTGTTCAAGCTAATATGGATACCAGAGCCCTTGATGGCCTGCTCGCTTTGGGTGGCTTCAACATTGAAGGTCAAGAAGATGTCGGCACTGATTCCAGTCTCTTTAAGGGTTTTGACGTGTCCAAGTTTACTTTGGATGCTATGAAGGCATTGAAGGTCGATCTCTCTCTCTCTTCCACCATCACCATTGGTCAATATGTCAATGATTTGGCCTTCTCTCAAGCTGGCGTTGCTGTTGCCGCTGATAACTCTGTCACCAAGTTGATCCCTATCGTTGGTCAGCCTATCGTGCAACAAGTCGTGGATGGCTCTATTCTCGGTTTTGAGACGATTGTCATGTCCAATGTCGCTGAAAACTCATTCACTGTGCAAATGAAGGGTAGTATCTCCAACTCTGGCCCTATGGATGCTACGATCAGCTTCCCTACACCTCTTACCATCTACTGGCAAGGAAAGACGCTCGGTACAGTCACTATGGCCAACATCGAAGCCAAGGCTGATGTCGGTGCTTCCTTTGATGTCCAAGGCAGTTTCTCTGTCAATAACGGCAATGACATGGCTGAATTCTCTGCTTACTTGATCAACAACGAGTCCTTTGAATGGGAGATTGTCAGCAAGGATGTCAGTGTCACTGCTCTTGGCTTTACCTTTGTGGGCGTCTCTCTTGACAAGTTTGTTACCTTGAAGGGTTCCAACGGCTTCAAGAACGCTGTTACCGTCAAGTCCTTTGATTTACCTGCCAATGATCCTGCTGGTGGTATTACTCTCACTGCTGATACTGTCATCAACAACCCTAGTCAAGTGGGTTTCAACCTCGGTGGTGCTGTATTTGAGACCTACTTCACTGGTGTTGACCTTGGACCACTTGCCACTGATGGTGCTGCTTTCTTTGCTCCTCTCTCTTCCTCTAGCATGAAGATGAAGGGTCGCTTGATCCCACAAAACACCAAGGAAGGTATTGTTGCTATCACCACCGTCTTTGGTCACTATCTTGCTGGCATGTCTTCTGAACTCACTATCAAGGGTGTTTCTGGTTCTGGTAGCAATGGTCCTGTCAGCTGGCTTACTTCTGCATTCAAGACCATCAACATTGAAAAGATCGTTTTGCCTGGTCCTCCCACTATCCCTGAGCTTATTCCCTCTGTTGAAATGAAGGATCTCAAGCTGGACTTTACCAAAGATCAATGGGCTCCTCCCACCAGCTCTTCTAGAGTCGAGGCTCAACTCAAGAACCCCTTCGGTTTCCCTCTCTCTGTTGCTCAACTTGACATGAAGGTAGAAGCTACTTACCACGGAGCCTCTGTTGCTACTCTTGACATCCCTACATCACCTGCTTCCACATCCAACACTGGTCTAATTACTACTGGTTTCAATGACATTCCATTCAAGGTGGTCAACCACGAGCTTTTTGCTGGTTTCAATGCGTTGTTGACCTTGACGCCTAGTGTCACCTTTGGCCTGAAGGGTACTTCCAATGCTGTTGCTAACACTGCTGTTGGTACTCTGTCTCTTCCTGGTGTCAAGTTTGATGTTGACACTCATTTAGCTGGTAAAGAAGAGACAAATGTATTGCTGATTTCTTTTTTTTTTTCTCTCTAACATTGCTAAATTCTTTTATAGGTTTCAATAGCTTTGGAAATACTGCTATTGTCAAGTCTCTCAAGGTCACTGGAGCCACACTCAAGTATATTATTGTCGAGTTGGATGTTACATTAGCCAATCCCTCCAACATTACTATTACCATTGGTGATGTCAACTTTGATGTTTATATGAACGAGTTTAATGCTATTGTTGGTAAAGCTTACATGCTGGATACTACGATCAAGCCTGGCGCTCAAGACTACAAGTCCATCATGCATTTGGGTGAAGGCGCTACAAGCATTCAAGCTGTTGGTAAGATGCTCTTCTACTACTTGACTGGCGCTGCTGTCCCTTTGACTATACAAGGCTCTCCCACATCCACCACGATTGAGCCTCTTAAACAAGGTCTATCTCAACTCAAGCTTGCCACTTCTATCAACGGTGTGAATGAAGGCTTGATTGAGCAAATCGACGTTGTTGGTGACCTTGGTACCATTGTTAGTACTAGCCTTGCTAGCGCCAAGATCAGAATTCACAACCCCTTGGACACTCCCTTCACACTGAAGCACATCAAGGCCTCTACTACTCAATACATGACATGTAACAATGCCGGCTCTGTCAGATACACAAACCAAGAAATCGGCACTATTGATTACGAACTTCCTACTCCCATGGTGATTCCTCCCAAGTCGAGTGTTACATCTGATGACTGGCCAGTGACAATTGACTTGTCTAGACTTGAAATTGTCATGTCTGCTGTCGCATCTGGAGAACGCTTCTATAATGTAACCCAAACAGCTAGTGTTGTTGTCGGTGATGGTTTTCAAAGTTCTGAAATGTACTATACTCAACAACATGTTCCTTACACCATCGTTATCCCTGAACTCACTGGAATGTCTCCAGAGGAACTGCAAGCATTCTGTGATGCTCCACCTTCGGGCGGCTTGGAATTGCTCAGTCTCAATAACGGAACAGCCAATGCCACTTCTTCTGCTGTCCCCTCTTCTGCCCTTCCTACTAGCACGCCTTTACCCACTGGTAGCACCGATCTTCCTTCTAGCGCCACCGCTGTCTCAACAACAACCGAGGAAGGCAAGTCTACCACTACTGAGGAAGTTAAGCCTACCACAACCAAAGAAGCTCAGCCTACCACCACTGAAGAGGCTCAACCCGCAACCAGCACGGAACCAGTTGCTCAATCCACTGCCTAAATTCTTTTTAATGATTTCTTATACAAATTAACGATACTCTTACCCCTATAATATACTCTTTCTATCTTTATCAATATTGTTTTACATATGAATACGCTGTCAACTATGAAAATAGGATGCTAAATGTAAATTAATAATGCAAACATCACTAAACAATCATTAAAAAAAAATACTCCATCTTATTCGTAACCTTTCTTTCTCTGTGGCGAGTATTGTAAAAGAGGCTATTTAAAGCTACTGTAACATAGTTTTGTATGGATTGCATATTAATAGACTTTGATATTGAACACTCATTGTTGTAGGGGTTGGAATATCAAATTAAGTGTCATTGCCTACCATCATATAAATAAATTGAATTAAAATGGTTTGATTTGTGTACCTGAAGTTTCTATAGCCGATGTATGATATGTGAGTTGATACATGTCATGTTAATTCATACGCCATGAATGCGCAGTACATTTTAAATAGATTGCATTGTCAGCATTGCTGTGTGCTGTGTCTATTGCAGGTCCATTTATACATGATATCATCATGCCAGCAAATGTACTATTAATACACTGGATATGGCAATTTGTTTTGCAGAAATTAACTGGACAAAGGCATATTCGAAGAGTATATTTGGATAAACTGAGATACATGAATCTAAAGAGGGAGTAATATCCCACGCAATATGAGCAAAATCCGTGAAAATGTCACAAGATGAGCAAGAGCAAAAAGCTTCCAAGAGTTCCATTCAGATATAAATAATTTTTTACCATATATGAAAAGCGATCTTATATAAGAGATTGGATACTGAAAGAAGAGCATTCGTTGTATCATATCAACTGCCGCGGATAGACGGCATCTGCCATCCTTTGAAGCGTCTTTTGCTCACATCCTCACTTCCATTGAGATACTTTTTTTTTACGAGAAATGAGAATAGATACATAAACCCACCTTAGCCCTTTTTTCATTGTGCTACAGGCGAACCTTATATTATAGTCAACATCGACAGATTCATAGGGACTAAACATGTTCATCATGGAGATGTATAAGAGCTAGGCAGGCGGCCTTTCATTCACGGTGAGAGCTGCACGAGCAGATGACTCGCTTTAGAGGGTTACCCCACCTCAATTTAAATCAATTAATAAAGCTTGATTTGTGCTTTCACTTGTTCTGCTCTTTTTCTTTTTCTTTTTTTTTTTTTTTTTTTCTGTTCTTGTATTCCAGCATGAGGCTCATCTGCGTAATCCTGTTAATTAGCACACTGGCTTTGCTATTCCACACCGCTGCTGCTGATATAGATCAAGACACTGATCTAACAAAACCACAGCAAAATGACGATGATACATCACTGTTTCGAGGTGTGGAAAATGCCATTGATGAAGATTCTGAAGACGATGCTTACCGAATACTAAAGAGTCTGCAAGATGTCACAGATGATGAAATGGATGAAGATCAAGACTTCAGTCCAGACAGCAACGATGAGGACGAAGATGAAGAAGACAGCGATCTTCTATTTGATGATGTCGACGATGAAGATCAAGATGAGGATGAAGATGATTTCTCTGCTGATCTACCAGAATTCAAAAATGAAGAAACAGCAGACTTTTTTGAACATCTTCCGCAGCAGCCCGTAGACAATGGTGACAATAAGCTGAGCATTGTGGAAGACAACATCGAAGTCGAAGAAGTTGACGAGGAAATGGATGAATTAGCCCCTAAACCCGACCTTGGGGAGGACGACGACGAAGAAGAGGAGGAGCAAGACGATTCAAATCAACACAATGAAAACTCCACGCCTACTCCTGTTTTACCGCCCATCACCAATGAAAATATACCCTGGAACAGACCTGAGCCTGTCATGAAAGTTGATGGAAACTCAAACTTTTACCAAGACATCAATTACAAGGAATCCGAAAAAGTCAAGCAAAATCCCTCATCTACAAGCAACTTTCAATTTTGGCATTTATTTTTTATTCTCATGGTCCTGGCGATCGTTTATAACTCAATCACAAAGCGCAAGGTAAAATAAGTGCAAATTGAAACTTTAAACTTGGCACACTGACTGATCCGTTCTGCATGTTGATAGCCCCACAACTTTATTGAACTGCCCTCGTCCTCTTCTTCGCTGCCATGGGGCAACAAGGACGAAAAAGATTACTTGCCTGTAAGTGTCAGAGGCAGAAAGAAAACACTTCTTTGACTAAACCCATCATTCATTAGTTACACAGCAACAGCAAAAGAAATAGCTACTATAAATATGAAATTAAAAGCTCTTGAAAACAAAACATAGTGTGGACAGGAAACAAAGCACAGGTCCGCAAGATATATCCTCAATTGATTTAATAAATGCACTTTAATTTCTCTTTCCCTTTCGTGATGTATCTTTATTTTACATGTTTCCATTGTAATAACCAGCCATTTGCTGTTGCTGATCTCCGTACATTTGTTGCTGTTGAACTTGCTGTTGCTGCTGCTGTGCGAGTGAATCTTGGCCCTCTTCCTTCTCTTTACCAGTTGCTGTGGTTCTCTCAATCTTTGTAGTCTATCAAAAATCATACATGTTGGCATGTGGCAGCGCCTATTCCCAATGCGCGACTTACTTCACGGTATTTCCCAAGATAGATCTTCAATGCTTCTGTGTAGTTCTCGAAACCGAGAGATTGCATAGCCCATAAGATGTCTTCACCATTGATAGTCTTTCTCTTTTCTTGTTGACAACGATCACTGGCTGTGATACAGCGTCAATTTACGATATGGACGTGACATTTGGATCAAAATGACGCCTTACCTTCACTTGTAATGAATGAAATGAATTCAGAAACACACTCTTGAACACACTCTTTGGCTTCCTTTGCGATTTTGGCATTTTCAGGAAGTGCTTTCTTCATGATACGGGCGACACTGTAAAGAATATACTTAGAAAATCATACTTTACATGTTGCTGGCCGCATGGTCTTACTTTGCAATGGGAAGAAAGCGATCTTGCTCTTTAATGTCGATATCGAGTTCGTCTCCAGAGTGTGCTGACATACTTGCTTTTGATTAAGTAGAGACTTTAAACAAAGAAGGAAAGAAAAAAGTCTTTCTTCATCTAAAGACACTGCAATTTACATTGCATTTCCTCCGAGATTCTTTGGTCGAATGATGACGTCCCAAGCAAAAATCAAACTCGGGGGGTCTCAATTAAGCCTTCTAATGTCTTTCTCCACACAATTTCAAAAGGCAAACTGTTATTTCGGTTCCTTACTTATCATCTTACACTAACTTGAAACAATGTCTTCCCGTTTACTTTCTAAATCTCGTCTTTTAAAGCAAGCTTCTACTCGCCAAGCTATTCGCAGCTACGCTTCCGAGTCAAAGCAAGCCGCTCAAACCTTCCCTGAAGAATGTAAGCTGAATTCTTATTTTGTTTATTCAATGTTGTTTACAGTCTTCTGAATGATAGCCTTTGGTGGTAATGCCTGGAGAAATGGCGCCATTGCCATTGTTGCTGGTCTTGTTTGGTACCGTGTTGACCAACACATTACTCGTTCTGGTGATGTACGTCTCGTGGATAGAATGGGAAACATGTAGACATGCTCTGACATTTTTTGTGTTTGTAGGAGAAGCATCCCTTCACTCGTTGGATTGAATACCGTATGACTTCAGCTGAAAAGAACGATGAATTCAATCAAGCCAAATTGGCCTCTGCTGAAGCTGCTGCTGAATACAAGTAAATAGTGGATATCCAGCAATGACAATTACCAGTTCACTAAGTCTTCTTCCTGTAGATTGTTTGTTCAAGATGCTCAACGTGCACCCATCTACCGTATGAGATACCCCGAGTAAGTTCTGATATGGTTGATCTATATTTATATACTCATTGACCATGATTTTAGGGCTTTCGAACGTCATAGTGCTCGTGGACTCACAGCCGGTACTCAAGTTGATTTGACTGATCTCAAGGTTAGATCTGATTAGAGAACATAGAGAGACAATATAATTCCAAGTGCAATAAAAAAAACAGCGAAAAGAAAAAAAATGAATCACAGCTCATGTTTATATCATTCAACATTCGATACCTTGTCGCAACAACAAAGCATTACAACTGTGGGATTGTAGAGTCAACAGTGTGATGGGACATTTCTACCCTGGAGAGATTGTCATTTTTGGGGTAATATCGACCATTTTGTTTGGAAATATCATGCTCTCCTGTCAATTGAATTCAATCATTGAAACATCACTGAAATATCATCTGGCATTGATCATTATTATGCTTGCAACTGCTGTATAAGCTTTGATTTAGCATCGAGTATACGGTCAGAGCTCCACCAGCGTTGTATTTGCTCATGGAGATGCCTATAACAGACTATGAACAGGCTGAAGCTTTGCGATTTGGTAATGCCTGTCATCTTTCGTATCTCCATCTTCCGTTTATGCCATGATTTGTTGGTAGTATCGATAGGAATGTCTCTGGCGAGGGGCAAATGCTTGTTTTCATGTACTTGTATGTTGAGTCTGAGGGATCTTGGATGGCAATTCTATATGGTTTGGCACTTGCAGAAAATGTCTTCGATTCTGATCGCTTCCAGCATCACAATTGACCAAATTTCTACTAGATGAGTACCCAAAAACGCATATTTTGTAATGAAAGCAAACACAACAATGAATGACAAATCCACTGTTGCGCAGTAAGCAGAGCTGTTATACTAGTGTGCTTTTCTCCGGACCGAACGAATACCGTCATGAGTCATGGTGGCTATAAAAGCAGATTTTTTCTCGTCTTCAACCTTTTCGTTCCGCCTTTTTCTCGTTTTCTTCGCTTTTTTTTTTTTTTTCCTTCATCATCATACGAAATATAGAAGCACAAGGTCTTGAAGCTGTCTATTATCTATATAAGTATTTTAAATCTATAAAAAGGTGATTATATAAAGTGCAGCATCGAATGTAGAGAGTTCAAGTACTGAATTACTACGTGTTTATTATAGACCCCAACGCTACTGCCTTCCCCTCGCCTCATAATCAAGCAATAATCATGTCGAACGCCATTGTGGTAAGCACAGGGTTGATTTCATTGTTTTGTTTTGTTTTGGGATGTTGACGGATATTCACTGTAGTCAAATGTTTATCGATATGTCATTGATGATGTTATCAATCAAGTTCGTGGAGATTTCGAAGATATGGGTATCGATGACTCTGTTTTGCAGGAATTACAAAGAGTAAGCATTGTTGGCCCGTATAAGTCATGTATTAACAATTCAAATTACTAGTCTTGGGAGACCAAAGTAGCTAGATCTCGTGTAGCTAATTTTGGATTCAAGGAAGATGGCTATTATGATGAAGACGGCAATAACAACAATAACAATGGAGGAGATGCCAATGCTTTATCCAACAGCAATGTCAACACTAATCCAAATGGGCAAAAGGCAGCTCAGCTACCATACTCTGCAGAATATGCTAATAACAATAACAATAACAACAATCCACACAGTAACAATGGTCCCTCTGCTGCTAGTTTGGCCAGTTTGGCTGCAACAACTGCAGCAAGACCTCCTCCTCCTCCTCAGCCCTACGGACTACCACCAAACATGAGCAACAATAACAACAGCAATAATAACTCTAGACCCTTCCCTGATCCTGACCATTTATTAAATCAATATCAAATGATGCAACAGCACAAGCCTCCACATTTGCAACAACAACAACAACAACAACAACAACAACAGCATCAACAACAGCATCAACAGAATAACAATTTGCCTGAATTACAGTTACCTGGACTTCCCCGACCTAACCTCCCACAAAATGATGGTGCTAATGATTTCGAGCCTTTATCTACACAAGTAAGTTTTTGTCTGCTAATTGTGGATGTATGTATACTAAGACTGGAGCGATTCTGCAGCAAATCGATCAGCGCATTGAAGACATGATTCAGTCAAGTCAAGACAAGGAAGAGGAAATGCAAATTTCGTTTACAGCATCATCCTTCTCTGGCGAGCCGCTTGCCTTGGATTCACTGCCTGACAGTGTTAAGCAATTGATGCAAGAAGCAAGAGAAAGAGCTATTAAAGCTGGTGCTATCAAGAAGCGTACTCGCATTGCTCAGCTGGATGGCGAGGGAGACACTCCTGCTGCTGAAACCCCTTCTGCGTCCTCCACAGGTGCGCCAGATGCTTCAACCAACAATGCTACCACAACAGCAGCCACCTCCACAGCAAATGACGATGACATTAATTCTGACCTGGATGATACTGACGACGAGGATGACGATGGCGAGGGAGGAGAGGAAATTGAACATATTATTTTATGCCTGTATGATAAAGTGACAAGAACAAAGAACAAGTGGAAGTGTATATTGAAGGACGGCATCATGTTGGTGAATGGTAGAGACTATCTCTTCCATCGTGCCAATGGTGATTTTGAATGGTGAGCATGCGGCAGAGAGCTCAACTGTCTAGTATAAATCTCTACATATATAAATACATAACTAAAGAAAAAAGAAAAAAAAAAGAATTATAAAGAATGGATGAAAATAAAAAGAAAAAGAAAAAAAAAGCAAATTTATTGTCAAACTGTTTACTCGCATCATCGTTTGAATAAGGGGTCCAGATCACTAAACAACGCATTGTTGGTCGGTGTGGTTTTGAATGCAGTAAAAGTTGCTGTAGTAGGCGATTTTTGAAAATCGCCAAATGACAGTGAATCGCTGGACTCCATTTTGGTCATTGGTGGTGGAGTAACAGGCTTTGATCCTATGGATAAATCTCGTAAAGCGGCATAAGGGTCCAGATTAATTGGCCTGCTATTGTTGTTGCTTGCGGTAGTGGCCGCCTTTTGCTGTGCAATAGGACTAGTTGGTGTTGGGATTTGAAAGTTACTTGTCAAAGGTGATGAGGATGATGGTGAGTTGGGTTGCAAAATGCCACCAGAATATGTTGCCGTGGCTACAGGTTTTACAGGATTCAATGCTGCTAATTCTGAAAAGAAATCATTCTTTGCAGGTTGCACTGCTGCTGGTGTTGGTTTCTGTGATTGCGGAGCCGAAGCTAAAGGTGCGATAGGCACTAGATCTTCAACTTAGGACAATTCATTCAAATATCCCTAATATCAACTTACATCTTCTGCTAGTACTATTAGATGGCTGAGGAGGGGATGGAAATGTAGGCGACTTTGGAGATAACATTAAATCATCATTCAATAGTAGATCCACAGTGGTGGCATTTGTCTTTACAGTGGGGATCAAACCAATGGGCACGTTATCATCGACCCAGGATGGAGTGGGAACTATTTTCGGCCTCTCGGTGGTTGTTGCGACATTGAGACTTTGCCTCTTGGCAACTTTAGGACTGGGCACTCTTCGAATACCTTCTTCGTTGTATGTTTCCGTGATGATGCGCTTCACTCGCTCAGCATGAGCTACACCCTTTTTTCGATCCAACCATTTCTGCTCATAGTATTTTTGTCTCATGAATAATCTCACATCTCCGTCTGACTCAGGTTCTGCTGTGTTCATGTTGTAATTACTCAACCAAATCGTGCGAGCAACTTCATTGCCACCATGCTGTAAGGCAACAATCTCTGGTCCTGAAAATTTACTTGCCGAGATTGACTTTACTCGATGCCCTACTTCTCGGCTATATTTATAATTCATTAGCAATAGTCTAATTATAACAACATTGCTATCCCTCTCACTTACACAAGTCCTGAACAACGAGTACACACAAACGTTTGGATACTGACATTGACAAAGAATGGGCTCTACCGTACAGCCGATAAACACATGATGTAAAAGTTGTTGTGGAATAAGCAATTACCTTGGTGGGGCAATCGAAGCATTTCTTGTTTTCAGGGAGACGCAACAAATCTCTTACTTTTCTATAGCAACCTTGATAAATAACAAGCTATTCACCAAGTAATACTACTTACTGTGAATTCCATTCCTCTTGCTTTTTTGCGATAAGAGCTGCCATGACGAATGAATAGAAGGAAAAGGAGGAAAGAGAAAGAAAAAAAAAAGAGAAGGAAAAGGGTTACACTAGTAGTTTAATGGGATTTTACGCACACACAATTATGAAGCACTTTATTTCACATTACAACATCGTATTGGTGGTGGCTTTTCTTACCATTTTTGTACAGTAGATTGCCCATTGTCTCATGTTGCAGACAATCCGATATGCATGCAACAATATTTTAGATCGTTCTTCGTGCTTATCCTGACATCACTAACACTTGCCTAATTGCATTTGCCTGCGCTGTGAGCATTCGAGACAAACGATAAGCATGTTAGCTTATACTGACTCTGCTGGCAGTCAATTGTAGATAGAGCATTGTCACGGTGAATGGGGTTGCATCTTCAAAATATCAATTGGATAATGGTTCCTGAAAAGTTGTTCATTGTTGCGCTCTGTACAAGGTCACAATATTAGTCATTCTGAGATAGTAATTAAAAAAGCTTATTCGACTTGGATGGAAAGAGAGTCTTGACAATATCAACCTATTTCAAACAATGGCTAAACTCTCAAACGTCTCTATCAAGCAGCTGGTATATCCTGGAGGAATCGATGACGCTCTGAAAGTTCGCATCGCTGTCTTTGTTGATGAACAGAAATACACTCTGGAGAGTGAATTAGACAAGTGAGTTTCATCTAGGACTACAATTATGAGATACTGACGCTAAGCGATATTATCAATCAGCCTGGACGAAGGGTCCTACCACTGGGCTGCTTACTGTGATAAGGAGAATGAAGATGGCACAATCGAAAACAATATTCCTGTAGGAACCATTCGTATGATTCCTAAGCCTGACAATGTCGCCAAGTTGGGTCGTTTAGCTGTTCTCAGCACAGCTCGTGGGCTCTACATTGGGCAGCTACTTGTCAAGGAATTCATCAAGTTTTGCAAGGAAAACGGCTATCATACCATTGTTTTACACTCGCAATATCCTCGACGTGGATTTTATGCTAAGCTTGGATTTGTGATTGAAGAAGGTGAAGAAATCTTTGATGAAGATGGCACTCCTCATATTCGCATGTATATGCGTAACATCTAGATAGTTCTGTATTATTAGATTACATCGACTTTAAAAAAACCAGTAAATGCTCATGTTATTTTATGTTTCATGACTGACGCCTGCCTTGTAAAAATGATGCAGAAAGCCACAAGGTTTGCTCTGTTGGCGAAGATTACGTTGTTACAATGTGTGATGAGTAGTTGCTTCGTATTGCAAAAAAGGTACAACCACTAAGCAAAGTCAGTAACAGCTCTTCATTGGCGTTTATCAGAGTGTTTGAATGCGCTATCTATATTTAGCATAAGATGGCAACTCTACTATGAAACGTTATTGTCTTGTGGATGGAATAAAAGGCCTTAAAGATTAACTATTACTTTCAGTAACGCCATCGGGGTAGGTCAGTTGTAGTCCAAAATTCATTGCGACTTCATAGACTGATTATTAATGCAATTTTGATCTACAAAAGAGAAAATAATTGAAGTACACTACTTCGATTTCTTCAGATAATTCACACCAACGCAGAAATTGAACACAAAGGAAGGAGGCAAGAAGGTCACGTGAAGTTGTAGTTAAAAAAATATATTTCGTTTATGTCAATGTTTTTTTGGTTCGACTATCATCTGAAAGCGCGGTTGGTTAAGTGGTATAATCTTCGCCTGCCACGCGAAGGGCCGGGGTTCGATTCCCCGACCGCGCATTTTTGCTTTTTGCTACAAAATGTAGTGTTGGTAGCATCTATACATCATTCTGTAATTGTTTCTTCACGCTATGAGTTAAAGCCATTGTGTGTTCTTCTTTTGCATTTTAAGACATCAGGTAGTGCTAGCTAGCTAACCTACTACAATGTTCTTGTAGTGTTACAAATCGACCTTGGTTTTGAAACCGAATCTCTCTTTTTGCTGTAAATTGCCTACACTATCGAATAAACTACGCTTCACTGCTTACTATATTGGATCCTCCTACTTCTGTTACTACAATTTGACATTAAACTCTTAAATGCTTCCTGTATTTGAATGTACTCTGAACCCTATCTCAAGAATGACAAATCAGTTACCACTCAGCCTCGTATTATTTTGACAGATGTCAATTCAAACTCTTAAACATCTCTCCTTTCTAATGGAAGCACACAAATGGGAAGCAACTCTGTTGTGCCAGAAGGGCTACAACTGTCTATAAAGATTAAGGTATTCTTGATGGGTAGATATGTCTGTGTTGTGCAACAACATGGACAAGCTATGATAAGTAAAGTGCATCTCAGCTATCTAAATACTGAGGTTCACCAGATGTGATAAGCGTTGTACAAGATAAATTGCTACTTTGGCATTCAGAACTTAGTATAAATAGAATAACTCTTGTCTTCATCAATAAATCTTTAGTTTTTGTGTCTGATCTTATTCAAATAAGTCTTTTCTTGTTTCTATAATATCGAACATTTTTTATAAGCTACAAATAATAATCCTTTTATTCTTTGTGCTTAACAAACTCCACATTATCCAACCTTTCATCCCCCAGTAACATGATTAGTATCAACATTCACCATCTTTCAACAACAAATATAGCTTTCAAGCTATAAAAATCGTTCAAGCTTTTAGAATTACTAAGTGTATCAAAATCAATTATAGAAGGATCAGCCCTTCATTACAAATTATATCATATAGAAAGAGAACTCAGGATACATAATCCATAGAATCAATTTAATATAAATATTCAAATGATATCAAACAATAAAATATTATCTTATTCCTACCTAAATCCATATCTATATAGCTCTATAGCTCATTGTCTTTGCTATTTCATTAAACTTATCAGTTATAAGATCCCTTGAATCCTTTGTATACATTAACACCTCGATTCATTGTACTTTATCTACTTTTGTTTAGGGTATAAATCATCTCTGAGAGGCAAATGTATTAGGCGTTGTATATTACATAAGAGGATCTGAGAATGAGCTGAGATGCATAGTAGAAGTGAGAGGTCTTTATTCAAGCAGCACGAAGGAACATGAGTGGTGCCATCAAATGGCTAATCTATATCCTGGTTCCTAGAGAGTGGTAGCCTATGGCCTTTCGTCCCTGGAAGTGGGTTTCAATTCCGACAAATGTTCTTCCGTCAAAGCTATTAGGAAGAACATTCTATCCTGGATCATCTTTGTTGTTTATCCTTGACTGGTGGTTCATGAGTTCTGATGCAGCACATCCTCGTTAACTGGTTCAAGACTTATAAAATTATCCCGCATTCAAGATCAAGGTCCTATTGCTGCGGCACTATCAAATAACTACTGTAGGGGAAAAACTGTCCCGTTCGTTTAAAATTTTGTCTTTTTGCACAAGTTTTTGGTCATTTCTTTGTATACAAAGTCGAAATATATATCGTTTGAATGAGAGAAAGTAGTGCTATCTATACATAATTATAACTTTTTCAAAAACTAAAATCCAATGATTTTATTGGTTAAAAAATAAATATAGAAAAATGTACATTTTGTTATAAAATCATTAATAGTGAGTTGAACCACCTTTGCTCTTGATGACAGCCTTGATTCGGGCAGGCATACTATCAATATATTTCTGGCACTCTTTTTCTGTTATTTTTTTACCACTAAATGTTAATACGCCGCTCTAATTCTTCTTTTGTAGAGGGCCTAGTGGGATACTTATTAAGACGAAGCTTTAGGAGATGCCAGACATGTTCAATGGGACTAAGATCGGGACTTTGGGGTGGCCAATCCATATTTTCGTCTAGGTTAAACCCATTGCCGGTGAACCGTTGTTTAGTAATGCCCGATGTATGCGGTGTTGCTCTGTCTTGTTGAAATCGCACATCAGATGGCGTCTTCCCAAAGTGCTCAAGAGTATTGTTCAATGATGTCTTCGAAATATCGACATACAAGCCCGAGTTTATTGCGTCTTCAATAATGGTAGTACCATAACCAGGCCCCTCCGCTGTTATATAACTCCAGAACATGACCCCACCGTCATTTCCCTGCAACTGAGACTTGACTTGATACGACTGCATGATTCGGCCACCATTCGTCCAGTAAAAAGAATTACCATCTGAGCCCCAAAGGTTTATTCTTGTTTCATCCGAAGACACCCAACGACGCCAATCAGCAATAGTAAGATGCCTATGCTTTTTAGCCCACGCCAATCGAAGCCGCTTGTTTGTCTTGCTAACAAAATTGGTCTTTACTTTTCTACGAGATTTAAGTCCATTTCGTCTCAATGACTTGCGGATGCCATTAATTGACATATCATGGCCCATCGATCTTAAAATTTCTTGTGCTGCTCGGGGATTATCTAAAGCACCTGATCGAAGTTCTCTTGGCACTAGGGACATAATAGTTTTAGCACCAAGTTTTTTCGGTCTTCCGCCAAGAGGTCTAGCTGGGTCAGGGCAATATAGTTTTCTGAGCCTTGTAAGAGTAGAGTTACCCACTCCTGGATACAAAATTTTTATCTTTGAGAACGAAAGACCACGTTGGAGCAAAGATTGGAGAATGTTGCGCAAATCTTGTGTTAAACGAGCAGGCAAAATGAAAGTTTTGAAAAAAAATAAGAAAGCAAAGAAATAAAGAAAAAACATGAAGAAACTAGCTTCTTTTATACTTTTAGAGTGCTCCTGGGATATTAAATATCCTGAGCATACCGTGCGTAGTTTTTTAGATTTCTTCAATACGTCTGTTGGAAGTAAAGATATCAACCATTTTATATCATCTAGAATTACCCACCTAACATTTTTGCCACGTCTCACTTTAGCTGGTTATACTGGGATTAGAATATAGTCCAGCCATAAGGTTTTTATGTTGCTGTAATCCCTATAGGCTGTTCTATCGAACGCAGTATGGGGTAGCTTTGTTTTCTGAGTTTTGGCAATATACTGGGTAAAAGTCAAGATTATTTGAACGAACGGGACAGTTTTTCCCCCTACAGTATAAATATCTTTGAAATCTACACTAGTTTTGATCCTCATTCAATCTTGGAATAACTTAATAAATAAATTCAGTTCTAATTGTATTTACTCTGTCTATATTTCGTTATTCTAAACACTTTTATCACTTTATTTACATATCTCTTTCTTTATTTTTATATTCTTTACTAGTTGGACAACTATAAATCTGGTGCTCATTTCTATAGACGAATCTGCTTTGGCTATTTATCTATATTTACTCTATCCCCACTCTTACTATTCACACTACAATAAATCAATTTGTAACAGTAGTAAAGAAAGAGATATTTACTGGGAATGGACATAGCTTATATTGAAGCATTTACCGTGACCCACAAAACTGTCCCAATGTTTAGCGATTTTAACTTTCAGACCTTACCGCCGGACGAGAAGTGATCCAATAATAATGAGTTTAGTATTTTCTGAGAGCTAAAACTGCTTTCTTTATATCCTCTAATTTGTACAAACATATAGCTGTAGGAGCACAAGTTGTGATTGGCCAAAGTCATTAGGTACACTGGGACAGTATTGTGAGATCTTTTGAAAAATCACAAATTCAGTGATAACTCAAACCCACAATTTGGAATAACCTCAAGAGCCTCGTATAAGAAAGCCTCATGTAGCGCAAGTAGTCTGCATTACCCACCTCGGAGTTCTAAATATCAGTTAGGTCGATTATCAAGTCATGAAAGCCGTTGCTGTCTCCAAGGTTAATTCTGCAATCACAATGCTTCGAAACGGTGTTTCGATTCAGGAACTTGCTGAAAAACTGTCTTTGGGTAAGTCTACTATCGGTTGAATCAGAATGGAGCATTGTCCGGGTGTGAAAACCTCGAAAGGTGGTCGTCCTAGGGTGTTGTCTGAAGCCGACAAGCGCTATTGTGTTCGAAAGGAAACCAAGGAACGTGTTTCAAGCGCCGTCAAGGTTACAAAAATGTTGGAGAAGAATTTCCAAATGAAGGTTTACCCGGAGACCGTTCGTAGAGCACTCCGCACTGCGGGCTTGGGGGCTATCGAGAAGGATAAGAAGCCTTTGCTTAGTGACGCTAATGTCAAGACGAGACTTGCGTGGTGTAAACAGCACAAGGACTGGGCTGTTGACGACTGGAAACGTGTTATTTGGACAGACGAGACCAAAATTAACCGTTTTAACTCAGATGGGCGACAGTGGGCCTGGATTCGATCTGGTGAACAGCTTCAAAACCACCATGTCAAGCTCACGATAAAACACGGTGGTTGCAGTATCATGCTTTGGAGTGCCATTACGTATGCTGGTGTTGGCTGGATGTGCAAAATAAACGGTAATATGGATAATAAGGCACTCTACAACGAAGTTTTTCAAGACGAATTGGAGCAGACTATTGCCTTTTCCGTTGAGAAATCGGGCTTCAGCCGTGAACAACAAGTGATATTTCAGCAAGACAATGATCCCAAACACACCTTAAATTTGGTCAAGGATTACCTTCAGGAACAGTCATACCAGGTCATGGAGTGGCCCCCACAATCTCCAAACTTGAATCCTATCGAAAACATGTGGGCTTTGTTGAAAAGGCGTCTCAATGAGTGTGAAACCGCAACCAAGGGTATGAATGAATTATATGAGCGAGTAACTGAGATTTGGTATGACCAAATGAAGCCGGAGGAGTGCCAAAAGGTTATAGAAAGTATGCCTCGACGTATTGCGGCCGTTATCAAAGCAAAAGGGAAATGGACAAAGTATTAAAGTCTTATAAAATAATAAAACTTGATTTTTCCAAATATCCCACAATACTGTCCCAATGTACCTAATGACTTTGGCCAATCACAACTTGTGCTCCTACAGCTATATGTTTGTACAAATTAGAGGATATAAAGAAAGCAGTTTTAGCTCTCATAAAATACTAAACTCATTATTATTGGATCACTTCTCGTCCGGCGGTAAGGTCTGAAAGTTAAAATCGCTAAACATTGGGACAGTTTTGTGGGTCACGGTATATCAAGTGTCTGGTGTACATTGCTCAACTGATATTTGATACAATAGTTTTTGCGATTTTTTGACTGTTTTCTAAAGATTAATCAGTATCTGTCATCAAAACATTTTGTTAAGCATTACTAAACATTGTAGACCAAGAAATTTCCTATCGAATGAGCCTTTGCTCGAAGCTCTGGCATAACTCTATCATGAAATATTGACAATTTTGTCCTGACCAAAAAATCGTCACCAGATTTTTTGCTTGCTATCGCACGTAGATTTTGAAGAAAAATCAACAATGATTTTGCATGATACTCTTTTTTGACCATATCTCGTCAAATAATCACTGGGTTCGCACAAAACAAAGACCATTCGATAGCTCTACATTATATTCATTATAATATAAGGGTTTCAAGTACCAGATGTACGTTCCCTTCATGCATTTGCTCGAAATCATATATTTTATGAGTTACAAGCAGGGGATATTCAACTTTTTATTTATTTATCTATAATAACCATACCATCGTATAGAGAATTGAAAAAGAAGCACAAGCTATTATTAAGTTTGAAGCTCTCGTTCACTTAGTAAAACTCAGAGATATGGCCCTTTGAAAATCAGTCATTGGGAACATTTTCCGTCATTACTCATTCGCATCACCTTCCATAACCCCACATCAAGCATATCCTAGTCAAAAAAAGTTTCTTCTACATCTTTCACTATACATACGTACTACATTCATATAGTAATGTTGTGCCAGAAGGGCTACAACTGTCTATAAAGATTAAGGTATTCTTGATGGGTAGATATGTCTGTGTTGTGCAACAACATGGACAAGCTATGATAAGTAAAGTGCATCTCAGCTATCTAAATACTGAGGTTCACCAGATGTGATAAGCGTTGTACAAGATAAGTTGCTACTTTGGCATTCAGAACTTAGTATAAATAATAGAATAACTCTTGTCTTCATCAATAAATCTTTAGCTTTTGTGTCTGATCTTATTCAAATAAGTCTTTTCTTGTTTTTATAATATCGAACATTTTTTATAAGCTACAAATAATAATTCTTTTATTCTTTGTGCTTAACAAGTAACTTAAAAAGTTTTACTAGCAGCATCTATTCAAAATTAACCTTTTTTTCTAAGATCACCAATTTCTCAACAACCATGCTACCTACACAAATTTGGCTTGCATCATCATTATCAGGGCAAGAGCGAGGTTTGAAACCAAGCAAAACTCAGACATCGGAGTTAGAAACAAATTGTCCAATGAAAGTGCCACCCTGATCTCGTTTGATGCTAATTTTGAAATGGATACCAAGAAGCATTTCAGGAAGGCGTAGATGAATGCCCTTGAAGCTTAAAAGATTCACATTACCACATAATATAGAAAGCGGGCTACTTATTTGACCAATATAATGTCTACTGGATTGCTTCATTCATGGAGAGTTAAAAGTTAAAGCAAGATGATACGTCGTTTGAAGCGAAGTGCAATGGAGAAGACTTTCGAAGGAAGATATGAAAATGAAAGGTTCGATAAGTGAATAAACACGCAGTTTTGTTTTCGTTTGGTAGCAACTGACATCGTAATCCGAGCGATACTCCTAAAAAATAAGATATCTTCGTTCAATTATTAAAATGTTACTTTATCTTTGTTGCATGTTTGAAAGAGGCTGAATTTATCACTGTTTCTATCTGCATCAACTGCTTCACCAGTAACAAATAGTATCCATGGTAATGAACACGAACCATTAGATTAGCTCATTATTTTAGAAATTTCCAAAACGATGAGCGATGGAGTATTCGTTTTTCTCTTTCTTCATAGTATTTGTGAAGCATGTTTGCTTACTAAATGTTCATTAGTTCTCTGCGAATTCCAGTCAACAAGAATCAATCTTTTCTTTCGATTATTTGCAAGTTGTCGCATTAGCACGTAGACTAGACATGTTATATGCTAAATAATGACAGACTACAGTTTGTATTTGAAGCAGTTCTGGTACATTTTTATAATTGATTTGACGTCTGTTGTTGTACATGATGTATAAATGCGAATGCTCCATGAAATCAATCGACAACTTCAATTTTATTAAACTTGATACTTGAATTGAACTAAATTGCAAGGTTAGGGTTTCTAGCATACATGTCTAATCGATTGCCAATGCTTTGCATCATTTCTGCCATGCTATTTTCATGAATGCCTCGAGCATGCTTTTTATTAGCGACTACTAACTCATGCTTGCTCTGTAATTGATACACCGCAATATCTAAAAAATCTTTTTCTGGGATTGTTTCATGAAATCATTCTTTCCTCTTCCACATCATTTTCCCCCCATGGTAGCCAACAAAAGAGAGCTTCCTCCCAAGGAAGCCCAAGTATTTAGAAATCTTTTGGTAAAATATCAACTTGCTGAATACCCACGCGTGTAATCATTGACTTGATTGAATCCATATTGCAGAAAAACTATGAGCTTCGTGAATACAAAAAAGGTTTAAAGCTGGCTGAAGGTATTCTTAAAAAATATCCTGATCATGGTGGTAAATATGCTCGGCAACAATGTCCAAGTCGCTACTATTTTCTAACTGATCTATAATAGAAACTATGGCAATGAAGGGGTTGTTTTTGAACAATCTTCAAAAGAAAGAAGAGGGTTACGAATATGTCAAAAAGGGTCTTCTGAAGGATCTCACCTCTCATATTTGTAAGTATACCGGGATGATAGATAGTTGTGTCATTTTTATTAATATGGACTATTCTAGGCTGGCATGTGTACGGTCTTTTGTATCGTGCCGATAAAAACTATGAGGAAGCTGCCAAGTGTTATGCGAATGCCTTGAAGTTCAACAAGAACGACTTTAACATTCTGCGTGATTATGCTATTCTCCAAACTCAAATGCGTCACTATGATGCATTGGTTGTAAGTTGACCATTGTTGCTTGGGATGCAGAAGGATACAAAGAAACTGAATTCTGTAAATAGGACACGCGCACCAAATTGTTAGAAGCTAAACCTCAGAATCCCCCCTTTTGGCTTGGATTGGCTATTGCTTACCAACTCGTCAATGAACCTCAAAACGGTGTCAAGGTTTTGAACACTCACGCTGAATCCAATGTTCCTGTAAGTAGAATATAGAGAATTGCAGACAGACAATTGACATTTGTAACTAAACAGGCTGCCACCACTGATTTCGAAAAATCCGAATTACTCATGTATCATAACATGTTATTAGAAGAAACAGGTGACTTCCAAAGCGCTTTGGATCATCTTAACGAAATCGAGCCTCAAGTGACAGACAAGAGAGCATGGAAAGAGAAGAATGCATTGTATCTGGGAAAATTGGGTAGAAAGGAAGAGGCCGAGAAAGCTTATCGCATTTTAATCAGTGAGAATCCTCACAACATTGCTTACATCACCGAACTTTTGTCTCTCAAGGAAAAGAGTGAAATCAATGGTCTTCTCGGCGATCTTTTCACTCAATATCCACGCTCCAAGGCTATTGAACATTTGATCCTTGAGCATGCCGAAGGCGATTCCTTCAAGGTCAAGGTTGAAGCTTCTCTTCAGAACGGTTTGAGAAAAGGCATCCCATCTTTGTTTGCCTCCATGAAGAGATATTATGCCGATGCCGAGAAGAGACGTATCATTGAAGAGCTTGTTGCTGGCTATCTTGCCTCTTTGGAAAAGAATGGTACGTTTGGCGCTGATTCTGCAAAGGAACCTCCTACTGCTTTACTGTGGACTTTATACTACGTTGCTAAGCAACATGATTTCCATAAGGAAAATGAAAAGGCTCTTGAGGTTATCAACAAGGCTATTGACCACACGCCTACTGTTGTGGAGCTCTACATGACAAAGGGTAGAATTTTGAAGCATGCTGGTCAAGTCGAGATGGCATCCAAGATTATGAACGAAGCTCGTGAAATGGATTTGCAAGATCGCTTTATCAACTCCAAGTGTGCCAAGTATCTTTTGCGTGCTGGCCATATTGAGGAAGCTGAACGTGTTTTGGGTCTCTTCACTCGTAAGGATGTTGCTACTGTTCAAGACTTAACTGACATGCAGTGTCAATGGTTTATGGCTGAGGAAGGCAATGCTTACCTCCGCAAGAAGGATTACGGCAAGGCTTTAAAGCGTTTCCATAGTTTGGAGAAGTTCTATGTTGATTACTTTGATGATCAATTTGATTTCCACAGCTACTGTTTGCGTAAACTGACTCTTCGTGCTTATGTGAGTGCCTTGCGCTGGGAAGATAAACTCAGAGCCCATCCTTTCTACCTCAAGGCTGCTAAGGGCGCTGTTGAAGCTTATTTGGCTCTTGCTGATAAGCCCAAGGAGAATGTTGAGATTGACGAGGCCAACATGACTGAAGCAGAGAAGAAGAAGGCCAGAAATAAGGCTCGTAAGGCTGCTTTGAAGGCACAACAAGATGCTGAGGCCAAGAAGATCCAAATCAAGGAAGAAGCTGCTAAACACAAGCATGATAAGAAGCCCGTTGATGAAGACCCCGAAGGAGACAAATACCTCAACACCGAGAAACCCCTAGAAGATGCTCTTCAATTTGTAAAGCCATTAGAGTTATTAGCGCCTAACAACGTTGAAGTCCATGCTCTTGGTTTCGAGATTTACATTCGCCAACAAAGATACTTGTTAGCTGCCAAATCTCTCTCCAAGATTGCCAAGATTGACAAGAGCAGCGTCAATTTTAAGGCCAACTTAGATAAGCTTGAGGCTGCCGTTAAGGCTCACGCTGATTTGGATCCCAAGATTAAGCAGGTTATTGATTTTCAACTTGCTGAAATTAAAAAAGCTTAATTTCCTTGCATGAAAATTATACACAATATGTAATAAATAGAACTTTGTATCGTTTGCAATGCAACTGCTGATCTCTAACTCTACGTATGAAAGCGAGGGCCTTTTCTAAATGGGAATACGATACAGCCTTATTCCAAGAATTGGCTGATGCAAACATGCAAATATCTATTCCGAAATGAATTTGAGATGGTGGGGATGGTGTGAGCGTAGCAGTAATAGATAGAAGACGATGAAACACAGGCACACCGAGTGCTGGTAGAAATAGTAAATACAGATCTTCAGTATTGTAATGTACTTGCTAAATGCGTCTTTTTCCTTGGTGCCACTAAAGCTAATGAGTGCCAGATGTCAAGTTTCAGCTTCCTTCTCTTTTGTACCCAGAACTCGGGCAATTATGCCTCCCACATATGCATACAATTCCCTTTTCTCGATAGAATATTCATAGTGGCATGAATAACTTGAATTGCTGGGTTCGAGATGAAATGTGGCAATTGCTATCGAGAGCGTCTCTCAGGCAAGCTTGTCGGCAAGTGCGAGTAGTTCAAAAAAAAAAAAAGAATATTTCCCAGAGAACAAACAGGTAAATGGACGACTATCATGCCATGTTGACATTACCCAAAAGTTTTATGGGTAAAGCATTATGAATGCTACGCTCATGGAATGCATAATCAAGCACCTAATTTGTTGGATACATCGTAAGCAGATTGAACAGGTATCCTGCTTAAAACCGGTTGCACTATTGATTTAGGGTCAGAAACCATGCAAAAGAAGGCGTATCTATCAAAGTGTTTTTAGCCAATCGAAAATATTGAGCTGTTTTCATTCAAGGGCAATTGTTAGTGATGATTTCTCTGCAATACTTGGTTGCTGTTCTACTAATACAGCGTGTCAATTGAAAGATCGAGCCATTCAATGTAAATATCAAATGGCAAACACTTTACTTAAAATAGTAGCTTTGAAGAATGACAGTATTCGCTTCAGAGATGAATGATACATATACAAGCAATTGTGCCGTCTCTTTCTTTTATTAAACTTACGTCAAACATATGATCTTATACTTGCACTGACATCTAATGAGCTGGAATATCGACTCGTGAATACACCATCGAAATAAGTGGAGACTGGTAAAGTAGCAAGGACAAACTGAGGACACGGCCTATGGATTAGCCGAAAATCATGGTATGATAATCATTGTGATTCTTTGTAGCGAATAATTGCGATGAGGATTTTACGGCCATAAAACACACTGAGTTCTTTTGCGATCCTCCTTTCCAAATGGACGGATGTTTCATAATTCAGGGATTTCATATTCACATTGAGTTACTACTAGCTTGATATGTCAACAACAATTATATAACATGACGCCGTAATTTAAAAATGTAACAACAGGAGTCCTTGGTAATGCGTTAGTGATGAGACAATGCCGATTTACCATTTTTGCCTAGCAAAGCAGGCATTTATGTTAGTTGACAGCTTGATAGACATCCATGTTGTGCCACATGTGGTATGTGTATGTGTGTATATCCACTCAAAGTCTTAATATAGAATTCCACCCGGGCACCACATTTCCAATGGATTGCGCATTAGATGTTTAGCTCGGCTCAATAGTTATAAATACATGAACATTGAAAACAATCACGGTTTGGAATGAATAATTATTGTGTTTCAATCTAAATTAACTGCTAAAGAGTCGGTTTCTTTTGCTCCGAAGTTGGGCCAATATACATCAGATTCTAAGTTTGTGTTCATTCTGCCAAAATTATAGAATTGTACTACATTATGTCTAATGCTTGCTCTAGCATGGTACCTTTTGCCGATCTTTTCGTATCGGTGCAAATGGGTGGCCCTAGTCTAAAATGTTCATTTCAAACAGACACAAGGCCAAGCAAGCCATTGCAAATACGTTACATGTAGACTTTAAGCGCGGATCGGGTATTCATTCCCAAACATGTGCAAACATGGACAATCACGAATTTCATGCCATGTCAGTTGGTAAAACTACATAAAAAAAAAACAACGGTTAATACAAAAGACGGCATTTGAGCGATATTCACCTGGAGCGTTGTGCTATCTAACAAGCCCGTCATTTATGATAATTAACATCTAGATCATCTAAATGAGCACTAAATGCTTATGGTATGGATAGCTCTTGGCAACCATAATTTATAGGTCACGAATCATCTATAAGTCTTATTTTAGCGCAATGACATTTCGAGTGCCCTGAGTTTATTTATATACAGACACATCACAAAGAAATGGCTCGTGCTCCACTCAATCATTCAAAGGTGTACCCTCTCCGCTGGCTCTTTAATTATACATTGCCTGCAGAGGATCCGCCTGAAAACATTTGGCTCACAGCCATTTCCTAACCTTATATACACCCTCCCCACCTTTGAACAGAAATGAATATAAATAGAGCCATGCATTTCTGTTGAGACAGCCACTATCATACTATCATGGATATCTGCAATCTACTAAACTCAACAAACGACTGTGCCACCGCTGCATTTACAAACAAGCCATGTAAACCTTATTCTTGCGACTGGATGCAGTGCTCAAAGAGTTTTACAAGAAGATCTGATCTCGCCAGACATCAACGCATTCACACAGGAGAGCGGCCATATCACTGTTTATGGAAAGGATGTCAAAAGCAATTTATTCAAAGAAGTGCATTGACAGTTCACTCAAGAACACACACTGGCGAAAGACCACATGTCTGTGAACATTCCAACTGTCAAAAATCATTTGGAGATTCTTCATCTCTTGCAAGACATCGCAGAACACATACAGGAAACAGACCTTATGTATGCGAAAGCTGCAACAAGTCATTTACAAGAAAGACAACACTGTCAAGACATCAAGAGCACACACACAAGAATCAGGCCTTATTGTAAGTTGAATGATTCAGCTAGGTTTTGACGCCAGAATTAATCAAGCATTTGCATATAGTGAAGCCAATCCTATCCCCCAACAACATCCATATCAACCAGAGAAAAGTCCAGATCTCTCGAATTCACTTTCTCCTGCAAGCGTGTACTCTGATATTGATGACTATCACCATACAGCACACGCTCCTCCGTTGCTGCCTACCATCACGAACCATAAATCTTACGCTATTGATCATCAGTTACCCCCTATTCTGATTAACCCACCCTACAGACATTACTACTGAAATAAAATATACCCTGTACGTATCACACTCCTCTGATTTTATGCATTGAATCGTGTGCGTTTCCAGTTATCGTTGTCGTTTTCGGCAGTGCAATGCAGCATTGTAGACTATTAATTTTGCCTTTTTTTGTGAAGCTTCTGTTCTCGTCAGCATGTGCACAAAAACGGATTTAGTTCTATTGTAATATACATATAGTCAAATGCTTTCTATACATGTGCAGCACACATGAATTACCTGGTTTCACGCTTTTATCATTGTTAGCAAGACCAAGCATGCATTTTCACCAACATGTATTGCACCAGCCAAAGTTTGACAGGGCAACATCATCCTCAACACGAATGCTTTGATCTATCATGCTCATGTGAAGGGCTTTCATTACAAACAGCGGTTTGCTAGGCGCTATACATGCCAGAGTACCTATCTATTTTTGTTTGCATTGTCATCAAGTATGTTTTCAGCCAATTGACTTGCGAATTGTCATGCTTCCTTACATGTCAAATGTGGTTTCTAATAATGAAAATGGCATTGCGGCCAAACTCAACATTTTTCGCCATGTAAACCGCAAGAACTTGCATAGTGATATATTAAAAATGTTTCATAAGCATCTCATCGAGAAGGCTTTCCATACTATGCACTTTTTTAATATATCGTTGAACCAACAACAAGGTACACACGGAGCTGCTTCCGGATATCTCGGGTATCCACCATGAAAAAAAATATGCCATCTAGTTGTAGACAATTAGTGGAAATGAAATAAGACATGGTATTTTTTTATTTTATATATGAAAAAAGGTTATTATACTCTGTGAGCAAGAAGGGCCAAGGGAAATGGTGAAAGAAGGGGAGGAGGGAGAAGGGCGTTATAAAAGAGAAAGGGATGTAAAGGATGGTGCAACTGGTGCTGATAAGTGTGTGATATGTGTGTGTGTGTGTGTGTGTGTGTGTGTGTGTATACAAGATATAGGGTTTATCGAATAGAGTTAGTTCTTCTTAATTGAACTTCTTTTTTCATGGTTAGGCGATTGCTCTCTGAGCCAAGACGAGCCTTTCCGTCGTGTTCAAAGATTCTCCAGAACTTTAGATTTTCATCAGCAGCAGCAGTAGCTAGTACTTGACCGTCAGGGCTTAGGGCAGAATGTAGGATTCTCGATTCATGTGCAGGGATATCAATGACTTTGTTCAAGGATGGATACGCCCACACAGTCAATTGATTATGAGGGAGGCCATGTGTAGATACGATTTCTTTGTGATGGTGAGACCAATGAAGCGATGTCACTTGTGATCCAGCATTGACAGACTTCATACGGGCACCAGTAGATGAGTTCCAGAAATGAATCTGCTTGTCATCTCTGCCGCCACCAGTAGCCAGTGTAGAGTGATTCCAAGGACACCAAGCAAGCGCCTAGTATGTATTACTAAGACATAGTCTAGGATATACAAATAAACAAAATACTATACCTTGATGGCACCCGTGTGCTGTCTCTTGACATGAGCAGGCTCAGTCGATCTAGCATCCCAGATATTGACTGTATTATCATTGCCGCCACTTGCCAAGGATTGGCCATCCCAACGCCACTTGAGACCACATACTTCATCTGAATGACCGTAAAGTTCACGCACAGTGTGCTTGGCCATACGTACATCATGATGAAAGATGCTACCGTCACGTCCACCTGAAGAAACGAGATGCTTATCCCAAGACAAAACGCCAATGCGACAATTCTGACCGTTCATTGTACGCAATCGTGTGTTGGATTGCACATCCCAAATCTGAGTGTCACCGCCTGTTGTGCCTACAGCCAAATACGAGCCATCCCCAGACCAATTGACAGACGCGACTTGATCATCATAGTTGTAATTGAGCGCTTGAATGGTACCATTATCAGCATTCCAAAGGTAAATGGCTTTACCGAGACCCACAGCCACGACATTGGTTTTTGACCAATCAAGCACATTGAGATAGTAATCATCATCCATGTAAGGAGCGTCTAAAATCTTTTCTGGTGTCTGCAAGATGTGTCGTTTCACGTGTGAGGATGTGTGCGTGGACAGCTTGGCTTGAGGTGCGTTCTTGTTGATATCAATCTTGTGCGTGAGAGGCGCTTCTTGTGTGAAGCTTAAAATACGCTTGGTGGTATCGATGCCAATAGCATGGGCGATTTGCTCTTGATAACTTTCAGATCCAGTGTTATCAAGAATTTGTTGAGATGACTTAATAATGGCTTGAGCAGAGAGCATGTCTGTGATACCTGGTGTGAGACGATCATACTATAAAAGGGAGGGTTGTGAGTAATCTATTCGTTAGATTCTTTATACATGGTGGATAGTTACAGCTTTATTGTCGCAGGTCTTTTTGTTGGAGGAGATGGGCGAGTTCATCCACGACTTGTTGACTGAATCCAGGTGTGACATGGCAGAGTAGGATCTCTTTACAGGCGATGGACGATTCTCTTTGATGATGGCTGTTGTTTTAGTGCTCGTGCTCGTGCTTGTGCTTGTGCTTGTGCTTGTGCTTGTGCTTGTGCTTGTGCTGTTGCTGCTGGTGGTTGTGCTCTTGCTACTGGTAGAGGCAGTGGTAGCAGTCGTACTGGTGCGAGATTTTGTGTTCTTTCGAGTCTTGTTGAATAACTCCAAAAAACGAGTCTGTCCAGATGCTTCTGAAGATGATTTCGATGGAGTCATTGGTTTAGCAGGCGTGCGATTGGCCTTGGCTGGGGGCCTGATGTTATCATCTGTTGAAGATAAAGCCTTTTTTGTTGATACAGCGTCTGTAGGCGACGACGCAGAAGGTTTAATAGTTAAATACTTGCGAATAGAGTCGTGAGGAGCAGAGGAAGAAGAAGAGGCTGCCACCTTTTTATTGCTATTTGAACCTGTTGCTCTGGTATCTGTAGACATGGCGATTGAATGTGCCTAGCAGCCAAAGAGGTATATAGGATGATGTTGTTTAGTGCAAAAGAAAAGGGATATGCGTTATCTATTCTCTCTCCCTCTTTTTCTTGTTCTTGGTTCAACAACAAAGAGGGAAGCGTGTAGATTCTAGGTTTCGCTCGTCGTGACCTTGTTCGGGCGTAAAAATAGCACTGAAAAAATTTACAAAAAAGCAACGTCAACAACAATGAACACAGCTTGCAATTTTGCTTTTCAATGGATCATTGGTCGAATCAAGTAGCATCTGACATTGGCGGATGCCAGCCATTGATTGAGCACATTATCCAGAAAGTGACCCTCTCACAGGCGTCGCATAGCAAGGGATCCAAGGGACTGATCCTGTACGGAAAGCCAGGCACAGGCAAAACCATCCTGGCAAAGGCCATTGCTCGTAAATGTTGACATTTAAAGTGCATGATCCAAGAGCGCAATGTATTAATGAATCCGTAGAGCATTCCAATCTGCCATACTACATATTGAATGGCCCTGACATCTTTCAAACAGGTACATGTCATCTCAATTGGATGTAGAACTCATGCTAAATGTGCATGCTTAGAGGAGGGCGTAAGCGAGTCGACATTGTTCAACTTTTTCAACCAAGCAAAGAACCACGCCATGTCCATATTGATTCTAGACGAGATTGATATGATTGCTGGTAAATGGACGTCCAAGAAAAGTGATCTTGACATGCGTTTATCATCCATGCTGATGTCCTGCATTGACGCTGTGGACAACGCCTATGTTATCGGCATGACAAGTCGTTTGCATGCCATTGAACCTGCCTTCTTAAGATCGGGTCGATTGGATGACTTGGAGGAAATCACCATCAACACACCTGAGCAAAGATACGCTATACTGAGCATTGTGGCCAAGAGTAAGGAGAGTCTGATTGTTGCCGTTTTCAGGGCACTGAACATCCATGTAGATCTTCCTTTTGCTTCAGACGCTGAAAAACAAGACATACTACGCCAGGTATCCCGACAGACACATGGATTTGTGCCGAGCGATCTTCAAAGCCTGACCTCTCAAGCCATCCTCTTATTCATGAAGCAACAAGAGCACACGCATCACATATCATTAGCGCATTTCAAACATGCACTCACCATTGTCAAACCATCCAATCTTGGCGAATTCTCATCCAAAATACCAGACATTACATTTAAGGATCTGTATGGCATTGATGACATTATACAAGAGATCAAGACATCCGTGATACAGCCGTTTCATCACCCAGAGAGGTACATTGAATTGGGCATTTCACCACCAAAAGGTATCTTACTACATGGGCCGACCGGAGTAGGCAAGACAATGCTATGCTCTGCGCTTGCTTCTGAAGCAGGCGTTAACTTTATGCTTGTGGAGAGCTCTCAAATTCGGTCCAAAGTGGTGGGTGAGTCAGAAAAGGGCATTGCAAAGCTGTTTTCTCAAGCCAGGGCCAATTCACCTTGTATACTGTTCATTGATCAGGTAGGAGCCGCATCATCTGGCTGGTCTACAAAAGCTGACATGTCTAGACAGATTGATATGCTACTCCCCAAGAGAGGCACTAGTCATTCATCAGAGAATACAAGTGATAGAATTGTCACAGGGTTTCTGACAGAGATGGATGGTCTACTAACCAAGAATAGGAGCAAAGGGGCTCATATTGATTTGCTGGTGGTGGCAGGTAAGGAGACATGTACTGTATTCATAGCATATGATTAACTTTTTTTTTTTTTTTTTTTTTTTTTTTTTTTTTTTTTTAATTTAGCTACAAATCGAATTGATGCCATTGATCCTGCTGTACTCAGACCTGGTCGTTTTGATGAGCATATCTATATACCATTACCGGACGACAAGGTGAGTTTCTTTTGGTGATGAGGCGACACACTTACTCAACATGGCATGATGTTCTACCTGCAGCAACGATTACAAATTATCCAAGGTATCAGTTCCAGAATGCCAATTGATTTGAGCAATCAGGAATTGGATGAGCTGGTAAAGAGGACATTGAATTGGTCAGGTAAAAAATGCTGCTTTTTGCCGCAAGGTTTCAAACAAGTTGTAGCTCATGTCAAATGTACATGATTATAGGTGCCCAATTAGATAATTTGTTCCGAGAAGCAGCCATGGCTAGTTTAAGAGAAAGTGTCCAGAATACAAAGGTGAGCTGTTGGCACGACTTTTTGCTTGTATACTGGCCTCTTACAAACAAACATTTTGCCATAGATTGAATTTTCTCATGTGTTGGCGTCAATGTAAATATAATAAACCTGTTTCTTTCACCGACAATCCCATCTTTTTTTTTTTTTTTTCTTATTCACTCTTTTATTATTTTCACTTTCAACATGACAATGCTTTCGCCTATTCCGGTGCTGCTGATATACGCCTCATGGATTGTACTGATCCCATTTGTATTGAATTTCTCTAATTTGGGTGATTTGATTCCTCGGTTGAGCTATCATTTCGGCATTGACTACTATTTGCATAAAGTGGAGCCTATTGTGATTTGTTTGGGATTAGTGACATTTTACAGCTATGTTGTGCTTGGCTTTGTATCTGACATTATCCAAGCTTGTCGTCGCACACACGACCAAGGCATCAGTCAAAACTCGCTGCTCTATGGAAGATTCGAGAGAGCTCACCGCCAACTCAGAAAAGTGTTTCCTCCATTTGTTGTCTCTTGTTTGCTAATGTATGCAAATACAACTCGATTCGATACGTTGCGCAATAGGTGAGTGTCATGGAGTCATAAAGAAAAGCTTGATACTGACCGTACCGCTTACTATAGTTTCATGGTATTGCAAACTGTCTTGCTGCTTGTACAGCCTCTTGCGTCCATGTATCATCGACCTCAAGCTGGACTCATTTGCAAGTATTTCTACCGCGCTGTATTGTTCTGGTCAATCCTGTATGCTATATTCCCGCGTGAAGCTCAGCATTACATTTCTTATTTGACACATTTTGTCAGTGAGTGGTTGGGTCTCCATAATACGCATCGCAGCCCCCGTCATTACTACAACAGCAAGTATCCCACACACAACAAATACTTTAGCAGCGCCTCCAACACTCCCTCCTCCAACTATCAACAGTGGATATTGTAAATAAAATCAAGTTGTTTATCTAAGGAATGTCTAGGCTTGTTTCTTTTGATCTATATTGCTTGCTTTCTTGAGCGCTGTAGGCGATGTATTCGCTAGTTTCTTTGCTTTTGCTTTTTGTTGCTTTCCAATGTAGGCTTCAATGCCAATGGCTGTCAGAAAAAAAAAATGTGTTAGTGCAAATCGATGGCAGCACACAACAAGTACGTTACCCAAGAATACCAGAGTTACGCCGCTCCATTGACCCAAATTTAGAGTATGATTGAACCAGAATACACTCAACAGCATAGTGAATAGCTTTCTCGTCACTGTCACTGTAACCAGGCGAAGACTGCCGTAATGTTGGAGGGTATAAAAGATAAAGCATTGTCCAACAGCACCACAGAAACCGAACAATAGCACATCTCGAATGACAGCAGGGTGTTGCTGAAAGAATGTCAGTGCTTGTTGTAATTCATCATTGTAAGGGTGTAAAAGCAGGTAACAAGCAGACAGCATGGATCCAATGGCGTTCATGTAAAACATCATATGCTGGCCACTGACAAGATGATTGAACTTTGCAAAGATCTCATCCTGTGTCGCATTCGTTAATCCATCGATACACAAGTTAGTGCATAGCAAGAACAATCCCCACATGGAGCTATTCACAGGGCCGCTAGAAGCCTTCTTTGAGGGTTGATACAGCATAAACATGGAGACACCCAGCGTCACCAACACAACACAAGCATACTTGTGCAATGGAAATTTACGTCGATACACCAAGACGTTCATAAACATGACAGGCACCAATTTGCACGACTTGCCCAGAATCATGGTGGGATAATCAATGTGTTTAAGCGAGGCATAGCCAAAAGGTGATCCAATGCAATTGAAGATGGCTACCTGGATGTATTTAACGTATAAGTTGCGTGGTGTCTTTTTGATGTTGAGGCTGCGTCCGCATGCTTTGAGATAAATGCCTGCTACTGTAGCTGCAATGATGGATTGAATGAGATTGAGGACGATGAAAAATTTGAACTTCTTGGGTGTTTCATCGTTGCCGTAAGGTGTTGTACTCACACGTTCTTGGATAACACCCCATGTCAAGAAGCAGGTGTATATACCAATGACGCAAAGTGTAAATTTGAGCATGCGTGGTGATATGTATATGAGAGATAAAGGGGAGGAAAGCAGCGGCGGCAAGACAAGTTTATATATGAATTATGCTTTCGAGAGGTGTAGTCATTTTATTGGCTCACCTGGAGAACCTCGTTTTATAGTGGATATGACAAGTTTATACCTGATCGCTGCCGCTGAAAAAAAAAAAAAAGAATGAAGCGTCTGTTCCCCTCTTTCAACAACGCAAAAAAAAAAAAAAGATGTTCGTACCACTGGACCTACTCTCAAGTTAAATAACGTAGAGCGTTTTGGGAATCAATGATTGGAGTTGATTTAATACGTACACGTCCTATAGTGGATATAAATTGACATTGCGTTTAAGAAAGAAATCGCATGCAAACAATTTCAATCATTTCAAGGCCCTGTATCATCACTATCTGCACTACATGCCCTTCTTGAAGATTCCTCACAACAATACCGACTGCAGTTAATAAAGTGAAAGCTTGTTCTGGTAGATTCTATCTACATTTGACTCGTACTATAGTGCTGCTGATGCCTTTCAATCAACAGCCAAAAATTATTCAACTTCGTCTGCTTTCTTTTTTTTTTTTTTTTCAGATTGGACAGATTTTAGCGAATTTCGACTTCTTTAAACTATTTTGACGAATTTGATTATGTAAGTCGCCATTAGCATCCCATACTTCCTTAAGCTTTCTCAAAGCACTTTTCAAGGCGCATCCAATGATACTAAATACAACGGACATTTTGAATAAATCTATTGAGTAATGTTTGAAAATATGATATGAGGTTTTGGGCAAAAATGTCGAGAAATTACATAGCAAGGCTTCACAAAAGATGATTCAGGGGCTACTTTGGACTGACAGGTACATTTGGTTCAATATATACCATAGTAAAAGTCTTCATTTTTGCGGTCAAAAACGCGATCGTTTGGTTTTCGAAAAAAAAAAACCATAAGGGATACCTCATGGTTTTTGGGGGATTTTCGAGGTGTTTTTTTTTGGACTCCAAAAAGTTGAGCAAAGGTGTCAATATGTTAATGCTAGATGAGACCAATTGTTTGGTGCTATTCTGGCGGTCTAGAGCGGCTTGTAACAGGAGAAATCAAGCTTCCAATGCATCCAGATTTCGCTGCGTTTGACATAATCTTGAGCAGAAAGAGATATTACAGGAAGACTGTATGTTCGCATATGAACTACTAGCCAATCTATCTCGCTCCGCTCGACGTCGGCGTTGCTCTGCGGGCTCTCACCAAAGACATTTTAAATCAGATATGATAAGATTTTGGTATATCAAATAGAAGCATCCTTTTTTGCTTACACTGATATCAAACGAAACCTGTTAATGGGACGTTATGAAAGAAAACTCAAATTTTATGCAGCATTTGTACATCATAATCTTCATTTTCTGATGATAGAATTGACATATCATTCGCTGCTGCTGATGCTCTTGATAAGATGGCGACATAAAGCTGGTCATAAGTAAACACAGGAGTTGTATAAGATTTACAGCGGCTTTTTTGAGATATTGTCATTGCAAAAGGCAATTTTATGAGGCAAAGCTCCCCCAAAAAAAAGTATGTGTGCTAATCAATGCCCTTTCAACTCCATCATCCCCATTTAATCAGCATCGCAATCCTCATTGTCATCATCAGAAAGGCATTTGGGCCAGCCAGCAGCAATGCCGCCGCCAAAATTGATTCAAACTCAGCTTGTTTTTTTTCTGTTTAAGATTGGACAGATTTTGTTATTTTTCGACTTCTATAATCTATTTTGCGATGTTCGACTATATAAACTGTGATGATCACCTTACGCTTCCTAATACATTCTTAGAGTACGTTTCAAGGCGTTTCCAATGGTGCCGAGTAAAATAAATGTTTTGACTGAATTTATAGAGCAATTCAAGAAAATATGAAAAGCGGTTTTTGGCCAAAATGTCAAGATTTTGCATATAAAGGCCTTGCAAAAGTGGTTTCAGAGGTTGCTTTGGATCGAGAGAAACATTTTGATTCATGATATACCATAGTAAAGTCTTCATTTTCAAGATAAAAAATGCGATCGTTTAAATTTCGATGGAAACCATGAGGGATACCTCATGGTTTTGAACCGATTTTTGGCCATGTTTTTTGAGTTCACAAAAAAGTTGAGCAAAGGCGTCAGGAAGTTACTACTACTCAATTACAATTGTTTGGCGTTATTCCGGTGGCTCAAAAAGGTCTACATGTCAAGATATGAAGGCCTGAAAACTGCCCAATTTGGTTGAATTTTTGTTTTATGGCTTTTATTTACACGGCATGTATCACATCCTTGGCAGCTGAAATCTTCTGGAAGGGCAGTTCCGCAGCCTGTGCAACTTCTAATTCGAGTAGCAGGCATATTGATTCGTTTGAAGCTAATTCATGCAAATTTTGATGCGTTATGTTGTTGGTAAACTTGGTAATAATAGAAATGAGAATCCAATTTTGCTGCTTGAACACTATGGTTTTACACCTTTGCTTCGCTACGGTAAATCCTCCGCCCTATAAATCAGTGCTATCAAGTGTCGAATTAGCATTATTATGTTCTTGGTGGAGAGGCTGAGCCCCTCCTCCGAACCCCTCCCCATTGCCGGCTTTGCCGGTAGCTTTATTCACCTTTGCCCGGCTCTCAATAATGGATATGATTGGCTTGTCTATTTTTTTTTTTTTCATAGTTTTCCAGTATGTATATTTAGCGATTAGTGATAGTGATTAGTGGTGTGTGGTTGGTTACGACATACTTCGAAATATACAACATTTGAAATAATGGACGTGTCCGCTAAACTAGCGGGAAAAGGGGTGAATTATAAAGCAGAAGAGCCCGTTTCGGTAAGCGGTAGACAATGTCGTATTAGGAAATTTTTTTTGCTATAACATAATGTTATAGCAAATAGGAGTACAATCCCTTTCTCCGGGCCATCCACAATGACTCTCGCATTTCGGGCTTCTCTTTCCCTCCTGATCCCATTTCTGGCTCCCAACCGCCAGTGGTCAAAGTTCTCGCCTATGCGGATGATACTTTAGTAACCCTTAACAATCCATCAGAATTCGCTGCTCTCGAGGATCTACTCGGAAAGTATATGTCTGCTTCTAATGCCTCCCTCAATTACAACAAAACTGAAGCACTCTCCCTATCTGGTAGCAACCATCCTCATTGGGTTCAGTTCCTGGCCTCTAAAGGTATCACTTCATGGCATGATCGTTCCTCTCTAACGGTCCTGAAATACCTTGGTTACCCTATCCATGCCAATCGTCAACAGCGAACTTCATTCGTCTCCGCCCTCATCTCTAACATCAGTCGCTCTTGTCAACTTCATTCCTGTCGGAACCTGACCTACCGCGGTCGTGTCACCGTTGTGAACTCCTTGATACTCTCCAAACTATGGCATGTTCTTCGGTTGGTTACCTTCACCAAGTCTGAATTCAACAAGATACGCCAAATCATCACTTCCTTTATTAACCGAAACTCCAAAATCAGCCGCTTCTCTTTTGACACTCTCATTTTACCTCGATCCCAGGGCGGTCTGAACCTGATCAATCCTGCGAGACAAGCCCAAGCTCTGCAATGGCGATGGATCCATCCACTCCTTCATCCTACACAACCTTCTCCATCATTGATGCCTTCCATTCCAATCCTTCGGTCCACCCTCTCCATGTGTCTCGGTTCCACTCGATTCCCATCCTACCACTGGTCACTCCTTTTCCCTCAATGTCGCCCGTCTGGTCTACCCTCTTTTGGTCCTGTTGCCAACATCATCATTGCCGTAGACTCTATCATTAGAAACTTTTCCTTCTGCTCCGTCCCCATTCCTGTCATCCTCCGCCTCCCTTTCACTTCCCTCCTTCAACATGCGCTACCCCCTTCCCATCCTTTCGCCTCCACCTTTTCCCCACCCTCCGTCATCCTAGCTGACCATCTCACCCTACGTCAGGATCTCTTTGGATCTGATATCTTTGATTACAACTCTACTTCCAACACCATTGTTTTCAAAGAATCTTTTGAGCACCTCCCCCATCCTCACTGCAGTCGCCGTGCCATCAATTTCATACATGATCAATACCTCTTCCTCAATACGTTCACCCTAAACACCATGCTCACAAATATCCCTCGTCCCCTCCCCACTACTGATCAATTATCCACCTCCTCCATACTCACCCTTGACTCTCTCCACTCCCTTCTTCTCTCCATGATCTCCTCACACTTTGATCTAGATTTCCAACAATTCCATCCAGTCCCTGCGACTACCACTGGTTATAAATCCTTACCTTCCTACCATGTTCCTCCCAAACCTCCATCTGTCTTATCCTCTGCCAAATGGAAACGTCTCTGGTCCTTACGTATCCCATTGAATGCACGTAACACCTGGTTCCGCATCCTTCATAATAAAGTCGCCACAAGAGACATTCTTCATGAACGGCAACCTCATATCCACCATCCCTTTTGTAGGATCTGCCACTCATCCACCGAAACATTGGAACACTTCCTCTTTGCCTGTCCCCACAAACGATCCTTTTGGTCTTCCGCCCTCTCCATTTACATGCCCCCTCTCATCTCCCAAAACAGTTACCAAAACTTCCAGAAATTCCTTCTTTTCGAACACAACCCTTCTCGTCAAGATCATTCAATCTATCCGAATCTCTCTGCTTACCAGGTTTTCGCCTGCATGCTACAAACTATATGGTATCACCACTACCAGTTTACATTCCAGGACAAACCTTTCCTACCATCAATTTTACTCTCATCACTTCGTAGCTCATTAGATACCTTACATTTCCAAGAAACCTTAGATCAGTCTCCATAATTAGTCCCCCCAATATATATCCAGTCTTTTTTCCTCTCCCATCTAATAGGCGTACGTAAAAGGACTTTAAATAAAGCAATACAATTGCCCTACAAAAAAAAAAAAAATAGGAGTACAAAATAGCTATAACATTTGGTTATAGCAAATAAGAGTACGAAATAGCTATAACATAATGTTATAGCAAATAAAAGTACAAAATAGCTATAACATAATGTTATAGCAAATAAGAGTACGAAATAGCTATAACATAATGTTATAGCAAATAAGAGTACGAAATAGCTATAACATAATGTTATAGCAAATAAGAGTACAAAATAGCTATAACATAATGTTATAGCAAGTAAGAGTACAAAATAGCTATAACATAATGTTATAGCAAATAAGAGTACGGAATAGCTATAACATAATGTTATAGCAAATAAGAGTATGAAATAGCTATAACATAATGTTATAGCAAGTAAGAGTACGGAATAGCTATAACATTATGTTATAGCAAATAAGAGTACGAAATAGCTATAACATAATGTTATAGCAAATAAGAGTACGGAATAGCTATAACATTTGGTTATAGCAAATAAAAGTACAAAATTGCTATAACATTTGGTTATAGCAAATAAAAGTACGAAATTGCTATAACATTTGGTTATAGCAAATAAGAGTACAAAATAGCTATAACATAATGTTATAGCAAATAAGAGTACGAAATAGCTATAACATAATGTTATAGCAAATAAGAGTACGAAATAGCTATAACATTATGTTATAGCAAATAAGAGTACGGAATAGCTATAACATAATGTTATAGCAAATAAGAGTACGGAATAGCTATAACATAATGTTATAGCAAATAAAAGTACAAAATTGCTATAACATTATGTTATAGCAAATAAGAGTACGAAATAGCTATAACATTATGTTATAGCAAATAAGAGTACGAAATAGCTATAACATAATGTTATAGCAAATAAGAGTACAAAATAGCTATAACATAATGTTATAGCAAATAAGAGTACGAAATAGCTATAACATTATGTTATAGCAAATAAGAGTACGGAATAGCTATAACATAATGTTATAGCAAATAAAAGTACAAAATAGCTATAACGTAATGTTATAGCAAATAAGAGTACAAAATTGCTATAACATAATGTTATAGCAAGTAAGAGTACGGAATAGCTATAACATAATGTTATAGCAAGTAAGAGTACGGAATAGCTATAACATTATGTTATAGCAAATAAGAGTACGGAATAGCTATAACATAATGTTATAGCAAATAAGAGTACGGAATAGCTATAACATAATGTTATAGCAAATAAGAGTACAAAATAGCTATAACATTTGGTTATAGCAAATAAAAGTACAAAATAGCTATAACATTTGGTTATAGCAAATAAAAGTACAAAATTGCTATAACATTTGGTTATAGCAAATAAAAGTACGAAATTGCTATAACATTTGGTTATAGCAAATAAGAGTACAAAATAGCTATAACATAATGTTATAGCAAGTAAGAGTACGGAATAGCTATAACATTATGTTATAGCAAATAAGAGTACGGAATAGCTATAACATAATGTTATAGCAAATAAGAGTACGGAATAGCTATAACATTATGTTATAGCAAATAAGAGTACGAAATAGCTATAACATAATGTTATAGCAAATAAGAGTACGGAATAGCTATAACATAATGTTATAGCAAATAAGAGTACAAAATAGCTATAACATTATGTTATAGCAAATAAGAGTACGAAATAGCTATAACATAATGTTATAGCAAATAAAAGTACAAAATTGCTATAACATTTGGTTATAGCAAATAAAAGTACAAAATTGCTATAACATAATGTTATAGCAAATAAAAGTACAAAATAGCTATAACATAATGTTATAGCAAATAAGAGTACGGAATAGCTATAACATTATGTTATAGCAAGTAAGAGTACGGAATAGCTATAACATAATGTTATAGCAAATAAGAGTACAAAATTGCTATAACATTTGGTTATAGCAAAGGACACTGTTGATTGGCTAGTTATTAGCTGTTCAACATGATATTTCAAAAATTATAATGCGTTGTTATAGCTGTTGTTATAGCTAAAAAAAATTGATGGCAGACGGCGTCAAATCGTTTAAGTGATTTCCTTTTAATGCTACAATAACGCCTCTCTGCTTCTTTACGTCTTCTCTGCGCAATTTATACGCTCAACTATCAAGCAATCCTTCGTTGGTTCTTAATGCCTAGAATACTTTTTTTTCCTAATTTTTTAACTATGACAAGGGGAACATATCAATAACTAATATCAGAAATTCAATTTAAAATGATGACTGTCTTGCTCCGGAAGGTGATGGTGATGAGGACGCTACTACAGGTGTTCTCTGTTGTTGTTCAGTTTGCTTTTGCTTTTGCTTTTGCTTTTTCATAGCGCGGTGATAAGCACTTTGAGCACTTTTGTACGACTTATACTGCTCAAAGCGGCCCAGTATTTTCCACTGTTGGAATTGAGCTTTCCATGGTATGTGTCCGTTTTTGTCCACTTGTTGCTCAGCAAATTCGAAATCGGATAATGGATCCTCTAAGCGTCGCTTTTGTGCTATTCCATCGACATACGCAATGGTATTACTCAAAATGTTTACGGCTGTTTCAATACGCACGCCAACAGGTTGATCTTGATTTTCAAGGGCTGCCTTTGCCTTATAACATTCTGATTTTGATTGGGCACATACACTTTTTAATGCATGGATAGAGTTTTCGTTGTCATGGATATGGCTACCAAGTATATTTTTCATTTTGGTATACAGACAAATTAATGTTGGATCATTGCATTGTGTAAAGTTGATAAGTGATGTCTCTTGTTCAATAAGACAGTGAACAAGTGCAAGTAATGGGTTTAACGGAGTTTCGCTGAGATAGGGCGCAATAGTCTCTGCATTGAAAAATAGACATGAGCTGGCCCAGCCAATACTCGACAGCTGCTTTGCGAAAGGGATACGAGAACCAGGTATTTCAGTTTCAAGTAGATATCTGGTTGTCGAATTAATCACAATTGCCACAACAATAGGGAGCTTAGACGCTTTATGTTGTCTAGAAACCGAACGCGAGTAGTCGATTAGTCGTTGATAAAAATTCATATCTGCCTTGTTTTGAATCTCGATTAGAATACGAGGTAGGTCATTAGAGCAGTTGATTGGCTCGTACGCGACATCAGAGCGAGTGAAATTAATCCACTCAGTTGGAATGGCAATGTATTGATCTTTTGCCTTTGGTCCTACACAAACGAAAAGAATTAGTAGCATACTAACAGGCATATTTAAGATCATACCAATAACTGCTGAGACAACAATATTAATAACATCTTGATCAGCTAACAAGAGCTTGCTCATTAAATCGGTTCCGGGTAAATACTTCCTTGGAAGAGAAAAGGTCTTGAGGTTGACGCCGTCTGCCATATTTTTAGCTATAACAACGCATTATAGTTTTTTCGACTATATGAAATGTGATAATCAGCCCGTACTTCCTAATACATTCTTGGAGTACGTTTCAAGGCGTTTCCAATGGTGCCGAGTAAAATAAATGTTTTGACTGAATTTATCGAGCAATTCAAGAAAATATGAAAAGCGGTTTTTGGCCAAAATGTCAAGATTTTGCATATAAAGGCCTCACAAAAGTGGTTTCAGAGGTTGCTTTGGATCGAGAGAAACATTTTGATTCATGATATACCATAGTAAAAGTCTTCATTATCAAGGTCAAAAAACGCGATCGTTTGATTTTCAATGAAAACTTTTTTTTTTTTTTTTTTTTTTTTTGGATGATATTATTTTATTAGGATAGTAATTAGAAATAAAACAAATGCATCAAAGAGATGGACAAGTGTATGGAGACAAAGTGACTTGGCATATATAAATCTTGAATAATAAACTAATGGGAGAGTTGCCTAAGATTTGACAATCTTAACAGTTCTGTGCGGATGTGGCGACAGACTTGGATGACATTAAAGGGGATGAGGTTGTAAAACTGTTGATAATGGTGTCTCCAGATAGTACGCATAATGGTGGCAAAGAGGTCATATATGGTAATGTGTAAGTCATAATTGTAGATATAATAATGCTTCAGTTTGAAGTGCATAATTGAGTTGTAGATAAGTTGTGGATCGGCGGTTTTGGGGTAGCTAAGGAACTCGTTGAAGGAGGAGTCCCAGACATCAAGTTTATGGACGCAACTGATGAGCAGGTGTTGAGCGTCTTCCACTTCATTGCAAAGGGTACAGCGGTCTGATGCGGCATGTTTAAGATTGCGTTGGGCCATTGCCAGTTGATTTGAGCTTTGTTTGTGGATCATTCTGTACCAAAGGTTGCGAGCTGAGTAGTGCATCGTGTTCTTGTAGAATGCCTTCCATTGCTGTTTGCTGAGTTGGTTACTGTAATGTCTACCGACATCGAGGTTAGCCATGTCTAGCATGACGAAACGGAGCTCTCTATTCGGCAGTTTGAAGATTGGGTGCTGTTGGTAGATCATGGATTCAACGAAAGGCAGGAAATCCATCTCACCGGCATTGTTGTGGTTGACAAAGCGTTGGAAGGAGATCTGATGGTTGGCTAGGGCACGACGAACTTTGTTCAAGGTGGTTGGTGTGGGGCATTCTGACCGAGGTCGAAACTGGAGGCTATGCTGAGCAAGGTCATATGCAAAGAAGTCGCGGATACAACTTCTCCTAACCGAATCTTTGGTCATGAATTCCAGGTCTGTTGTAACAGCAAAGGGGTTGAAGGCAGCAAGGAGGGGGAGACTCATGATGGTAGTGATTGTTGGGCGTCTATCCCAGTCTCTGTGAAGGCTGCAGATGTCCATAGCATTGAACATCGATAGGAATTTTTCAATGAAAACCATGAGGGGTATCTCATGATTTTTGGTCGATTTTTGGCCATGTTTTTTGGGTCCTAAAAAAAGTTGAGCAAAGGCGTCAGGAAGTTACTACTACTCAATTACAATTGTTTGGCGTTATTCCGGTGGCTCAAAAAGGTCTACATGTCAAGATATGAAGGCTTGAAAGCCGTCAAATTTGGTTGTGTATTGCTTTATAGCTTTTATTTACACGGCATCAATCACATCTCTAATAGCTGTGCTTTCCTGGAAGGGCAGTTCTGCAGCCTGTGCTACTTCTAATTCGAATAGGAGGCATATTGATTTTGGTAAAGATAACTCATGCAAATTTTAATGCGCTATGTTGTTGGTATGCTTATTACCAATGAAAGTGAAAACCCGAATTTGCTGCTTATTAGATACTATGGTTTTGCACCTTTGCCTGTTTTACAGTACATTATATGATCTCGATTGTTACAGACGTGAATCTCGTAGACGAGTCAGATCCACATCCACAAGCACAGGTAAGTTATGGGAAGTTTTGATCTACCAAAAGAAATTTTAAAAGTGAAATGTTGACATATAACAGCAAAATATTATTAGTAAATAAAGCGGCTAATCCTTGCTGTATTGTAATATATCACACTGAGCCTACTTCTTACTGCACATATTACTATCTCTGACACTTTGAAATAATTCAGATTTCCAGAAGTTTCTAGCAAGATGGGCTTGGAGGCATGATAGTAGATAGGACATTTACCAATGACAAACATGCTGTTATTATAGTAAATGACAGATCAAAATGAGACATAGGCTTCTATCAAATATATTTTTGCCCTTGTCTTTTTTTCAAGTCCCAATGGGCTAGATTCATTACTTTACATAAGGATTAACAAATGTATTTAAATGATACTAATAGCAATCTTTATTTTTTTTTTAAAAAAAATGTATATTACAGAGAATAGTGTAAAATGCAAAAATATGTATAATGAATTAAGTTAGAAAATGGAAAGGGGGATATTACTATAATAAGTGCTAATCAATTTAATCCATATCAAGATCTTCATCTTCGTCCATGGGTTCTTCTTCAATATAACCTGCTTCGCTTTCATGGTTACGCTTGATATCAATATGACCACTGGCATCCAGATCAACATGGGCAATTTCACCATTACGAACACCACCATCAATGATCAATCTAGCCAAAGGATTCAATACACGTTGTTGAATAAGACGGTTCAAAGGACGAGCACCAAAGACAGGTTCGTAGCCATGTTCACCAAGCCAGGCCTTGGCAGCTTCCGAGACTTGCAGTACAATGCGACGATCAGCGAGACGCTCTTCAATCTCCTTGAGACGCACATCCACGATACCAGTAATGTTGTTTTGAGTGAGGCGGTTAAAGATGACCAATTCATCAATACGATTGGTGAATTCAGGACTAAAGTGGTTGCGAACAACTTCCAGAATCTTCTCCTTCAAGATGATCATGTTATCCTTGTGTTGATCAGCCAAGAGACCAGCACCCAAGTTGGAAGTCATGACAATGATAGTGTTACGGAAATCAATCTTGCGACCCTTGGAGTCATGGATAAAGCCTTCATCAAGTACTTGCAAAAGAACGTTGGCAACATCTCTGTGAGCCTTCTCCAACTCATCAAGCAAGACAACAGCATAGGGCTTGCGACGAACAGCTTCAAAGAGACCACCGTCTTCATGGCCAACGTAACCGGGAGGAGCACCAATCAATTTAGCAACACTGTGTTGTTCCATCAATTCACTCATATCAATACGAATCATGGCACGTTCGTCATTGAAGAGGAATTCGGCCAGTGTCTTACAGAGCAATGTCTTACCAACACCAGTAGGACCCAAGAACATGAAGGAAGCCAAAGGTTTGTGAGGATCTTGAAGGCCAGCCTTGGAAAGACGAATAGCATTACAGACAGCCTTGATAGCAGCATCTTGACCCACCACATGCTTGCTGATTTCAGTTTCCATGTTCAAAAGCTTCTCACGTTCGCTCTTGGCCAAATTCTGCACAGGAATACCAGTCCAACGAGAGACAACCTCCATGATTTGTTCAGGACGAACCACCTCAGACAAGATGGCGTTATCAGTGGTAGTGTCGTTCGCCAGCTCCTCATTCACCTTGCGTTGCTTTTCGGCTTGCAGTTCAGCAATACGTTGTTCAACATCAGGGATAGCATAGTACTCGATATCAGCAGCAGTGTCCAAATCATAACGGTTTCTAGCTTCAACAGCCTTTGATTTAAGGTCGTCTAACTTTTGCTTCAAATCACGGATTTCATCAAGACGGCCTTTTGTCAATTCATACTTGAGCTTCAATGGCTTCAACTCTTCATCCAGCTTGGCCATTTCCTCCTTGACAGACTCCAGACGCTCCTTGGACTCCTTGTTGTTCTTTTCCTTTCCAAGAGCCTTGGCTTCAATTTCCAATTGGAATCGCTTACGTTCGAGCACATCAATCTCTTCAGGCTTGGAATCAAGTTGAACACGCGTATTGGCAGCAGCTTCGTCAATCAGATCGATTGCCTTATCAGGCAAGAAACGAGTCGTAATGTAGCGATCAGAGAGCTGAGCAGCAGCGACCAATGCAGAATCGACAATTTTGACACCATGGTAGTTTTCATAACGCTCCTTGAGACCACGGAGAATGGAGATAGTAGCAGGGACAGAGGGTTCACCAACATCCACCTTTTGGAAACGACGTTCAAATGCAGGGTCCTTTTCAATTTCACGGTATTCAGAGAGGGTAGTAGCGCCAATACAACGGAGCTCACCACGAGCCAACATGGGCTTCAACAAGTTGGCGGCATCCATGGAACCTTCAGCCTTACCAGCGCCCAAGACAGTGTGAATTTCATCAATGAACAAGATGACACCTTCTTCAGATTCCTTGACCTCCTTCAGAACAGCCTTGAGACGCTCTTCAAACTCACCACGGAACTTTGCACCAGCAATCAAAGCACCCATATCCAAAGAAAAGAGCTTGCATTGCAGCGATTGTGGGACATCACGCTCAATGATACGACGAGCTAGACCTTCAACAATAGCTGTCTTACCAACACCAGGTTCACCGATCAACACAGGATTGTTCTTTGTACGTCTAGCCAGCACACGAATCACACGACGGATTTCATCATCACGGCCGATGACGGGATCCAGTTTACCAGTTTGAGCCATTTGTGTCAAGTCAATAGCATACTTGGCCAATGCCTCATAGACTTCTTCAGCATTCTTGGAATCCACACGACGATTACCACGGACTTGAGAGACAGCCGATTCGAGAGCCTTCTTTGTAACACCTGCTTCTTTCATGGGTTTGAAGGTAGCATCTTCATCAGACAAAGCCAAAATGACATGATCGATCGAGATAAAAGAGTCCTTTTGATCCTTCATGTGCTTTTCAGCATTGCGAAGAAGTTTACCAGTTTGAGGACCAATACCAATATCAGTGGGAGCAGGATCTTGCGAAGGTAAGTGCAGCATAACCTTTCGGTAGCCACGTTCAATGATCTTGGGGTCAGCACCAGCTTTCTCGAGAATAGATTTGAATAGAGGAGCACCTTCGGTTTCATCAAATAATGCACAGGCAATGTGTGCAGGCATGATTTGAGAATGTCCAAACTCACGAGCCAGACTCTGAGCTATGCCCAAAGCCTTCTCGACTTTATCAGTAAAATTCATTCCACTCATATTAATGTTGTTGTATTATAAAATAAGTTGTAGTTGTAAGAAATGAAGAGGACCTCGTCCAGGCATTGCTTTTATATTCTATTTCTCGCTGCGTTTCAATGGAAATCACTCCTTTTTACTGGAAGTTGATGGAAGAGACTCGAAATTTTGAGTGAAACCCCGATGTTTGTAGCATTTGCCAGAATGTTGGTGAAATGTCTAGCAGGTACATGAAGGCAGTGGATGATTCCCTTAGAACATGTTAGTTTGGCTCTCTGACCATTCAATTGATGCACCTATGTATGCACTAGAGTAACCACTGCTCTAATATCTTGGTTTAGTATCATGGCAATAAAGCCAGGTTTCGAAAATCATGCAGAATCTTTTTTGATACATCATACTAATACAGGCAATTGAAACATCCGATATCTTTGATCAATCCATGTCCATTCCATGCGACAAATCCTAGCAAAGGCCCTCTAAATGTCTATGCCAAATTACTCAAGTATGTTGTATTCATGATATAAGGGGCCATCTTGAAAGCCAGTTTGATGCCTCAGTGCATACATAGCAAAAATCAAAGCATATCGGCTACATGTATGATATGCCTAAAAGCAGGGAGTTGGGCTGGGATTCAATAGCATATTATTGTCGTGTGCAATGAACCGTAAAATGAAAGGGTAAGCCATGATTTATTGATCAGAAAAGCTCCAGGCATTGATGTCATAATGAGTTAGTTGGGTAACGCAATCTTTTCCTTCTTTCGCTTGGGTAATGGGGTTGAAGTGAATGTTTCTTGCTCCACTTCACATTCTTCCGGTGGCAGGCGATAATGTGTCGTACGGCTGGATGTCTTTTCTTCCTTGAGTTTTCTACTAGAATTATAAACTTAAATTCATTATTCAGACATTGATACGGATGCAGTACCTCTTTTCGCCAATCTCATGTTCCTCCTCCTTCTTCACTGTAATTTCCTCCCGAATCATCTTTTCTCGTTCCTTACTGCTATTTTGACATGACGCAACCCTCTCTCTCACTTGATTCTCTAGCAATAGCCGAGCACCCAACTGATTTTTACCAGACGCCTTGGATGAAATCATGACAAGGGCACCGCCAATGGCAAGAGCAGCACCTCCAGTGGCAACAGCTGTACTACCCAGCGCGAACCCACCCAGGGCGGATAATCCGCCAAAAGCGCCCACACCCCATCCGGTTGCTTCCAGTTTTTTGTGTGACCTAGGATCCAGTCTCTCTAGTAAATCCAACAGTTGCTTTAATTGAATCATATCAGTTCGAACTCGGTTGGGTATTTTGTCTTGCATCTTGTCATGCTCCTCGATCCACACGTCCGTGCTCTGAAGGATGCTTTGAACTTGAGCTATTAGTATTTCTAATTGATTGTGAAATGACACCTCGCTAAACTTGACGCTTGCTTGATAAGTGGAGTAGAGTGAGAGTGAGAGAATGCCTGCTGCTGCTGCTGATTTAGTAAGTGTTTCTGCTGTTACAGAAGGCCCCAGCACTTGTTTCTTCTCCGTGTTGTCATCATTCTTCGCAGCCTGGTTTTGCTTCTTCTCTTTATCTTGCTTCTCCTTTTGCTTCATTTTCTCTCTTTGCAGCTCTTCTTCATCCTCAGATTCTGAAGACGAGGACTCTTCTTGGTTGCGGTTAAAGAACCATCCTCTGTTGTTCTCTCTACGTCTTCGTCGACGTTCTCTCTTGTACTCTCTCTCAAATTTTTTGAACTTCTCCTGCTCGTACTTTTTCTCGTTTGTTTTCTGCATGTATTCAGTTCCACATCGAATAACAAACTCAGTGATGGCCCTTGTTCTTTCAGAAGTCAAAAGAGATCCAAAGTAGCTTGTAGGCACAAAGTTCCTGGTCCAGGAATCCTCAGCTGTGGAATTGATGGGTTTTTGCTCCTACCTGTCATCAGAGACATGCATGGTAACCACAAAAACTAGACTTTACCTTTTCATTCTTGGGCAGCTCTTGGAGAATATGAGGCGCAAAGTCGAGCAGTGTGCGAATTGGCGTAGTAAAATCACCTGTTTCTCGATTGTAGAGTTCGCTAGGGAACTGATAATCCTCGAAAAAGAACTATTTGCCACATCAGTCAATCCAGTAAGGACAATTGAGATGAGTCGCTCTTACCGAAGCCATTGTTGTAAATGTAGTATATTGCTCTCAAATGACGTAAATGCTAAAGAGATGCAAACAATCATCCATGGATCCAAATAGGATCCACATATTAGGCAAGTTATCCAATTAGATGCAGACAGAATGCAATCGCATTAAAGATGAAAAATTGTCACTGTATGGCTTATCCTTTTGTCCTTTTTTTCCTTGATTTGGACTTGCCCTCAATCCATTTAAAGTTTTTTTAAATTCGACAGCTTCTCTTCTTTTTTCATATATACATCAAAGACTGATTTACAATGGGTAAAGCCAGAGAGAAGAAGAACTCCAAGGGTAAGTTGCCGTATTCAGTGATCCAGATTCAGCGCTCTAATGCCGTCAAACAGGACGTTTGGACAAGTACTACCATTTGGCCAAAGAGCAAGGTTATCGTGCTCGTTCTGCCTTCAAGCTCATCCAACTCAACAAAAAGTACAATTTTTTGGAAAAATCTCGAGCACTGATTGATTTGTGTGCTGCTCCTGGTGGTTGGTAAGTTGATATCTGTATATAATATGATACAATGCTGATTGAATGACATTTTTATAGGCTTCAGGTCGCAACAAAGTACATGCCTCAATCCAGTTTAGTTATTGGTAAGCATTGATCTCCCAGTTCCATGACACATTCTAACAACAGTTGTCCCTCAGGTGTTGATTTGGTTGCTATTAAGCCAATTCCTGGTGTTATTACCTTCCAAGACGACATTACAACTGAGAGATGTAGACAAAACCTCAGACAAGAGATGAAGACATGGAAAGCTGATGTGTATGTAGTGGCTGTAAAGCATTGATCTATCAAATGACTCATGATTGTATCTATAGTGTTCTTCATGATGGTGCTCCCAATGTCGGTAGAGCTTGGGTTCATGATGCCTTCTCTCAGTCAGAGCTTGTACTCGTTTCATTGAAGCTCGCTACTGAATTTTTGGCCAAGGGCGGTACCTTTGTTACCAAGGTGTTCAGATCCAAAGATTACAACAAATTGCTCTGGGTGTTCCAACAACTTTTCCGCAAAGTAGAGGCCACAAAGCCCCCTTCTTCTCGTAATGTCTCTGCCGAAATTTTCGTTGTGTGCCGTGATTTCATTGCCCCAAAGAAGATTGATCCTCGTATCTTGGATCCCAAGGCTGTCTTTTCTGATGTTGGTGCTGAAGAACAAAAGAAGATGACTGATATTTTCAAGCCTGAAAAGAAACATAGACACAGAGATGGTTATGAGGATGGTGATTATACCATGCACAAGACTCTCGACGTGATGGAATTTGTGCGCTCTCAAGATCCTATTACTACTTTGGGTTCTTACAATCAATTCACTTGGGAATCTGATGAAGCAAAAGAACTATTAAAGCGTGAAATTACCACCGAAGATGTCAAGGTGAACACTGAGGATTTGAAGGTGCTCGGTAAAAGTGATTTCAAGACTCTTTTGAAATGGAGAGCTACGCTCCGTGAGGAATACAAGATGGACAAAAAGGAAGAGGAGAAAGCCAAGGCTGCCTTGATTGAACAAGAACCATTAGACGAAGACGAGTTGTTAGAAGCTGAGCTTGCTAATTTGACAAAGGAAGAAGCAGCCAAAAAGAAAAGAGAGAGAAGAAAGGCCAACGAAAAGAAGATGAAACTGATTCAACGAATGCAATTGAACATGATTATTCCCACCGATATTGCTTTAGAAGATGGAGGTGTGGCCGATGACGAAGTGTTCAACATCAAAAAGATCAACAAGGACGACTCTCTCGCTAAACTTCATGCTGGTGATATGTCCATGGCTGATGAATTCGCTGACGACGACGATAACAACGATATCAAGGTTGATAAAAACTTGCGTGGCCGTGTGAGAGAAATGGATATGGAAATGGACGAAAATATGGATTCTGATGAAGAATACGAGCGTGATCTTGAGCAGCAGATGGATGAAGCATACAGCCGTTATAAGCAAAGTAGAGCAGAAAGAGATGCAAAGTTCAGAGCCAAACAAGTTCGTAACGAAGATGATGAATGGAATGGATTCGATGACAAAAAGAAGAACGAAGACAGAGACAAAACCTTTGATTCTGATTCTGAGTCCTCCAACTCTGAATCTTCCGAATCTGACAGTGATTCTGACAGCGATAGCGATAGCGACAGCGACGGTGATACAACAATGAAGGTCGCTAAGCCCAAAGCACCCAAGGAAAAGAAGTTGAAGATTGCCACAAAGTCATCTAATTCCCTCATGAATGATCTTGGAGAAAAGGCTGCCTTATCCAAAAAGACTGCTAGTGGCCTCACAACGTCTGCATCCATGTTTTTCGACCAAGATATCTTCCAAGACGTGGCACTTGATGAACTTATGGAGAACGAAGAAGAATCCAGTGACGACGAACAATTTATCCGTGAGCAATCTCGCAAGAGAAAGAGAAGCCAGAAGGACGAAGAATCTAGAAGTGATGATGAAGAACAAAATGGCGACAGTGATTTCGAGATTGAAGCAACCGAAGATGCCGTTCCATCTGACGAGGAAATGTGGGATGGTGCTGAAGACGAGAATTCCAAGGCCATGAAGAAGGCATTAGAAACTGGTTTGACAACAGCGGAAGCAATCACTTTGGCTCGCCAATTAGCCAACAAGGAAAAGACTATTGAAGATTTCATCGATGACGGTTTCTCCAAGGAAGCTTTCAGAGACAAGGATGGTCTTCCTGAATGGTTCTTGGACGACGAAAAGCACCACAACAAGCCCAACTTGCCTGTCACTAAAGAAGCCATGAACCAACTTCGTGAGAAGCTCAAGGCACTCAATGCTCGTCCCATTAAAAAGATTGCTGAAGCCAAGGCTCGTAAGAAGTTCAAGGCCGTACAAAGAATCACCAAAGCACAAAAGAAGGCCACCGATATCGCTGATAACCCAGATATGTCTGAAAAGGAAAAAGCAAAGAATATTGGCAAATTGCTGGCTAGAGCTACTAAATCAAAACCCAAGAAGGATGTCAAAGTGGTTGTTGCAAAGGGTGCTAATCGTGGTGTGAAGGGTCGTCCTAAGGGTGTCAAGGGCCGTTATAAGATGGTAGATGGCGTCATGAAGAACGAAAGACGTGCAGAGAGAAGAAGAGAAAAGAAGGCAAAAAAGAGAAGTGGCAATGGTCGTCGTTAAAGCACACCTTTTTCACTTAAACTATAGATTCCCTTTTTATTCATTTTAAGCCATTTTTCGTTTTTTATTTCTATTTTTCAAAATTATCTTGTATTAAAGCTTTCATGTAAATTTATTACTCATACATTTGTGTCTGTGTATATTTTGTGATAATGGGCCTCTGAGATTGCAGCCTATTATTTTCTTCCTTGAATGATATTTGGTGATCTTGGGGTAAACGAGGTAGGATAGCTCAGCTGTATTCGTATCACGGTTGGCACGATCTGAAAACATCTTTGTCTGGAATATTGGCTGTATGTTGGAAAGGGCATCTTGTTTGGTTATGCTTGTACGGAATCAAGAAAGTTAGCAACATCTATAAGAACGTGGCATTGAGTAATATTGATTTACTGCTCCTTCTTATTTGTAATTGGCGTACGACAATATATATTTATGATGGCAGTATTTCTCCTGGTATATATTATCGTTGCTCCCTTTCAAGAGTTTGACAAGAGCTTGCTCATTGTCAAGGAACAGCTAAAACGTTGGGGCTAGCATTGCATCTCAGTGAATGGACCTGGGATATATCAATGCTATTAGTATATGCTGAATTTTCACTCTTCAACAGTTCAACGTCAAATATAAACCCTCTATAAACAATCTGTAGCAGTGAATCTGGCTCTTCTGCGATGCTCCATGTCTGTATCGTTGAATTCAGTTCCTATACGAGCAGATAACATATTTGCATTGTACCCAACTACTCAAAAGCATGCAAACCACTGCCAAATCAGGATAGACTTGAGTCGTGTTTTCTCGCTTTAGAGGCCGCTTTAGGCCACCAGAATAGCGCCAAACAATTGCTCTCACCTAGCACTTGCTTACTGACGCCTTTGCTCAACTTTTTGTGAACTCAAAAAACATGGCCAAAAATCGGTTCAAAACCATGAGGTATCCCTCATGGTTTCCATCGAAATTTAAACGATCGCATTTTTTTATCTTGAAAATGAAGACTTTTACTATGGTATGTATTGAATCAAAATGTTTCTCTCGGCTCGTAGCAACCTCTGAAACCACTTTTATGAGGCTTTCATATGCAAAATATGACTACTTTCGTTAAAAACCGCTTTTCATATTTTCTTGAATTGCTCGATAAATTCAGTCAAACCACTTATTACAGTTGGCACCATTGTAAGCGCCTTGAAAAGTACTTCAAGAATGTATTAGGAAGCGTAAGGTGATCATCACAGTTTATATAGTCGAACATCGCAAAATAGATTATAGAAGTCGAAAAATAATAAAATCTGTCCAATCTTAAACAGAAAAAAAAACAAGCTGAGTTTGAATCAATTTTGGCGGCGGCATTGCTGCTGGCTGGCCCAAATGCCTTTCTGATGATGACAATGAGGATTGCGATGCTGATTAAATGGGGATGATGGAGTTGAAAGGGCATTGATTAGCACACATACTTTTTTTTGGGGGGAGCTTTGCCTCATAAAATTGCCTTTTGCAATGACAATATCTCAAAAAAGCCGCTGTAAATCTTATACAACTCCTGTGTTTACTTATGACCAGCTTTATGTCGCCATCTTATCAAGAGCATCAGCAGCAGCGAATGATATGTTAATTCTATCATCAGAAAACGAAGATTGTGATGTACAAATGCTGCATAAAACTTGAGTTTTCTTTCACAACGTCTCATTAACAGGTTTCTTTTGATATCAGTGTAAGCAAAAAAGGATGCTTCTATTTGATATACCAAAATTTTATCATATCTGATTTAAAATGTCTTTGGTGAGAGCCCGCAGAGCAACGCCGACATCGAGCGGAGCGAGATAGATTGGCTAGTAGTTCATATGCGAACATACAGTCTTCCTGTAATATCTCTTTCTGCTCAAGATTATGTCAAACGCAGCGAAATCTGGATGCATTGGAAGCTTGATTTCTCCTGTTACAAGCCGCTCTAGACCGCCAGAATAGCACCAAACAATTGGTCTCATCTAGCATTAACATATTGACACCTTTGCTCAACTTTTTGGAGTCCAAAAAAAAACACCTCGAAAATCCTCCAAAAACCATGAGGTATCCCTTATGGTTTTTTTTTCGAAAACCAAACGATCGCGTTTTTGACCGCAAAAATGAAGACTTTTACTATGGTATACGAGCCTTTCAGCACTTCGGGTGGTTTCCTGACCTACGCTTCGCTTCGGTGGAAACCAACCTACGTTCAAACGGCTCGCGCTGCCGCGGGCCTTTGGCTAATATCCCAAAATTAATATAGCTAAAATGTTAGAAGAGGAACCCTGATTGTTGATTGATATATAATCACTAATCATATGAGTGTTTATGCTTCGGATGGTTCTCACCGAAGCGTAGCGAAGGTAGAGAACCAACCTGCGCAGCGGCAGCTCGTGCTACTGATTTCTCTTGCGTATTTTATCAAAATACTGCTACTTTCATTTTGACCCTCCACTTACACATAGCAACCCTTCATATTATCTGTGGATCTGATTCTTATGTGATGTTCTACATCCATATACACGTAGCTACTTCATATACGGGCAAGCAGCATACTGGTATTCCCACTTTTTAGTCCTTAGTGTCCCTAATACAGCAAAATATGAGTGCATTTGAGCTGAATTTTCTTGCGTTCAAGGCCGTTTTAGATCGTCAGAATAGCCCCAAATGGTTGCTTTCATCTGGCAGTTACTTTCTGACACTTTTGCTCGACTTTTTGGGGACCAAAAAAACATGGTCAAAAATCGACCAAAAAGCATGAGGTATCCCTCATGGTTTTCATCGAAAATCAAACGATCGCATTTTTCATCTTGATAATGGAGACTTTTACTATGGTATATCTTGAATCAAAATGTTTCTATCAATCCAAAGCAACCTCTGAAATTATCTTTGTGGGACTTTGATATGTAAAATTTCGACATTTTGGCCATAAACCTCTTTTCATATGTTTACAAATCATTTAATAAGTGAATTCAAAACATCTATTTTACTTAGTACCATTGGAAGCGCCTTGAAAAGTACTCCAGGAAAGCTTAAGGAAGCATGGGGTGATTATCATACTTCACTTAGTCGAATCTGCAAAAATAGCTCGATCGAGTCCAAAATTATCAAAATATGTCCAATCTGGAACAGACTATGATTCTGGGTTTGAATTAATTTTGGCTGGTAGGGCCAGCTGGAAAACTCATGCCCTTTTCATAAGGCAATACAGTAGTAAATGCCCTTGAAGCGTATAGAAAGTAGGTGGAAGGTCATAGCACTATCGTTTATAATGATATTTTATTGCCTTCTATATCGTTCATAATGATATTTTATTGCATTCTATATTTAATAACGTTAGTCTGGACATTGACAATGCATGGGTTGCATAAAATGTCTGCAGTAAGTAATGAAATCTCTGAGGCTCTGAGACGTCGCTCAAATAAAACATTGACAGCATTGAGCAGAGGAAAGAGGGTAGAAACAACAGTGGTTTTTGTTGATTGATTGTAAAATCATTATTCTCATATGAGCCAGGACAGATAGATGCCTTGAAACTCAGGTTCCATATTAGGATTGTAAAGTGCAAAAGTACTGAACATTTATTATGTTATGATATGAGCCAGGTCTGATAGATGCCTTGAAACTCAGGTTCCATATTAGGATTGTAAAGTGCAAAAGGACTGAACATTTATTATGTTATGATGATATGAGCCAGGACAGATAGATGCCTTGAAACTCAGGTTCCATATTAGGATTGTAAAGTGCAAAAGTACTGAACATTTATTATGTTATGATATGAGCCAGGACAGATAGATGCCTTGAAACTCAGGTTCCATATTAGGATTGTAAAGTGCAAAAGTACTGAACATTTATTATGTTATGATATGAGCCAGGTCTGATAGATGCCTTGAAACTCAGGTTCCATATTAGGATTGTAAAGTGCAAAAGGACTGAACATTTATTATGTTATGATGATATGAGCCAGGACAGATAGATGCCTTGAAACTCAGGTTCCATATTAGGATTGTAAAGTGCAAAAGTACTGAACATTTATTATGTTATGATATGAGCCAGGACAGATAGATGCCTTGAAACTCAGGTTCCATATTAGGATTGTAAAGTGCAAAAGTACTGAACATTTATTATGTTATGATATTGAACCAAAATGTTTCTCTCAATCCAAAGCAACCTCTAAAGCCATGTTTGTGAAACCTTTATATGCCAAATCTCGATATTTTGGCCAAAAGCCTCATTTCAAAACTTCTAAAATTACTCAATAGGCTCAGGCAAAACATCTGCTTTACTTGGCTTTACTGGAAGCGCCTTAAAAAGTACTACAGAAAAACATAAGGAAGTATGGGATGATTATTACATTTTGTATAATCGAATCTCGCCAAATAGTTCAATCAAGTCGAAATTGATCAGGATTTGGCCAATCAATCCTGAACTATAAAGTTTATCGGGATTTAAATTTGATCTGCCTGGTGGCAAGATCAATTTCACTGTTACGAATGCAATCAATGCTTTTAAAGGTTGGAAAGAAGAGTATTGCGAATAGAGAAGTGCCATGATATGGTTCGGCTACTGCTTATTGCTTTTATTGTGCATTTCTATTCATATGATAAATTTAATTGTTACAAAGCATGCTTTCGAATTTGAATTCAAATGCGAAATATGAAACTGGCTACTCTGATCTAATGATTGCTTCATTCAAATGTTCGTCTAACTGATTTTAGAGTAACCTTTAATCAGAGCCATCTAATACAATGCAGCACCTTCCATTGATTTTGCATCTTCCCTATGACATCGACCCATAGAGTTACTCGGCGATGTTTTTAATCGGATGATGCACACGATCCGTTCAGAATCTTACATTTGGTTCGCGTTTCCAAAGTTACAAGCACAGAATGCGGGGGTCCTTTCCCTCACACATGAAAACTGCATGGTTTTTGTATCCGTGCATTATAAAAATGAAGCGTGCAAAACACAAATTACACATGAAAATCGCCCAAAGTATATCATCAAGCGCTGGCAAATGTCATCACATAAGAACTTAAAACAAATAGGGCTAGCAATTGCTGACAGCCTGAGGCATGCTTAGAACAAGCAAACTTGATTCATGTCGCACAAAAGGAAAGTCTAGTCATTTCGGACCATACGCAACTACCTACATATGCTTTTCAAAACTTTTTTAGGCCGATTTTCTCCATCTACTTTCGCCCCTTCCCCTTTCCTCGTTCAACAAGGCCTCATGAAGAAAGCGTTAAATTTAACTGGTTAAAGCAATTGAATACCCAAAAAATACAGGGATTATATTTGCTACGTTTTGGTGGTTTTTTCGTCTTTGGAATAGGAAACCTTAAAACGATTAGGCTTTTCTCTAAACTTTTCCGTGTGTGAAATGATACTTTGCAAGGGCCATTAAAGTTGATTTGTTGCTTTTTTCCAGCCTTGCAGTGCATGGTTCTGTTCAAGTATCATAGCATGAGAAACCCACAAGATATTGTTAAGCCTTTCTGTACATACATGGATATATTTGGAGACAACATTTAAGTGTCAAGTACTCATATGCACTGTGCGAAAATACTGAAAGCTATATTTGGACACATTTTTATTTTTTTCGATCCGTTATAAAATCAAGCATACAAATTGCCGCGAGATAGCTAGACCGTTTGCTACGTCAAATCATACAAAAATCACTCAGTAAGCAGCAATGCACTCACGAAACTCTAATCAAGTCAAGGCGAGAGTCTGGATACAGCTTGACAATTGTGAAAATTATGCTTATTCATTCTATAAACTGTTTTGGAATTATATAATGGAATGTCGTGACACAAAATCAAACAAGTGTAGCATGTACAGAAAAAAAGAGTGGATGGTTTGACAAGGCTATTGACGACCCCACATTTCTTCATATGTTAAAATGTCACTATTTTACCCGTTAATCATAATATTGTATTACCTTTGTTTTTCACACAATCCAAGTCTAGTATAATATGAGATGAGTCAAAGGGATGTTTTTTTTAGGACCATAGTTTGTTTTGGCGGAACCTTTTCCGTTACTCATGAAAAGAAAAACCATCCGATATCTACATGTTGCAGGTTTATCAAAACTTAATCATACACCCAACATTTTGAAAAGAATCATACGACATTATGTAATTATTTAGACTGATTGAAAGAGAATTATAATCAACTCATTTAATCCATTAGTGAGCTGGAAAACCCTGAACTTTAAACCTTCATTAAATTTCCCCGGAAAAGCTTTTTACGTTTACGATATCGGATTACAAACGATCGACCTTTTAAACTATACGAGATTATTACAAAACTCCAGCACACACGCAAATTTCCGAAGTATGTGTTGGGGGGGTTTGTTGCACCATACATTTCCAAATGTGCGCACAAAATCAGAACAGTGATCAGACCAAGGGATATTTTTTTATTACAATTCGTAAAAAAAAAAAAAAAAAAAAAAAAAAAAAAAGCTATTTTTCCCACCCTATGTTTGATTTTTTTTTTAAAAATCATCCTCATCGTCATTTTCAATATCCCAATCATCTAACAGAGATTCGCTTTCTTTTTTCATGGCTGCTAATCCCGTAATTTCTTCCAAATACAGTGGGTCTTTGAGCACTTGTTTGACAAAACTCAGATGATTTTCATCATACGCATTCAGGATCTTGAAAGATGAATGATGGACTGATTAGAAGTGCACAAGAGGGAGATAGGAGAAAGATTCATACCTTTTCTGAGCACGCTGTACACTTTTCATATGCTTGTCCCACTATCAACATGTTGCTAAATTGCCCAAGAAAGCCTCGTATCTGATGTGGAAGCAAACCCAGAATAGAACCAGAGGATTGAGTTTGGTTATTAGACGTATCAGCTCTTGCATTGATCCTTATCACAGCACCAACACCATATCAGTTCAAGTCCGATCAACAATCAACGTTTACATTTCATCACTTACCCATCTGGATGTTGTAGCAATGATACCATAAGTTCAACCGCCAGAGCACCAGCGATAGCCGCTAAGCCTGGTCTGGTAACAGTGCATTGTTGATCCAAGGTGCGATCTGTAAGGGACTATTGTGTCATTTAGTTCTAGACTCAAACGCTAAATAGACATCTTATCTTACATCTGTAGGTGCAACAATATCATTACAAAAGTAACAACCCAATTCGTTTTGCTGTTGATGTTGACGTGCACCGTGTCTCATGACGAGGTATGTGTCAAATCCCAAGGCACTATTGATGACCATCTTGTTGTGCTTTGCCGCTAATACGGTAGGAAACCATCGGCTTTCTCTGCTATCAGTTAATAAGAATACAACGTCATGATCTGATACTAATTGACTCAGTTTATCGATATCTTGAGAGAGCTGTTCATCCGAAGTTTGTGCATAGTGACCAGGCATAGGTATAGATAAGTCGTAACCTTCTGATACGATAGTAGGCTGAATTAATTTAAGGTTTTTTGCTGCAGATTTAGCTTTCAGGGCACCACCATTCAATGAATCTTCGAAATGATACAACGGCTGGCGAACAGGATTGGAGAACGATACTTTTCCGTTATCGACAAAGGATATATGGCGCACGCCCCATCCCTACATGTAGTTTAGTTTGCTGTTCAGTCGGTACAGACAGAGAGACTCACAATCAAACATCTTGCTACATAGCATCCAAGAGTTCCCGCACCGAGCAGTAAACATTTTGTTTGCTTAATCTTTTCTAAATCAAGATCAGGCATCAAGCGCCACCTCATTAATTTCAGATTGAGGTCTACAGACGTATCGGCTAGTCTAGTGCATCGTTTTGTTGTTATTTATCAATAGTATCGTCATTATTATTATACTTTTACCTCGTAGGATCCATCAACGGGCCCAGGTCTGCCATTCTGGGACCAAGTTTGCCTTGCACGTTTCGTTCCCACCCCACAGATTTCAAGCCTTATGTATTTGTTACAACATTAATCAATGTACATTTACGGAAACAAAATACTAATGAAACTTACTGTCATAAGATGCTGATTCCGGTAACTCCACCTTGATAATAAAAGAAGTGTCTGGCTGATGTTGACGCCAACAGAGTACAGAGACTCTTCGTATATTGAAGGATTTGACTACAAGATACAGCAAATTTCTCAGCGGCCAGCCAGGTGCATCAGTCGATGAAGCAGGATCCACAAATCCAATGATACACTACACAAGTGTCAGCATGAAAGTGGATGCTAGTTTGCCCTATCTTACATCTTTGTTATCAAACTCGCTCAGCGGTAGCACATGTTGATTATTCTTGATAGTGAAAAATGGCCAATGATGATCCATGCTCTTCAATGAGGCGAGTAAATCAGCGTCAATCGAGTCTTGTTTATGCAACAGTGCCCATGGTTCACTTGGCATGAAAGCAGGGAATCCAAACCAATAATAAAATTTGTATTTTTTCAAATCAGCAAATGTGAGCAGCAGAAAACTGCCCAGCGTGCTTGGATTTTGCAGTGCTTGACCTGTTTGAACTGCATTTTGTATCTGTATACATGATTAATTTTTTCCCATATACTGCCATTCCATTCCTCGGCTTGATTACCTTTTCTGTTACTTGTTGAAACAATTGGTTCTTATCAGTCGTGCGAAATTCCTCGATAGTATTTGTATTGACCAATGTTCCCTTATAGCCAAAATACCCCATCTTTCTATATAATTTTTTTATATGTGAGAAGAAAATTAATGCAAAATCACCCTCATAAACACAAACATATGAGTTTCCTCTTCCAATCCGTCTGCAGGAATATGGAATCGACCTGGAATATTGATCGTTTCATTCTTCTCATTCGTTGCTGTGGTTGCATGCGTATAATAGCCTCGAATGGCTTGGGACTCTGATGATAATTTGAGCACGTTCAGCTTCTTTTCGACCAGTGATTGCCAGAATGACGCATCGACCGATGAGTTGAATGGGGTAAATTTTAATATATTCATTTGTAGAGAAACAAGATAAAAAAAAAGAAAATAGAAGGGCTTGCGTAATTCCTCACTCTAATACGCCAAATGCGTTTATCGTCCTGTGTTGTGTGTGTTGTGCGTGCGTGCATATGTGTGAATTTTACTCAAATCAACATCTTGTGACAGTTTGTTTCGTTGGTTGCCATGACAACATTGATTCCCATGACAGTTAAGCTATATACATGTACATTTTTGCATTTCATTGTGCTGGACCGAGTAACATGGCAAGAAGACTGAGGGAGAAGAGAATGTGTATAATTATTTGAGACGGATAGAATAGGGGAGTGAATCCATTTTAAAATAATGGGGGGAGCAGTAAAGTATATAAACTATTTCACATGTGATGTGTGTATATACATTTAACGAAATGTCAAATATATATGTGGGTTGTGTGAAAAGAGCAAGTGCCATGATTGGGTACATCCACCAATAAGAAAAATGCACAGACAGATTTGAATGATTTTCATATGATGGTGGGATGGCAAGATTCTTCATGATTGTCTATACAAGATCCAGGCAAAAATTGCGTGATGTATATTCGGAATGACATTGCTGCAATGTACGAAGTGATTTAGAAATAAAGGCGGAACGTTAATGAAGGGAAGAAGGAGGCATGTTGCAGTAAGAAAGCACATTGCCGACGATCTGGAATTGATTACCCCACAACACTCACTCTCTCACACACACACAGGGGGGGGGGGCGGGGGGGCATATGAACAAGGGGAATAAACAAGTGAAGGGGAGAAGGAGAAGGAAAGAATAGGAGATTTCTTTTTGATATGGACATAGATAAGGGAGTTTTACTGAAATAAATTAGCATCTCTTTTGTTTTTGTATCCTTCCAAGGTCTCATAAAATTGAATACATGCTGTCATTGTCTTGATTTACATTGCTGGTTTTGTTTATATGCTGTCTTCTTCACAAGGGAAAAAATCAACTCTAAAATCATAACGTGTGAAATACTACGAAAAATCAGGGATTACCATAATTGGGTTATCAACATCCCTCATCTTTTTCGGATGTGTGGAGAAAAAGAGTTTTGTTGCTATTGTAAGCATGTCTCACAATCAATGCTCCCCCCCCCCCACTGAATCTGTTATCTCAGCCATCATCAAAACCCCACTTACCCAATTTGTCGTTTTCTATCGACTATATAAACCCTGTACTTTCTCACCCTTTGCAATGCATTTCTTTTTCGTCTTTCTTCTTTTTTTTTAATTTCCATATTATACACATCATGACCACATTTATCCAAACTTCTACTATGCATCTTTCTTGTCCCAAGAGAGCTATTACACCAGTTGATAAGGCAAACATCCCTAGACCTTACAAATGTCCCATCTGTCCAAAGTCATTTTATAGACTTGAACATCAGACCCGTCATATCCGTACACACACTGGTGAAAAACCTCATCAATGTACATTTCCTGGTTGCGCAAAGAAATTCTCACGATCTGATGAATTAACAAGACATGTTCGTATCCATACATCCCCAAATAAGAGACGTGTTCGCAAAGCAAAGTTGACAAAAGCAATCCAACAACAACAACAACAACAACAAAACCATCAAATCCAGCAACAGCAATTGCAACAGCCTGTCATGCTCGTTGCGAGATCTTTACCCCCTTCTCCCGCTCTTTCTACAAGCTCAAACTTCTCTTCCCATCACTCTGACAACGAGGAAATGTTGTTTACACCTGATCAATCTCCAACTCTCTCTCCTACTACCATCTTATCACCCATTGGATCACCTAGAATGTCCATGTTCAAGTTGGCACCTTTGGAATGCAACCAGTTTGATCCTGTCTCTGCTCGCTCTAGTAGTTGCACTCAACCCAGCCTTATGGATCTCTTAAATCGTCCTCCTCAAGCCCGTGTGTTGCCTCCAATTAGCTCTACATCTCATTTTATGCCCTCTAATGCTGCTGCTTCTTCTGAATCAACATCCTCATTACCTTCAATCCATTCTGTTGTTCAATTCTAAATAACCCATATTCTCACAAATCAGCAATTTTATATATAACACATCCCCCACTCTTTCATTATGTAGACTTTTTTTCCAATTAATTTAATATTGTATAGTACCAATGCACAAACAACCACATTAGCAATTATTATATATCAAACAACCCTACTCTCTTTTTCTTTTATGTACATAAATAACAATAAATCACATTCTAACGAAAAACTTATATTAAAGTATAATGATTTATCCGACATTACCCTAAATTTAATGATTCTTCAGCTATGACCCAGATTCTCCCGTTTTAATTTTCCACCCTGTTTGCTTATCTAAAAAAGCTGTTCATTGGTTGAAAGAGTGCTTCTATTCAGGGTTGTAAAGTGTAATCGCACGTGGGGCGGACCTTATCTGTCGTACGATTGGAAGATACAGCAAGGGTGGGCTTTCCCCCCGCATACTCAATTGTCCAAACTGATTGGATGTTTGTTAATCTCTCATCATCTCCACCCCGCATAAGCATCATATCATCCGTTCTTTTTACAGTGCAGCCCCTAATGTTTCCCGGGCTCATTTTCCAATTTTCCTTTTTTTCTATCCAAGGAGGGAGGGAGAACAAGTAAGAAGACGTTGGAAAAAAAAGAATTCAAGGCGTGTGTAATTGAGAGGTCCAACATTGTACGTTCATTTGTATATTTTTCACAGTGATCCCGGAATCAGATTACGATAAAACGTCATTTTACAATACAATGTAAAATACTTGCTACTAAAAAGCCCAGACTCCCCTTTATCAGGATTGGAATTCAAAATGAGGTGATATTACTTTGAAACGATGCTATTTAATTTGCCAATTACAACCCACTATGAGTCAAATATGACATTTCTCAAGTCTGATATAGCCCTTTCTCCAATGCACTCCGAAGACCCTCCATTGAGGAACGGGAAGATGCTGTATAAATATCAAAAAGATAATGCCTTTTCCATGCTACAAGTCGACAGCATCATTAGCTGATTTTTCTTATCCGTTGACTATGGCCAATAAGGTTTACCTTTTCCCTATTTCTCCATTCCATTTCCCTTCCGTACCTCTCCCCCAACTCCCTTTTACAATCCAAATCAATAGATGACAGCTGGAATTTTTTTTATCTCATTGTCTTTGTGTTTGCCTTTTCTTTTGTTTGGTCGGGAGGTTGAGAATGCGAAATGATACGGAGTTGCTCTCTGTTTGGGATCACAAAGCACATCACAGAGCACACCACACCATCCACACATATCAAAATTTACATATCATTTAGATCTCCTTGTGTAACTAATTTCCATAGAAATCTGTAATCTACTATTATTATGATACAGTGAAATCATACTTGGCAGTGATGATGAAAGAGATAAAATTTCTGTTACTCTTATACACTTTATACTATGGAGAAGATGTCAATTGTCGTTTTTGTATTTGATGGAATTAGATGTAGAAATATGATGCGTTTCACAATTTCACAACAATTCCACGTGCAGTCTATAAAGTGCTCTTGGTGGGGTAACATGTAATAGATTTAAAGCTGATAACAGAGCCTAATTGAGGTTCTCCACTTTCCATTTTACATATCAGCATCCCTTGTTGCTGGCTCAAATAAAATGCTATATATAGCAATCGTTGATTCTTGATTATTCAGACAACCTCATGGGCGAATGTAATGGTGGAGAAATTTTACATTTGATCAAGTATAACGACTGCCTTAGCGTGGGATCTTCTCATTTTTATACATATTTGGCATGCCTTGTATTTTCTTGTAGTACTTGAATATCGCACACCACAGAAATCCTATCATCTTAGATAGCATGTAAAAGCAGTACTCTCCTCTTAATGAATCATATGAATTTTTTTTTTTTTTTTTTTTTTTTTTTACCTAAAATGACATGAAATTACCTTTTCTGACATCTGATATCTGCTTTCGATACAGTACAATTTTTTTTTTTTACTATCAATTGCGCATTATATATCTATACATAAAAAAGAAACTATACATTAAATTTATTCTCCTCGTGAATTACGGATTTACCCCAATATTTAAAAATTTTCAGGCCAAGTCCGTCAAAAGCAGCTTATCTCTTTAATGAATGCAGCAAGTAAATCATCGCAATTTTCTCATTCTTTGATCTAACTCTGCATGAGGATATTAGTTCTTCCTTTATGTGTCAATTTCGATCAAATGGGGGACCATTTACCGTGTGTAAAATGGCTGATATACATGCAGCTCGGTCGCTCCGAGCAAACATTGGCATTTTCCTGAGCTAATGGTTTCCCATCTCTGGAACTGTCGACATTTATTTCTCGTTTTTTCTCATACTATTGAGTATTTGAATACCTTGTTTCACTGAAACGTATGTTACTAGCTTGTCATTTACCCTTTTTAAGATGAAAAACTCATTGATCATTTGTGCATTATCTTCTCATCCTATTTTTAAGGCTCCTTTCGCTCTCTCTCTCTCTACCTCCCCGCCTTATCTAAATTTTCCCCACATCCTGGCCATGCGCAGCGTGAGATCCTGAGAAAACACCAATGGTAATTGCGAAATGCATTGCTTAAAGAAGCTTAGAATCAAATTGGCAAAAATTTTCAATGTAAAACTTTCAAGTTACTCTCTTCTCTCGTAAATGGATAAATTTCTCAGCCTTGTTACTACAGCTTCTGCTTAGCATGATTTAATTTACGGTGACAACTAAACAGCGTACCATCTTAGCGCTCAAGAAAGTATGACAAGATATCTATTTTCAGAACTGATAAGTGAGAATCAAACTCGTACCTGAATCTGAGTTCTCCGTGCAGGAACGTTTGATGACCGCTGCATCCTCTTGATCTACAGTAACTTTCATATGCCTCGAAGTTAGTGGATAGGTCTTGCCAAGTTACATCCAGCCTTCCTTGGCGATTGAAATGTGAAGCGCTAGCGATAATACTGAAATATGGGGAGATCTTTATGCTTGTGAAATTTGGGCACCAGCCCTACAGTGAATAATTTTCTACTTAATAATACATAAGAGAGAAAAAGTATATCTTAATTAACTAGCGTGCTCTGTGAGCGTGGCAGACTATTTTTTTGTGAGTTTGTTGCATTGAGAAGTGTCCAAAATGCGTGTTGAAGCTGCCGCATATAACATGCACTGGAGGTGTTTCAAGCTTCGTAAAACCAGACTCAAGATTGTTTTGACCACTTTTTTTCTTAAAAAAAAAGCTCCACTTTCAGAAGCTTTAGACACATTAGTTTTTAAGATAAAAACGTGAAAGTAGACGCCAAAAAACTACTACTTCTTGGCTTTTGAACAGTAGTAAATTTGTGTTTTTAGTATGTCTGTAGGATGCTCAGTCTTTGTTTGAAATAAATTTTCGAAAAACGTCCAAAAACTGCTGTGCATCTTACCATCTCACATAGATGAGGTGCAAAAAGTAAACGTAACCCAGGCAAATATAATATCAAAAGACTCGCCAAACTCTACTCATTCGTTTGATATGCTTCTTATTGCTTACAAACACGTACCTATATGTTTGCAAATTTTTCCTCGTTTTGGCGCGTAGCCAGAAGCTTAGATTGCCCTGATTTTGGTAACAGGCCATACTATCCATGTGTTTGTCATTTATATTGCATCAATAGCTGTACTTTGCATAGCTGATTAGTATAGTTGGCTTGAAAGTGCAGGCATTCGAATGGCGTTCTAGCTACTATGCTGTTTGTGCCGGTATTGCATACCTGTGTTGTACCAATGAATCGAGTCCACTGCCTATACTCGTCCAAATCGATTTATTACTGGACCACTTATGCAGTAAGGACAATATAAATCAGAACATATAGCTTTATTTTCAAACTTTACGAGTGTTTACACTTCGGTGAGAACCAGCCTGCACAGCGGCAGCTCGCGTTACTGATTGCCCTGGCGTATCTTATCAAAATACTGCTACTTTCATTTTGTCCCTCTACTTATAAAAATTCTTTATATTATCTACGAATCTGATTCTTATGTGATGCTCTACATCCGTATACACGTAGCTATTTCATATACGGGCAAGAATCATACAGATATTATCCCTTTTTGGTCAAGAGTGTGCCTAATACAGCGCATTTGAGCCGCGTTTTCTTGCGTTCAAGGCCGTTTTAGGTCATCAGAATACCACCAAACAATTGCTCTCATCTGGCAGTTACTTATTGACACCTTTGCTCAACTTTTTGGGGACCAAAAAAACATGGACAAAAACAGACCAAAAAGCATGAGGTACCCCTCATGGTTTTCATCGAAAATCAAACGATCGTGTTTTTGACCTCGATAATGAAGACTTTTACTATGGCATACGAGCCTTTCAGCACTTCGGGTGGTTTCCTGACCTACGCTTCGCTTCGGTGGAAACCAACCTACGTTCAAACGGCTCGCGCTGCCGCGGGCCTTTGGCTAATATCCCAAAATTAATATAGCTAAAATGTTAGAAGAGGAACCCTGATTGTTGATTGATATATAATCACTAATCATATGAGTGTTTATGCTTCGGATGGTTCTCACCGAAGCGTAGCGAAGGTAGAGAACCAACCTGCGCAGCGGCAGCTCGTGCTACTGATTGCTCTTGCGTATTTTATCAAAATACTGCTACTTTCATTTTGACCCTCCACTTACACATAGTAACCCTTCATATTATCTGTGGATCTGATTCTTATGTGATGTTCTACATCCATATACACGTAGCTGCTTCATATACGGGCAAGCAGCATACTGGTATTCCCACTTTTTAGTCCTTAGTGTCCCTAATACAGCAAAGTATGAGTGCATTTGAGCTGAATTTTCTTGCGTTCAAGGCCGTTTTAGATCGTCAGAATAGCCCCAAATGGTTGCTTTCATCTGGCAGTTCCTTTCTGACACTTTTGCTCGACTTTTTGGGGACCAAAAAAACATGGTCAAAATTCGACCAAAAAGCATGAGGTATCCCTCATGGTTTTCATCGAAAATCAAACGATCGCATTTTTCATCTTGATAATGAAGATTTTTACTATAGTATATCTTGAATCAAAATGTTTCTATCAATCCAAAGCAACCTCTGAAATTATCTTTGTGGGACTTTGATATGTAAAATTTCGACATTTTGGCCATAAATCTCTTTTCATATTTTTACAAATCATTCAATAAGTGATTTCAAAACATCTATTTTACTTAGTACCATTGGAAGCGCCTTGAAAAGTACTCCAGGAAAGCTTAAGGAAGCATGGGGAGATTATCATACTTCACTTAGTCGAATCTGCAAAAATAGCTCGATCGAGTTCAAAATTATCAAAATATGTCCAATCTGGAACAGACTATGATTCTGGGTTTGAATTAATTTTGGCTGGTAGGGCCAGCTGGAAAACTCATGCCCTTTTCATAAGGCAATACAGTAGTAAATGCCCTCGAAGCGTATAGAAAGTAGGTGGAAGGTCATAGCACTATCGTTTATAATGATATTTTATTGCCTTCTATATCGTTCATAATGATATTTTATTGCATTCTATATTTAATAACGTTAGTCTGGACATTGACAATGCATGGGTTGCATAAAATGTCTGCAGTAAGTAATGAAATCTCTGAGGCTCTGAGACGTCGCTCAAATAAAACATTGACAGCATTGAGCAGAGGAAAGAGGGTAGAAATAACAGTGGTTTTTGTTGATTGATTGTAAAATCATTATTCTCATATGAGCCAGGACAGATAGATGCCTTGAAACTCAGGTTCCATATTAGGATTGTAAAGTGCAAAAGTACTGAACATTTATTATGTTATGATATGAGCCAGGACAGATAGATGCCTTGAAACTCAGGTTCCATATTAGGATTGTAAAGTGCAAAAGTACTGAACATTTATTATGTTATGATATGAGCCAGGACAGATAGATGCCTTGAAACTCAGGTTCCATATTAGGATTGTAAAGTGCAAAAGTACTGAACATTTATTATGTTATGATGATAGATATTAATTCAAAATGCTTCTCTCGATCCAAAGCAACTCCTGAAGTCATCGTTGTGCAACCTTGATATGCAAAATTTCGACTTTTTGGCTCGAAGCCTCTTTTTATATTTTCGTGAATTACTCAATAAGTTTATTCAAAACATCTATCTTACTTGGTACCATTGTATGCGCCTTGAAAAGCATTCCAAGCAAGCTTAAAGATGCATACGGTGATCATCGTATTTTACTTAGTCGAATCTGCAAAAATAGTTCGATCAAGTCGAAAACTGTTAAGATTTGGCCAATCTGGAACAAACTATGAATCTGGATTTGAATTAATTTTGGTTGGTGGGGTCAGCTGGAAAGCTCAATGCCCTTTACATAAGGCAATACAGTAGTATATGCCCTTGAAGCGTATGGAAAGTAGGTGGCAAATCATAGCACTATATTTAGCCATGCTATTTCATTGTATTCTGTAATTAGTAACGTCAGTCTATCAAAATACTTGTTAGAACAACTTTTTTCCCTTTTTTTTTGAGGCTTTGAGAGTGTCTAGGAACTGAATCCTTTATTATGTTATGATGATATACAACTGTTAGTCATATGAGCTTTAAGACTTCATGATAACGTCCACAGTGCCTTTGCTTATTCTAGCACCATCTTGAAACTCCTTTGAATTTGATTCCACTGTCTTTCCTAAGCCTGTAACCACCTTTTCACGAGAACCAAGCGCACCAGAAACCAGCAATTCCTCTACCAACATGCGACTATTCTTGATACAATCAGGAACACTGACGCCCATATAACTAGCACCAGCCAAACTCATCAAGTGTCCATAGTTTTGTTTCAGGGCATGATGTAGCTCTCGCATGCGACCTTCATGACCCACCATGTATTGAGGAATACACTGCTTTTGGAGATTGACCATCGAATGAGTTGGCTTGTCATGCAAATTTAAAAAGACGCTCATGCCCTTTCGTGCGTATCTGTAAGCTAACTCAGGATCCAGTTCGTCAACGGTTGCTTTTCCAAAAGCATCCTTCCAGTCTGCGCCACCAATCATTGCAGTGACCTTGACTACATCTGGTTGCTCTGTCTCTTGACCAGGCATAGCATTTGAGTCAAAAATGACACCGAGAGTACCCGGCACCGGAATTCTGTATTTTGTATCACGATGAGGAGTCAGGAAACCGAACCCATTATAACCTAATCTGACTTCTGGAGCATAGGCAAAGTTGACAACGGCTACATCAGACGCAGGATTATAACCCAAATTGGGCAGTGTATTTGGTGTGATCAGTCTTTCAAGGGTAAATGAAGGAATCGTTGAGATGATATGGTCAGCAAAGAATTCATGAGATTTTGTTTTGATCTGGATAACATGAGTTGATGAAGCACATCCAAAAGCTACATCTGATTACAAACCTTGCTCTCTTTTCCATTTCCCAAGGGTTCAATGGATTCGACCGGATCATTTCGAATGATCTCCACGTTAGGGTGCTGTTCTAACCACGAACGAAGACGGTCAGGCAGGGTCTCCATGCCGTCTTTAAAGCCCAATACACTCATTTTCTCCATGCGCCCAAACCATTCAGGGTCTTTATCTCTTGACCTGACAGCCATACCACGTTCACGCATAGTCGAGGTATTTGCAGCGCCTCTCATCATGCCAACAACGACACTGCCATAGTTTTTTTCAGCTTCGTACAACATACGGAGCGTAGATTGAATGGACAATTGCTTCACATCACCTGCATAAACACCATGCGCGACAGCTCCCATCAAATTGATGGCTGTGTGTTCATTGAATCTTCGCTTCATAAAATCGTACATGGATTCATCTTCGATACCGTCTTTGGGTTCACCGTTCTTAAAGCGAGACCTCCTCAAGGGCTCAAGAGCCCCGGCGAGTATGACAGACCTAAATACGGGAGGCTTTTTCAACAGCATGGAAACAAAACCTGATGGAAGTGTGTTGATCTTGCCGTCGTAGTAAATGTAGCGATTCTTGACAGAGGAGTCTGTCTTGGGCACGCTGAGTAATTTATCATCATTCAGATTGAGATGTTGAATCTAGACATTGGAATGGTTGAGTATTCCTATGCATTCAAGATGACAGAACGTCTTACCATTTCCAACAAGATGGCTCCATTGGGGCCCTCTGGTCGCAAACTTCTGGGACCAGCCTCAAACAGTACAGAGTCTTTTTCGACTGACAATTGAGGCAATTTGTCTCGATTGTATTTACCAGGAGCTACACGGCGACTATGAATCCAACCACCAACACGATCCTTGCCCTCAATCAGAACAATCTTGGTTGTAGCGGGAGCTAAGCGAGCCAAATAGTAAGCAGCAGACAATCCAGAGATGCCTCCACCTAGTACAGCAACAGAAGACATTTTTATATAACGAGTCTAGCAATGCAAGCAGAAGAAAGAGCTTCCATGAAGGAATAGCTGAAAACTTTATATATGAATTTCCGTTGAAGCTCAGCATGTGCTTCATATGGTGTGTTTGTCTCGGGCAATGCGGTAACACTGACCGCTGTGGTCGCAATGGTATCATTTAATCTTGGGCACTTTGGTGTCCTAGATGTGTAGCAACAAATATCAGACAAGAAGTAAAGCGAGTGCTTGCATAAATTGCAATGAGATGCTGAAAAGGAAATGTAGAGCTCTTTTTTTTTTTTCGATGCCAACTCGATACGACATTTAGCTGAATACAGGATCTAAAGACTCAATTGTACAATCCAGTTGCACATAGACTCTTTGATATGCTATCAACTGTAGGTTATGGAGGCGTCAACCAGTAAATGCTGCTTTCAATGTCGTTTTAGGATCGAATGCAGTTCGAAAAAATCTTCATCTCAGTCACATTGGATGCTCTCTGGCTATTATAAACCCCATCCAAAGGCTCCACTTTTTTTGAAAATCTTTCCTTTCTTTCTTATACCTCAGAAGCCTAACAAGGAGCTCACCTAGAAAAAAAAAAGAAAAAAAAAAAACCACCACATCAGCCATATCAGCCATCGCAAGATTATTAATCATTGAAAACATCCACTACCTGAATAACGAAATCAGCACAAAAGAAACAGCAAGTTGAACCTCCATCTCAACCATCATCGCTCAATCCTACATACAAAAAAATTAATTGAACGCGCGTCTATTCTATTTAGCTAGCCACCCCTACTCGGTCTATTTTTTTTTATCTCTACTCCTTGGTCCCTTGCACAAGAACTAGCTATTCAAGATCTTGACCCATTTTAGCACTCCCAAATACGCAACATATACAAACTACAAAAACACACTTGAAAAAACAACCAGAAACAGCATGTCAGATAACGAACAAGGATTATCAGCGACGACGACAGTTATCCGCTACACAAAAGAAGTAATGATAGGCTTGCATGATAGCCCACTTGTACAGAAACCAGAGGAGATGCCCTCTTTATTAACTTGGTTTGGGTAAATGCCTTTGCTTTTGCTATGGGAAAAGTCATGTGTATTAACTAGAATGTACATGTGTAGTGAGGATCCTGATTCACCAGCATGTAAAAATATCTTGAATAGCTCAATTGTTACCCGTACACCTACTGGTAGGTTGGTCAGCTCATGTCTTTAGAGCGCTGTATTCATCATGGCTTCTTTTCTCGCATAGATAAAAGCATAATTCTCGGCCCCACAAAGACAAACTTTGCCTCTTCGCTATACGGAGGCTTGAAGAGAACAGACGAAGGTCCAAACACGTCCAAACCCCCACAATCCAACTCATCAAGACATAACCATAGACAAGTAAGTAGAAAACAATGCTAAAAAATACATCGAGAGACTCATTTCGAGTATTTGCAAGCTGGATGAGAGATCGAATAACACTGGAATTAAAGAATATCGTTCACCTCGTGGTCCTTCATATATGGGAGAAAAGGGATTTTCACACAGAACCGACAACAGCAAATCATCATCCGACAGAAAATTCATGGGATCATCGCCACCACCACACAACAATAAGCGCTACAACAACAATGAGCGAATAAACGATATGAAGAACGGTAGCAATGGTAGACGAGAATGTAAGTGCAGCGAGGACACTGTACCTTTTTGTTGGGATACTCATGTGGTTCATGTGTGTAGATTTGCATAGCAATGCCAGCAGCAATCACAATCGCCTGAATGGTCGTTCAAACAACACCAATACCAGCAATCATCACAACAACAATAACAATCACAGCTATCAAGATGCTGATTCTGAAAGAGTGCCCGAATGGATGGATTACACACCTGAAGTTGAAATCGAGGCCAAAGATGAGGATATTCAGGCGCAATTCGCGAATGATTTGGAGGCATGGAAGACCAACATGAAGAAGAAAGACGGCATCAACGAGCATCCTGTCGTTGCTAAACCAGAAAAGAAGGTGGAAGAGTCCTTGGAAGCATTGTCAATGGAGCCCAAGCAAGTAGACCCTCTTTCTTTCTTTGAAGGGACGTCTTCTGAGCAGCCTCGTCGTGAGCAAAAGGGTGGCTCTCGTTTCGCTAAATTCTTTGCAAAGCGTGAGGAGCCCATGACAACTGCTGTAGTTGAAGCACCTGTACAACCTCAGGAATCCACAAGCACGCAGCCTCGTTCCATCAGCTTGAATGATCTGTTCCAAGGTTCACCTCAGCCTGCAGCAACAACAACAGCAGCAGCACCAGCACCAGCCCAAGCAGCCGCATCACCCTCAGCAAACCAGTTTAAGCAACACCACCAGCACCAAGCCCCTCTTCCACAACATTTGCAGCAACTGCAGATGCAACAACAACAATTGCATCAGCAACAGCAGCAGCAAAACGTGCGAGTATTCTCAGAGGAAGACATCTTGAAGTCATTGGGCGCTAAAAAGGCAAACAGTGAGCCCAAAGGCAATCAAAACGAAGACGCCATGGGATTCAATCGTGTGCTTCAAATTCTATCTCAACCCAAACCCTCATTACCACATAACAACAACAGCAGCGAAGATGATTTGCAAGGCTCTTCACCCAGAGTGAATAAGGGATCACCATTGATGACTGGCTCACCTTTTGAAAACAAACCCTCCTCCTCTACCTCTTCAGTCTCAAATCGATTTGGTAACAACCTGCCTACATCTGTGCTTCGTCAAATGAGTGCGAGATCATCAGAAGGCAGATCACCTTCATTGCAATCCACGAAATCCACGCCACCCATTTCAAATACGCGCTATTCGCCTGCTGCCATGAAGCAGCATTTACCTCCTCACATTCAACAGCAACAACAACAACAGCAACAACAGCAACAGCAACAGCAACCACAGCATGCTCAGATGCCCAATGGTATCCCATTACCACCACAGTATTTCGCTTATCAACAGCCTCCTTACTCGCCTCAACCACCCATGATGGATCATCGTGCTTTTGAGCAGCTTGTGCAATTCAATAACGGTGATATGCCTCCTCCTCCACCTAGGGGCATGCCTCCACCCCACCTGAGAAACGGCAGCAATTCTGATTATTTGCCTCCTCATATGATGATGCCTCCTCTTTTACCACCAGGACAACGACCCATGATGACGCCCCCCCCTCATTTCAATCAGCAACAAATGCTTCACATGCAACAAGGACAGCCCAGATTTCCTTTGCAGCAGCAACAACAGCAGCAGCAGCAGCCACAGCCACAGCAACAGCCAATGCCACCTCATATTATGGCCAATGGTAAGTTTTTTTAGAGGTATTTTTGGGCCATGTACTGCTTACTGACACGACATCTTCTTTGCCAGGCATGCCACCTCAAATGTTTGGAAAGAACCAAGGTTGGGAGCGTCAGTAAGAGTCAGAATGAGCAGGTTATCTTTTTTTTTTTTTTTTTTTTTTTTTTTTTTTCTGTGGCAATAAAGATGGCAAAAGTTCATGGGGCTTTTTGCATTTTAGACATGAATTTCGACCGCTCCAAATGACTGATATTGCTGCATGGGCGCAAATATCGACGATAACTGATTTTCTGTTGCGTACTCAATAAGAACAGCTCAGTGATTTATTGTGGGGAAACTAACATTGTCGTATCTGTCGGTTTGATTGCGAGTGTGCCTGAGTTGGCCATTATGTTTAGTGAGAGTATGTATGATTGCTTCAGATGTACATCACCTTCCGCGCACATGTTGGGAGGATTTATTGTATCAGCAGTGATTCGAGATGGGCCAACACAACATCGTGTGGTAAATCTTTAAAAGGGGTCTTCTTTTCGAGCAAGAGATCTCTCTACTAGCGAGCATTTGAGACTGTAGGTAGAAGGCTACTAAATACTAATTAAGGCATCTACTGACAAGCTTTTAATAATAGATCTAAACTGAAGTACTTTTAGATTGTGCTGGACATTAAACAGCTGCTTAATTTGGCTTGGCAATTAAGCGTGCCATGTCAAAATCTCTAATAGGGCGCTGGCAGACGAGGCGTCAGTATATGGTTATGAGGCGCCAAGGGTCTATTGAGTCATAAAAGTGAATCGTGCCCAATAAGTAACAGCATTTGCAAGCGGAATACGTATAGCAACGTTGTTGGTTCTCCTGAAACCCAAATTGTTGACTGATTCATTAGATGCACATTATGTAATTGTTGAGATACGAACCAAAAGGCTCATGTCTAATTTAGCTTAATTTATTATACAGTTTAGATAGTGGACTGCTCAGGGATTGCTTGCCATCTCGAAAGCAACAGTACAGATCTTTGAGCCTTCATGGCCACCAAATTGGAAGACGGGGTACTTTACGCTAGAGTGATAGCGGAAATCTAGATCAATCAAAGCCATGTTAGTAACACTGGATCAAATCGAGGTTTATGGTAAAAAAAAAAAAAAAAAAAAAAAAAAAAAAAAAAAAAAAAAAAAAAAAAAAAAAAAAAAAAAAAAAACATACACTTGGAAAAGTTATCAATCAGCTCCTCCTTGGTCCAGTTACAGCTTGTAATTAGAAATAACCCCTTGGGAGCCATCATTCTATGTACAGACTCGACATATTTCTCTCTTGGACCAGCGACACCATCTTTCTTGGCCTGAACCTGATCTGGATGCAAAGAAATGGCATCATAGGTACCTTTATCTAGCACCACATTGTATTTATCGTTGGGCAAGAACCAATCTGGGTTGGTCAAAAAGTCCACAGCATCGTATTGAATCCATTCCAATTCACGCTGCTTTGCAACAGATTTGGCAAGTGTGATGGCCGATTCAGAATAGTCAATGCCATGCAGATTTTTGTAACCCTCATTACTTAATTCCAATAATAAGTGTCCATTTCCACATCCCAGATCAATCATGCGACTCTCAGGGTCACTCACATTTTCTGTAACCCATTCTACCATGCGTTCAACACTGTCTTCGCCAAACCAAATCTCTCCAATGTCTCCAATCTCTTTGAAATTATCATTTTCTCGGTCGTAAACGGTATCCCAGCTGATTTCATACAAGGTATATCAGTAACAAGTTATGAAATATGTAGCCGATGCCTTACTATGACTTGGTGCCCAGTTTGGATGCTTCAAAATCTTGTGCTTCTGGGAACTCCATTTGTAATAAATTGTTAGTTGCAAAAAGCAAGAAAAAAAAAAAGTGCAAACAAATAAAAATTTTCAGTGCGGTTATGTAAATTCAAGCAGCGTGAAAACCAAGTGGGAGAGGGAGAGAGAGAGAGAGAGAGAGAGAGGGTGTGAGCGAAATGATAGTGGTACCTCGAAAAAAAAAATATTAATATATGCATAGTTATGTGCTAGGTAGCACTATATTAGATAAGAAACCTTAAGTAATTACTATACTATCACAGCGTAAATTGCTATGGCATTGAAAAGTAATGGATATTCATCATAAATGACAAAATGAAGCAGCACAATCTGATACATTTTCATCCAGAGTCAGACGCTCCTGCTGCTAAATATATAAAGAAATCAGAATTGCTAAATATATCAGATTCTTTTTGATTAAAACTCCTTTTTGTTTGGTAGAACATGCAATTTAAAACCGTTCGTCCAGTTTCCATTCCCTTCTCTTTCTCTCTCTTCCACAATACTATTATTTTTCACAGAAAAATGACATTTATCAAGCCTGATCCTGAGATGTTACAAGAAGAACAAGAAGACTTGATCATGTCTTACTTGAACGCAGACTATCTCTCTACAGATACACCTTTATCGCCACCATCAAGCACATCGTCATCCTCAGAAACCACCGGTTCACCTGAAAAACACTCGGTGGACGATTTTATGCTGGACATCAACACAGATTTTCTTGGTGGCGATCAGCATGCGTGGACAACAAACAATACAAGCGACTTATTTAACCCCTGCTTACCACAACAGCATCATCCATCTGACCTCCTGAATGCCTTCCCATTCTTTTTGCCCTCCATGGATGTCGCCAATGCCCAATTCATTCAACCAATGCCTGTCACTGCCGCCTCCGCAAATGTTGCTGCAAATGAACAACCCAAGAAAAGAAGAGGCAGAAAGAAGAGAGATACTACTGCTCCCGCTCCTTGTGTACCACAGCCTTCTTTATTAGCCCCAAAGCCGCTTGCGCCTCGCCCTGATGTGCAAATTAAACAGGAGCCTATGGCCATTGATGTTTCTAGTTCTGGCAGCTCATCTCCGTTGGCTGGCCCAACAAACATGATGAATGAAACTGTTGCAATTAGTCAACTTGAACCTCAGCAACAACAACAAAAACAAACCACACCACCACCACCACCACCACCACTGCCAGCATCACAGCCTACATCCATTGAAGCTCAAAAACAAGCTCAAATCCAAAAACGACAAGAGAGGCTGATCAAGAATCGCGCCGCTGCTTTGCTGTCTCGCAAAAGAAAGAGAGAGCATCTCAGTCTTTTGGAGGAGGAGAAGCAAAATTTGTTGATCGAGAATGAGACATTAGTGCATAAAGTGAACACGCTTGAAAGCAGAATTCAATCATTAGAGAAGGAGAATATGGAGTTGAAGGAAAAGCTGGAGCAAACACAGTCCGTAAATAGCAGCAATACAGTGATTCATGTTGGCAACAACAAGAGAAATCTCATTCATAACGGCCAAAAGCCATCAAAGGCTACTGGCGTAGTGTTTATGGTAAATTGTGATATATATAGAGAGCGGGTGGTTTTATCAAATACTGATTAGTTTAAAAATAGATTATTTTATTCTCTTTTGCATTATTTACATTGCCTTCAAGAACCTCTGATCGCTTAACTGTGGGCGGCTCCTCGGTCTTGTCCAAGAAGCAATTCCCCTTGATCGGCTCTACATCATCAGAGTAAGTACATGATAACATAGCAGCACTCTACAGGCCTTCTGACAAGTGTAATTTAGTGAAATGGATTACTCTGTGGAACAATTCTGCCAACAACATGCTGAATATTGTGATGAAGCCATGGAAGCCACGACATCCACATCCACATCCGATGTATCCACAAGCGACATTAATTCAACTGATCTTGTTCTTATTGACTCTGTGCGACCTCGTGATCTTCAAACGTGGATCAATCACAAACTCGATGTCAGTAGTGATAGCGTAGATAATGATAAAAAGCTTATCAGTTGGTTCCCTAATAACGCAAACGAAAAGTCGTCAGACGCCAAGGACTCGAACGATGGCCATGTCTACTTGTACTCCAAAGAGTTTTCCCAGCTGGCTTCCATGCACTCGACTCAATCGCAAAGCAAGGACAAATCGCCCCCTACCATTTCTTTAGTTTCACCTTACAATCAAACGGCGACCACACAAGATTCCTACTTGCAGATTGACGTTCAGGTTCTACGCTCTCAAGTGATTAAGGGGCAACTCATGTCCTTGCAACAGTATGGTTCTGCTTCTACGGCTCTATTGGATGGCATGAAAAAAGACCTGATATCGTCTAATGTAACACGATCCAATAAGAAGGAGGATTACATTGTTAAACGTGAAAAGCGCACAAAAAAGATCTCCAGAGTGATCATTTAACTTTTTATATTATTATTTTTTCGTTTATTATGCATACCCAAAAAGCAATTGCCCCTTAGTGAACTCCACCTTGTTAATAAATAAAAAAAATGAGTATATTGTTTCCATATAATTTTTCAAGATGACCCATATGTAGTTTGGTCTAGAGGGGTAATTTGGATCAATCTAGACGGTGGCAGCGTGGAGCACTGATTTTGGGCACGTGGCGTTTTGCGCTTGCTTAATCAGGGGAGGTGTCAGACTCAGTTTATCATTCCCGGAGGAGCAACTGTACGCGCTTCTCGAGTACAGTATAAATATGCTATCTGATACATATTTTGCTTACATTGATTTCAATACATATATCAGGGGTAGTGGTGCAATTTTGATTACGATGAAGATTTTGCATCTGGCAATTGATGAGCAGATTTCAACTAGATGCAAAGACGCAATACATTAGCAATAGCTCGTAGCTAGCCTCAGCTATAGCACCTATTCAATACGCAATTGCCTTCTTTTTAGTTTCATCAACATCGTTTGCATTCATGATTTCATAAGGCAGCATCGTGCCAGCCGAAAAGATAGATTCAATCTCCTACTTATCACAGCATACCGTCCTTGATTTGTTGATTTTCAAACACTTTGGATTAGATTCGACCTATTTTGTAAGATTCGAATGTATGGATTGTGTTAATCGCCCCATACTTCCTAATGCATTCTTGGAGCACTTTTTAATGCACATCCAATGGTACCAATAAAAATAGACATTCTAAACAGACTTATTGAGTAATGTATGAAAATATGAAATAAAGTTTTTGGCGGAAATGTTGATATGTTGCATACTAAGGTCTCTTGGAAGCAGTTTCAGGGGTTACTTTGGATTGAGAAGAACGTTTTGATTCAATATATACCATAGTAAAAGTCTTCATTATCAAGGTCAAAAACGCGATCGTTTGATTTTCGATGAAAACCATGAGGTACCCCTCATGCTTTTTTGTCGAATTTTGGCCATGTTTTTTTGGTCCCCAAAAAGTTGAACAAAAGTGTCAATAAGTAACTGCCAAGATGAGAGCAAATGTTTGGTGCTATTCTGATGACCTAAAACGGCCTTGAACGCAAGAAAATGCAGCTCAAATGCACTCAAAGTTTGCTTTATCAGGGAAACACTTGGCTAAAAAGGGGCAAAACCAGCATGCTGCTTGCCCGTATATGAAGTAGCAACATGTATATGGATGTAGAGCATCACATAGGAATCAGATTCACAGGTAATATGGAGTGGTCAAAATGAAAGTAGCAGCCTTTTGATAAAATACGCAAAGGCAATCGGTAGCGCGCGTTGCCGCTGTGCAGGTTGGTTCTCACTGAAGCAAAGCGAAGGTAGAGAGCCAACTGGAGCATAGACACTCGTAATATACAGTATAAATGGCTCAACTTCAGTAATCATCACAATTTAAGGCATGCATATTCTTCTCGCTTAAAACTGCCATCCCCAATATGGATTACCTCATGCACTTGGCCATTTTCACTTCATGTCAGGTCCTGGATGTACAAAATGGTCTCTGACTTGGAGACAAACTTTTTTCTTTTTCGTAAACCCATGTTAAACAGCTTATCCAAATAGCGCTCAACTATTGCCTCACTTATCACTCTTGCTCTCTCAATTGATATATTGCGGTTATTATCACTACAGCAAATACTTTCTAATCCCAACAGAGTAAGTCTTTAAATAGAGTCTTTGTGGTTATTTTGTATTAACCTCTACTACTGTAATAGGTACTTTCAAATGTAGCTCTATTACTCTCAAGCCTTTTATGCCCCTTCTTTTGCGGTGCGAAAAAACATTTGTAGAGGGAATAAGACTCAAGTTCTTCTTTGGCTATAAACCATCAAAAGCATTCATCAGTCTGAAAGTGAGCACCGTTTTCTGAAAACTCAAGATCAAATGCCAACCAGAAATATGACATTTGAAAAAGAATATTAATAAACACATAAAAAAAAACCCAACTATTACACCAAAACCCAATGCAGTGTCTTGCAAAAACTCTCATAAAGAATATTGTATTCATCATTACTTTCTATGCTTTATCCTTCTCTACATAAAATCCCTATTCAATCTACTTGTATCATCCAGAATACTACTGTTTCAATTAACTTGAAGCCTCACAAGCAAATCATTTCAAGATTACATCACAATTTATCAGATCACCATACCAATGTTCAACACTGATCTGATTTGAGGGCACAAAAAGGAATTGGCCCTAAAGGCCCTCATTGCGTGTTACAGCCAACAATAAGTATTCAGGGCAATCGAAACACAAGCGATGCTTTATTTTGGTGTCATATGTATAAATCATACAAGTTATCAAATCGGTCATTGACATAGCAGGATTTTGTATTATCAAAATGTACAGAGATTTAATTTATTTTCAAAAATTACTCAAACAAAAAAGCTAAAGCGTTGTGCTTTTCTTTCTTTAAGGTTTTTTTTTTTTACATTATTTAAGTGGATATATGTTATTTAAATGCAAATTTACTCGCTTTCAAAGACGGCACTCATACCCATGCCAGAACCAATACACATAGAAGTGACACCAATCTTCTTGCCTTGACGCTTCAATTCAGGGAGAAGAGTAGCAATTTGACGAGCACCAGTACAGCCCAAAGGATGACCAAAAGCAATAGCACCACCCTTGGGGTTAACCTTCTCGAAAGGAATTTGGAGCTTCTCGACAGAGTAGACGGCTTGAGAGGCGAAGGCCTCGTTGATTTCGTAAATGTCAACATCAGAAACCTTCAAACCAGCACGCTCAAGGGCAACAGGGATAGCATAGGCGGGACCGACACCCATGATCTTGGGAGGGACACCAACAACAGCAGATGTAATGTATTTACCAATGATAGGGAGACCTAACTTTTCAGCGGTCTTACGCTTCATCAACAAGACAGCGGCAGCACCATCAGAAACTTGAGAGGCGTTACCAGCAGTAGTAGAGCCATTTTCGTTGAAAGCAGGCTTGAGCTTACCGAGAGTCTCGGGAGTAGTGCCAGGGCGGACACCATCATCACGATCAACAAGGATAGTAGTCTCCTTACCTTCCTTGTCAGTAACAGTGGCTTCAAGAGGAACGATTTCTTCCTTGAACCAACCGTTCTTTTGAGCAGCAACAGCCTTAGCATGAGAAGAGGCGGCGAAAGCATCTTGCTTGGCACGGGTGACATTGAATTCAGCAGCAACGTTCTCGGAAGTGATACTAGATTGAAATCAACAGTGTCAGTATTCAAATATCTTGCATAAACATTCACATTTCACATGTAAACCGTCAATCACACACACACACAAATAGACGCCCTCTCCAAAATCCAAATTGAAATGTATATCTTACCCCATGGGAATGAGACAGTCAGCAGCGGCAGCACAAGAGTCGGCAATCTTCTCAGATGTAGCAGAGAGAGAGGCAGCACCATAGTTTTGGGTCATGGACTCAACACCGGCACCAATACCAATTTCAATCAAACCAGATTGAATAGCAGTGGCAATTTGGACAACGGCTTGAAGACCGGATGAGCATTGACGGTTACAGGTAGAAACAGAGCTAGACTCAGGGAAACCAGCATAGAGGGCAGCCATTCTACTGTTAGTTGCAAATCCACCGGCAGCAAGAACTGAGCCAACACAGATGTCGTTAACAAGGGCAGGGTCAATGCCTGATTGCTTGATGACACCTTGGAATACACCAGCAAGAATCTCATCAGGAGTAGTTTGAGCGAAACCACCCTTACGAGCTCTGGTGATGGCAGAACGGAGAGCAGAGACAATGACAACGTCCTCAGGGGACTTGACACCAATCTTGTTAGCGACGCCATCGGTAGGAGCCAAATGACCAGAAACTTGTTGAAGACGAGAAGCCATATTTACTAATTTTTATTCAAAAGATGTAATTGAGAAAAAGACTGTGAATTGCATTGAATAAGCCTATTTCTTTTATACAATTGCTGGTAAAAATGTGGAGTAAGCAACTATCCGTGACGATTTCTCCACAGTCCATGAGAATCTGAGATTCACATGTTAATGATTATGCTGACGAATCAATAAAAATGTGTTACGACAGACGCCAATCCGTCAAAGGAATTCAAAAGAAACAGATTCATTTTATCATAGGTTGGCCTCTTGAATGATGGGATTGCCATGCTGCGAAAGTTGCTTGCCATTAAAGTGAGCTACAAAAGACCTACCTGGATTGATTCTGTCGAATTATTCAAGTTATATTCGCAGTTTTGCCTTCTGCCCTGGGAAAAACCATTATAAAACTTGAATAACATTGGCTACTGCAGATTCTGCCATTTGAAAGGTGCAAATAATTGAATCTCTTTGGAATGGCGCATGATAAACCATGATTTAGTAGTCTATATCATTGGGTACGCAGCACGAATGGCTAATACATGCCAATATCTACTAGAAAAGACCATTCAATGCCTAACCTTCAAGGCGATCAGCTGCCATGTCCACGGATATTTTTCCAGGATTCTCGTTGAAATTCCTACTGGTGCTGAGATACAATAGTAAATAGCATGACAAACGATCAAATTAAGGTCCATGTGTATATTAAGTTCACTGTTGCTTTCAAATCAGCTACTGCTGTGTTATTACACAGCCTTTTCAAGTGATACACATCCTTTGAAATTACTGCAGAACCCAACTATAAATTAAGCTATGCGCTGTATAAGATGCTCAACATCAAGCCCAGTGAATATAGTGCATCACTGTGTATGTATTAAATGTGTTTTTGCCTCTTGTTCTTCAATCAGACAGGAAGCCACTGCGAAATCTGGATCAGCTATTGACTTTTTGTTTTCTAGGCGTTTTTTTTATTTTAATGGGAGAATAATGCTCTCACTTGATTTCTATTCCTGACAGCCATATGACAATAGTTTTTCGGGCAACATGATCTATAGCAATTCCACCATACTGAAGTTCAAATAGTTGCCTATTTTACTTGAAGAAGGATATATCTTTTTATCAAGTTGCTCGGTCAAAGTAGATATAGCGGTTAAATTTAACATCTCAAACCTCCTATATGATGAACATTGTTAATGCAAGTTGCACCAGTTTGGGAAAAGAAAGCAACCCAAAAAGGTGGAATATGTGTTGGGTCTTTGTTCAACAAAGTACCCTTGGCCTGGAACTTGATATTCGAAATGTTTACTTTGTGAAGTAATCAACACGGCATTTTTAAGTGGTGATAATATGTATACCTTAAACTAGACAAAGCATGATACAATTACCTACTCTTGAAATCAGAACTCATAAACATGCCAAGTATTCATTGATAGCTTGGAAGTAGCAACTTACTAAGGAGATTATGGCATGCTACGAGATCAAGGTTGACCACACATTTGGCAGGCCTAACATTCTCGAGCTCTTATTGGCTTGACACCAATACGATGATTTATACTTTTAGCTTTCAATCGCTCAAACGTATCATCTTCACTAGTAATCATTGCTTTCCGCTCATAAATGCTTTGTACAGAATTGAAATGCACATCGAATGGCACCACTCTTGCTAAGTGTAGCACAAATTGTATTTAGACAAGTCTATTTTTCGTATTTTTTGAGGGTTTTAAAGGAAAATATGTACTGAACCTGCAGCACTATTTGCGGTACAATTTACTGTGTAGGATCAATAGTTACCCATCGTTTGAGGACATGCGTGAGGTTGTAACAACTGCCGAAAAGGTCAGCCCCGCCAAACTATCCAAAAATGAATGCACAGTTTCATAACTTTAAAGAAAAATATACTACAAATTGGCTCGATGATATTTCCATTCGCCAAAAGGTTATACACAAAGCCTGCGTGTACCTGACATGGCTTTGCCAAAAATAAAAAATTTAAAAACCTTTATCTTGTTACGTACACTCTCTTCCATGGAATGCCACTATTACATCTGTCAGGTACATACAGACTTTGTGTGTAACTGTTTATAAATATCAAATCAATTGGCAGAGCAATCAAGATTATCGTTTTTTATCTTTGGAATCCCATGGATCATCATTCAGAATATTAGAAATTGAAGGTCCGTTGACCTTCCGCATGTGTACACGACACAAGGATGAATTTGACCAAGCATTTTAAAAATCGAAGCGTACGAAAAGAGCCATATTAACTTGCTGTTTTCAAGTTATCAATAGATACTTGGCATGTTGGAAAGTTTTGCTATTAAGGTTAGACAGTTGTAGCTTGCTTTGTTCGATTATAGTAAGATTTGCAATTTAAAGCATGTATATTCCCCTGCTTAGAAGTAGCATCTCCAACGTCGATTATCTCATGAAGTATGCATTTCCAATATAATATTCCCACTAAGAAGTTGCTCCAATATCGTTATTTTACAACATATTTTAGTTTTATATGATTCTAAATTTTTTTTTACCTATGAGGACCTGGATGTACAAAATGTTTTTTGATTTTGAGGTTTTCAGCTTTTTGACGATCGAAAATCGATTTTCCAAATAATGATGCTAGAGTCTTGAGACTAGCATGTTTCTATACCAGTTTTTTGTCATCTAAACGATATTGTAATTGAAATTTACGTAGGTAGCATGGTTGCTGAGAAATTAGTGATTTTAGAAAATGGTGTATTTGGAGTAGATGCTGCTAGTAAATCTTTTTGAATTACTATACGAATGTAGACTGTATGTATAGTAAAGTTATAGAGAGTACTCTGGCTAACTAGGGAGTGGTCAATGTGTCTTTGCCATTGTAAACAACAATTTGAGGGCTGAAGTACTGGTTTCTACAATAAAGCATTGTAGATGTCCGAACGAGGAGGGCTTATTTTGTAAATCAAACAGAGGGGAGCATAATTTAATTAATGGAGAAGCCAGGTTGAGTTGGCATCTGATCAAGGAATAGCGCCCAAACACTGCTCTTTTATATAACATTAGTTTACACTTTCTCGCCAGATTATTTGACAACCAACTTAACGACTGAAAATGCGTTCATATGTTTAGTAACCCCTCAAAGTGGATATATAATGTTCCTGATATAAAGCTCTCCCATCAACAGCGAGCTTGGAATATAGCTACTCCCCCTTTTTCGGGAATTGCGCAGCAACCCTTTGAACCGTTTGTCAAACCACAATGAAGCAACAAGCCATCACCAAGCGGTTTTAAATACAACGTTTTCCAACATTTGATTTATCAATCTATTACGCGCAATCACTCGTAAATAACAAGGTCTTATATGGAGCTTATTATTCAAAGTTGGCTTATTTCGGGTATCATTTATTTCTCAACAGCAACAACGCCTCCAATCTAAAATCCAATTGCACCACCGTTTTTCTCGTAGGATTCTATCATGAGGATATGCTACTTTCAAAGCTTTAGCATCGATATTCTAAAGCTAACGATTGATCAACATTCTTAAAAAAAAAAAAAAAAAAAAAAAAAAAAAAAAAAGTCAGTTGAACGTATCATCAGTGTATTTTTGCGCCTGCAAATGTCACTAGAAAGCATGATAAAGCATGGCATGCCGTCAATTACGATCAAAGAAACCAATTGAGTATTAGCACTGATCGAACGCTAGGAATGGGGTTTTCATGGAGACGATGTATCGCAATGCACTCAACCATATAGTATACATCAAGCAGCATCTTAAGTTTATATAAATAGTATTATTTATTTCACATCATTCGGAAGATCAAGCATTCGCTCACGAATCAAATAGAGGCGCATATCAATATATGACACGAGGTCCAGTATACCTTCATCAATCCTTAAATAGCTTCTCTTCAAAGACTGACAGACGTCGAATCAATGGTTTTGCATTGTACGGAAACCCATCCCCTTCTAATACAAGCAACACATTCGCAATAATCGTTTGTATAATATCAATGTCGTTGCCCAGATCACTGCTCGTCTTTTTGAATGAGTTCATGTGTTGAGTGGCATAGATGATGTACCGATGGAAATAGGCAATGAACTCTGAATCATTTTCCAAGAGCAAATCCACCATGATATCATGCGTATTTCCACACCGTTGAATGAAATAGAGGAAGACACTATGAGGGTTTATGCCTATCGTTGACAGGAATGTTACATTTTGTTGTTGTGATTGTTGGTATATTGACAGGACGGTATCTAAGAGCTGAACAGCATCATCATCATTGGCACAACAAATGTCAAACAGTAATTCCTTCAAGTCGTAAATGTGATTGCTCTTGCACAAGTCTAGGAATTGTTGTTAGGCAACATTGCATCGCCATAAATGCACATTTACCTTTGATTTCTGTTATCAAACGTCCAAGGCTGTCTACATTTTGCTTTAGCAAGACGACAAAGATGATTTGAATGAGCCATCTTATAGTGCTGCGATCACAAACCATGGCTGAGGGTGTATCATCAAAGTAGAATTCTGTATAGTCGGGCGATCTAATCTTTTCTACATCGAGCCGAGTCATATGCATTCGGCATTGGCCAGTGTATGAGATGACTCTATCGACAATGCCGTCTTCTATCGATGGCATACGGGATACAAGACGGTAGCATAGCTCCATGGATTTGCGGCAAATGTAAATCTTGTGATGCGACCATAAGGGAATCGCAACAGAGATGAAATGCATGGATTGTAATGTAGTAAGCGAGTCATGCTTGGCAAGATCAATCATACACATCAACAATGAATATGATAACCTGGATTTCTTGTGAGTTTGGTCAATCACTAATTGAGCTAATTGTGGGTAAAATATTTGAGCTGCACAAGCGGAGGAATAGGAGGAGCCACATGCACGATCATGTTTGAGGATGGAATGAATCAAATCAAGGTCTGATTCTACCTCTTTCTCGGTCGAACTGTTCCATTGCACTAATCTAGTCTCTAGTTTCTTGATGCTGGATGCTGTGTGAGCAGTGATGTGAGATAGAAGCTGCTGTTGTTGTTGATAATGATAGAAATCCATCGTATCTTGTTGTATCACTATGATGGCGGATTAAATCTCAGGTGTTTGGTCAAAATTTTCTTTACACACACACACACACACACACACACACACGAGTGACGTGGTGAAAGAGATCTCCCCAATGTTCCGTCGAATTAAAAGCCTTTTTATCATACTGATAGCCCTCCTCCTTTTTGTTGTTCTTCTTATTTTGTTTTCCTTTTGATTGGGAGAAACCATTGTCCTATCATATTTGCTCTTCACTATAAACTTGACAGGTCTCACTCTCCGCAAAATATAATTCACTCATTGTCATCAAGCAGGAAATAAGCTTTTGTGTAGAATCAAACACCATAGAGAGAAAATGAATACTTACAGCGATAGCACTGCCCAAAACCAACAGTTGCAAGCCACATCCCAACCTGCTACCTCGGAGGCAATGGTAAGTATTAGACGCATGGATGGGAAGGGCCAGTAGCTCATTCGCAATGTTTCTAGACCGAAGCTCACGGTTCTCCATTGGCTTATCAGAGACAGGCACAACAACAACCTCAACAGGCTCCACCACACCTCAACTATGCTCAGCAACACGTTGCCATGGTAAGTAAATGTGAAAAATTTTCTTTGCTCGCCGTGATTTGACCCATCGTTTCGTATCATAGCCTGGAGGTATGTTGACTGCACAAGCTGGACAAGGTAATTTAGTACACGAAAAGGGCAAAAGAGTGGCTAAAATTGATGCAGACATCTAGTAGTACCTGCTGCTCCCGTTGTCGAGGAAGAACCTTTATACGTAAATGCAAAACAATATCACCGAATCCTCAAGCGACGTGCTGCTCGTCTCAAGCTTGAAGAATTACACAAATTAGAAAGAACAAGAAAGCCGTATCTTCACGAGAGCAGACATAAGCATGCTATGCGTCGCCCTAGAGGTCCAGGTGGTAGATTCTTGAGTGAGCATCATGATATACACTTGTTTGTTATACACTCATTAACAAGAAAATTTTCATAGCTGCTGCTGAAATTGCTGAATTGCAAAAGTCAGGTAAATTACCCACTGATGATATGATGAATGCGTCCAAGGAGAACACCACGCCATCTCCATCAAATCAGCAGCAACACCAACAAGCATCTCAACAGCAACAGCAAGCTCAACAACCTCAACAACATATCAACCTTCAAACATAAACACAAGCCTCTTTTTTTCGTTATGTTTTATAAATCTCAAGACATCCCATGGGAGAATAAAATATATAAAAAAAATCTATACAAAATGTTTTATTTTCTGGTTGTGGTAGAGGTGGTATTGGGAGAATCGAAATTCAGTAATGGCTTGCCGTGTCTTGCATGCAATTCTCGCGTATGCGATCGCTCTTGATTGTTGTTCAGTTGCAACAATGTAGTGTGGTTTTGGTTATGATTGCTGTTGAGCATGGACGAAGCGGTAGATGGCGGTATGGCTGGTGGGGGAGAGATAGGCAGAGACGCAATCGCTGCGTTATTGGGTAGTGGCACATCGTGGTGTTGTAGGCGTTTACCTCCCGTGGGCTTTCTTCGCAGAGAAACATGGCGACGATGAGAGGAGGATTCTTCAGAGTTGTGATTACTAGACACTTCTCGCACACTCTTGGATCGAGTCATCTTGACGTTGCCATTCTCCTTTTGATCGAGTAGGGAACCTTTGGCAAACTTGATACTATCATCAATCTGGATCAGTGTGGAGGATTCTTCATGCTGTTGTTGCTGCTGCTGCTGCTGCTGCTGCTGGGTTTGTTGTCTTTGCATGAGTTCTTGTTGTTGCTGTAGCTGCTGTTGCTGTTGTCTGTACTGGATTTGCTCTGCTTCTTCTTCTTTGGCCAATAACGATCCTTTAGCGAATGTTGGTGGGCCAAGACAATCAATGAGGGGCCCATCTGCTGGAGTTGTTGTTGAGGTGGTGGTGCTATTTTCTACATCAGCATTATTTTTAGCAGTAGTTGTGGGATTTCGAGTATGGCCAGCACCACCACGTGTAGTTCCACTTCTACCCAAGGCACGTTTGGCACCCTCTTGTTCTATACGGCGAGTGGATTCGCTTCGAGGCAAACTAGGTACAGAAGGAGGAGCAGTAGTGACGGCATGCTTGGTGTGGTCGTCTGATTTCAAGTCCCTGGTGAATTTGTGTCGACGCGCAGTAGTATGATTAGCGGTTGTGGTGGGTTGTTGAGAATCATCCAAGGTACTCTCTAGAGAGATGTGAGCCAATGGATATGCCACTCTATTGGGGTGGTACTGATAATGAATATTGCTCTATAAATAATTCAGTATATACGTTTTTTCTAGCTGGTTAAATTGTGTGCTACCTTGGTACATCGGATACTAAGTACCCAATCCTTCATATCCTCTTGATCTTCGACTGCCAAGAATCGCATGTAGTCGCTCTCTTTTTCAAAAATGCTTGACCTATCTTGAGCCCTAATGGCGAATACAAATGGCGAAGGGCTGATTCTAATTGGTTGAAGCAGTGTATAGACATCATATGTAGCCAAGTGACATAAAATGGATGAGGAAGATCCCTATTTAACATATATTTAGAACACATACAAACCACATCCATACAGAAAAAAAAAAGGCTCACCTTGTTATCCTTTGCGTGATGAATTGCATTGTCCTTGATAAAGCAGTATCTCTTTTGCCATTTTCCCTTCTTATACTCAATAGATAACCATCCGTGCATTGGAGGGATCTTTTTTTGCAAGATGCTCTATGGATTGAGTACCAAGTTTCAGTGCCTCTCTTCTCCTTAATAAATGCCAGCTCTCTCCTTACCTCTGACGTTAAAGTATAGTGATATGAGTATTTCTTGACTAGGAGGGCATTGCTTGCATCAGGTTCCCAGACACTGAGAACATCCAGTACGATTTCCCATTCGCGAAGAGGTCTTTCTACATTTCAACTGTGAGTACGCTATCGCCAAGACGAGCTTTCTGATCCGTACCAACGCCATGTTGATTGTCAATCTCAAACAAGCTCCAGTCGTCCGAGTGATCCAACAAGCCCTTCTTTTTGAGATACTGTACAACCATCGCTGTTGTCAAAAGATTGCTGAGTTGTACGACTTTATGATTGTTGGCATCATCAATATAGATTCTGGTTGTTAAGGTTTTTAATGGTACCGTTTGTATACGACCTGTACTAACCATATTTGAAGATTTATAATCTTCAGAGGGAGCAGTAGTGGGTGCTGTACTGGCAGCCTGATATTACAGATGTTAGATCCATACCCATCAGTATAAATACATAAATATATACCTCTTTAGATTCCTGAGTGTCGCTATCCAATACTGCCCAGGCCCTCTGCATAGCGAATCGAAGTTCTTCATCTTCTGGCGTAGGCAGAGGTGGAGCCACTGGGTCCCTTTTTCTTCGACTCAAACCAGTGCTTGTGCTGGTGCTTCTCAATGATTTCGATTGACTGAGTTGAACTAGAGGTTTCTCGTTTGTTGGACGTCGGGCTGTTGCAGATCTCTGCAAAATGCTGCCAATACAGATATTGTCATCTCGAGAATCATCATTGCTCTCCAGTTGTTGTTGTAGAGGCATCGCGCGCGTTTTGTAGTGCTGCAGGGGAACATCGTCGGTGCTGCTTGCACGGTTATCCGGTGGTTGGTATTGACGGTATCGTCTCTCTAAAATGGGCTGATTAGAGATTCAAGCTCTCATTTGAACTACATTGCTCTTACCTGCGCTTGAGGAGGGGTCGCTCTGATGTTCAGTCATATTCTGTAAAAAGTGATTGAAGAAGAAGGAAAGAGGAAAAAAGGAGGTGCAAAAATAGAATGCTATTATTAACACATTTATTTCAATCAATTTCTTTGTAACCCTTACCAATGTGAAATCCTGTACTTGCTTCTCCAAGTCACGAAGCATGAGGTCAATGTCATTTGTCATGATAGCTTTTCTCTTTTCTTTTGTATTTCTTGAGAGCAACAGAGAGAGGCAGAAAGAAAGAAAAAGCACAAAAAGAAGCAGATTTAATAGATGTTCATTGAAAAGGAGTTTAATAAAATGAAATAGTTTCTATTGTTACTGTATCACAAAAAGCTTAATGATATTCTGTAAAGACCTGCAATTCCATTGGTATAATATGATTCAGCAAAACTACTCAAAATGTTAGGATCAAGCCTTTTGCACTTGAGCGCATCTAGCAATACCTTCCAGTGGTTACCACAATTCACACAGGTAACAAATGTGGTCATAGGTTCATCTGCACTTCTGGTTTGCATTTGAAAGTAGGTGCATTTCCTTCCACGGCATTTCCCGCATCGAAACATGTCGGTTTCTGCTCGTGCAGATTCGGCTCCTCTTGCCTTGAACAAGGCTTCTTCTGCTAGTTTGCGGTCTCTCTGCTTGGACTCTTCGGAAGCCATGTCCTACGATGAAACTGAATGTGCTGACATTGGGCAAGACACACCGTACATTACCTCCACATCCATTGCACATAAGGTCGCAATGGATATTTCCCCTGTAACAACGCCTTCTCTCAATGCAGGATTTGTTTTGCTCTTTAAATTGAGCGCAAGTGAACGCACCCTGACCTTGTATTCTTCTTTCACGGATTGGCCATGCATCTCAAACAACTGCTTTTCAATGTCGATTGCCCTTTTCAATAATAGATTGCCATCTGCATAGATTTACAATTAATTCCTTTTTTCCTTTTTAAATGACAGGTATTAAATTGTGTATAATTGCCTGCATAACTTCCTAATCCGATGGAAGAATACATGAGCTCGATTGTCTTGTCTCGTGGCGCGTTGTGTGTGGATGTATACTCAATGTCATCAGATTGTACATTTCTATTTGCTGCATCCACGGAAGATCGTCTAAAGGACGATATCGAGATTGCACTGGCAATTGCTTTTTCAGAGAAATAAAATCAATTCATTTTAAGGACACAGAGCTCAAGTGTTTTTAGATCTTACATGAATTGGAGGATCTTCTTGATGAAGACGCTGATGATTCAGTTAGTCCAACATCTTGCTTCCATTTTTTGACAGTTTCCTTGGCTTTTTGTGACACTTGGGCATCAGAAAATGACCTCAGTTTGCCAACCACTTTTCCAATGTCTGCTTGCTAGGAGATTGTTACTGTTAGTCAATGTTCTGTAATGCACCCTCTGTCTAAGCACTATATACCTTTAGAAGCTGAGGTGTTGCGTTAACTTTCTTGAGCTCTTCTAGAACATCTAAAAGCTCCTATATTCTGATTTATAACTCTTTTGCAATGAGTGGCAATAAAGAAAATTTTACTTGAACCTTGTTGGCGACTAATGCGTCGGCGATGCTTGATTTTGCCTTTGATATGGTGTCGTTTGCTTCAGAACTCATTATTGTGTAGCTCAATGACAAAGAATGAGAGTAAAACAATCTTTGACAGAATTTTGATTTCAATCTGATCTGTTATTTTTCATTCAATAGGTCCATGTGATGGCGTTTTGGTAAATGTCCTATCAGTTGAAATAAATAAAATTTTGGCATTGTAGCAGCATATTCTATCATGCCATTATTATTAAGCCAAATCCATACATGTGCACTCAAATATCAAAGCCATAGATTATCAACAAATGTATTAACTATACAAAGAAAACGAGATAAGAAGCTACTATTTGCAAAATGAAAGTGTGCAGAAACAAAAAAGATATGTAGCTGCCAAAGACTCTATATATGTTTCGCACCAGGGCTTGCATTTGCAAAAGCAATGTACGAAGATTAAACCTAGCAAAAACCATAGATATCTACAAGACAGACGCTAAGTAGTAGCACAGCTGTGCTATAGCACATTTAAATTCGCAATCCCCCTCCTTTAGCTTCAAAAACAACAGCTGCTTCCATGATAAGAGAGGCATTGACTTTTCAGCAGCAGCAAAAACCAATTCGAATCCCGCTTGTCTTTTGTTCAAGATTGGCCAAACTTTTGATCAGTTTCGACTTGTTTGAGATATTTCGTAATATTCGACTATGTAAATTGCAATGATCTTCCCCTACTTCCTAATATCGTTTTGGTGTACTGATCAATGCGCATCTAATGACTCTAATCAAAAGACGTCTTTCTAATAAAGCTATTGAGTAATCTTGGAAAATATGAAATGAGGTTTTTGGCCAAAATGTCGAGAATTTACATATCAAGGTATTACAAACGTGGTTTCAGGGGTTGCTTTGGATCTGTAGAAACATTTTGATTCAATATGTACCATAGTAAAAGTCTTTATTTTTGGGGTCAAAAACGCGATCGTTTAATTTTCGATGAAAATCATAAGGTATCACTCATGGTTTTCAGTCGATTTTCGACCATCTTAAAAAAGTTGAGCAAAGGTGCCTGAAAGACAGTGCTAGACAAAAGAAAAAGTGTGATGCTATTCTGGCGGTCTGAAACAGCTTCCATCGTGAGAAATCGCACCTCAAATGCATCCAATTTTGGCTGTATTACTCATACTTTTGGGTAATAAGAGGTAGTGTAAGTATGCTATCTGTTCGTATCTGCATTATTTTCATTCGCGCGGATGTGAAGCATCGTCGAAGAGTCAGGCCCATTGTTACAGGTTGCTTATACACGGTTTTCAATGGATAGAGAACTGCTGAAAGATGAAATTTCATGGTATGCTGCAGAAATTGGCTATTGCTCAGCACACTAGTTTCTACTGGTCTACAAAGAATGAATTGATCACAATGAATTTCTACTGGTAATATATTGCACATCACCTGAATCTAATTGGATCGATACCAAAGAAATTGACTACTTAATTAAATCAGAAACTTCTATAACGCCCATGTAGAAGAAAAGGAATCGAAGGTGTGGGGGGGGGGGAGGCAATGAAAGCTAGAGAAGTTTAGTTTATACTCGTATAGCAGAGATGTCTCTTGTTACATTCGCATGAATCATTTCAACATCTTTAGTTCATACGAATTGGATGGAATAGCAGGTATTCCCATGAGTCTTTTGTTAATAAGGTTGCTGCTAACTTACTTCTATGAGTGAGGCACATCATGCGCCTGCTTCAATGTAACGCATATTGGAAAGCTTGATTATGCTGTCAATGGTCCATGGAACCTTCCAAATGGCAGGTGCATCTTTTTATGTGACATCCTATGCTTGATCGGGGTAGTGTACCTATCAAACAATGTAGAAATTGGCAATAAACTTCCGGGCAATCACTTTAACCCTGGCAAAGACTTTCTTCTTTTCTATACTCCAGCCAAGAAATAATGCCACCTTCCATTATACCATACCGTCATTTGCTTCGACTCGGTTGTCTAAAGAGAAACTATATTCGTCACCTATCGACTACACCTATTTGCTTCAAAGATGCTAATGCTGCCAAAAGAGAACTACTATCAGATCAGCGCTTACAAGCCATGGTAGCCGAATTAGAGAAATCTGCCAACCTCCAGCAAGGCAACGATATCCTGTTAGAGTCGATCGAGACCTTGAAGCCAAGCCAAGAGGTGATTACAGTGGAGGAATTCGATAAACTAGTTAACGTGTTTGAGAAGTCGTTCAGTGTGCGTCAATTGGCAGAATATTCTGCTGTGCATCATTTACCTAGAAACAAACGCAAGAAGCGACAATTGATTGACGGCATTATGAAGAATTATTGGGGGATTCAGACAGTAGAGGAATTCGACGCTGCTAGAGAAAAAGAGGCCTTGGAGAGACGAAGAGATCTTGTCAAAGAGACTTTACCAGCATCGTTCCAGCAAATGTTCTTTATCATTGGCAGTAATGGTGATACTATTCGCACCATTGAAGAGAAACACCAAGTTTTGATTACAATCGATGTGGAAAAGAAAGAATACGCAGTTGAGGGTCCATCCAAGGCAGTTGCTCAAGCCAAAAAGGAGATCTTGACGCATTTGAACATCATCCAAGAGGAGGTGGATGTACCTAAAAGGATCAAAGAGGACACACAGCTGAAAAATGAAGTGGATGAATCACTGGCGGATGTGTCGGAACTGGCTGGCAGCTTTATTACACTGGAAAGAGACAAATTTTCGTTGGCTAGCACATCCACAGAGAATCTGATGAATGCAAAACGATTATTGAATTTGATGCTCACAGAGGTAAATAATCAAAAGCGATGCATGAATCGAGTGTTTACTTATGCTCTAACTAGATGGGAGCCACCAGTAAAGCAGCCTTGGATTCAGCAGATCATACAATTGTACATAAACACATGGAATATACAGTTTTACCAATGCAAGATGCGTCATCTATGCCACTGTACGACAAGAAGCTGAATTGGAACAGACTGGAATATAGAAACAAGGATGAACAGGATGATTATGTGGTGTTGGACAGTCAAGAGTGGGTTTTTATATATATATATATATATAGATTAATCAGGTTATTGACAGTGGTGGGCTAATTTACAACTCTTGATCAGCGTGATAGGTGGCATTGACAACATGAAGGATTTGCTAGTAAAACCATTGAGTGTTGGTGTTGGCGACAATGTGTCTTTGGAAGCCAGGTAAGATAGCTAGTGGCATACGCCATTACAGTGTCATTGATGTATTCTTCTTAGATTTGGCAAACTGCTATTTCATGATGATAAATTACCACTCACATCAACCGCTACCAACATCAGCACACTCTTCAAAAACAGAACACGCTTTCTCAGCAGCATTCCGCCCCGTAATATCACCACGCCTTACATGCCCATCATTCACTCTTTAGACGGTGGATTCCACCAACGTACAATTCAGTTAGAGTACGTCAATGAGTCATTAATAGCAGAGGATAAGAACGAGAATTCGGATTTGAAGCGTCTCTTGGTTGAATTTCTAATCCAAGAGGATGGCAATCTCAATGTAAAGAAGGTGATTGCAGAAAAGAACCGCTCTGTCGTGGATATTGTGGGATTGCATGGCCGCATTGATGTGCGTCTCTTAGCCAAGCAGTATCTCAACTACACAGAGGATGAGGATCATATACAAGCATTGCTAGAGCAGTGCAAGTTGGTCGGTTACGGCGAGATGTTGGCACCCAAGCAGCAATCGATTCTCAATGAGCGTCTGGTTCTATCCGATATTTCGTTTATCAACAAGAAGAGGTATTTGTTTGATGATGGCTTGATCAGTGTAAATCATGTTGAGCAGCAAGATAAAAAGGTTAAAAGAACCGAAATGATGGTAAAACAAAAAAAATCCATAGCCAAGTCTTAAAAATAGGAACAATAAGTTAATTTTCCTGCTTTTTCATCACTAGGTAACCTCAGTTGAACCTCAAACATTAGACACTAGCAATGCCATTGAAAGATGGCCTTCTTTTGCCAATATTTTAAAGAACATTGCACGCAAATGGGAATATTGATTGTTGTCGACACTTGTTTGTAGCTAATAGCAGTGCGATGCATGTGAAATAAAAGCAGCAGCAGCAGCCCCCTTAGATGGTTGTATGTTTATCACATACACACACAAAAAAAAAAGCCTTATTTTAATTTTCTTGTGCAATCTCCAGAATACATCATCATCATCATTTCCACCATCTTTTAGGTATAAAAAAGCGCAAATCAACTGCTTCTATTAATACATTCCTCTCTTTCGCTTCTTTTTTTTTTGTTTCTCTTTTCTTCTTGTCTTATCTCCATTTCTACCATCATGTCAGCAGCAACAAACACAGTGCCTAGAAAGAGAAACACCTCGATTATACCACTAGAATTCAGAAACGATACCAGCGACGGTGGCATGGAGAGAGCCGCATTGGCCACTGTGTTTGGTGTACGAGAATACACTGAATCAAAGATATTCTGGAATACAGATGAGGAACCTGCTCAGGACATTACAACAACAACACCCACCACAACCAGTACATTGCAGAGAAATACAAGCAGGAAGAGTTACACTAGCACTAGCCATCGTAGTAGCACAATCATGATGCAAACATCGGGTGCCCTGTTGGTTTCGCCTTCTTCAGTACAAGCCTCGTCTCCTCCTCCACCAGTGCACCGATCACTGCCCAAAATACCTGTTGTAAGTGAGTTTGGTGATATCTGGTCAGACACCTATTTTGCAGCTGCTGTAGATAGCAAGGCGCCTACAGCTGCTACTACATTGTCCAACACAGTACAACATCCGTTTCAACTCTCGCCTCCCTCCGATTTATCAGATTTTCCCCTGACGATATTTGATCTGCTCGAGTCAGATGAGAACCCAAACCTTATTTTATGGGGCATCAATGCCAAACAGCATTCGACTGTACCATCTACTGCACCATCCACTGCGGATGAACGAGATGACGCCACGCCTCACAACAAGAAGAAATCAAGATGGTCGGCTCAGCAATTGATCCCACTCAAGAAATTGAAAAAGAAGGCCTCTGTTGATCTGTCGAATGCTGCGTCTGTTCCTGAGCCACCAACGCCTGAAGCAGATCGTGTGATAGAAGCAGCTACCATTGAGAAGCTTGTCGAGAAATTAACCATCTCCCTTGGTAAAGTTATAATCAAACGCACTGAATCGACAGACAATTAAAGCAACTGCATCTATAGATTATGCCTTCATGACTGATTTCTTTTTGATATACCGTGTGTTCATGACGCCACTGCAACTATGCAAATTACTGATTTTGAGATTCAACTGGAGCTTGGAAAAGAACGAAGCCAAGAGATGTATAGTGAGAATAAGGTAAGTACGACTATGTACATGGCACATGGTATACGAGAAACAAACATGCAACACATACCAACACGACTACTCATAGAGCATTTGTCGTCATGAGACATTGGCTGCTAAACTATTTTTTGCGTGATTTCATTCCTAGCAAGGAACTTCGCATTGTGTTGACAGACTTCTTGAACGCAATGCCGTACCATCCATTGATCAAGCAATCTCCGAGGGATCAGCGTATCATCAAGGGTTTGAAGCGGGTGGTTCGGCGGCTTAAAAAGATATACTATGCGTCCAATGCGTCCACCAGAGTCCAAGTCATTGGCCCTCCTCCTCCCACCTACGAGCAGCAAGTCGTTAAGCAGATGGTCAAGGATCAGTTGACGTCTTCAGGCACAATACGGCAAAAGACGTTGAATATGGTCAATGGAGTTCATCTAGATGCTCGCCATAGCAACAACACAGCCGTCAAGAATGCACAAGTTGCTGCGCCCAATGTAGTAGTGATTGGAAATTACCCATCAGCCTCAACTCACCAGCAACAGCAACATCAGAAATCAAATTCACACATTGAACAACGTTCGCGCCGTCGCCGTGGATCCTCTGTATCATCAATTGCCACCAGCAGCAAGCTCAACAATGGCTCCTCTTTGCCAAACAGCATGTACAATTTACATGACACTGTAAACAACAGCGCCTCTATGGAGTGGATCAACATACAGCAACAGCAGCAATTGAACAACAGTAAAAGCCAAGATTTCTATATCAGCGGTTTTTCTGACAATTCGCTTGAAAGTGCCATCAGTCCAGGTACATCTGATGAAGAGGAGTCTGACTGTGAAGAAGAAGACTTGGCTGCTGCATCACCCAAAAGCTATTACAGCAAGGAGTTGGTTGAACCAGCAGCAGGAGCAGCAGCACCTGAGCAGCAGCATCCGCTATCTTCTCCACCCACAGTGCTTAATAGCAGTAATGAATTGACCAAAAAACTAGAGATGGTGCATCAACAGCAACAGGAAGAGGAAGAGAGACAGCAAGCAGAAAAGTTCCTTGCAGCGTACAGCAGCAACCCGGCCGAAGCAACTGCTGCTATACTGTCCAACTCAATGTCAGACTACACCATCCGCACCCGATCATTCTATAGTGCTCAGCTAGCCGTCCCCTCTACCATCTCTACGCCGGATATCTATCATCCTCCTACAGCCAATGCAACCAACTACTTTGATACAAGCCATGCAAACCATAGCCATCAAAACTTGATTTCTTCTACCTCTTATAACTCCATGGCATATCCTTCGGTAGCTGACTCAGAAGTTGTTACTCCAGCTTGTGCCATGTCAGGAGATCCAACTACCTTGGTTCCGAGATCCCGGTTCAGCAATTACAATTTACAGCAACAGCCCAATAGGATGAGCAAGACGTTTGTGAGCATGGATCCCAAATCAAAGCCATTGCCACCACTGGTGCTGCTTCAGGATGAAAAGGAGAGTATAGTGACTTCCGCTTCTTCCATTGCGTCTTCCTCCTATACCAACAAACCCACAAGACAGCGCCGACAGGAAGACAAAGTGGAAGCATGGAGACTGTCGACTGCTAGCAACAGGCAGAAGGAGCAGCAGCCTACCTTGCGAGCACCCAAATCAAGAATATTCGAGATTGATATTGACACCAACCGAAACAATCAATTTCTGTCTAGTTTACCGCCTTCGATTCCCATGCCCAACACCGTGCCTACCATCAACAGATCCATTGTGCTGTCGTATTCAACATCACTCATGGCACAGCAATTCTGTTTGATTGAAAAAGCCATTTTGCTAGACATTGATTGGGAAGAATTAGTGGATTGCAGGTGGACCAAGATGTCGGTCACCACGCTGTACCAACCGCCCAACATGGAAGATGTAGACCAGGATGTAGCCAACGCCATGGCTTTTGATCAGCATCCACAGGGCATCTATTCTCGCACAAAGCGAATGAAGCAGCAACATGAGAGAAACAAGGATGGTGTAGAGCGAGGCATAGAAAAAACGATCAACAGATTCAATGCGGTCTGTCAGTGGGTGTCGAGTGAGATTGTACAAACCAAGCAACTGGATCAGCGTGTCATATTAATTGAAAAGTTTATTCGGTTAGCCAAGGTGGGTTTTTTGAGTAGTAATAGTATCTGGATATACTGACGACTGTATAGAAATGCAAACTCTACTGCAACTTTTCTACTTTGATTCAAATCTTGCTTGGCTTGCAGTCCTCTTCTGTGTCCAGGCTGGAAAAGACATGGCCCTTGGTCAACAAGCGAGAGATGAAGACACTGCAGGAACTGTCCACGTTCACGTCGCCTACCAAGAACTGGAAGCATATCCGTGATAGCATGAGCCAGGTTGCAGAGGAATATGGAGAGTCGCCTACAGAAATCCAAGTGGAAGTCGATGATAGCAACAGCACATTCCGAAAGCGAAAATCCAAGAAATCAGTAACCATTAAGCTCCCCTTTGGTGGCTGTATTCCATTCTTGGGCATCTACCTGTCTGATCTCGTGTTCAATGCAGAACTACCGTCCTATTTGCCCTCCTCTAACAACAATATTGAGCGAAAGCACCAAGGCAGCATCGATGCCGTGCTGAGCCAGCCATTGGTGCATTTCAGAAAGCATCGCATTACAGCCACTGTGATTAAGCGCGTCTTGGTGTTTCAGAATCTGGCGAAACGCTACTCTTTTGAAGAATCCAGTGATTTGTTATTGTTTAATACCTGCTTTCAAGTGGCCTCGTTGGATACCGAGGCTATTCAGAAAGCAAGTTACGAGATAGAGCCTCCTACTCTGACGCCTGGCGTTGTTGTGTATCATTAAGCATGTACCATTACTATCATCTTTATTCAAATAAATATATTACTCTGCATACTTGAACAAACTAGATGATTGCGACTTTAGCTTTTTCAATTTCGATTCCTTTGCATTGGATTTTGAGAATATTTCACCAAGACTGCCCGTGAGCTTGGGCTTTCCGTCTGATTCTCCTTGCTGTTGCTTGGGTTGCATCGATCCAAAGCCGACACGAGGACCACCGGTATCGGATGATATGCCGTTGAGTGCATTGTTTGTCTCTGCAATCAGTCGCTTGAATCGCTCTAATGTGCTAGGTGAGCCGTACAATGGTTTTGCTTTGCGTACACTGACGGGTGATTGCATGTTTTCAATCTGAAAGTCAACATCATCATCATCTGCACTAGTGATGTGAATGCTGCTTGCAAGACCACTTGCTGTTGCTGCTGCTACTGGCAATCCTCTCAATGGAGAAGTTATGGTATCAAATTCATCCTGCTCAAAATAGGTTAATATCCAGCTAAAAAGATAGACACCATCTAGTATACTTGCGACAATCAGAAGGTTCTCGTCATCAGACACGTCCTTCATCTCTTGATCCTGCTCCTCACTGTCCTCTTCCTCCTCGTCATCCTCAACGATAACTCGCTTCGTGTATACAGAAGGCGTGCTCTTTTCATAATCATCTTCCTTTGTTGTCTCTGCTTCTGCCTCTTCTTCGCCTTCGCTCTCACTAAAGACTGCAATGGCCATTTCATCCGATACAGCTTGTGCTGCTTTTGCAAATGCAGCAGTTTTGGGGTCGCTCACTGCGTGCCATACAAGCATGAGTAACAGGTATGCATGGACGCTCATGCTGCTTACTTACTCAAATTCTCTAAAATGTCACCACCCTTCTTTTTGAGTAATCTACGTCTTCGGGCAGCTGCTGCTCTACGGATAGCCACAAGATCGTTATCCTCCTCGTCGTATAAATCAATGTCATCCAACATGAGACCAGATTCCAGCGCTGCCTTTTGTTTACGCAGGTTACCGCTTGTAATATCCGTAATCAATCGTTGGATCATGTTGCTATCCGTTTCTTTATCTTGCAGGCTAAAATAAAGTGTCAATATCACAATGGACTCTTTGTTCATATACAGACACATTACTTGAATGCCTCTCTCAAAGCTGCCTCGTCGATATGTTCATTGCTATCTTCCACCAGTAAGTCATCCTTTTCGAATTCATCCAAGTTCTCGCCTGTCTCTCCATCAGAGCCACCAGCGCCAAAGAACTCATCTTCCTCTTCCTCCGCTTCTTCTTCAAGGTATTCCAATTTCTCGCGAGGTCCTTTGAGCACTGCGGTAGCTATAGTAGGCTTCTTGACGAAAATAGGTGCTGGCGTGGGTTTGTCAACGTCCATGGCATCTTCCTCTATCGTGTCATCTTCAGTTGTAGGTGGTTCCACGCTAGGCTCTCTGTCTTCACGTCTGACAAGTCGACTAAGAGTCTTGTTCTCATCTCTTGCGGCAGCTTGCTCGGCGGCTTCGTTTTCCTAATCACAATGTGAATCACTCATTACTAGCCCCAGTGTGTACACCCCTACCTTTGCTTTGAAAAAGTTGGAGATAGAGTGTGCAGGTACAGGTACAGGTTTTGCAGCCAGCTTTTTCTTTTTCGACACTTGCTCTTCTTCGTCTTCATCGTCGTCGTCAAAGAGAGTAGACTTCTTGACCTTTTTACCCTTCCATCGCTTGAAAGCCATCGTTGCCATATCTTGTTCCTCATCGTCATCGTCAGCGTCGTCTTCATCATTGTCGTCGTGTGGACCTTCATCCGACGCCATCTTTCTCTTTTGAAGGCGATTTGGTGTATCCACGGCTTCTTCCACCAAGAATTCTTCTTCTTCTGAGCCTGACAGCTCATCCAAGATATCATTATTGTGAGTCTCCTCTTCCTCCTGTTCTTCGTAATCTCCATCTTCTGCATCATCATCGTCATTGTTGGTACTGAGCGACTTTTTCTTTTCAAAATGTCTTTCAATCTGACTATTGATCATCATGGCGTTCTTTTCCTTTTCAATCAGACGTCTTGCTCTCTCGGTAGCTGAAGCATATTGGCCACGCGCCTTGGCTGCTTGTTCCATCTTGACACGATAATCATAGCCCTCGTTTGTAATGCGATACAACATGTGTCTATTGTGGTTGCGAAGAGCTGTGGATGCATGTCTGACAGGCGAGATGGCCACAGGAGCTCTAGGACGCTCCGGTGAGAGCATGGCTGCTTGTGTTGCTTTTGCAATCTTTTTGGGATCACCTGTGATCTCAATATCACTATCACTGTCATCGTCAATACCGTCCAGCTCTATATTGAAGACAGGGCGAGATGTTGCAGTAGGACGAGGAGGCGTGAACGGCTCAGATGGTGCATTGTGAGTGATGACTTTCTCTTGGTGCTGCACTTGTTGTTCTCGCTCCTCTCTACGCTTTGCCAACTCATCAAAGGACTTGTAGTTGTACACGGGCTTCAGTATAATTTTGGCTGTTCTTCGTTGACGCTCAGCTTCACGATACATTTCCATCTGTTGCTTTTTGGATAGCTTTCCTTCATCTTCACTGCTCTCACTTGAACTTGCATCCAAGATGTCTGTTGTACGCATCATTTGCTCGCCATTTTCATCTAGCTTAATCTCGTGCGAAACCTTCTTTCGAGTCTTTCTGCCACTGGATTTCTGTTTGGATCTCTTTTGTGTTTGCTCGTCTTCACTGATTTCAGAGTCTTGAGCAAACTTCTTGAACAGATTGTCGAGGTTTTTGCTTTTTGCTGCTTGATCTGCTTCAAAAGTGTCGTCGTCAACGGTCGCCTTTTTCTTGCCCTTGTCTCGCCTCTTTTTCTTTTCTCTGGGTTTTTTCGCCTGTTTTGATGTCTTGTCGTTCTTTTCTTCATGATCACTCTCTTCAGTGGGTGGTCGCAATGGGAAGTTAGCAAACTTGTTCCTGTCAATCTCTGCATTCAGTTTGTCCAAGTCGATGCCTAATTCTGCAGCTGCTCTTTGCGTATACGATGAGGATTCCGCATCCGAATCTGAATCATCGTCCAAATTGACCTCCATTCTGCTACTTCTGTCCAGTGTCAAAATGTTCTTTAGATGCGAGGGAATATTCATGTTGGAGTATTGATTGTCTGCAAAGGAGCTTGATCCCAAATCATCATCATCGTCATCATCATCGGTTTCCATATCACTGGGCACTGTTGCCAGGTAGTTGGGATTGACAAACAAGGGTGTCTCATCTCCATTGTCTTCCTTGCTTGTCTTGAAGGCAAGATCCATTTTGTCCTTTGCTTGTCTGTGATTTGTTTAGCTGGATGGAAAAGGGTGAAAGAAAAGAAAAAAGGAAAATGTTGAATCGCGTCCACGTTTTAACTTTGTGCGCGCGTTCTGTGTCTGTAAATTGTAGTGAACCTATCCATTCATGTTGGATTTCAGGGTTCTTCGTTGCCATGCCAAAGCCAGCTGTTGTCTTGCAGTAATCGTATATTGATGCGAATAGCATGTGCTGAACTCTCAACGTTTACGTCTTTACTATACCTGAAGTTCTGTTCTAAATGATTTGTGCTTTGGATCTGACTTCCCTGTGATGCGCCTCATCTGTATAAATGAAAGCAACTCATACAAAGGAAGACAGCCTAGCAGCATTGCCACTTACAACTCAAAAGTATGAGAAATGCAGCCGAAATTGGACGCGATTTCTCACGATAGAAGCTGTTTCAGACCGCCAGAATAGCATCACACTTTTTCTTTTGTCTAGCACTGTCTTTCAGGCACCTTTGCTCAACTTTTTTTGAGATGGTCGAAAATCGACTGAAAACCATGAGTGATACCTTATGATTTTCATCGAAAATCAAACGATCGCGTTTTTGACCCCAAAAATAAAGACTTTTACTATGGTACATATTGAATCAAAATGTTTCTATAGATCCAAAGCAACCCCTGAAACCACTTTTGTAATACCTTGATATGTAAATTCTCGACATTTTGGCCAAAAACCTCATTTCATATTTTTCAAGATTACTCAATAGCTTTAATAGAAAGACGTCTTTTGATTAGAGTCATTAGATGCGCATTGATCAGTACACCAAAACGATATTAGGAAGTAGGGGAAGATCATTGCAATTTACATAGTCGAATATTACGAAATATCTCAAACAAGTCGAAACTGATCAAAAGTTTGGCCAATCTTGAACAAAAGACAAGCGGGATTCGAATTGGTTTTTGCTGCTGAAAAGTCAATGCCTCTCTTATCATGGAAGCAGCTGTTGTTTTTGAAGCTAAAGGAGGGGGATTGCGAATTTTTTTAAGTGTACAATTACTGTTTGGCTATACATTGCTTTTTCACGCATTCTGATATCAGATAAATGGATTGTATGGACACAGACTACTCATTCAAATGCAAAATTCAAGTGTCAATGAATAATCAAATGATGCAAAGATTTGCGAGCATGCTTTGATACTGTGGTTTACCAGGCATATGATACATCCAGACACAGAACATGCTATTTGTACATAATTGGGCACTGAGTGTGTGTGCCTGTCTCTTCAGTAAAGTCTAGATGGCATCATTGCGCATCCTATTACGCGTATATTCAGATGTTATGATTCCGATTTAGCATGTTCAATGTTTAATTGACGAGCATCCGGCTAAGCCAAAATGTAACCAACAACGCCTAAATGCACTTGATGCTACGCAATTGTGCTCGAATAGTAAAAGTGCAGGATGATCGTATTGTGGCGCTGAGTGCATAGTGAGGAGAGGCGCATGTATCCTATGATTCCGTTTCACAGATATTTATGAATGTGTGTGTGTGTGTGTGCGTTTAAAAATAAACAAAAGAGTTTAGGGGGACATCCCTCCTTTCTTTCTCTTTCACACTTGCAAAAAAATGACCTCGAACCGACTAAGTCTCGGTAGCCACTTTCTAAGCAGTAAGAAAAAGACGGATTTATCAGATCTATTCACAAGCTTCGACAAGGACAACGATGGAAAAATCTCTCACTCGGAACTGGAAGACATGTTACAATCAGCTGGAATAAAATCGTCCATGGTAAGAGAGAACAGGAAGATTTCTTTATACGGTATAAATGCTTAGCCGTTAATTTGGTCTTCTATTCCTTCCATTTAGTTGAAAGACTATCATCCAAATGAAAAAGAAGGGACTGCTGGAGGCGATGGATTGGATTTCGAAGAATTTGCCAAATTGATGAGACCGACACTATCAGACCCACATCGACTTACAAGTAAACAATTGGAACTAAAAGAAGCCTTTGATGCGTTTGATAAAGATGGCGATGGATTTATAAATGTGTCTGAATTACAAGCCATGATGGAGAAATTGGGTGACAAGTTGACGCTACAAGAAGCAAACGAATTGATTGACGAAGTGGATCTGGACAAGGACGGTGTGGTGAATTTCAACGAATTCTGTATTATGATGGGTGTTCAACAACCTATGGTGATGAAAAAGAGGTCAGCATGTCCGCATCATCAGCATAGCTCTTCATTAAGAAGATTCTTTTGCAGCCACAAATAATAAAACTCAATCATATCATTGGATGAGCTTGTGCTTTTGAGAGTGGGGCAAAAGATGCGTTCGCGCAGGTACTAGATGGAAGTGTTCTATGTAGAATATTGCTATGGAAATCTGCTATCAAATCTCGATGACTCCGCTGAAGATTATCCATTTCAATTGATCGTCGTCTTGAGTGGTTCTTTGCTTGCAAGTATATAAGAATGGGGTGAATTCCACGTGGGTTCAAAAAATTAATATAAAAAGGCTCTTGATTTCTGGTTTCGTTTACTTTTTTTTTTTTTTTTTTTTTTTTTTTCCTTCGAACAAACATATACATGTTATAACATCATCACACAAAATGAATCAAGACAACTACTATCGTCAGCTTGGTCTCACTGATGAAGAACTCGACACATTGCAAGAGGCCTTCCATCTCTATGATATCAAGAAAAATGGCTACATTAGCGCTGAGCAATTCTCCCATATCTTGCTTGAACTTGGTATTGTGAAATCTGGTAGCGAGGCTCAAGACCAACAGCTTGCTCATATTATCCAGTCTGCTGATATAAATCATGATAACAAAATCGACTTTAACGAGTTTGTTCTGGCCATGTTCCATTATATGCCACACAATACCTGCTCTCAACAACCACAAATCAACTACAATCACAGCCAGCAGCAAGCATTCTCTGAAAAGGGCACAACAGACGAAGAACTGATGGCCTGCTTTCAATTCTTTGATCAAGACCATGATGGCCGCATCAGCCAAAAGGAGCTTGAACAAGTCATGATTCGCTTCGATACACATTTAACACCAAGAGAACTGAAAGAAATGATGTCCACTGCGGATATCAATAGAGATGGTTTCATTGATTTTGAAGAATTTAAACAACTTTTGCCACCATTATGAATACTCTTTACATCTTAATATTCTGTACATATACCCTATCCGCTTAATAAAACTTTATATATCCTATTTTAAGGAGAGAAATCAACGTTTTTAGACCTCTTGGCTCGTAACACACAGTGATACCAGCAATGAAGCCCAATGATATACAGGTCAAAGATTTCTTTTAGTGGCAAGTCAAGCACAGCAGCAGAGGGAAGTTTACGGATCATTGCATACCGTACACTTCCTTATCAGAGCCCTTGGTAAATCCAGCGCTTCAAACAAATTGGCTCGAGAAACATTTGATTCAAATCATAATGAATGCATAGAATTCTACCCTGATGCTTACGAAACAACCTGTGTCGAGAATTTGTTGCTTTTATCGAGATGAAGAGATGGCCTCGCTGATTACTTGCCGCATGTCTCAGGTTTTTTTTTTTATCATGTATCAAATGAAATCAACCACATTCCAAGTTTCATGCAACCTGCCAGTTTGCTCGTACCCACCAGCGATAATTTCTTATTCTGATTTGCCCTCTCAACCACCGATCTGATAGAATTAAGATGGATCACTCTACATAGCGAATCGATCTTGTTACTGCTTCAGCCCCTTATGCCCACGATAACGTTGATCAGGATGCATGTGGATGCAGACGTTGAGCACGACCCGGATTTTGCAGATGATCCACATAGGATGGTCATAGCCCAATTGTATCTCCACACAGATATACGAGTGATCTTCATTCAGTGCTCCAACAATAAAACGGTTACACTTACTGTATTACGAACCAATCCAGAGACATTAACGTGAATGCAGCAATGGACCCCTCTCCTCACATCCCCTTTTTTCAATTCAACATATTTACAGTGGAAAAAAAAAGGAGCAAAATATCATTGTTTTTGCAATTCTGAAAAGGGTTGGATAATAAGGTTGGCTTCCTTGCTTTTTTATATATATATATATATTTCAATGATAATTCTTCTCTTTGCTCTTGCTACACTTTCTTCCCTTTGTACCACTTGAATTTAAAAAAGACAATATAATACCTCATTGTGTAATCACCATATCATCCTTTTTTCTACTTGTTTCCCTCTCTTTTTTTTGCATTTTATCACATCATTGAATCATGTCCGTAAGGAAGCAATCTCCTTATGGCCCATTTGTAGAAAGAGTTCTCTTGCCAGCACTTCGAATTGGCTTGTTGCTGCTCATTCTCTTGGCCATTGGATTTGGCAGTTGGCTAGAGACCAATGAATCCATCACTGATTGCTCGTTCAAGAGTAGCATGTCTTTCCATCAGGTATATCTGTACCGAAACATCACGAGCAATTTGACGACGCCTGATTCAGTGTCATTTGGATTGTGGAAAACATGTTATTTCTATGCCTTGAATTGCTCTTGCACACCTACAAATTTGAGATATCAACCTGGTAAAGTTCATACCATGTAATCATGATATCATTGTTTGGAAAAGTTACTCATACGTTTATAATTAGATGTTTCAACAATACTTCAGGTCGCAACTGAACATAATGCGACACCACCCCTGACAGGATCAACTTCTTTAAGCAGAGTAATCCCACTTATGCTAGCCACTGTTATTGGAGGCGCTGCGTTTTTTATTGGACTCTGGGCAAATCGACGAGGAAAGTACATGTACAGAAAAGTTGTAGTAGCACTGCTATCTCTGTGTGCCATTCTCATCGCCTACGTCTTTGGATGGACCTATGATCAGTATTTCAAATCAATTCTAAAGACTTGCAAAGATCGCAACAATGCCATCTACTGCGCTAGACATGCAGTCGGGACTGAGGTGGTTATCTTTGCTGTCGCCCTTGCACTCCTCTTTATTGCATTTGGATTCTGGTTTTTTGCCTCGGCATTCTTCACAAAGAAAGATGATTTGTACGAACAAGAGGAGCCATTTGAATTCGCATTTTGGAAGAAGAGATCGTCCGAATTACCAGATTACACACCGCCAAAAAGGAGAAGACCAATTCCAAGTGAAAAGCCGTTACAAAGCTCACCCCAATATCAACCCCAAGATGAATTAGCTGTATGGCGTGATGTGGACATGTATGGAAACAATGGACTCGAAGACGATGGTTACTGGGAGCATCAGGACGAAAAGAAGTATTATGACAGCAAACACAATAGCAAAGGCTACTATTATGACTCGCCTGTAGATCAGCAACAGCAGCAGCACAGCCTATCATCCATGAGCCCAGTTGAAAAAGTGTCCTTAACGCCTCCTCCGCCTGTTAGCTCGAACCATTTGAATAGTTCGCCACGAGGTCATAAGTCGCGTGTAACATCCAACGAGTATAGCTATCAGCAATCACCACGCCATCATCGCAAGCAACGTAGATCCCCTGGCCCTGAATACCACGACAACTACAATGCATTATCGCCACAAAAATATAGACAGTCTACAACAAGAAAAGAGAGCAATGATTCTGCCCTGACGTTTGGAAATGGCAAACGACAACAGCGCAGAAGATCAAGCGGGAGACCTTTATCGGAAATGGACCCACAACAGCAATACTACAATAGCAAATCAAGAAATAAGACACCTACGAGTATGTCTCCGCATCCTTTTCAATTCCCAAACAGTAGCGACATGATGATGGGGAACTCGTTTTGCATGACACCATTCTATAACGAAGACAATGGATCTTCTGGATCAGGAAGCTCAAATGGTGGATACTTTGTTCAAGATGGAAGGATATCCAATCAGTATCAGGTACCAATATTGGGCATGCCACCTACAGCAGTCGAGCATCCATTGAATAAGAAGGTGATTACAGACAAACGTATTCAAAGCTATCTTCAACAACAACAGCACTCAACTTCATCAAATTCAACATGACCAAAAAATGTATTATAATAATATCGCTCTCTTGGTTTCTCCTTTTACGAGCATCCCTTTCTTCTCACTTAATCCATGCAATCCTCCTATGTAGCTCTCTTCCTGCTTCTTCCTCTACTATTTAAATTCATTCCAGTTTCTTGATTTCTAATAAACCCCTCAAACCCACCTCACCCTATATACTTGTTGTAAGGCTGAATCTGTATTCACTACATTGCTACCAAATATTGTTAATACAATAACTAAATTAAATTAAAAAGGGCGGTAATTTGGTGAGTGTAATAAAGTTTATTGATGTAAATCATATTACTTTCTCTGCTTTTGGGCAAGGAAATCAGAAAATTCTTGATAAGGACCCTTAACAAATTCAGACTCTTCCCAGAGGTCAGGAGTCAAGAACCCGTAAGTGTTACCGATAGCGGCAAAGGTGGCCTTGACAAAGTTACCAAGCGTACGAGTGGAACCGCGAGAGGTAGTATAACAATCAGTAACACCAGCTAATTGAAGAACGCGCTTAGCAGTGGGTGATGCGACAATGCCAGTACCGCGGGGAGCAGGTACCAAACGAGCCATGACAGAGCCACAACGACCAGTGACCTTGCAAGGAACAGTATGAGGTTCACCAAGGTTAGAGCCCCAATAGCCACGACGAACAGGGATGATTGCCAACTTGGCTAAGATGATACCACCACGAATAGCAGTAGCAACTTCCTTGGCACATTTGACACCCAAGCCAACATGTCCGTTTTCATCACCAATGACAACAAATGCCTTGAAGCGAGTACGTTGACCAGCAGTAGTTTGCTTTTGAACAGGCATAATCTTCATTACTTGATCGGTAAGCTTGGGGAGGAAATAATCGACGATTTGGTATTCCTTGATGGGCAAGGAGAACAAGTAAATTTCCTCGATAGACTTGATCTTGTTTGCCTTGACAAGACGACCAAGCTTGGTTACAGGAACCCACTCGTTCTTTTCTTCACCTCTTCTACCACCACGTCTACCACCACGTCCACCACGTCCACGTCCAAAGTTACCACGTTCTATTATAATCAAAGCATTTAGCATTGCATATCCAAAATTTGTCGGGGATTTTGGTTCTTACTATCGGCCGAAGCAGAATCAGCCATTTGCTAATCAAACAAAACATTTAGTATTTAACAGCGATGGAAGTATCATGCATCCATCCAAGCATATATCTATCATCATTGCTTGATAGATGAGCATGAGTGATATGTTGTGGTACATACATAAATCTAATTTAAAGAGGAGGATCTACACATTTGGATGCTTGAATTGCATAAATGTAACAGATCAGCTGTCAAAGTGTATACATTTTCTTCCGGACCGGAGATTTGGTTCCTGAATCAGAATAATAATGTCAATGCCCATTGCTTGCAAACACCTCTTTCAATGCGAATAAGAGCTACTATACGACAATAATTAGCAATCAAGGTAGCACTTACCTTATGCTATCTGCTCTTAAGTTAGTCTTTTAACCCATTATGAGCCAATCAACTCAAAACAACAATTCAAGACCAAACGAGACAGGGATGATGCTCTCTTGATGAGCTGGCTTTTAGTGCGACTGAGTGCCTGAGTTGAATGCTTTAGCCTGGCAAGCAAACAGTACAATCTTTGATTCAGATTTTATTCCAATTTACCAAGCAGTTGCTACATACAATATATATATATATATATACTAGATGCAAGAGACTATTTATTGCATGCAAAATGTCCAATGCGCCTTACAATCGCCATCACGTAGTTAATAAGCTGCATCATTGCGCTGCTATTATCCGGCGATACAACAACAGTGCCACTCAGTCTAATATTTCCAGCTAAATCTTTGGATGTAGCAGCGTGCTGTCAATTTAGTCTAATGCATACAATGTCTCTAAATTACGCCTTGCTATCGTAACAAAAATGCGCCTTTTAACAAGTAAATGTATAAAACGCAGTCAGTATTGACAGCTTTCAAGCCTTCATATCTTGACATGTAGACCTTCATGAGCCATCGGAATGACACCAAGCAATCATACTTGAGTAGTAGTAACTTCCTGACGCCTTTGCTCAACTTTTTGGGCCAAAATAAAACATGGTCAATAATCGACTAAAAAGCATGAGGGGTACCTCATGGTTTTCATCGAAAAAACACACCTTTCTTTCCCCTTTTCTACGAAATTTTTGGTCAAACGGGGTGATTCCCTAGTTTTGTGCGGTAGTAGTGCACATTATGGTCTCTCCCATCTCGATAGTTGACAGAGTACATAGTCGCTATGTTTTTCCCTTACCAAGGTTTTTTTTCAACATAGAAGAATAACGTCAGGAGGAGCCAGGGTATGTAATTTATCACATATACCGAGTCTCTTCTGCTCTCAACTGTGGATGATGAGTTTCACTGACGTGAACGTTTGCTTTGTTGTTGGTGTGGTTCTGATTGCTCTCTCTCTTGCTTGCGGCTTCGGTCGAGTATCTTTGTTCTCTCGCGATAACCATCTGATCAAGTGCTGACAGTACTATCCTTAGTCAAATATCTCCTGGGCTCTTCTCATGAGAACACACTCTTTGCCCCAGTAACAATTCAAATTAGTAATCATGCCCTTCTTGTCCCTCTTGTGCACACACTTATATACTAGTCGTTTTAGGTAGAATAGTCTTTTGGTAGCGTGGTTAATAACATAATAAATACGAGTGGTAGCCTGCCTTCCTCCATACAAATAAAAAAAATTCATCGAAAATCAAACGATCGCATTTTTCACTTTGAAAATGAAGACTTTTACTATGGTTTATATTAAATCAAAATGTTTCTCTCGACCCAGAGCAACTTCTGGAACCACTTTTATGAGGTTTTCATATGCAAAATATGGCTATTTTCGCTAAAAACCTCATTTCAAATTTTATTAAATTACTCAATAATTTCAGTATAAATACTTATTACAGTTAGCACCATTGGAAGCGCCTTGAAAAGTACTTCAAGAATGTATTAGGAAGCGTAGGATGATCATCACAGTTTATATAGTCGAATATTGCAAATAGATTACAGAAGTCGAAAAAAAGACAAAATCTGTCCAATCTTGATCAGAAAAAACAAGCTGAATTTGAATTAATTTTAGCGGCGGCGCTGCTGCTGGCTGGCCCAAATGCCTTTCTGTTGATGGCAATGATACTTGCAATACTGATTAAATGGGGATCATGGAATTGAAAGGACAATTGCTTAGCACAAGTACTTTTTTTGGGGGGAGCTTTACCTCATGAAAATGTTTTTTGCAATGACAATATATCAAAATAGTCCTGTAGATCTTACACAAGTCCTGTATTTACTCATGACCAGCTTTATATCGCCATCATATTAAGAGCATCAGCAGCAGCGAATGATATGCCAATTCTATCATCAGAAAATGGCGATGGTGGTGTACAAATGCTGCATAAAACTTGAAACTTCTTTCACATTGTCTCAATAATAGGCTTCGTTTGATATCAGTGTAAGCAAAAAAGGATGCTGAGGGAGATGCCTCCTCTCCTCCTCCTCCAGGCTCTGATATAACCTTTCTTTTACTAACTAATAATTGGTTGTATAAAATCTATTTGATATACGTATCAAAATGTCTTCGGTGAGAGCCCGCAGGGCGACGCCGTCATCGAGCGTAGCGAGATAGATCGGCTAGTTTGTAAATTATACAGTAAATTACACATAATTCACCAAATAATTCACAAACTTGAATTATTGTGAATTATTCACGGCATGCACAATTGTTGTTAGTAGATTATACATGAATTATTTAGGAGGACATTTAACTGATTGAAGTGAACTAGACTAGATTCCCATCATAAACAAAGCCCAAAATAAATGTCATCTCAATCAAACCATGCTACCATCAGTAGGTAAGCATGCATAATACTGTAATAGTATTAGCATGGTGATAGCAAGGGTTAAATGCTCTAAAATAAGAGATGACAGATACTAAAGTAAATGTCAAGGGTATTGTAATGTGTTGTAACATAAATATACCTAAAAAGGATACAGGCTCAACAATAAAGAGCTATTCTTCACGCATGATTCAAAAACCATATATTGAAGTACCGTTCTTGATCCATCAGATCAACAACTAAATGACCCAACAAAAATATATAAAGTAATGGAATCACTGGCAGCTACTAAACTGCTGCCAGATAAGAGATATAAACCAAATAATATAAATAGAGATATATAATATACATTTTATTGCACATTATCCTAATTTCAAATAAAGAAGGATTTTAACAGTATCCTACCTGCTTTTTTAACCCCTTTTTACTGCACTGACAACACTTTTGGAAGCGAGCTTGAAATCAAGGTCTTGCTCTTTTGAAATAAAAGTCGTTTTTCGAATAGTGTGATGCAAATGTTTCTCGTCAGTGTGATGCATCGTCTCGTTTTACATTTGAACGCAACTTCCTGATCATCACTCATAGTTTACAGCATTTTACCATGGCATGTAAGCAGTATTATGCGTTTAATTTCATTGATTCGTTTAGAAGAGGCTATTGCCACTAGCTGAAAAGCTATTTCAGTATGTGATGAGGATGCTTTTAAAAATCACATCAAAACATTCATTGGTGTTAAGCACAAAGAATAAAAGGATTATTATTTGTAGCTTATAAAAAATGTTCGATATTATAAAAACAAGAAAAGACTTTTTTGAATAAGATCAGACATAAAAACTAAAGATTTATTGATAAAGACAAGCGTTATTCTATTTATACTAAGTTCTGAATGCCAAAGTAGCAATTTATCTTGTACAACGCTTATCACATCTGGTGAACCTCAGTATTTAGATAGCTGAGATGCACTTCAACTATCATAGCTTGTCCATGTTGTTGCACAACACAGGCATATCTACCCATCAAGAATACCTTAATCTTTATAGACAGTTGTAGCCCTTCTGGCACAACAATTGGAAATGCGGATGGCTGCAATCCCGCCATTGACAGTTGTTGTTGGCAGATTCCGTTGTGCCTGTCTTCATCACCAATAATTGGTTTTAATGCCGTTTGAGGGTTAAATCGAATGTGAGCATCCTCGTTGATTTGACTTCAGTTTTGTCGTTCTTCTTATTCACTCAGGAACTCATAAGCATACTTGTAACATTTTTTGAGTCATGCCCGGTGCTCGATAATGCTTTAAGTTTAATATGATGCCTCTGATTGGCCACAACGATATTTTTTTCATAGTGTTGGAGTTCAGTATACGAACGCATATATTTGATCTCCGATTTCCGACGTCTCTCCAGCATCAATTCAGTATCGGGCCGATAACGAATTTTTAAATAAAGTTTGGCAAATCGATACCGGACATCGGAGTTGAACACACGGATCATGTCTGAATTGATCGGGAGTAGCTCATGAAGTGCTCTACTAACCCAGCGATTTCGCCAATATTTAGGCAAACTTGGAGCTTCTAGAATGCTATACTGCTTTTATACATGCAGTGCCTGCAGAACAAGAGCTTCTTGCCACGAGACACCCTCATTTATACCATTAAAATCTACTTACACGACTCAAATTCATTCAGCGATAGGCACAAATTCTCGTCACATGCCGTTATCTACATTGTCTATAGCGGGCTCCGCCGAGGAACGATTCAAGAATGAAACAGTCCCCTTTCCAATATGTAATACGTACCATGTGGTACAATGGCCTGGGTACTTGGATGCTGGTACCTGCTGCTGTGTTCATCTCATACAGCTTTATTAGTCAAATTACACGAGGGTAGTAGATAGAGTGTAACAGTCTAAAAAAGCTGGAATGAAAGGATATCAACATTACGACGGACATGAAGATGCATTCTCCGTTCTCAAGATCATCAGCTAAGTAGGTGTAGAATAGGCATGCTCACATTGTTGGAAATGCAAACTTGGTAAATCCATGATACGAAGAAAAATTTAAAGATGTAAGATGAGAAGAACAGCCGTCATCATGCACACAAGACACAAACAAAAAGTTAAGATTTAAGGAGATGAAATCAATGTAAGTAGCATTTGCAATATAGCCCATCGCTTATCATGGCATGAGCTGTTACAAAATAGCATGATTTCTAGCACACAAATCAGGAAATCATGCTCTTCTGTGAGGTAAATAACAAGATTTAAGCTCGAATAATGCCCATGATCGATGGAGCAAAAATAAATCTCTTTAGAGTGTGGGCATTTCATGATGTACCACTGCTTCTGAAGTCCATGAAAGAGCTTGTCCTTGCTTATCAGGGTGGTCTTAAGAGTGTTTCCTTGGTACAAAGACACAATATAGTATCTTTGTTTGTGACAAGATGCTTCGATTCGAGGCCAAAAATCAAACAGCATTAGGGAAAAATGTCATTCAAGTTGGCAAATGCACATGGTCATTGATGACAACACAAACAATTCGATTATGTAAATCAACCGAGTAATAGTACATACACGTAATAAAATAAGCTATAGCTTTATTGAAATATGCAGGCCCTCAAATACTTTGTTGAGGAGAATGCTTTTCAACTTCATCCGACGAAAGATTCTATCATTCCCAAAGATGAAGATGGAATTCAATCAAAACAATAGCATAAACACACGGTTCTTTTTACATCGTTTGGTGCTACATTTACCCAAAAGTCTTAGTCTATTTGCGTTTCAAAATGTAACCTCCTTGATTCCGTCCTTGATAGAGATACAAGCGTGTAATCTCCAGCTGATTATCACCTTGATTGGTCTTTCATTGACATTGCTAGTGACGTTTTTTCCAAGTTTTCAAGATTCGTTTTTGATTTAAATTGACTTTTCTCTCTTTCCTCTGTGCTGATATTTTTTTCATCGTTTTTCGTTTGAGTTTTGTTGAGTTGGATCATTCGTTTTTTTCCTCAAGTTCAGAAGAAAAGGTAGGTCGAGTACCATAAGAAAGCAGGTATAAAGCCTGTTTTGTAATTGCTAATACGGTCTATTGGTAAAAATAGCATCCGTCTTTTCATTTACAAAGCAAGTTTAATTGCTATTGCAATCCATAGAGGATTTTCTTGCTTTATTCAAAGGCGAGAACATTAAAAGGAGTGATCAATAACTCAAACCATTCAATAGACAAAGATAACCATGATAGCCAACATCAATACTGGTATACACACAGCTTCAGATATCAGCAACGGCAGCAGCAACAATGCTCCACCAACGACACCGACTACGGAAACTCTTTTAAGCACATTGAGCGAAAAAGATCGAATTGTTTATGAGAGAAACAATATTCGTCTTCGGCAAATGGAAGCTGAGGTTCGTCAGCTAGCAACTTATGGTGGAGCTTGTGATGAATTACTGGAATGGCTGAGCGATGTTCGAGCTTACAATCCCTACAACGAGAAGGCCCTTTTAGGATGTATCAATGCCATCTTTGAGAAGGCATCCGAATATGGGCCTTGGTCAGGCCTCGAAATCCTGAAAGAAGCAAGTCAAAAGTGTGGTAATGGGTTATCTGAAAAAGGACGAGGTAATGCATATATTTTGAATGAATCAGTGTGTATCATGCAAAGTACTGATATGTGTTGCTCTATCAGCCTGCGTCAAGAAATGTTACGAGGATTTACACAATTCAGTGACGGGGAGAAGACCTAGCAATGGGTCTGTTGTGTCCACTGCTTCAGCGTCGCATCCTTCACCCGCCTCTTTAACTAGCAACAGATCTGTTTCGCACATTAACATCCTTGAATCACCAACAGCCAACAACACCTTCAACCAACTTGCCAAGCTATTCGATTCATCTCTTTTTCCACAATCACCTAACTCAAATATGGGGTCCCCAATGTCGTCACCACAATTCAGAGGAACTGATGTCAATGCTTCACAAATTGCTCCAAATCAAGCTGTAGCTAACAATGCAATGATTAATAATAATCATCTGAATACTTACCTACAGCAGCGAATGGCTCAAGTAGCACAGACCAAGCAACAACAGCAGCAGCAACAACAGCAGCAGCAACAACAGCAACAGCAACAGCAGCAGCAACAGCAGCAGCAGCAGCAGCAGCAGCAGCCATATCAACAGCCATATCAACAGCCATATCAACAGCCATATCAACAGCCATATCAGCAGCCATATCAATACCAATATCAGTATCAATCGCAACAACCGCAACAACCGCAACAGCCACAGATACCACAGATGAATCAACAGCGTTTCAATCCAGCTCAAATACAACAAGCACAACAAATGTACCATGACCAGTTTCGCAGAGCTCTGTATGACGAGCACCAACGCAGACTCCAAGAGGAGCAGCAGCGCAAAGCCCAAGAAGAGGCACAGCGTAAAGCTGCTGAATCAGAGCAGAATAGACTGGCGAGACTCAAAGAGGTACAAAGACAAAAAGAACAGTTTGAGAGTCAACTAAGATTGCAACAGCAACAGCAGCAAATACAACAACAACAGCAACAGAAACAGCAGGAAGAGGAGCAAGCAAGACAAGCTTTCGCAGCGCGTTATATGCAGATGTTTGCCCAAAGTTCATTACCTCCTGTGAATAACAGCATGTCGCAGTCTGTTTCAATGCCATCGGTAGCAGCTCATCTCCAAAGTTCAGCGTCCATGGCAGCAGCGAATAAGTGTTTATCCACTTCACAGCCGCAGCAACAACAGCAAGCTCTACCCGTCAATAACTACCATGCATCAATAGCAAATACCACACCTATCGTAGAAGCTCCCGTAGCGACCACCTCAGCCATCGCCCCCGTTTTCTTGGCTAGTTCAGCAGCTCCAACCGCCAACGCAATCGTTCCAGCAGTGACTCCTCCTGCTTCTGCTCCAGCAAGGCCAGCTGCAGCCACACCTACTGCTGCCTCTTCCATCTTCTCATCCAACTCACAGTATCCTCCTATGCAAGCAAACCCTTTGCTCATGAACACCGGCGTAGTTACCAGCAAACCATCAGCAGTTCCAACAACGCCTACAACGCCTACAACGCCGACAACACAGAGCACGCCTGTCAAAACTACAGCCATGAACACAAGCACTTCAAGTTATGCATCGCCATCTCTTGGTACAGTGCATATTAGTAAATTACACTTGCCTGGTGGTGGTAATGTTCATAAACCTGTTGTGCCAGCTGTCATTCCAGCCAGTACATCAACGTATGATTGGACAAGGCCCAATGGACAAGGTGACAAGGTTGAGTATCTATTCAAGGAAAGGCACGCCTTCCCATCATTCCGACTAGCGCATGGTGAGGTGATTACTCGAAAGCCATTCTACATTGGAAAAGAGGAGTACAGCAAGTTGTTCAAGAATCCAAATACAACACTCAAGGACTATCAGGGAGAGCCACCATTATCCTTTTTCGTCACTGCTTGGTATGAAGGTACACTGGAACGCAAATGCGATTGGCCTACTGGAGCCCGTATTGAACTGAACGGCCAGCAGTTGCCATTACAGAAGGTAATAGTGCTATTTTATCAATGTTTGATTGTTTTGCTCATCTTTTATGCATTAGAGAGAAAAAGTGATCAATCCAAACGGTGGCCCATCCACTATTACTGGCAAGGACAGGCCCTTTGACCTGACTCGCTTGTTGTTGCTGGATAAGAACATGATTATTATTCATCAGCCTAAATGTGCCTGTGTAAGTAGTTTTCGCCTTTTCTCTTTTTGCGTCGCCTTGAATTTATTCATATTAATACTGACAGGTCTCTTCCAAGAAGTCATATTTATTTGCTGTCCAAGTATGTAAGCGATTCAGTGAAAACTACATCCTCAATTCGGTCAAGAACAAAACGATCAGCATCGAGACGAGTGAGCGAATGATTGACGATCTTCTGGGCAGATTCCAGACAGAGAATGGTGATGATGACCTTATAGTTCTGCAAAAGTCTATCAAGATGACGTTGAAATGCCCTCTCACTTTCAAGAAGATAAAGCAGCCTGTGAGAGGTATCGAATGCAAACATGTGGATGTAAGTAGCAGACACCTCGCTTGTGAATATTAGTTCTCATCTTGTTTATATAGTGCTTTGACTTGGACGCTTATCTCATGGTCAACAAGAACGAGAATCCTACTTGGGTGTGTCCTCATTGCAACAGACAAGTAGGACCTACCGCATTAGCCCGAGACTTGCTGGTTGAAAAACTCTTGGAAACATTGCCTAAGCGAGCATCTGAGATAGAATACACTAGAGATCATACCAATTATACAATCACTAGAATGGAAGATCCAGATTCAGGCGATGAAGACGACGAGGATTATGAAGGCAAGGATGGTGCAGATGCCCGCAATGCAGGCGATATCAAGGCCAAACATGAGCAACTTGTGAACATGGCAGCAAATAACGACAATGTGATAGATCTGATCAGCGACGATGAAGACGAGGTCGATCAAGGTGCAACAAACCAGGCTTCTACAACAGCAAACACAAGCAGTAATATTCCTTCAAAAAGAAGCTGGGAGGCCCAAAATCACTAATTGCTCAGAATTAACATAAAAAAAAAATATCTATACCCTCTGAATTCCCTCCTCTTGTCAGTTCCCAATGTGTATACAAAATGTAAAAAGTTCAATAAAGTGTCAAGGAGTTTACTATGATAGTTCAAAGTGTGGTAAAATAGGAATCCAATGTATTGTTGCCAATCAACAGCTCATCGTCCACTGAGATTAACAGTTGAGATGGATAGATGGATAATCCCTTGTATGAAGTGTGCACTGTGGGTTTCTGATCCTCTTCAATTTCTGCCTGGTCGTCCATGTCTTCTTGCTCTGCAAATATGAAAGAATTTTCCTATCAAATACAGTGTCAGCATGCACTACACTCCAGGCGAGTGGAGATCCTACTGATTTAATTAACGTTTGCTGCGTATTTCGTGCTGTAAATCTGTATAAAATACGATAGCCATCCACTGTAAAATGCCATTAGCCGTTGATTTCGTTTCTCGCACAGCACAGCTTACTGTAAATGACACGGTTTGCTTCTGCGTCTTTTTGTTTTTTATTCGCAGGCGAACTCTGCTCTGCTACGATGTAGTTCAAAATGACAGGATACAGCTCTTTGAGGACTTGATCATGCAATCCATTTTCGTTATACCAATCTATTTTATCCTTTGCAACGTACAAGACTACACGCAAGGCCTATTGGTAGCGCTATGAATACATTGGGACGCATCCTTTGCGTAGATCTACTCACTGTGTTCTCGGTGATGGCAAGGTGAAGGATGTTGCGGGTATGTTTGATGACCATTGATAGCAAATAATAGAAGAGAAAATGCGTGAAACAAGGTTTTGCGCAGAATTTAGACAGGATCTTCTCTAAAATCCATATGCCGCTTCAATCGTTAGTCGACACCTTTTTCTTCTCTTTTGTTTTTTTTATCACTCTTATCACATCATGTCTGGCTCAGGGTCAGGCTCTACACCCAATTTACAGCACTCTGAGTCTTCTTTATCATTGAGGACTCGGAAAAGCAACCAAGATTTTAGAGTTTTAGCCGCTGAAAACCTAGCAAGAAAAGGCTCACCTTTAACCGTAGATGAAAGAGTGTTTGGAGCACCAGTGGCCGATGATTATGAAGAGCGTGATGAGCTACTAGGGAACGGAAACAGCGAAGTGATTGAAATTGGAAACTATGATGATGAATGGCAACATACAAGCAAGAAGGATGCTCGTAGAAAATGGTTTAGATGGCACTATGGCACCAGAGTATGGGATACAGATCTGTGTATATCGATTCGTCTTTGACTCAGCCCTATCTATCTAGACATTTTGGAGTCGCTTGTGTCTGGTGCTGTTTGGCGTGGGCTTTTTTGGATTTGTAGCCGTGCTCGTTGTCAGCGAACTCGATAGAGAATCAGAGGTGAAATCACATCTCTACTTTAACGGCTCAGCTTATTTTGATTCAACTGTCATTTATATTTCATTGGATGGGTTCAGAAACGATTATTTGGATAGAAAAGTTACACCAAACATTGATCTAATAGGTAGGCTGCAAGCCATACTGTAATGTTGCAGACATACATAGTTGACAATAGCAAATGATAGCTGAGGAAGGCATTCGAGCTGAATACATGATCCCATCTTTCCCAGTAAGTGTAGCAGCGACTGATCAGCACAACAAGTTCTGACAGCACGTTAGTCAATCACGTTTCCCAATCATTGGACTTTGGCGACAGGTCTCTATCCTGAAGCGCACGGTATTGTAGCAAACGAGTTTTATGATCCAGAACTGAGAGAGGATTTCATACATAAAAACGCATCTATTAGTGGCGACCCCAAGTGGTGGGGTGGCGAGCCCATTTGGATTACTAGCAAAAACCAAGGAAAGAAATCTGCTGTCATTATGTGGCCAGGATCAAATGTGCCCATCAAGTCTGTTTCACCGGATTATTACGTTCCTTATTCGAGGGAAACAACAGCTATTGATAAGATGGATATTGCGCTAAACTGGCTGGACATGCCCATCGACCAGAGACCACAATCCATTTCAATATATATACCTCAGATAGATCAAAAGGGCCATGGAGGAGGTCCTGATGGAAAACAGGTAGATATCAAAATTCGTTTGTCGGATGATTGGTAGATCACTAACGCAGACATAGCTTAATGGGGTTTTGAGAAGCATGGATGATGCAGTAGGACATCTCATGTCTGGTTTGACAGAGAGGAACCTGGATAAGCATGTTCATCTAGTAGTGGTATGGCTACAACGCTGTATTTGATTCTTCATTGTTGATTCGATTAGCGTTAAATAGGTCAGCGATCATGGCATGGCAGCATCAGACGAGTCTAGACTGATCTTTTACGACAAGATTATATCTGCAGAATCAGAATCCTATCTTCGTAAGAGAGAAGCATGGCCACTGCTAGGTCTTCGCCCCAAAGACGATGCCCCTGAATTTGCTGTGGATCAAATTTACAGCGAAATTTATCAGTACACCAAAGAAATAGAAAACCCTCATTTTCAAGTGTACAAGAGAGAGAACATGCCCGCAAGATTTCATTACAACTCGACAGAGCGTATTGCCCCTATTGTTTTGATACCTGACGTGGGGTATACCATTATTAAAAGTACAGATCGCCATGGGCCCAAAGGTATTCATGGCTATGACAACATGGCACTCGAGATGCGAGCTATTTTTGCTGCTAGAGGGCCCAAGATAGATGAAGCTTACTTACCTGGCACAGTTGTCAGCCCGTTTTATAATATCGAAATGTACAAATTCTTGACAAATCTACTCAATCTCAATGCCGCACCCAACAATGCAACATTGAATGGGGTATTTAACAAATTGTAGCAGCTTGGAATAAACAATTAGAGATTTGCCAATCATAGAGTATATTTTATATGATTTCAAATATCTTTTGCATTGTAAGATGTAGGAGACAAAGCAAAGCTATCCGTGAACGCTGGCGAGGTCTTGAGTTTATGGTCCTCCTCATCATAATTATCATTCTTCTTGATTGCACCATATCCAGCATTCACATTGTTGATATTTCTATTCAGGTACATATGCAACGATGAAAATGCAATATTCAAAGCACCACAAAAAGATACTAAATTCGATAGGACTAGTTTACAGTTGGGTTGAGCATCTACTTTGTAGTTATCTTATGTCAAACATTACCTCGATCATCCTCATTTGAATAGACACCTAATACTGATATCCTAGTCAAACAGGAAAGAATGGACAGCATGAAATTGGCATTCATTCCTGTTTTAATCTTCATTTTCTTTCTTGCATCTGGCGGCTTAATGGTGTAGGCGTAAAAGAACAATGTCATTGACAAGCAAAAGATGATGGTATTGCAAGTAAGCACTACATAAGACTATCATTGGCAGCCTTTCAGTTTCCATTGCAAAACCGTGTATCCATCCAAACTCACCTGAATGTACTCGGATGTCCTTACAAAGTCTCTTAATGGGAGAAACTCATGTACATCGACTATATGAAAACACAAGTTAGTATCGTACTACTGCAGTTTACACTATGGACAAACCATACTCACTCGCCTCAAGAAGCACAATGCCTTCAGACGTCATTGATAAATAGAGCATTGCAAATGCCTGGATAAAACTGCAAGGCAGCTTTTCATTTGTTTCAGACATAGTGGCCGTTAGAATGAAGAAAGCAAAAGTAATGAACGAGCCAAAAATGTAACTCTAGATACATTTACGCCTTACTGAATTTGTAAAATCTCGTCTAATCTGGACAAAATAACTGTGCTACGCAATTGCTTTGATGAATCGCATAGATTGATTAGCTTTATTAGAGATTAAGGTAGATTTTAGTTGTAGTATATATTAAATTTGGAGATCAAATTGACTTGAAAGAGAAATAAACTTAGCAAGTACTTAGGCAAGTTGCAAGCACTGACTGAGTGGGTTGGCGTGCAAGTGTATGCCAGAAAATTATGAATAACATAGATGAATAGCCCTGTGTATTCCACGACTCGGCGTTTGGTATAGGCTTACAATGTTATTGCCTGCCAGATCGAGGCGGTGGATTCAATGAATCGCTATTAACGCCACCGCTGTTTTCGACTCTGCTCGCATTTTCCTCATTGACTGCCTCGTTGTTAGCATTACAAGCATCTTGAGTAGCTGTAGTAACAGAACTGCGGCTCTGTAAAGACGCTTCAGGAGCTGAAGTGAGTACATGCTCGCTTTGGTCGATCTGGATGTCTCCGTCTGGTGAAATGACTTTGGTGTACGTCGGTGGTGGAGGTACTTCTGAGTACGGGGGTAATGTGTAATCAATCTCTTCATCATATCTATGCAGTGAAGATGTACGATGGGTATTCTCTCCTGTGGGAGTCCTCTCGCCTCTACCTTGGGGCTGCCCTCTCATTCTGTTTGTCCTTTCAGTCCCTGATAATGCAATTTCTGGATCAGTCAATGGACTTTCACTTTTGAAAAACCAAAGGGTAGCCCATGTAATAGTTGAAAGACAAAGAAAGAACGATGTTGCATTATAGACATCTATGGTCATATACCTTAGATGAATCGAGATAAATGATGGGTAATTATACTTACTGAACCTTTTGTCGTCTAGTGGCATGAAAAAGTTATATTTTGATCTCAACGCAATGGTGGCGATCAGTGGTGTCAAGATGACTAATGTAAGTATCTTCATCAGGAATCTCGGAATTCTTTCTATATATCTAACAATTATTATTGATGCAGCTATTTCCGTTATGGTGGATGCCATTACTAGATTGCTCTTTGAAAAACAGAGTCAGTACATCCCTTTTGAGAGATCAAATGGATTACTGTACCTGCACTATGTAATCTGTTCCCAATGTCTGATTTTCAGGCTTGAATCTGAAGACTTTTATTTGCAAAAAGACTGATCAGTCCATAGTGATGGCTTTATACTAGCTCTTTTCTGTTACTCACTTATCTCTGTACCGAAGGTGGCTGTTGAAAGGATCAAAGTAATGTATGCCAACTCTCTAAACATTTTTTCTTGCTTTTGCCACCGAACAATTGAGACGAGGAAAGAAAAGTTGGAATATCTACTGCAATTGGAAAATAGGTGTTTTTTTCTTCTTAAATACTGTTATACACAACTATGGGAGTGTCACGGTGTAACTGTGACACATCCACTACTTCAAGACTCATGATAGAGAGAATATAGTGTTCAAGACTTAAACGAGTAGTGTAAATATTTATATACCAGACTAGACAGAGTGCGATCTTTCAATACTCGGCATCTCCCACAGCTGCTATATATGAGAACTAAACAAAAGAACCTACAATGAACATTCATGTCAAAAACATGATATTAACCACGTACAAGAGTGGCACACTAAAAAGTCTAGCCTTCTGTTATTGTCATTGTTGCATTAATAAGCTTTTAGTGTAACTATTAACTGATGCTTGATTCCCATTGGAACAAAAGCATGACATATTTGATGTGGGCAGGAAATCGAAGTTACGAGGTTTCCGCCAACTCGGATGAGTTTGTGAAGACGCAATGAACATCTCAAATTAGCCTGGCAAAGACTTGCACGCGCACAAGTGTTAATTAAAATGAAGAATGCCTAACCGCCATGTAATTAATTCTTTTGATGTACTTTTAACAAATAGAAGCCTTGGTTCTGTTTGCAGCAAACTTGACCAAAGAGTTTCTAGCTGTCTGATGGGGGGACCATTGGATCATTTGAAATAGAGCAGTCGTCTTTGGGACCAGCTTTCGATGGCCGTTAATGACCTTGGCACAGATTTGGAGGCTCCTGGCCGGTATGTTTTCTTGTTTCTCGGTATAGAGTTGCTTCTTGACATATGCAGCGTCAACATCTCCTTCGATGGTCGGTGATTGACAGAGCATCAGCGATGCAGATACCAGAGCCTTGATCTCTTTGGCAGTAATGTTCTTTGGTTATTTTGACTGCTCCATCTCATCCTCAATATCTTCTTCCTCAACAGCCTCATCACCGCCACTATCATCATCGATGAGATGAGCTTCCAGAGCATGAGCTGGAACCTGGGTACGGGCTTGTTCCAAAGCATAGGCTTCTTACTCAACGCGGGCTTTAGTAGACATGTTTTGGCTACGCTGGAAGAGAGCTTGAGACGAGTGATTGATAACATCAGAGTTCTTGTTATCCAAAAGTGACCAGAACAGTGTGTCCATATAGTGCTTCAAATCGACCCTTAGTTGTTTGGATTTGTTACCAGCAGCCTCCTTTTGCGTTGCTTTTTTGGTCCAAAGAACCTGTCTTGAGCTAGATGCATGGGAAGCAACATATCGAGAATAACTTGAGGTCAGCACGGTACTTGCTTGGTGATCTCTTGCGGCAGCTGTTCCATGGTGATGTCCAAGACACTGTGCAAATACAGTAACAAGAATGAGTGTCACTTGGTGCCATTACTACTGCCACTGCTTGTACTTACATGTCAGAGTGCATGGCTGCATTTTTGTCACTATGCAATAAAATTCATCGTAGTTACAGTACCATGGTACATTCTCGTTCAAATCATCCAGAGAAACAATAAGCTCCACATCTTGGAAGATGCCGTGGCCGTCCAGACCCAACAGTTGGAAATCCAGGCTAGAGAAGGACGACTCGAATAAAAGACCATTTAGAATGTGTGCTTGTAAGATGCCCAAGCATTTAGAAAGACCAACTATGGCCTGATGCGTTGTCTCCTGGAGAGCCTTCAACCTTTTCAAGAACAATTCATGACCCAAATTATTGTTGATGACACTCTTTAAGCCACGAGATATGGCATGAAGACCTGATTCATTTGATCATCAGCGGTAATTGCCCGTAGGAGGAATGCGGTTAATGGCTTACCGTTTCCCTTGCCTTTTGAAGATGATGGACCAGGCAAACCTGTCAAAGGGTCAGCAGCAGATGATGGAGGCTTTGAGGGGGGGGCGATTGGCAACAGATGACGACTTTGATGAGCCAGCCACAGATGTTGATTTCGAGGGACCAGCAGATGATGATGCCATTGGCTTCAAAGACACTATTGTGGTTAGATATGAAGCTCCACCAGCTCAGTTAGAGACATCTTAATTCCTGCCACAACAAAAACTTGCCAACAAACTAAACAGATTGCATCCGACGTGCCCTCATTTACCCTGTTTATCAAGTCTTGCGGCATAAGTATACAATGGCATATCTGAAGAATACAGCTTATTATATTGCATAAACCCGTAGCATGTCCCATATGTGACGAATATTTGTAGTCTATTTCAAAATACATGTTATTAATGAATCCTTGGTATGCTGAAAAGTCATGATTTTAAGACTAACTAGCTGTAAGTTGCTTTGTTCTGTTCTATTAAGCCTCACAGTTTGATGTATACATACTTTCCTCGTTTGAAAAGTGCCCTCTATATAATGCCGTTCAGCTCGTTCTTTGGTCCATCTCAGTTTCCCGGTAATATAGCTTTCTTTGTTTGATACAGAGACTTAATCCCAGAATCTTCAATTAATTTTATACAAAAATAAAATGCAATCTATTGTTGTATTTGATTATTGCTTTATTTTTTTATGAAACCTTATAAACCTGATTTCACTGCTCCTTATCTTACTATTGAATATAAAGATATAAATTGTATCTAATTAGATACCCTTTTATTACAAACACAAAACTATAGTAATAACAGATCAATAGGAAATTAACTGGTTGTAGACCTTCGCTGCTTCGACCTCTTAGCCAATCAAATCGCTCAAAAACCCCGCTGACCTAAAAAAAATTTTGCGAGGGTTTCCCCCTGTTTTGATGTGAGGCAAAATTTTAAGCGCCGCTATAATAGCAATATAGCCGTTACTATCATCAAACTTCCCCCAGGTGCTAGAGCATGCCTTACTTACACCATCTAGCTTTAAATTCAGGCGTTGAGACCCTCAATCATCGCTAAAGTAAGTAGCGATAACCAAGTGGAGGCGGCCTATCTACCTCCTGGTGTCGGATAAAGTCTTGTTGAGCTTCAGGGATAGGCACATCCACACAACGTAAAAAAAGGTATGCTTCAAAAGAAACATAATAATAATAAAAGAAAAAAGAACATAATACTATAAGAGTATAGCAGTATGTAGGCAAAAAAAGGAAAAAATGCTCACATGAAGCAAGTCAAAGAAAAGCATAACAAATACAACATCAAAGATGTTTAAAAAAGCTCATTGCTGTTGCAAGAACAATGCATACATGAGCAACGTGCACGGTAGTAATAGTCGGATGTAAAGCAACATGACTCAAATACACATAACTGCTGCAAAAGCAACAGTGGTATTATAAGCTTGCGATACAACATAATGACTAATATTGTTTCATGTAAATCTACAGAGGAAACACCACCAACAAAAGAAAAAGAAGAAAAAAGCGCAACAACGCAAACATCATGAATGCATTATCACGGGAAAGGAAGCAATAATATAAGCGTTCAAAGAAGTTTTATACCATTGCGACCAGAAGAAAGAACATACTTACCACTTATCACAGCCACAGATAAACCAGAAGAGTATAGGCAATTACCGGAGACAGGCCAGAGAACGAGCATGCACCAAATACAGTAGGCCGGGAAAGACCATATGGGCAGCAGCAGCAACACCAGCGCCATAGAAAAACTAAAGAAGAACGAACGCCATCAGCAGAGAGCAGACAAAGGCCAAAGAAGTTACTTACTACTTATCATCACCACAGATAGACCAGAGAATATGCAATCACCAGAGGTAGACCAGAGAACGAGCATACATCACAGAGAGCAGACCAGAAAAGACCAGACTAGCATTAGCAGCAATACCAGCAGCAATACCATCAGCAAGACCATCAGCAAACACCGTCAGCAACACCGTCAGCAAACACCGTCAGCAACACCGTCAGCAAGACCATCAGCAATACCATAAAAACCCAAAGAACGAGCGACACCAGAGACCAGGCAAAGACTAAAGAAGCAGCCGCCATTGATAGAGACAACAGAAGTAGCTACCAGAAATAATAACCAAAGAATCAAACAACAGAGATGGCAGAGAAGTAATGGCAGAAGCACCTACGTCAAACAGGCAAAAAAAATTATCGAAACCTAATAAACAAATTCAATTAGTGCTGATTATACGTCTTCTAGTGTTCGTTATCAAATGGTACCTACTATATTCCACTTCAATAAAGCGTTATCAAGTACTTTTAAAAGTACAAAGCCGTGTCATCAGAAGTTAGAGTGTTGTTTTTCAATCGAAAGGGTTCCCAAATCGATATGGTTTGATACTAAACGCGTTTTGCAAAAAAGATAAAAAAACGAATGCATGGAAAATGAGAGGGTGCCATAACCGACGTCACGGCCAGTAGATCTGGTCTCAGCCTTCTGCCGTGGTGGCAGCCGCAACTGCTGCACTTTAATTTGAAATTGTGCAGTGGATAGTTTCATGTTCAAATTCGACTTGATTTCACATTCCTTAGACATTTTTGCTAAATTTAACTATGAAAAATGTCGTTGTAATACTTTACTTTCTAATGCATTTATATAAAGTCAATGAAGGCGCGTCGAATGATGCTGATTACATTTAGCTTTCAGGCCGAAAATAATGAGCAATCTGCAAAAATACGAAAGCAGGTTTTCTGTAAATATGTCAGCATTTAGCATATGAAAGTCTCATAAAAAGAGCTTTCAGTGCTGCATTCCATTTTGACGATCGGTTTGGTCTGATATGTATCATAGGAAAAGTCTTCATTTTTGGGGTGAAAATGCAATCGTTTCATTTTCAAGAATTTTCCCTTGCTAATACTCATGTAAAAACGACAATTTTCATGAATTTGCAATGACCCAAAAAAAAAACTGAGATAAAGCATCAGTAAGCAAGATGTATCAAAGGTGAGCCGTTTGTTGCTATTCCAGGCGCACAGAACGCTTTGTAGCATGAGTTATAATTTATTATAAATAAATTATTTATATAAAAGAGCATGAAATTAATTAGGTAAAGAATATCGGTTATTACATTGGAAATACGAGGGTTTATATACTATTCGAATTGAGGGATTTGATGTGAGGATAAGGTATTAGATGAGTTGATTTGGGTGATAGGATAATAGATTGGATCTATTATCTTCAACGTGCCATGATTCGGATCCTAACTGAATCCTGTTTCATGTCAAAGTTTATGATCTGATGTGATCTGTCCTTGAACTGATTGTTCCTACGTATTTGGAGATCCGGTTTAGAAATGATGCATCAAGTTATTCGTGCTTGAAAATAGCTATCTTTGAACAAGATTCGACCTGAAAAGAGGGCGTTATAGGTTGTGTCGTTAAGCGAATAATTGTTAAGTACAAAGAGTAAAAGGATTATTATTTGTAGCTTATAAAAAATGTTCGATATTATAAAAACAAGAAAAGACTTTTTTGAATAAGATCAGACATAAAAACTAAAGATTTATTGATAAAGACAAGAGTTATTCTATTTATACTAAGTTCTGAATGCCAAAATAGCAATTTATCTTGTACAACGCTTATCACATCTGGTGAACCTCAGTATTTAGATAGCTGAGATGCACTTCAATTATCATAGCTTGTCCATGTTGTTGCACAACACAGGCATATCTACCCATCAAGAATACCTTAATCTTTATAGACAGTTGTAGCCCTTCTGGCACAATAAAACTTATTTGGCATAAACATTGGCAACATTCATGATACCGACTACAAATCCTGTTGAGCAAGTGTCAACACCAACAAAGTATAGTAAAATCAAGTTTGAATGGCTTCGCAGAGCTGCTCTGCGGAATAAGTCAGCCCCAGCCAAATTGTCGAAAAACGATCATTCAAAGCCAAATTTTGCTACCTACAGTGGCGCATATAAATTTTCTTTTGTGCGCCAGCATTATTCAATGCACGGCCTGGATTTATTTTATAGCCTTGAGCATCATACAAACATTTCTGTACTGCTATAAAAAAAAAACGGTGTTTTGCTACTGTAAATTCTTATTTGAGGGTTGGAAATTCGATTTCTGAAAGGAAATGCCATCGTAGGTGGCCTAGCTATGTCTGATTCTGTAGCGCAAACGCAGTGGATCAAAATTTAACTAATAGAAAAGAAGCCAGGTTGAGTTGGCAGATGTGCAGCCTATAATAGCGTCAAAACACTGGTCTTTTTATCATGTTGGCTTGTTTTATACTTTCCGCGCTTAATTAATTGACAACCAATGTAGCGACTGAAGATCTCTTTCTATATTGAACAACCTTCCAAAGTGGGCATATAATCGTCCTAATATAAAGTCTTTAGAATCAACGTAGAGCATGAAAAGGCTGTTCCCCTTCTTGGTAAAGTGAGCAGTATAGCTTAAAACCTTCGCCAGACCACAGCGAAGCAAGATATCACTAAGAAGGCTGAGGATCTATGACACATAAGGGTGATAGAGTGAGGGTTGAGCAATTACATTTCAGAATAAGAATACTCTTCATGGTATGCAAATACAGTAACGACGTATGGCTCCTGCCTCTAAAGTTTAACAGTAGTAACCCTTTCATTTTCACCATGTAATTTCCCCCAACCTAAAGCAAATCAATTAATAATTCATAGGTTGCTTGCTTGGGACACTCCAAATTAGCTATAAATCCGCCAATGCAGAATTTTCTTGATTCCACATTACAAACATGTGTTCCTGTCGTCTTAATTTTTGTATCCACAAAGGGACCTGTACCGCACAACAGCGTGAGAGAAAATCTGCAATAACCTATCTTTCCACATGATAATAAACAGCCCGAAAAGTGTATTTATTCAACCCCTTTCCTCTGGAGGTTTTGCATTCCACGTTCGATAAACTTTACATAGATCATTTCAATATGGACACCTCGACAACAAGGACATTTTTCCCTTCCAAGGAGCGTATCAACACTCGTGAGCACTACCTGAAGATAAAGAAACACTTGGCAGCAAAAAGTGGCATTATCTATCATCGGGGCGGCACGACGCATACCAGAGACGATACAGATGTGGAATTGGATTTTCGCCAAGAAAGCAATTTCTCATATTTGTCCAGCGTGGAAGCAGCTGGATTTCATATTTTCATGGTGTTGGAAGAAGACACGATTTACTTGGTTCGACCTGACAGGCCCAAAGCAGAGCAACTCTGGAAAGGCATACCTGATCCTGATGCAGACTTGATGGAGAAATATAATGTGGATCACATTTTGCTAGACACACAACTCAAGGACTTTCTGAAGGATTTGGAGCCACAAGTAATTTTTGCATTGGATTTTACAGACATGGATTACGACAACTACATCCCAATCGAATATGAGAGCCGAGTAGATAGGAGTCGTCTCAAAAGCGCTATTCACGAAGCAAGGCTAACTAAATTTCCCTGGGAGATTACCTTACTACGCTACGCAGCACACATATCATCGCATGCTCATATGAGCCTCATGTCGTATTGCGGAGAAAAGTACAGACAAAAGCAGGAGATCAATGAAGCAGAACTGGAGGCAAAATTTCGATGGATCTGTGGCAAAAATGGACTTTCAAGGCAATGTTATATTCCAATCATAGCATCTGGCCCAAGAGCAGCCGTTTTACACTACACTGATAATGACAAGAGCATTCCCAATCATCAGCATGCACTTGTACTAGTGGATGCAGGAGGAGAATATCGCTGCTATGGAAGCGATGTAACAAGAACCTTCCCAGCGTCCACCAAATTTTCAGATGAGGCCAAAACCATATACAATATTGTACTGAAAGCTCAAAATGTAAATCGTATCACCATTGCATATATTGTCGCTCAATACTGACTGCGCTCTCAGGCTGTTTTATCGAGATTGAAACCGGGAGTATTCTGGAAGGACATGCATGACTTGGTAGTACGGATATTGTGCCATGAACTGGTAAAGATAGGCCTTTTGATTGGTGACGAGACAGAACTATTACAGTTGGGAGTCTATCGAGCTTTTTACTTCCATGGTAGGTGCATAGAGCTTCGTATCTTAAAGGATCTATGAATGAGTCATATGAATGTGTACATACAGCCAATGCTGACTGCAACATTGAACGTAGGAACGGGACATAGTGTGGGCTTGGATTGTCACGATGTTGGCGGGAAAGAAATTAGCATCCTGGACAACACCAGGAAAGGATCCTCGCTTCTTCTGTTACAGAAGCCATTGGATGAGAATATGGTGATCACTGTAGAGCCTGGTCTTTATTTCAACGATGTTAGCATTGATCTGTGGACAAAAGACTCTACCTATAAGCCATATTTTAACATGGATAAAATTAATCAATATCGGGTAGTCGGTGGCGTCCGTATTGAGGATACAGTGCTGATTACTCATGACGGTATCGAGAACTTTACTGTTGTGCCTAAAGAAGTTCATGACATTGAAGCATTAATGCAACAATAAAGTACACTACACCACTTCATTAAATCGGCGCTACCCACATGTCGCTCCATACCATGCGCACCCTTGCCCTTTAAATTTTTAGCAGTTCACTTCATTCTGTTTGTTTTGTCTCTAAAAATGTCCTCTCGTTTATTCAAATCACTCGTTTCCACCCAACTCCCTAAGGCAGCAGCAGCAATAGCTTCTCTATCAGTAAGACCAACTATCGCTCGAGTTGCTTGGCAGCCACCCGTCTTTACAACTACTGCTACACGTTTTTATGCAAAGAAAAGCAAGGACAACAAGAAGAAATCAAATGAATCCAAGACAGCAGCCTCAGCAGAGCAAGAAGAGGAGGAATTTGTCCGTCAATTCAACGAGAAACAAACTCAAGAGAAATATGAGAAATTGATCTCTCAATTGAAAGAGCATTTGAGTGTCATGCGAATGGGAAGAGCCAACCCATGTAAGTGTTTACAAGGTATAATGGTTTGGGCTTGTATTGAACATTGTGCCGTAGCTTTGTTGGATAATGTCCGTGTTCGCATCGAGCATTCCCACTTCTCTTTGAAGGATCTCGCTCAGGTAACGGTCAGAGATCCCCAAACGCTTTTGGTCACTGTTCATGACGCTGATGTAAGTGCTTTATCTCAAGTGTTGTGACATGTAGGTTGTTGACCAAATTGTGCCTAGTACATGTCAGCTGTAGACAAGAGTATTCGTGAAGCTGGATTGAACTTGAATCCTATTATAGATAACAAAATGATTAGAGTGCCCATCCCCAAGTAAGTCATATGCAAATCAAGATGATATGTACCCTGTGTTAAATGCGGTTGTAGGCCTACCAAAGAATCCCGTGATAAAATGGCCAAACTTGTCAGCACAACAGGTGAGCAAACCAAGCACAAGGTGAGATCCCTTCGTCAAGATGGCATGAAGCAGCTGAAGCATGATGCCAAGCATCAATCTGCAGACGAAATCAAAAAGCTGGAGAAGACTGTAAGTTCAGATATGACCTGAAATGGCATTACAATTGTACTCAGGCCCTCTCAATTAGGTGCAAAACTTGACTGACAAATACAACAAATCTATCGACGAGCTATTAAAGGCCAAGATCAAGGAGATTCAGTCCTAATAAAATCCGTTCATATTGATCCGAGAGATGGTGCTTACATACACTGTATATATTGGGGGATTGTGGGGGGGGGGCTTTCTTTTTTCGTATTACATAACCAAATAAATGAATATAAATAGCCTATTTAGTTTGATATCTCTTCCTCTTTCTTTTTTCTTTATTTCATTTTAATCAACTAATCCAAGAATGACTGTGTCAATGAAGCCTTCAACCTCTACCACCTTGAATGATGGTGCAAGACATCATCATCATACCCTCTCTACCTTGGTAAATTTTGCTTCCCCTGTATACAATGCAACGAAAATATTCCTAATGCCGTTTTTGTATAAAATAGGATTTTCAGGGTGCAAGCTCTGCCGCTGCTGCCAAAACCATGAAGGTAGATCTTGCCAATCTAGCAAGTTTGATCAAGGACGAAGAGGAACGCAAGGTGTGCTTATCGCATATATGCCAGATAAAAAAAAAAGCTTATCGTGTTTGGAAATTTAGACATTTAATCAAGAAATGGACGGGTTTTACATGCTCTTTACTCGCTACTTGAATGAGAAATCCAAAGGCACCAAAATGTAAGGTTGATTGAGAGCTGCTTTTACTATGGTTTTGCTAATTTGCCATGATATATAGTGATTGGGAAAAAATTCAATCGCCATCTGCAGAGCAAATCGTGCCTTACGCTGATTTACCTGTGGAATCATCCGCCTCAGATCTTACTAAACTGGCTGTTCTTAAATTGAATGGTGGTCTAGGAACCACAATGGGCTGTGTTGGCCCGAAATCTGCCATTGAAGTGCGTGACAATATGACATTTTTGGATCTTAGCGTTCGTCAAATTGAGGTGAGTAACTGCATTAAAAAGCGAGAATCCTCGTCTAATGCAATGATGGCAGTATTTGAACAAAAAGCACGATGTGAGCGTTCCATTTATCTTGATGAACTCTTTCAATACCGATGATGATACCAAAAGAATTGTCCAAAAATATGCCTCGCACAATGTGGATATCATAACTTTCAATCAAAGCCGCCATCCTCGAATCAAAAAGGAATCTCTTTTGCCCGTTCCCAGAACGCCTAATTCTCCTATCGAGCAGTGGTACGTGTGAAATATGGGTCTTTTTGAAATATGTAACTCAATTGCATATTTGTTTGTGTGTTCCCAGGTATCCTCCTGGACATGGTGATATCTACGAATCACTGTATAACTCTGGGTTGCTGGATCAGTTATTGGAGCAGGGTAAAGAGTACCTCTTTGTGTCTAATGTGGATAATTTGGGGGCTACTGTCGATATCAACATTCTTCATCACATGGTGGAGACTGATGCTGAATTCATAATGGAAGTAACCGACAAAACCAAGGCTGACATCAAAGGCGGTACTCTGATTGATTACGATGGTCAGATCCGTCTTTTGGAGATTGCTCAGGTGCCTGACGAGCATTTGGAAGACTTTAAATCCATCAAGAAATTCAAGATTTTCAACACCAACAACTTGTGGATCAACTTACGGGCAGTCAAGCGTGTCATGGATGAGGCTGCCATGGACTTGGAGATTATTGTCAACAACAAGACAACTGACAGCGGCGAGAAGGTGATTCAGTTGGAAACTGCTGTTGGCGCTGCTATCAAGCATTTTAAAAATGCGCATGGCATCAACGTTCCTAGAACTCGCTTCCTGCCTGTCAAATCGACCTCTGATTTATTCTTAGTCACGTCCAATTTATATTCCCTTGTGCATGGTGAACTGGTTGTCAATCCTCAACGTATGTTCAACAATGTCCCACTTATCAAATTGGGCGAGGACTTCAAGAAGGTTCAAAACTTCCTCACAAGATTCAAATCCATTCCTCATATCTTGGAATTGGATCATCTGACGGTTACTGGAGATGTCACATTTGGAAGCAATGTAGAGCTGCGCGGTACCGTTATCATTGTTGCCAATCATGGTGAACGCATTGATATCCCATCAGGTTCAATCTTGGAGAACAAGGTTGTTTCTGGCAATTTGCGTATTCTTGATCATTAAATACACTGCATTGTATATCTCTTTTTTCCGTCCTTACACTTAATATTTATAATAAACAGATACAAGAGTCGCATTACTGCAAGCAAACACTAAAGACAAATGCTTTTTGTATACAGAATTTCGCAGTAGTAGTTTGGGAACTATCCACAGAAACGCTATCAAAATGTATGGCAACTACTAAATTCTTGCTTCAGGGGTAAAATATGACGTCTCGATCAACTTGACGCTTCAAAGTGGGCGTACGTTTCTATGAGTTTGCGTTTATAAGCTCACAAGACGTAATTATTCCTTAAGAAGTCTTGCTTCCTACACACTTTTTAAGATTTGGTAAGCAAAAATTCAAATGTTGCTACTAACACGATCAGGTTGCATTAGAATGCACTCTTTAACGTTCCATATAACTAATTTACTAGCATGTTTAATAAATTGGAGAAAGTGCTCGCTTAATTAAAACTTTAAGTTGGTCTTTTCCAAGGATTCTGTACCTGTAGAATGATCTGATAAATATTTCGGTACGACATGTGCAAACCTATCAGTTAATTCAAGGACAAGACCGCTTGCGCTTTATTCATTTCTTTTTGCTGATGCAATCTTCACATTGAGTACATCTCCAGCAGTTTTCCAGTAGTATCTAATACTCCCATTTTTCTGACAAGGCGCTTGCTTCATCTTCAAACCAAAATACAGCACATGAGTGATTCCTTCTGAGGTGTCACAACTCGTTCTTTTGTGGCACCTTTAAGCTTGTTGGAGTAGCAGAATTACCTCCAGCACAGGCTGAAAATTTTTCCTCTTTATCTATTTCTCCTTAATTTTGAGAATTCAATGGCTATTCAGTCTATTACTACAGCTGAAAAGGAATCCGTAGCCAAATTAAAGGCAAAGTTGGGCGATATCAAACAAGCAGCACAAGTTTCTGAGGGCTACAAGCTCTGGGATATTGCTCTTGACCAAGATTCAACGGATCCTAAACTTGATGTCCTTTTAGTCAAATTTATCAGAGCCAGGTAATGAAAGAATGGTCGTTCAACTGATTATTGTAATCTCACTAGAAGCAGAGAATCTGATTTGGCTAAAGCTACTCAAATGTTGACTGATACTTTGATTTGGAGAAAGGATTTCGGGGCAGATAACCTTTTGGACGAGGCCATTGATGATAGTGTTCTAGGATCAGTCAGTTACATTTACAAGACAGACAAAGAGGGTCGCCCTGTCTGCTATAATTTCTACGGCGATATTGACCAAGAAAAGGTATTTGGTGACAAGGATAAATTCATTCGTTGGAGAGTTCAAGTCATGGAAAGGGGCGTTCAGTTGATTGATTTTGAGAACACGGATTCCATGGTTGTTATTCATGATTACAAAAACGCATCTCTCTTTGGCCGTTCGAGCAATGCCAAAGCAGCTACAAAGGAAATCATCAAGATTATGCAAGATAATTATCCAGAATTTTTGGTAGGATGCCAATTCAAATGACCATTCTCTCTCTATTACATTTGCTCACATGCAGTATACAAATAGGCTACCAAACTCTTTGTCAATGTACCCTATTGGGGAGCAATGATTTTCAAGTTGGTTCGTCCATTACTGTCTGAAGCAACTACCAAGAAATTCGTGGTTTGCTCAAAGTAAATCGAAACACAGAAAGTTCTTTTAAATAGACATTTGAAATCTAACCCATCGATTTATATTTAGTGACGAACTCTATCAGTCATTGACCAATATCATTGATGAAGCCAATTTACCAAAGGCCTATCAAAAGGCCGATGGCACCAAGGAAAAGGAAGTTACAATTGCTTCCAAGCAAGAACAAGAGAAGATAGAAAAGGCTTCATCTGCTGATATTACAACATCTGAAGCAGCAGCAACAGCAATAGCAGCAGCAGCCCCTGTTACTGACGTACCTGCCGGTCCTGAATTAAAACTTACCGAAGAACCAATTACAAAAGTTGAGCCTACCACGGCTGATAATATCATTTCTGAAGATACTGAAGCTACCAATGTCGCAGATACTGCTGCTACCAACACAGCCGCCACAGCAACAAATACTACTTCTTAAAAATGTTCGACTTTTAAAACACACTGTCAGCTATACTCTATTACATTATTATTAATTTCTAAATGAAAGAATATCATTTGTTTGTATGATTTTCTTTTGACCTCCTTAAATATGGATTTTTGATTATGTAAATGGAAGATTTGAAGTGTCTTGTGTGGTTTCATAAAAACCCTTCTTTTCTGTCCTCCGGCTCAGCACCAGCAGGACAAACATTTTCATCGATAAGTCTTGTTGGTTTGATTGGTTTATTCAGTCTAGCATTTTTGCCATTTATATCATATATAATTCCCTTTTTCTCTAGTATAAATATACCTCTTTACACTACACTTTACTTTTTCTTTAACTATATGCTTTTAATTTCTCTTCAATACAACAACGAATGTCATTTATTAACACAACTCAAGTCATTTCAAATAATTCAGAAGCGTTATTAGGTATTTTTTCACTCAACATGTGGCTGCTCAATTGTAAACTCAATCATCCTTTTTTTTTTTTTTTTTTTGCAGCCTTTACTACGTTAACAGCACAAAACCTCTTGAATTGCTCAATCAGTAAAAATTGCAGATCGCTACCACCATTGACCGAATTCATTCATGATCTTTACTCCAAGACAACTACCAAACGATCGTCCTACCGAGGGGGCCTACCTTGTGCAGTCAAGCTATTCACTCTGATTTATCTCTTGAGATTGAAATCAAAATTACCTGATAATGCAAAGGGAGGACCTGATACACCATATCGATTGTTTCTAGCGGCAGTTTTAACAAGCTCTAAATATCTGTCTGAAACTGGCACAGGATTAACCAGCACGCACCTATCAGCATTGACAAACTCTGTATATACACCTAAAGATATCAATCGAATGGAAAGAAGCTTTCTGGGGCTGATTCGCTATGATTTGTGGGTATCGACACAAGATATTCAATCATTCATCAAACTGTATGGCGATCTGATTCAAATGGACATTTGCAATGTGAATCTACCTCAACAGCCAATGATCCAGCAACGTTGCAATGAAAATACTATTGATACCACACATAACTCCATTCACACAACAACAACGACTACGGCATCTGATAAGACAACGAATACCAATGCCACTAGTACCAAATCAAAGGCAATCTTGCATCCTGCTTAGGTATCTTATACCATTTACCCACTATATATATATATATAATTACATAATGACAATGTACATACTATCGCACAATAAACGTTTTGTTTCTCTTTTCTTCTTATTCTAAATGCTCGCCTTGTTATTTTAAGGAAATCCGAAATGTTCCAATGGAGTAAATGTCCTTAGTTCACAACGTTTTTAATGTACCCATTTACGAGACGATAAGCTAATTCAAGGCAACATAACAAACATGAGCATCTCAAGTATCACATGTCATTTCTTGTAGACAATACACACCTATCATTGCTCAGGAATACACGCACCATTCCAAATCAATCTTTATTTCGACGGGTCATGGCAGATGTTTCGAGTGCCTATTTCCTTGTAAAGTAAACTTTTATCGTAAAATATTCGGAATCATACGCAGGAACCCTTAAAAGTTTTAATTCTGTGGCCATCAGTGAATCCGAAGTTTAACGTGATATCCCAAATACGGAGCATAATAAAGCCATCAAAACTTGAGTCTAATCAAAAAAAAAAAAAAATATTATCCCCTGGGCGGAACTATAGAATGTCAAATTCTCTGGATTTGATTTTAACGGTGCCTTTAACGAAATCGTCAATACAATGTATAATCGCATTAGTTTTTTCTTATACACCCCGTGTTGTAAGTTTGTTTTATTGTATAAATGAAGTATGCCGCACATTTTGTTCATCTGTATCAGTCAAACTTTTCCAGTTGGGACTCATAAACGTTTTCCCAGGTGAATCGAGATAACTTTTAATCAATAGAGAGAGAGTTAACCAGCTCTAGAAGTCCCGCTCAAAACATCATGACATGTAGTTTCAGGTAGGACAAGCTACAGTTGTCTTTATTTGGCAGTAACCTTCTTGTTTTCTTCAAAAGCATCAATAATTTACATCAGATGCATTGAATTGGTGTTGCCAGCAGCCAGAAAATATTCAATCTCCGAATTATTCTTTCTTGCATGCCTTGAAGCTTGCGAGCATGATGTCTGACATCTGCCACCCACCATCATCTCTAATATATTTACCAGAAAACTATATAAAAAACGTCGGAGTGACCAATCAGAGATCAGAGACGTAAAAAATTAAAGCACTGAGTACCGTACAAGGCTCGAAAAAACCACCAGCGAAGCTAGCATTGGGGAGGGGGGAAACTTGGTCCCTCTACCAAGAACATAACGCATTTAATTCAACATTTGGTAATGTTGGCCTATAAGGGGGCTTTACCTTAGCGAAGTGAAGGTGCAAAACCATAGCATTCAAGCAGCCAATTCAGCCTTTTATTTCTATTATTATTAAGCCTACCAATAATATAACGCATCAAAATTTGCATGAAATAGTCTTACCAAAATCAATATTCCTTCGACTCGAACTAGCACTTGCACAGGCTGCAGACCTGTTCTTCCTCCAGAAAAGTATGGCTACTAGAGATGTAATTCATACTATGTAAATAAAAGCTATAAAGAAAAAACATAACCAAATTTGACAGCTTTCAAGCCTTCATACCTTGACATGCAGACCTTTCTGAGGCATCAGAATGACGCCAAACAATTGTACTTGAGTAGCAGCAACTTCCTGACACCTTTGCTCAACTTTTTGGGCCAAAAAAAAATATGGTCAAAAATCGACCAAAAGCATGAGGTATCCCTCATGGTTTTCATTGAAAATCAAACGATCGCATTTTTCACCTTGAAAATGAAGACTTTTACTATGGTATATATTGAATCAAAATGTTTCTCTTGATCCAAAGCAACCCCTGAAACCACTTTTATGAGGTTTTCATATGCAAAATATGGCTATCTTCGCAAAAAACCTCATTTCATATTTTATTAAATTGCTCAATAATTTCAGTCAAAACACCTATTACAAGTAGAACCATTGGAAGCGCCTTGAAAAGTACTTCAAGGATATATTACGAAGCGTAGCGTGATCATCACAATTTATATAGTCGAATATCATAGAATAAATTAAAGAAGTCGAAAAAAGACAAAATCTGTCCAATCTTGAATAGAAAAGACAAACTGAGTTTGAATTGATTTAGCGGGCGGCACTGCTGCTGGCTGGCCCCAATGCCTTTCTGTTGATGACAATGATGATTGTGATGCTGATTAAATGGAAATCACGGAATTGAAAGGTCAGTCGCTCAGCTTGAATACCTTTTTTTTTTTGCATTTGTTGAAAATTTTCCCTATAATAGCGGTGTTTTTACAATGATAACTTCTCAAAAAAGTTGCTGTAGATCTTATACAGTACAAATCCTGTATGCGTAGCGAGATTGATGGGCTAGTCTATTATACTGAATATCAAACGTACACACAGCTTAGTTTACAGAGCTCTTGCGCAATTAAATACTTGCTTCACAGGCAGATACTTGGTGTCAGTCGTGAAGCAGTTGTAAAGCAAGTGTACGCTCTTCCAATATTTCAATGTAATGTTAACGAATGTATTTGTACATATTGAATTGCACAATGCTTTGTTTACTTTTTATACAACTTTTTATTGATCATGCTTGTGTGTCTTGTCTTCAGGACATGGTAGGTAACATTTGAATAATGTAAAGATAACTGCTGTCTAATATGTGGCAGTATATCTCTTCATCTGTCAAACAGTTATTGACAACATTAAGGCACCGCAAACTTGTTCTAGATCTGATATATTGATGCCTGACCTGTAAAACCGCTTGAAGTACTCCTTCATGAAAGTTAACGCTGATGCCAAGCGTCCTGTCAAGACTGTTTTTACTTCTGGTATTACATCTGATCTAGCTGCTGTATCTGCTTCTGGCTCAGGTTCTTTTACTACAGCTGTATCTACTCCTAATGGTCCCTCTAGCGCTTCTGATGCTGTTGCTGCCTCCAATGCTAGTTTTGATATTGATAGTGCTGATACGCCCATTGACAAACTTCCCCTCTTTCTGAACTGATAGATAAGGAAGACGAACAAGAAGAAGAGGATGGCGTACGTGATCTGCTCAGAAGACGAATTATGATTCTCAAAGCTATCCTGAGAAATCTCTTGGTGAGGCAAGCTGGCAAGTCTATCACCTATACACAGCTCAAGAAGGAACGTCCCGATATCACGGAAGAAGAGAATCGCGTGTGCATGCTTCTGTGAAACTTATTGCTGCCTTGTATACCCACTAGAGATCATTATAGCTACATTGGCTTCCAGTTGCCATTGTTAGTGTTGGCCAATGATATCTTTTGCTCTGTTGGCTACCACAAGTTTGCCGTGGATCTGTGTCCAATTTCTTCCTGTGGCTCATTACATGCAATGCGTGTGGACGCGGCCTCTCTGTATGCCTTATGTACCAGAGGTGATGATCAAATGGATATCTTCGACTTTCAAGGATTTGTCATAGAAAACGTTGGAATAGCAAGACAATAAAAGGATGTCGCGTTTAATTCTTTTTTCGACATTCGTGCCATCACGCAAGCCTGCAAATCCTTTGGTCTGACATTTGCTCACAACCTCACCATTCTGCCTGGTCTTACCTCTGTCCGTATTTTGGGTACCAAACCAAGTTCTAGAAAGTCAGTTTCCAATGCGAAGAAATCTCTAGATATTGATTGGGATACCGTGAGAGAGCTTCAAACCAGAACTAATCAAGCATTGAAGAAGGACATTGACCAACTGGAAACCGATATCAAGACTGTGTCTGATGAGCTGAAGGCTGCAAACAAGGACCACAAGAAGGAGCAGTATTCTGCAAGGATCAAGGACTTGAAGAAGCAGTGGCACACTGATTATAGCAAACACCAAGAAATCAAAGAGCTGAAGGCTCAAAGATACCAGTTGTTCATCGCCATCAAACAGACCAAGCAACAACTGTCCAACATGAGAACTCGTGCCTTTTTGACAAGGAAAGCCATTGAATATAGAAACAAAGACATCCCTCTTGTATCAAATTACGAGCCTCCTCCTTCTGACCAACATCTCGATTCAATGGTGTTTTCGGGTACTGATAACGGGCTGGCTGTAATGACAGAAACTATTGGCATGAATCTGAACAAATACAAATATCACTTGTCACTGCATAATAGATTCTCTCCTCTCATCCATCTCAATGCTGATGAAGGCAATTTGTCTGATAGTACTGGTACTGCTGCTGGTAACGATGGCAATGGCGTTGATCAAGTTATTACGAACGATGCTATTGACAAGGATGAAATTCGTGATGGCAGTGTTAAATGCGATGGAGATCTCAATGGTGACGATGATGACGCCGGTGCTACTGCTAATGATCGTGGTCAGACAACAACATTTGAACCTCTGCCAGAGTCATACAAGATGCGTGCTGAAGATGTCGACTTTGGTTCTGGCCAATTTGTGAGGCGAAAGATCACTTTGAAAGACAAGAAAGCAACAGAAGAAGGAAAGAAGGTTCAAGAGATTGAGCAGCAATTGCCGAGATCCAGTGTGTTCAGAGCCAAAGAGGTAGAGGATGTCGTGTCAAATCTTGATGCACACAGAAGCAATGGCCCAGCATTGCGAGCGTTCTACCACTCAGAGAAGCAAAAATACTCTCTCTAACAAGGTTGAACACATTGACATGCGTTTCCGTTCTTGTTTCGCTTCACGTGAAAGATCCTTTTGTGCTGGTGTTCGTCCCCAAACGGTTTCTAGCTCGAGAAATTGCTACTCGAATACATTCGAATTTCGCACATTTTTGAATACCAGGGCCATGCAAGCGTGCTACTGATCGTATTTGAACTGCTTCTATTCAAACAAAAGTGTGGGAGGGCAGATCTGCAGTTATGGATCGCTTTGGGAAAGTTTTCATGTGCTCATGGAAAAAAAAAAGGAAATGAGATTTCAGTATATTCAACTTTATTAGAAGGCTTTATGATAGGTCCCTGAATCTTTAACGTTAAGAAACACCCAAAAGTCAACATCAAGTCGGAAGTGCCTGTCAAAAAGGCGCTCCCCTAATCCGGATTGACTATTTTTAGGCATCATTAGTGGAAGAAAAGCCTAAAAAGAAAGATAACCAAGATGGCATCACAAGAAGCATCTAAATGACGCTCAAGAATGGAAGATTTATGATTTACACAACTAGGAAAACCAGCCTAGTTCAATTTTTTTTTTATTTATAACAGACAATAATACACCATACTTAAGCCCAATCCCATTTGATAGGAATACGGCCCAGATTCATATCAGCAATAGCAGCGAAAGCTTTAGGACTGAGATCCACATCACCAGATGAACAGGGAGGACAAGTGTCCACAATTTTGACAGTGATAGATTTACCGTTGGCAGGGTTAGTGACTCTAATGCTCTTTCCACATTGAGGGTTGTGGTTAGGATTAGCGCCATTCTGCATCTGAGGAGCATTCAGGGCAGCTACCATTTCGGAATTGGAGTTTGTTTTGCCACAGGAGCCGAGTCCAACATCGTAGTAAGTTCCGTCACCAGAATACTTGCCGCCACCAGAAGAAGAAGATGTTTGAGCGGCTTTCTTGGTAGTAAGAGTGGTAGTTGTCGATTTCTTGGCAGTGGTAGTACGAGTAGGAGAGGCAGTCTTGGTAGTTTTCTTGGTGGTAGTAGTGGAGGTGCTCGTCTTGCCGCTCTTTGTGGTGGTAGTGGTAGACCATTTGGTGGATGATCTTAATTTCATGGACGATTGAACAGCTCTTTTTGAAGACAAGGAGGATCTATGGCGACGGCCTTGATTTCTATGCTTGTGTTTATGACGACGACGCATTTCATGATTGGACAAGGCAGATGTCAAAGCCAACAAGGCCATAAAGAGAACAATAAAAAACAAAAGCTTCATCTCGGTAGTGAAAGGAAAGAGTGATTTTTATCAAAAAAAAAAAAAATATACTTTTTAATGGATTTAGAATGAGTGAGTTGAAAACATCAAATTGTCAAGGCCTATTTATATGAATGATGGTCCCTTCCCATCTTTGCTCGAGGTACCTTGACTTTTCACATTGTTGTTTAATATAAACAATTATCGTGAAAATGGAAGTGAAGGAAGATGATTAACATGGATATTCTAAATTAAGCAAGTAATCATTGAAAAAAATAAACATTAAGAAGCACAGATCGAGAGGCCTGCCTAGATTCATTCTTTTTTTTCTACTGAATTGTTGTCAATCAGTATGAATACATGCGAGATCATAATATATACAGGTACAGGACAACAGAGAAAAATGGAAGATTACACAAATTAAAAATTTACTTTTATTTAATTATAGCCAAGGAGGACAACGGGCAACCATGCACAAGTGTATCAGCCACAGAATACAGTAACTGACAGGCGTGCGCGTGGGTTTAAGCAACGCTGTATCAGGGCTCTTGATATTCGCCTAGACAATGTTGAGGAAACACACCTCTGGAACCACCTCGTGTCAGGTTGATACCAAGACACCATCCATCGTCATATTCTGTGTACACTTGAACTTGATCTCCAGGCTGGATGTATAGCTCATCATCCAATGTTTGTGTATATGACGAGATGATGGTAAATGTGCCTATAGGAGGTGAGTTCTGCCAGAAATCGTCATCAATGACAGGCGTAGAAGGGCTTTCCACTGAAAGCTCTGTAGTCAGGATGGTTGTGGGCGCTGCGAACGGTGTGATGCCGTTTGTGACCCTCTGTGAATGAAGCGATCGAAGTGTGCTATTCTGGCTCATTGCAGAATTTCTGTACGAGTGCCTGAAATGTTGTTGTGGAGTAGCGGGAGCAGCTGCTGTGTCTATTGGAAGTGGTGATTTTTCTTGGTTTTGATATGAGATACGATGATTTCTGGACCTCCTCTTGCGTAGAATGAGCAGACAAGCCAATCCTAGCAGCATTAGACCGCCTATCACGGAGCCCACAATGATGCCGGCTAATGCACCGTGCGACAAGCCATGCTTGCTGTGTGTATCTGTGATAGTAGTACCAGTAGCAAGTGTAGGCGTGGGCCGTAATGAAGTAGTGGTAGATTTCGGCAAGGGCGAAGAGATAAACGGAGCAGAAGATGACGGATGTACTACATCAACGGAGGGCATGCCGGTGATACTGCCAACAGATGGAACAGAAATGGTGGTTTCGAATGGCACAGCGGTTGATGTGGTTACTGCATTGGATTTAGTTGAAAATGCACTGATGCTCTGGATTGGATTATTCGCAAAAGAGCTGCTCATGCTTTTGAAATTTTAATATTTAGAAGAGCAACATGTACAAGAGGAGAGAAACACGGAGCAAACATCATGCTCTTTCTTTATGATCGTGTCTATGAATAAAAATCCAATATATTAAAAAGTTTCACTGTCAATATCGTGCTTTTTTTTTTTTTTTTTTTTTTTCGAGACATCAGATGGAGGCCCATACTATAATGTCCCCCCCTCCTTGACTTGCCCCCTCTCTTGCTTCCCTTCCATTTTCGGCCAAAATCAGCAGCAACAACACCAACAAAGAACCTCTCCCGCTGATACAACACCCCCTACTACCACACCAAAGACAAGGAAAGTGGCCTTAAAATTTATTTTTAGCCCAATCATTCTGGCCACCATTGGGCCCAGAGGGAAAACAATTTTTTCCATCCCTTTTAAAATTTTGGGCGGAAACGCTTCCCTTTTGTTTCGCTCTTTTTTCCCATAAACAAACAAATACAGCAAGTTGGAAAATGGCTTTACAAAATTCTGATAGAAATCGCGTAAGTACAGGTCTATAATTTGTGGGATTTCATTGTCTGTGTGCGTCATTTGCTGACACTACAAATCACAGATTGATCAAGTCATTCAAAATCTCACAAAGAATTTAAAAGATTTCTCTGAAATTTTATTGAATTCTAGCGAGTTTGCTGGCTCTGAGGCTTCCTCCTCAAATGCTGCTAGCAACGGCTCCGCCGCTTCCGCCTCTTCTGAGAAGCCAAAAAAGAAGAAGGTCGAAAAGGATCCCAATGCCCCCAAGAGAAACTTGAGTAGCTACATGCTCTACTCCCAATCTGTCCGTCCTGACGTCGTCAAGCAGAACCCTTCTGTTCGCCCTGTTGATATTGCAAAGATCATTGGTGAGAAGTGGAACGCTTTGAGTGATAAGGAAAAGCAACCCTTTGTCAAGGCTGCCGAGAAGGAAAAGGCAAGATACGATAAAGAGACAAAGACCTACAAGGCTACCTTGGGGGAGCCTGCTGAATCTACACCAGCCAAGCGTAAGGCTGAACAACCTATTGCTGAGCCCGTTCCCGAGAAGACCGAGAAGAGGGAGAAGAAAAAGTCAAAGAAATCATCCCATGAGTCTAGCGACGGCAAGAAGAAATCCCACAAGAAGAAATAAGTACGTGCAGGTTGACAAAGGAGGGGAAGCTCATGATGGCAATCGTGTAGCAACACCCAAAAAACAAGTAGCGAACATACCAACAAACGTACTCTCTTGCCCTACCCCCCCTTTTTTTTTATTACCATGTTGTACCCTTTTTAAAATTTATCTTATTGAATATATATTGCAGATCAAATTTGATTTCGTTAAAGCCATGCAGTGATTGACTCTTTCAGGGTTTAAATAAGTTTGATGACGGGAAGGGTTGCTCAGAGACGATGTCCCTCACTGACATTTCACTGGGCTGGGCCAACCACGCTAGCAGAGCCACATTTGAGTGAAAGAGGCCAACGTACTACCTGATCATGAGCGCTCGACCGTGTAGGGCTGGCCTGAATTTTTTCAATCCGATTGCTGAGACCGCATTATTACAGCGAAATAAGTGGCCTATACCAACTTTTTGTAATGCCAAAACGCACTGCAATTTTAACGTTGTGTCATGTATTGATGGGTTGATTAGAGAAGAGGTGCTACAATACCAAGGTTGATTGGCTCTCATCTTGTTTGTTGGTTAATACCTTAATAGCAACGGCATGTTTTGTACCGAGTTCAATACCTTTATTTCATATCATGTTGCCGAGATTCTGCAACATGCTCTCTTTCTCTTTTGATTTATAACCATGAGATCAACATCTGCTCCACCAAACTACAACCACAATGATACTATGGCAATACAAAGTGTGGATATCATTGAGCTAGCTCCCGCTGAACAGGGCATGAAATTGTCAGTGGAAAATGAAATCAACAGTAACCATATAGACATGGAGTCAGCACAAGCAACACTAAAAGAAGCAGAACAAGAAGGACAGGAGGAAGACTCGAAAAGAAATGTATCCAATACAAATACATTGTCTAGTATCATGTAAAAAAAATGTCTTTTTTTTTTTTTTTTTTTTTTTTTTTTTTTTTTTGATCCGATGTGTATTTTGTATTGACATGTTTAGCCATGCAGTTGCGTTGTGGCAGGCACAGGCATACTCGCCATTGCACATGCTCTCAGCCAGTCTGGCTGGATAGGTTTGGTTTACCTCATAGCGAGTGCCTGTATGTCACACTTTACGGGCATCATATTGATCAAATGCCTCTATGCAGAAAAGTAGAGTGATTTCCATGGTTGCCTGTTCCTGAAACTGACTAAATAAGGTTGCTTAGATGTCAAGGCGGTGGTAGATTGAAAGATTATGCAGACATTGGGTTTGCTGCTTTTGGCAAATCTGGACAAGTCATTGGATGGGTGTTTTCCCAGGCCTTCTTGTTCTTGACACCTACCATTTATATGATATTAGCAAGTGAGAATATCTCTGATATACTAGCACAGAATGGATTTATATGGTTAGGAAGAACAGCGTGTATTTGGCTTATTGCTATTATCATTGGTGTACCGTTTATATTGGTAAGGAACATGAAGGATGTTTCATTTCTAAGGTAAATAAAGGCATTTGCATAAACAACGTAGAATTCATGCTCACACACACACACATATAATACAATAGTACCTTTGCTTCACTGTGCACCGTATGTCTATTACTGGTCGTATGCGTGGTCTCCATGTCCTCTGACTATACGGAAAAGATCCACACTGTGCACCACGACATGGCTATACCCAAAAACATTCCAATTGCATTTAGTACATTTAGTTTTTCCTATTGCGGGCATGTCATATATCCTCATCTAGAAGCATCGATGATCACGCCCAAGCGATGGTCCAAGGTGCTGCTGGTATCGACCTGTGTGATTAGCATCATGTACTTTACAATGGGCCTTGTATGCTACCTCGTCTTTGGAGATCATGTTCAATCACCCATCTACAAGAGCCTGCCTGTAGGATCATCACAGAACATTGCCATGTTTGTCATTACAGTCCATGTTATTCTCGTCATTCCGTTCTATCTGTATGTGTTTACAACGAGGATCGAGTCATGGCTCAAAATAGAAAAGCAGCAGGAGAATGCGACTAGCAAAATCATGCGAACTTCGCTACGTATTGGCCAGGTTGTTGTTTGTGGGATTCTCGCCATGTTTATACCGTATTTCTCTGACTTCATGGCATTGGTTGGAACTATCTTATCAGATACCTTATCTTTCGTGTTACCTTCCATATTCTGGTTAAAATTGAACTGGTATCGTAGCCACAAGACAGACTATGAAGCCATTGTTTGTTTCATAGTCGCTATGGTAGGTGTCTTTTGTGCCACTTTCGGAACCATTGATGCAGCTAAACAGCTCTACCACGATTATGTAAGGTAGAAACAATTGTGTGAGAATATCATAATATGTGTTAATATGGCAAGAATAAAAGATAAGATAAAGCTATAAAAATGGGCGCTTTTGGGATGAATTGGATTGCTTGCATTAATCTTCTTTCTTTTACTTTTTCCATTACAAAATGACTTTTCCCACTGCCATCAACTTACAAAAGACTGTTCAACAAGACGCTGCTCTTATTCAAAAGGTACTCCAACAGATCAGACCTGAGTTGATCAAGGCTGCATCTGCCACTACTCCAAAGGCTGCTGTCTCGGCTTCCTCATCCCGATGGGGCAGCATTGAAAACAAGAACATTGCCATGAATCAAAATCCTGCTGTTGTATTTGACTCCTTGTTGCAGAAATCTGCCTCTATCACTTGCAAAGAACGCAATCGCTTTGACGATGCCATCATGTAAATATTAAAAAATTAATAAATAAATCAAACATTGCCATGGTGATATATGACATGAATCCCATTGATGTGGGATTTTTTTGAGTGTCCTCCTTTTGAACCTTATGATTGGTACCACATTTGATCCTATTGTGTAGGCCACTTCACCCCCCCCCTTTTCTATTCACCTGACAGCCCGGCTGATATGCAATAGGGTATTCAACATTTCCGACCAATGCCGCTCATCACTATTGCCCAGTATAAAGCATAAATGAATAGGAGAAAGTAGCTCTGTTTCCTTTTTTTTTTTTTTTTTTTTTTTTTTTTTTTTTTTGTTACATCAACAGCAAAATATGATAACGTCTGCTATATACTTTTGTGTTAAATTAGGTCTTTTGCAGTTATATCCTGCATATATCTGCTACAAGGCCATTAAAGTCAACAATCAACAAGAATTCGGGTCTCTATTGACCTTTTGGATTGTCTCCATCACCTATCTGTCCATCGAGTACTTTTCGGATATATTCTTGTTCTGGTAGCTTACAAGCATCAAGGGCTTGATATGACAGTGGACTAAAATGCGCATGAATAGGATTCCATTTTACACAGAATGCAAGCTAGTGATTGTGTTATGGCTCATCTTACCTCAGACTCAGGTAGTTTGCATGCGCAGTGCCAGTTATCTGGTAGTCTAACATTTCTCAACAGGGAACCTCTGTGTTTTACACAAGATATCTTGACCCTTTCTTGCATGCGCATGAAGAGCACATTGACAATGCACTGCTGGAAATCCAAGCCAAGCTGAAAGAGACGATTGTGCTGTATGGAAAACAGCTGATTGAGAGCGTAAAGAGGCTCATCACGGATGCCGTCTTCAAAAGCCATGAAGGCGAGCAAGAAACAACGCACAGCTTATCTGCTGAGCAGACCAGCAAGCCTGTGGAGCCAAGAGAAACTGCAATTGATAATGGAACTGGAGGCTATATCATCAATCCATACAATTTGTTCTCTACATTGATTACGACTGCAGCCAATAGATACCAACAACAATACAACAACAAACAAGATACCCCTTCTTCTTCTTCATCATTGCCATCGTTGCCATCATCCTCATCAGCAACAACAGCAACAGCAACAGCATCATCATCATCTACACCACAAACAGCACCACTTGTTAAAATTGAGGCACCAACTCCTATCGTGAGTAGTGGTACTACCGTAACCAGTGCTACGACTGCGGCAGAGGACAGCAAACTGGATCGTACTGATAGTCATGACTCGTTGCAATCGTATGTCAACATCAAGGATGGTAGCAGTGCCAACACAACACCAGATTTGCAGAACACTAAGCCTGCTACTACGGAGTCATCTGCAGCTACTTGGGGCGGTTATCTTTCTAGTTGGGTCAAGAAGCCTTCTTCTTCCTCGTCCATTCCTACAGTCATTACTGAAGATAAGAAACACAACTAAATAAAGGTGTTGCTGCTATATAATAATGTAGTGGCACCGGGATTTGGATTTTTCAACTAGGGTGTGGGGTTGCCTATTTGCTTCCCTCTTTCTTTCTGCTAATTTATACAACATTGAACATGAGTGCAGTGACCAAGGGCGGTAAAAATTTGTTTCAATTATTACGTACTCTTCCTAATGAAGGTGTTGGAAGCAGAATTGTAAGTGGGTTTTTTTTGGGGGGGAGGAGGAGGAGGAGGAGGAGACATGAATCTATGATTTGTGTAATTTTCAAGAGACTGATGACCTGAATGGGATCATAGGTTCCAAATAAGTTTGTCAACAATCCTACGCTAAAGAACAGCTACTATGAAGTGACCAAAGTGAATTTGAAGGAGGTTAGACATGGAGAGCATAGCAACATTATGAACAACAGTGTCATTGACACATATTTCATGTATTAGGAGGGCAAAAACGGCCGAGCTTGGGGTGTCCAAGTCATGAAAGGTAAACAGCTATTCATTCGATTGGTGCATTTTATCAGAAACTAAAGCAACAAATCCAGGACACACTATGCTGGACGGTAGACCAGTAGAAATCAAAGGCGGTCTCAAGTACAAATGGAAGCCATTCGATGCATAAATCAGCTCTATTAGAACAATCTCGACTTTTGTAGACCTCTGCAGAAATAAAGAATACCTCCCGCTTGAACGATACTTACGCTTGATTTCAATGAAATGTGGGTCTTATGTCTCAAACCATTATTCCGAGAAAACTAGGCTGCTTTATAGCCATGACAAAGCGATTCATGGATGCTACCAATCACAATGGCACTTACGAATAAGAGGCGAGCCGACAGACTGCGTTGACACGATGGCTTGGAGTAATTTGCATGAAAGGAAAGCTTTTTCATGCAGCATTCCAGTGTGACAGATACGAGTGTGTGAATATATCTGATGTGACCGGATCAAACAATCTCTTTGTTTGTGATGTGTGTTATGATGTATTTAACGTGGACTAGTAGTTCTCAACTTTGCTCTTTTTCTTTTGCTTTTCCACCTTTCAAAAGTGACAAACATGCTGTCCAGATTTGCGCAATCACAGCGTTTTCTTTTACCTGTTGTTGCGACAAGAACAGCAGCAACAATCCCCAGAATATTCCATACACAAGGCGCGGATGCCTCTGCCAACAAGGCATACAAAGATGACCCCAACACAACAACAACCAACCCAAAGCAAGCAGGCGGAAACGAGTTTTTTGAAAACCTGATCTATGGAAACAAAATCCTCAGAGCAATTGATGGTGAAACGCATTCGAAAAAGTTGGCCAGAGGAAAGTATGTGCATGAGCTTCAGAGTAAGTCTTGACTATCATTTGCATGAGAATCGAGGTGTTAACTCGTCTTGTATGATGTAGTTCACAAAGTGAAGCCGGGGAAAATTGGCGAGTACAAGGCATTAATGTAGGTAGAGCAACGCACTGCTTTTCTCGAGCCCATCTCTCATCCGATATCTGCAGATCCAATCATCTCCCAAAGGTTGCAAATGATCCCTCGAACGATGTTCATTTATGCGGTAGTTGGTCTGTTGAGATTGGACAGCAGGACACATTTGGTAGATGTCGCAGCTTTACTCATCCATGTAGCTCGTAAGCTAATACATGCATACATATAGTTCACATTTGGGAATACAAAGGCTATCCTGGGCATAAACACACCTCAGAGAGATTGGAGAGCAATCCTGAGCATATCGCCTTCATGGAGAAACTGGGCCCACTGTTAGTGTCTCGTGAAAATGGCATTATGCTTGAATTCGATTTTTGGCAAACATCGCCTCCAAAAGTAACCAACGGCATTTTCGAGCTTCGCAAGTATGTATTGAAGCCAGGTAGGTTGCTGGAATGGGAAATGTATTGGCGCAAGGGTCTCGAGTGCAGAAGACAGTTCTGTGAGCCTGTGGGCGCTTGGTTCACTCAACTGGGCGAACTGAATACCGTATATCACATGTGGACATACCCGTAATGTATCAAGCCATGTTAAGGTTGCTAATGCTGTTGGCTAATTTGGGCTATGTGTAGTGATTTGCAAACGCGAAAGACGACAAGAGAAGATGCGTGGAATACAGAGGGTTGGGCTGAAACTGTGTACAAGACAGGTGAGTGCAGTGTATAGCCACATGGTCTGCTACGTTTGACTCATCGAATGACAACAACTAGTTCGCTTGGTGGACAACATGCAATCATTCATCATGAAGCCTCTGCCCTATAGTCCTTTGCGATAAGTCCATTTTATTAGTATTAAACTTTTGAGAAACACAACGTGGCATTTGTACCACCAAATCCAAAACTGTTTGTAATGGCAGCTCTTACTAGCTTCTCTTGAGGCACGAGCGGGACATAGTTCAAGTTGAATTCCTCGTTGGCAGGTTGATGCAAGTTGAGTGTTGGAGGGATCACATCGTTGTGTACAGACAAGATGGAAAAAATGGCTTCCACAGCACCAGCAGCGCCTAGTAAATGGCCTGTGGCTCCCTTGGTAGAGGATACATTGATGCTGTCCCAGTGACCATCAAACACCGTTTTAATAGCTCTGTTTTCAGCAACGTCTCCTGCCGGTGTGCTGGTGGCATGTGCATTTACATAGTCAATGTCTGCGGGTGAAAGCCCGGCTACTTGCAATGCACGTCGCATGGATCGCACAGCACCCTGTCCATGCTCTGGGGGTGAAGTCATATGATGGGCATCACCAGAAAGACCATAACCCTTGAGTTCTGCATATATTTTGGCTCCTCTCTTTTTAGCGTGCTCGTATTCCTCTAACACAACGACACCTGATCCTTCTCCCATGACAAATCCAGATCGATCCTTGTCAAAGGGCCGTGATGCCTCTGTTGGCTTGTCGTCATATTGCGATGCTAATGATTTGGCTCTGGCAAAACCTGCAATGGCTAATGGGTGCACAGACGCCTCGGTGCCACCGGCAATCATGACATCTGCATCCCCATACTGAATGAATCGCATAGCGTCTCCAATAGCGTGGGCGCCTGTTGTGCAAGCGGTGGATACTGCGTGATTGGGTCCCTTTGAGTGGATATCAGTTTTTACGCAGCTATTGGCCATTTGTCATGTACAACTTACTTGGAATCCGTACTTCATGGTGAGATGGCCTGCTGCCATGTTGATCAATATTCTAGGAACAAACATGGGCGACACTTTTCTGTAACCCTATCCATAAGCTGTGAGCCACTTGATGTCATGCCAATTCGTGAGTAGACTTTTACGCCTGATGAATAAGCAGCTGAAGTGTCTACGATATCTTCCAAACTTCCCATACCAGAACCAATGCATACACCCTACTCGTTGTGATGTGATTGTGAGCTAGATGTACATTCTATCCATTTCCCATTGTTTACATACAGTTCTCTCTTTATCTAAATCAGTCTCTGGAATCCACTGAGCATCATTGATAGCTTGACGAGCTGCTGCGATCGCATAATGAGAAAACTTGGCCATGGTTCTATCATCCTAGTTTTGCTAAAATCAGTCGTCGGATGGCTTGCTCAAGTTCTCATCCTTACGCCTTTATCCAGCCATTCGCTTGCTGTAAACTTGCCATTTTCAAAACTGCCTTGAGGTACTTCGGCTGCGATTCGCACTGGTAATTTCTCAAAGCCCTCGCGCTCAGCTAATGATATAATACCACATTGACTATCCAACAGGTTTTTCCATGCCGCCTTTACGCCTACACCTAATGGGCTGACGAGGCCCAAACCTGTAACGACTACTCTGCGTTGTGCCATTGTGAAATGAAATGATGAGAAAAAAAGACGAGAGAAACTTTTAAGGCTTTCACCCCCCCGCCTTTTTGTCAACGGAGATCGATCCATGGTGAATGGGATATTGTGGGCTCGATTTAAGAGGTTGAATTTTATGGTAATTCAGAGAAGATATTATAACACGTTCTTCGATTGAAGGCAACACCTTTGCGCTTTTGAGTGCTATGATTGTCAAATGGATGCAAGGATTTGAGTATGGTGATCTTTCATTGCATGAACGAGTCAGACACTCAACATCCCGTTCAATAGAGCAGCTTTTTCTCTGGCCCATGTGGATGCGAGAAATTGGAGATAGGGCATTCGCTGTTCATTTCGCATACTTCAAACAGACATACTAATAAGCGCATTGGCTGTAGTAGTAGCCAAGATGCTCGCCGGCCGAGAAACAATGGCTTTTCTAATCGCCAACATTTCGAGCATGAATAAAACACTCGTATCAACACATACGCACCAACATGATAGCCATGCACCATAAAATCATTGTATCACCAGCAACATAGAGCATCAAAATTTGCATGAATCAACTTTGCCAAAAATCAATATGCCTCCTATTCGAATTAAAAATTGCTCAAGCTACAGAACTGCCTTTCCAGTAAATTGCAGCTACCAAAGATGTGATTTATGCCGTGCAAATAAACTCTATAAAGCAATACATAACCAAATTTGACCACTTTCAAGCCTCCATACCCTGACAGGTAGACCTTTATGAGCCATCGGAATGACGCCATACAATTGCACTTGAGTAGTAGTAACATCCTGACCCCTTTGCTCAACTTTTTGAGGACCCAAAAAACATGACCAAAAATCGACCAAAAAGCATGAGGTACCCCTCATGGTTTTCATCGAAAATCAAATGATTGCATTTTTCACCTTGAAAATGAAGACTTTTACTATGGTATTTCTTGCAAGAAATTTCTTTCGACCTAGAATGGTATATATTAATTCAAATTGCTCAATAAGTTCAGTCAAAACACCTATTACAAGTAGCACCATTGGAATTGCCTTGAAAAGTACTTCAAGAATGTATTAGGAAGCGTAGCGTGATCATCACAATTTATATAGTCGAATATCACGGAAGAGATTAAAGAAGTCGAAAAGAAACAATATCTGTTCAATCTTAAGCAGAAAGAATACACTGAGCTTGAATCAATTTTGGCGGCAGTGCTGCTGCTGGTTAACCCAAATGCCTTTCTAATGATGACAATGATGACTGCAATGCTGAGTAAATGGGATCATGAATTTAAAAGGACAATTGAGTAGCCCGAATACTTTTTCCGGGAAGTTTTGCCTCATAAAGGTGTCTTTTGCAAGAGCTCGCAGGGCGACGCCGCCATCAAGCGTAGCAAGATAGACTGGCTAGTCAATTGATACTTTAAACAACTAAAGTTTGGCATATTGGCTACATCATGGATGGCGGAAAAGGACAAGATTTTTATCAAACATGGCCATTGAAACAAGATGGCCTCTCACCTGATTGATTATGAAAGATAATTTCCTATTAAATCGACGTGGATACTTATATCTTTTCGTTATTTTTCTTCTTCTCTCCTTTTTTTTACACCCTTATACAAACAAAATACATCATGCCACCAATGAAGCAGAGCCAATCTATGCTTAACTTGCCCAAACATCGTCGTAACACAAGACAGCAGAAATCCAAATCTATACACGATGAAAGCATCATTCAAATCGGTACACATCAAGGACCGCAACAAACTACGGCTGCTAGTAACAAGCTTGAAAGTAAAAGTAACGTACATATACAAATGATCAATTCTTACATCATGAATCCTAAAAATATGAATTTGAAACTATAATAGTCCATCAAGAACATTTAAACGAAACAGACAAGCTTTTAAGAGCTTTTGATTTAAATTACGCTTATGGCCCTTGTGTCGGCATAAAAAGAATGGATCGATGGGGTATATACTGACTACATTTGGCCATGCATTACATGTAGATCATTGACATTTCTTGTATGCAGAGCGAGCTTACAACCTGGAATTGTATCCACCTACCGTCGTGAAGGACATCTTGATCAAGGACAAGACTGGAAAATACATGGAATCCGTCTTTCATCAGTTCCGAATGATTTAACGCTTGCTCTAGTGTCTGAAATACCCTTTGAACTTACTAACCCATGACATCAATAGCAATTCATGGCTATTTCATTCAAACTCCATCTTGCATGATTCTGTTTCTAATAAACCGTATAAAAAGCCCAAGGGATTCCCACCTTGTTTAGCTTTTTCATTACAACATTCCTCTCTTGTATAAAACCTAAACATGTCTCATTACGGAAACTCTGATGTTGCCCACTCTGAAGCCGCTTTGCAAGCTGGTCGTCCCTACGAAAAGTCTACCGAAGGCCATAACCAAATGTTTGACAATGTCAAGGAATTAGAAAAGCATCACCGACAAGAATTCTCTCATGGTGCTACTAAGAAGTCTCGTGGCGAGCAAATGGACGAGCAATTGGCCGAAGAGGACAAAGAAACTGTTCAAAGAATGGAGCAAGCTCATAAGCAGAGTGAACAAGCTCATCAACCCAAGCATAAGCATGAATAAATGCATGTAGTTATAGCTTTTATCATCCACTGTAAATAAATATAAATAAAGAACGATTTTTTGCATGTACACTCTCCATAGTCATCTTATTTATCCTTGAGTATGACATAGTGCTTTCAAGAACAATATAGAGTATGTATATACAAATGATTTATTGGTGTTGCAAGTGATATTTTGTACAGTGTAGTAGAGCAGGAATGGAGTGGGTTTTTATGCGGCATTAGTAGCCCACTTCTTAATCATTTGCGAGCAATTGTACTTGAGAACAGCCTCAGTTACTTGAGCTTGTTCCAGCATGAGTTTGGCCATACGGTATTCTTTTGGGCACTTTCCAGGAGCATCTATTGGACACACCAGTTCAAACATTTGCAGATTCTCAAAAGCCTATACCATGTTATTAGCACATGAGCACAAGATATCAGGCTTAATACAAAAGTACCTTGAGTGCAACTGCTCGCTTGTACAATTTCATGCCAAATCCCATGCCATTGACTTGTGTTCTGTTCATGAAATCCTTGTATTCGTCATACACCATTTGGAAATTGAATGTTGTAACATCTTTTTCTAGGAGTTTCTTCATGCTCACAATCAATACCAACTCCAACAGTGCTATTCCCTTGAGTAATTCAGTTTTAGAATCTGCTCTCTGCACAAGACTGGACTCTGTAAACTCTTCAATGGATAAAAACGGCGCTTGTCTATTCAGTTTACAAACAGCTGGAAACTAGAGGGTTGCAATGGTTGAATGAGTAAGCCCTTACTATACGTTCTTGTGTTCACACCTACGCATATTTTTTGAAACATCCTGATATCCTTTGAAATGTCAAATATTCGTCTCAAGACACCGTTGACTGTAGGATTTTGAAACAGCTCCTCGAGGTCCATATTGAACGCATCACTTGCTTGATACTCCTCAGGCAACATCAATGTCCCTTTTGCAATATCCAGAAACTCGCCAAAGTTGGATGATGGAAACAAGTAGATCTGCCTATGCGAAAATCTTGATTTGACTCTCTTCTCCAGCAAGTCGAGGGTATCTAGTCGACAGGTCAATCCAATCACTGCCATGGGGTTTTGAGCACTTTGTGCTGCGTCAAACAGGTTGTATAACAGAGCTTGCTTGGGATGCTGAGCAAACAAGTCGAATTCATCCAACACAAATATTACTGGTAAGGAAGATTTGTCGCCTGATTTCAGCAAAGACAGTAAATAATCAAATGAATCTGCAAACGATGTCTAATCATGAAGAGCATCAGTCAATGTCTTTTCTCGCTTGTGAATGTGTAGTCTTACAAAGGTGCGATCTGGCTGATCCTGTTGTTCAGTAACGAGCTGGCGAGATATCTCGTTTAAAGCAAGGCGATCATTTGTCTCTGTTAATCCATTCAACTTGACAACGCAAAATTCATTCTCCAGCTTTTGAAGATCGCGTAATACAGTGCGCACCAATGTTGTTTTACCAGTACCTCGGTTGCCAACAATCAAGCAAGAGTTGCTCTCTCCAGCTGTTACTGTCTGTTTGAGTATGCGATGCAATGTGTTGTATTGCTTGTCAATGCCATGCAGCTGGCGAGGGAGTTCAATGCCGTTCAACCGTGCAAGCAGTAGTGATTGTGCTTTGCGAATATCAATTTCTGATGATCCCTGACCCGATAGTCTGGCGGATTTGGTGTGCTGCTCGTTGTCGTGTGCTATATCTGCGTCTTCAATGGTTCTCTTTGACATGATGTAAAAACCAGGAGAAAAAAGGTACAGGCTGAAAGGGTTTGAAAGAGTCCCTCTTTTTTTCCAATGACTTGAAATGTGACTTTATGAGTGTAGAACTAGGGCTTTTGACAGTCGTCAATGGATCTGATTGTAATCTGGAAGAATGGTGCAGAAGATGATGCTACACATGGCCAACGATCAGAGCACCTCTGGTGTATCGAAGGCACAGCATGATGCTGATCTGTGTGAGAAACACAGTGTTTAGAAACATTTGAGCTTTTCATCTGATCTAATGACAGGAGAATGTCCATCATTAGGCATTAGTAAAATATTCAAAATGGCATATTAGTAATAAAAAAAAAAAAAAAAAAAAAAAAGTGCAAATTGATTTATTCATATGTAAATGTGTGTAGTTGAGTGTGTGCATGTGTGGATATTAAGGAAAGATAAAAATACAAGTATATTAAGATGACGGATAAAAAAAAACTAGAAGAGCTCTTGCAGGTCTTTTAGTGTAATAACACCAACCCAATGTTTGTCACTGTTTATCACTGGCAACAGAGGTATGTCCTTTTCCTTCATAAGTGTAACTGCATCTGAAGCCAGCCCTTCGTCCTGAAAGACCACTGGGTTGGAGGACATGATATCGACCGCTCTAATTTGGAAGATGCCTTCTTTGGTGGCAGACTTCAAGACTCTGTGAATATCGCCATGCGTTATGACACCTGCAATCTTGCTGCTCTTTGAGGAGATGTCGTAGTCTTCCACTGAGGATGTCTCTGAAATGGGCGGCGAGGGGAACAAGTAATTGCTGTTGATGTTTTCTTCAATATGATGGTTGTTGTTGCCATCTGCTAAATCATCCTCCAACACAATGACGCCGGAGCCTCGAGGGTGTTGAGTCATCTCCATGATAACAATGTCCAATGATGTGTTTCTATTTACTGTTGCTACTTTGGAAGAGTCGATGATAATGTCTTTAACCTTTAATAGTAATCTTCTGCCCAAGGAACCGCCAGGATGGTTCAACGCAAATCCATCGGTAGTGAATGTACGCAATTTAGCCAACGTCAAGGCCAAGGCATCTCCCAAAGCCAGTGTCAGTGTTGTGGATGAAGTTGGGGCAGGAATGTCACCGGCCTCTCGCTTGACATAGCCATCAATCCATGCAGCACACTCTCTTGCCAACTTGCTCTTTGCATTACCACCCAAGCCGATGACAGGGATATTGCGGTGCTTCAGACTAGGAAGCAGCATGAGCAGCTCTTCTGTGTTTCCAGAGAATGATAAGGCCAATACCACATCGTTGGGTTGCACTGTACCGAGATCTCCATGCAATGCCTCTACCGGGTGCAAAAATGTTGCGCATGTGCCAGTTGACAGCATGGTAGCCACAATCTTCTCGCCAATCTTTCCAGATTTACCAACACCAGTAACGATGACTTTGCCTCCAGCATCCAAAGATTTGAACATGAGATAGATGGCTTGATGGTATCCATCCCTTGACTCTGTGTTGGATTTCAATCTCTGTGCAGCTTCATTTATACTGAGAGCTTCCTCAATTAAGATGTTGGAAGCACTGTCAATGATGTCCTCGGTTGTATGGAGCATGGTTTGTGTTTGTCGAGTAACCAAAAAATAACAGAAAAAAATAAAAAGTTAAGAAGAAATAAGAACCTGGAAATTGTGTTTGTACTCCACAAAACGCAATTATATATATAAGACTTTTTGAAAGAACCCCTTTAACTCTGTCGCTCCGATACAAGAGAGGTGTAACAATAATAAGCCACTAATAGAGCTCTCTCATTTGACAGAAAACATAAACATTTAGTTCAATGTTGCCTAAGGATATGTGCATTTGATATCTGTTCAGCTACCCTATTACTACCATGCAACAGCTGGCTGCTACGCATGCAGTTCCCCAGGTTCTCACCATATCAGTTGCATTTCGATGCGGAGAGTCAACAGACTCAAAGTTTCTATTCAACTTGAACCCAATCAGATCGGTTAAATGGTTCATTAAATCCTCGATCCCGATAGATCACTTTGCACCATTCTTATCAGACATGACGGAACAGTGAAGGATAGATGAACAAACACTTTGCACAAACAAGACGAGAGAAAGAGGAGAGGAGTGAGAACTCGATTTCGAAGGCATTCTTTTTGATTTAACTTGATTCAAGTAGAACATGATGGAGCGTTTCTGTTCCAAATCATGGCCGGCTAAATTCACGGTGACAAACGGTTTGTTTCATTACGCTATCTCAAACCAGTTGAATTTTCAGCGATGCGTAGTCCACTGTAGATCTGAATCGTCGATGAATAGGCCCTTTTTTTTTTTTTTTTTTTTTTTTTTTCGCTCGTCTCCCTGTCACTTTCTTCCATACATAGACAGCTATCATCCTCATCCTCATCCTCATCATCATCATCATCGACATAGCACCTGCTTCATTCCGTGTCATTGTTATCATGCTTTTTACGCAGTTTTATTGTATCGACCGATTGACAGAAACTCACGCAAGCATTGATTACCTGAAATAGTATTATATGTATAAATTCTTTATCTGATGGTGCAATTCAGGATGAGATCATCCTCATTCATATCTTGTGGTGAGAAAAGTAAATGTAAATGTGTGCTACATGCCACACACTAAAAAAAAAAAAAATACACATTGTGCGCAGCTGTACAGTACAGTCTATTTTACGGTCCCCCTTATCATTCAATCGAGTCAAACACTCCATCCTGTAGAAGCGCGCTTTTGCTCGGTTATTCATGCAGATGCCAGCTTGTTCATGTCTAACGATATGCCCCAGGACATGCGCATTTCTGGCAGAATTTCAGTTTCGCGATTTGGTAATAACGAGATCTTACTTTTATGGTTCAGCTTTTATTTCCTGTGAGTCGAATATTTCTCATGTTGATGGATTTGCAGAACTTGCAGATTCGGATGGGAAACAGGCGTTTTATGGTGTTACTTGAGCGACCTTCTGGGTAAATTGTTTCAGCAGACTAGTTGGCATTTAGGATATGTAAGCTATATAGCAACTCTCACAGTTGCCGTCCGGAGCACATTCATCATTTTGACAGTATGAAAATTATATGAGGGGAGGCTTCTTCTGTGCCTTCTTCGTCGCAAAACCTGGTGGCTCAATACAGTTTGTAAAAAAAAAAAAAAAAAAAAAAAAAAAAAACACGTATAAACACTGAGAGAGATGCTCATTTACAGGAGTTTTTTTTTTAAATGTTGAATATCGCATGGGGCTTGGATTTATTTGGATATAAGAAAATGCATAGAAAAGATACGTTTCAATAAACATGAAAGCCATCTTCTCAGCAATATTTATTCACTGTGCACATGAACTCCATGATAGTTCAATTTATCCATTGCCTTTATGGATCCTATGGATCCAAGCATGAACGCTCTAGAGGGGCACTACTGCTGCTGAAAACTGATTCCAACTCCGATATTCATTTATTTTTCTTTGTCGATAGCGAAATTATTGCCAAATTCGAAACAGAAATACGTTTTATCGCTAATTTCTCTAGAAACGCTATAGCTATTTAATATAGCTTATTAATAATCATAAATGCTAATTTTTATTCTCTATTGATTGATACCAATAATGTGTTAGTTTTCTACCAACAATTTTTCTGAAATTTGCAAAAACTAAAAAGACTTATTTAGCCGAAAATTTTTAATTAAGTATTAGTAGCTACTCAAAATAGCCATTCCATAGCATAGGTTGGACTCGTAGCTTTTGGTTTCATTAATACATGCCATAGTAGAAAACGTCGTTTTTTGGAGTGAAAAACGCGATCGACTGAAATTTGCTGATTTCGATGAGTGGTAGTAGCTCATGGAAAATGCGACGATTTTGGTCAATGATGTCTGACCCAAAAAAAAAAAATTGAGATAATGCTACAGTAAGTAAGTACTCGTCGAGAGCAATCGTTTGGTACCACTCTGCCGATCGAAAACGGCCAATAAAGGGAGATATAGGCAGCTCATGATCATCCAATGTAGCTGTGATTTAGTCTATTAATGGCTCGAGCGATTTTAAATTGACATTAGTGCAGTTTGAGCAGGCTATATTCATTGATCTAGATGCTATCTCTCTCGAGAAGTTGGAGGTATGCCTCTTAGTTTGGGTTCATAGCGTATTTATAGGCCTAAAGGCCCTTGTTTTCGCTGTTGGAGCAGTACATTGCAGCTATAATAAGCGATTCTGCACGGTCCATCTCTTGCCCAAAGAAATAACAAACGCGCCACAGCCCGTCATGCTGCATTATGTTACAAAGTATATGTTACATCTTGTTGAATGCATTTTACATATGGATTCAGGGCATCAAATGGTCTCTTGCCATCCCCGTCATGAAATGGCGGACCAATGTGTTCTTTTGCCTTTGGTTATGATAAAAGACGCCTGGAAAGCAAATGTTTGATAATCAACGTCTTCTTCTCAATGGTTACACCGTAATAATCAACTGCCGTGTGAAAACACAAATACCAATACATCGCAATCCTATCTCAATGAGCAGTACCTCTGAGTTCAATATTACTTGATGCAGGATAATTTAAAGCTGTGTAAAAGACCGCCTTTAGCTTTACACTAAAAATCAGGCAACCTTCATTTGCAATATGCTGAATATCCTATTGTTTGCCATCTTGTTTGCATTTGTTGGCACGCGAAATGGCAGGGTACTGTGTAGGTACTCCTTGTGTGGACAAGTCAAGCTTGAAAGGATTCTTACAGTGATTATTTAGTGATGAAAACGTTGCGCGCACCGCTATCAGAAACACCCTTCTCTGTCCGTCGTGTCTTGACTGTAAACTCTTATTTGGCGCCACTGTTTTTCCGTCGAGCAATGATCTACGCCGCTACATATCCACTGACACAAGCAGAAAAGAGCTGGATTCATCACATCTCAGAGGCTTCTTGGAACGGCGTCTGGATAGCGCCCAATTTGAAAGATGTGAAGCAAGCCCAAGAAATCGCACCAGAGCAAGATCTCGTCATTTTGTACATTCATGGCGGTGGATTCACAGAAGGATACTCTTACATGTACATGGACACATTTCAGACCATCATCCGAAAGTTAAAAAACAAGCACAACATGCGAGCAAGTATACTATCGTTGGAGTATAACTTGAGTCCAGAACACACATGGCCCACGGCATCTACCGAGGCATTGGATTGCTATCGGTATTTGATTCATGATCTAGGCATCAGCCCTTCCAAGGTTATCTTGGCAGGCGATAGTGCGGGTGGCAACTTGGTAGCTACGACCTTATTGCGATTGAAGGATAGGCAGGACGATGATTTGCCTCCACTACCGCTGCCTGCGGGAGCCGTGTTACTGTGTCCCTGGTTGGATTTGACAGCTCAGGCATTTCCTGCCATGCATGATACAATCACACCCAAAATGCTCGACGCTTTTAAGGCGAGATATTTAACCAATGCTAACCAGATGCAAGATCCACTTGTATCACCTATGTATGGAGACTTTTCTAGAATTCGCTGCCCATTTTTTGTAGCTTACGGAAGCCAAGAGATACTCAAGCCGAGCATTGAAACATTTATCGCCAATATCAAGCGAGATGGCTGTGATGTAACTGTGTTGAGGGGCAAAGAGAACACAACACATAATTGGTTAATTACTAGTCTAATGGCTACGTCAAGAGCTGTTTACGAGAGAGATTGTCAAGCCTATATTGACTGGATGGCAACTACAATACAGCAGTAGCCTCCCTCCCTCTATGGAATAAATACTCCGCTTGTAGTGGGCTCTCTCTTTTGCGCTCCAAGTGATGATGATGATGATAATGATCCTCCCATTTCTCTTTTATATATTTCTTTGCGTCACATCTTTTTTTCTTTTTCTTTTTTTTTCTTCTTCTTCTTCTTCTTGTACTAAACCACAAGGGATTTCCAATGATATTGGAGAGAATCAAGGATGTCGTCTCCCTCTTCTCCAGCGATAGGTCTTGTATCCGCGAATATTAAATTATTCAACAGCAAATCTGACAATGAGCCAACACTGAAATCCTCAAATTCAGCTACCACAATCAATACGAATACGTCTAATCCTAATTATCTACCTCCATTACCACCGAAGCCAACCAAGAAAGTTGATAGATTGTCGCCTCCACCTCCTCCTCTGCCGCCATCGCCACCACCACTACCGCCTGCGATAGCATCCTCTACTGCTGGTGCTGCTGCAGCTGCTGCGTCGCTGCCTCCTCCCTTACCAGCAACTCCACCGAGACCTATTAGAAACGGGACAGTGAAATCAGGATACAACAACAACCATAAGAAAACCACAGCATTGAGCCCATCTTCGACATCTTCATTGACGACTGTAATGCCATCACCCATTGTAGCCCAGAGAAGTGGGTCTACCTTGAAGGGCATGCTCGGAAAGGTAGTCGGTAGTGTCAGTGGTAAGTTGAACTAGTGTAGGGTTTTCAGGAGATTTTTATTGATGCGTGGTGCAGATTTGTGGACTGTGCAAGGGAATTCATCTACATCATCTGTCAACAGTTCACATGCTAAATCACAGCACAATGGCAGTGGTAAAGCCAAGATATCCTCTCCATACAACATGGTTCATGTAACACATGTCGGCTTCAATCCACAGACTGGCGAATTTACGGGCATGCCAAGAGAATGGCACATTCTGCTGCAACAGAGTGGCATTACTAAAAAAGAGCAGCAACAAAATCCACAGGTAATGTCGTATACATATATAAAGGGGATGGGAAAACTCACCTTATGGAGTGTATAGGCTGTACTGGACGTACTGGGATTTTATAAAGACTCCAAAGATCAGTCTTTGGATACAGTTTGGGAGAAGTTTGACAACGTGCATCCCAAAAACTACACTTCTCGGGCAAGCCCTCCGCCATTACCACAGCGAACAAGGCCACAATTGGTCGTTGTTTCTAATACTCAAGATACCAAGCCCCCTGTACCCACTCGTCCGCCTACAACCATTGCAGTATGTACCCTATTCCTCTCAGCCATCTGATTGATATTAATCTCTCTTTTTTGTATGTGTAGCATAAAAGCAGCCTCAATCATCAATACAATCGACTTGATAATAACTCACCACCTCCGCCTCCTTCCACTACTTCTTCTCCTCTTAATTCAACAACATCTCTTCATCCCGCTCATGCAATCCATTCTGCTCCAGTAACGCCTCCCAGTCCGCCTCCAACAACATCATCGGCACCCCCTATACCAGCTCGCCCAGACAAGCCATCACAGTTACAAAAGGCGCCTCCACCGAAACCTCCGTTATCAACCAAGCCAGCCGTGCTCAAGAAAAAAGCGCCTGCACAAGCAGCGAAAGCAACTGAATCAACAATGAATGATATGGCAGCGGCGCTGACAAAGACACCAACACCGCCACCTCGATCGAATAAACCGCCCCGCGTGTTATCCTCTGTTTATATTGCACCATCAGCAGCTCCTCTAGATCCAGCCTTGGATACCCCACAAGACAAGACAAGACAACTTCGTAGAGAACAAAGGCAACAAAAAGAAGCTCTCAAGGATGCTCAGGTGATTGCAGATCTTCAGGCTATTTGCACAGACGCTGATCCAACAAAACTGTACCGTAACATGATCAAAATTGGCCAAGGGTAAGTGTGAATGCGGCACATCAAATGCAACAAAACTAATGGAGGTGCTTTATACAGTGCTTCGGGTGGTGTCTATACAGCACAATCAGTCGACACTAACATGTCTGTCGCCATCAAGCAGATGAATTTGGCACAACAATCACGGAAGGAGGTGATCATCAACGAAATTTTGGTCATGCGAGAAGCTCAGCACAAGAACATTGTGAACTACATTGATTCGTTTTTGGTTTCAAACGAGTTATGGGTAGTGATGGAATACATGGAGGGCGGTAGTCTGACTGATGTGGTTACCACAAGTATGATGACAGAGAGCCAAATTGCGACAGTGTGCAGAGAGACATTAGAGGGCATTGATCATTTGCATTCCCTCGGTATCATTCATCGTGACATCAAGTCTGACAATGTGCTCTTGGGGTTGAATGGCCATGTTAAGCTGAGTAAGTGTCTGCCAGCCACACAGAAGAGGTGAATTATGCTGATACGTTGAAATAGCTGATTTTGGATTCTGTGCGAGATTGAACGATTCGGAATCTAGAACCACTATGGTGGGCACACCGTATTGGGTAAAGTATTTTATGCGCCTCGATCATTGGCAGTGGTATAGTAACAATCGAATGTAGATGGCACCTGAAGTGGTTACCCGAAAGGAATACGGGCCCAAGATTGATATCTGGTCACTTGGCATCATGGTGATTGAGATGATTGAAGGCGAGCCTCCCTATTTGCATGAAAATCCCTTGAGAGCCTTGTATCTGATCGCCACCAATGGAACACCGTCTCTGCAACATCCTGATGAATTGTCAGACAAACTGAAGGATTTCTTGAAGCAATCACTGACTGTAGACAGTGCCGAAAGGCCAAGCGCCAAAGCACTATTAGAGCATTCCTTCTTGAAGAGAGGAGAAAGTGTGAAGACCTTGATCCCTCTGATCAAAGCAAGCCGAGATCTTCGAAAAGCGCATGAATTATAAAACTGTAACATATCGTACTACTAATAATAAAAAGTGTAATATAAATGCATCCTGAAATACCTTTGCCAGCACGTCCCCCGCCACCCCCTCCCTAAAAGCCTCTTAATTTATCAAGACTTAAAAACAAGCTTCAGACTTGTCAGTTTGATCAGTTCTTTTTCTCTTTTTTTTTTCTCTCTCTCTCTTTCTTTCTTTCTTTGTTCAATCCATCCATTCGTTTCTCACGTTTGTAGTCTCTTTACAGACAGCAATTCACACTAATGAGCTCAGGGCAAGAGGAAGATTCATTGATCAACGATGAACTGTTCCATCTATATATCGAATATCAGCTTTGCAAAATCAAGAACACGCCCTCTCTCTGGAACGCTGATGACACTGAAAAGTATGCTTTGATAAGCATCTTGACTCAATGCCAAAAGATCAATGGAAGTAAGTTGCTCAACAATCTGCGTGCACAACGTCATTTACTCGTTTCACACAGATACACTACGCTCGGTGATGAAGGATATCTTTGAAAACTCTGTTGCCAAGTATGCAGACAGTAGCAGCAGCACAATGATAGTCCATCACTCCACACCCCACATGAATAGCAGTAAAAATAGAATCCCTCAAGTCATTGTCAATACAACAGAAGATGATGATGATGATGATGAGACAGATTCAGAGGCCAGTAAAGAAGCTACAACAAGCTTAGGCTGTAACAGAACGCGCATCATTGATAGAATGTATATCGACCTTGACAATGCCGCAGTCAGCAAAAGAAACATCCTCCCATCAAACACTCCCAGACGTGGTCGCTCGTTGACACCCAGCAAACTGGAGCCCAAGGAAAAGAAGCAAAAGCATAAGGGAAAGGCAGTTGTGAATCCAATCGTCCATTCACTGTTGACCGATAGTAAAATCGCGGGTAGGCTTCGACTATTTCTTTTTTTTTTTTTTTTTTTTTTTTTTTTTTTTTTTTTGCTTCTCCCTTTATAAACACTAACCACTGCATGATTTGTACTCAGAGATGGAGCAAATGGCATCTCAAGCAGGACGAACCAAAGCATTGCTCAGAAAGAGAATCTACGCCATCAATGACAGCGTTTCAATGAATGTTTCCTCTAAAATACCAGCCACATTCAGCGTGTTGAACTATGGAAACTGCCCTGGCACCACCATGAAGAATATGTACAGATGCCAGGAGAACTTTATTGTCTATCGATTTGGCAAACTCGTTGAAAGATTGCATCAAGAGTGTTCAGAGAGAGAAGCGCGTGACAAAGCAAAAGAGTACTACAAAGAGTTGCAGCGTATGTGTTTTACGATATCAAGAAGCATGTGCATGGTGATTGACACTTGTGTATATAGACGAGCTGAAACGACAAAACAAAACATACTCTATGGTTCCTTGGAGTCATTTTGCATATAGTTGTAAAAAATCAGTTCAATACGCCAATGAATTCGGCATCTACTGCCTTTTCATACCTGAAATCCTTACACCTACCATGCTTAAAAGGGTAGAGTATGGCACACATATGTAGGGCAAAAACAACGCGACTCATATTGTATGTACATTTCAAAATTTAGACGCCTTTCGAGGACTTGAGGGCACTCTTACTCTACATGGATGAATCATGCTCTATCTTTAGAAACATTGTCCAGGTAGATTGCGAGGGAAATATCATTGCACCACACAGACAAAAGTCATCGCAGGGTCTCATGACCAACAAGGCAGACATTAGTGGCAGTGTATTGCAACACTGATTTTCATATCTTCAAGCCCTATTGCATTTGATACGAATGCTACTATTATTTCAGAGTTGACACATACAGATCCTATCATTCCCTCAACAATGCAGTCGCACATACTTAGTTTATTCCTAGTTCACAAGCCCCATTATCCCCTATACACTGGCTACATCCATTATACAACAACACCCCCCCCCGTCAATAATAACAAATTCTGTATATTTATTATTCTTTCGGCTCATCTCGTTAACAAACATCAGAGGGATTCCAGCAGAAGCGATGAGGTTCATATGTATGGATATTATCCAACAAGGCCATATCCTAAAGCAAAAGGCATTCAGCTAAAGTCCATATGGAGAGTGGTGGCTGCACACTTACGTCCTTGGAGATTTCGAATGAAAACACACTGGCATTCTCTTGTATTCTGGCAGTGGTCTTTGATTTAGGTATAATAACCCATCCATGCTGAACAGCCCAGCGCAATAGTACCAATGCTTTGGAGATACTGAGCCTTTGAGCAATCTCTTGCAAGCACTCTATCTTTACATCGCCATTGATAAGAGAACCTTCGCCCAAGCTTGAGTAGGCTTGGATTTGGATATTGTTTTTTTGACAAATGTCTAAAATATCAGGCTGATGCAAACAGGGATGAAGTTCGAATTGATGTACGTGTGGGATGACAGTGCACACACTCAACAGGTGGCTTAAATGCTTTTCTGTGTAATTTGAGATGCCAATCTGCTTCACCTTTCCCTCTGAATACAACTTCTCCAATGCTTTGTAGCTATTTGTGCGGTTCTCCTGGTTGATGGGATCTGATAGCTTCTTTTTCGATGTGCTATGTCAACAAAGACTCCGTTAATCATGTATACAGTCAAGCGTCCATCATCGTCAAACTACCCAGGCCAGTGAATCAAGTACAAATCAAAGTAATCCAAGCCGAATCTTTCAAGAGAGTCATTGACAGCTGAGTAGACCAAGCCATGTTAGCTTTGCAAACGCCCTCCTCGCATTGAGATTTATGACCTTACCCTGATAACAGGCATCAAATCCTTGGTTTTGGGGAGCTTTTAAATGAAATGATACTTAGAGCATGCTCGGCATAGGATGTTGAACTGCTACATACATAATTTTGAGGTGATGAACAGGTCTTTTCTTTGTACACCAAAGCTGGGATCTTTGAATATCTCTGTCAAGATCTGCCCTAGTGCTTCTTCATTTCTATAAACAGTTGCTGAATCTACTCTTGGGTGAATAAACACAGTTTGCTTAGGATCAATAAACTAAACGGACCTATTAAGCGATAGCCTGAACGGATGGCTTCATAAACAACAGGGCGAAGTTCCTCCACGGTCTTCATTCTGTAGGTTCCTACTTGATGCGGTATTTATCAAGATCAACGCGTCGCTGTGCATTCGGATCGATTGATACATACAGCCTAGAACAGGTATCTTGTTGCCGTTGTGCAATTGTTGTTCTGCAGTTGTCATCATGTACTTGATTGAATGAACAACAAACATGAGATGCCCCAATTTGCAGTGACGTTATTCATTTCGGATGTTAAACAGTAATGCTTTGTTGTTCCATTGGTGATACCAACCTGCCAAATTCTTCTTCTTTTAGTTTCAATTAACATTTAATTAACGATGAAATTTTGGAAAAAGAAGGACAAGAGCAAGACAACTATCAACCCATTTGAGGAGCAGAGTGATTCAAGCAGCTATTCAACTGAGTATCCACAGACACCCACAGCCAATGCGGACACTTATGGAGGAAAGAGTCGTTACGGCACTGCTGCTATTGTCACTCCAGCCGCAAGAGATGAAACACAGAACAGAAGCAATCTATTCGGTGGCTATCAGGAGCCAAGAGGTAGATATGATTCCAGTGGACAAGAAGACTCTTATGGAGCAAGCAAGTTCTCTGAAGCTGATGAGGATCAAGAAGTTATCCAAATTCAAAACAAAATTCGCAGCGTCAAGCAAGATACATTAGCTAGCACTCGAAATGCTCTACAGAAAATTAGCGAAACTGAGGCAACTGCTGCCAATACGATGAACATGTTGGGCACACAATCAAGTAAGTTTTCTCGCTATATATATATATATATATATAAAAAAGCTCTATGAATATCAAGACTAAATAATCTTGTAGCTCAAATTGCCAATGTGGATCGTAATGTGGATATGTCAAAGGCTTATTCTGATCGTGCTGCTAGTCAAGCGGGAGAGCTGAAGCAACTGAACCGCTCTATCTTTATACCTGTTGTCAAGAACCCGTTTACCAAAGGTTCTAGAAACAGAAAAGCAATGGACAGAGTCCATAGGGATCATGAGGAGCATATGGCCGAGAGAGACAACATTCGTCAATTTGAATATGGTTCTAGTGTCCGCATTGAAGATGCTCAAAGAAAAGCCATGCGACTGAAAGGAGAAGAAGGCTACCATAAAGGACGCTCGCAATCGGATCGCAACAGATATCAGTTTGAAGCGGATGAGGAGGATGATGCGATCGAAGATGAGATTGACGGCAATCTGGACTTACTAGGTGATGCCACTGCGAGATTGAGAGCCATGGCAACGACCATGAACGATGAACTCGATAGTCAGAACAAGCAATTGAATAAGCTCAACAAAAAGGTGGATCCTATCAATGCAAAGCTGATGTCTACTACTTATACTTTGAACTCTACCCGATAAGTGCCCTCAGTTTGGAATAAAATGTGCTCTGATCCTGCAACTCAGCATCATCACTTTTTTTTTTTTTTGCGTAACCATCCATGCTCCACACACGTTTTCATGCAACAAATCCAAAACGTTGCTATATACCCTTTTTATGTTTGCTTTTATTGTGGTGTATAACTTTGTGCTATTTGCTTTTTATTCTTTATCTTCCTCCATGTAGTCAGGGTTCTTTCGTAACAGAACGATACCTTCTAATACAGGAGCCAAAGGAATATCTAGAGAACAACAACAAAAAAAAAAAAAAAAAAAGAGGGTGAGTGATGAGCATGAACACGCCACACTTATAACAACTTACATTCTTCAGTAGCCAATTCAGCACGTTCTGAATGAGCAAGAAGGACAGGAGTAGAGTGTGTTTGGAAACCAGTGATGGTCTTTGGACGGCCTGCTTGACCAACAACATCCACAGCTTGACCCACACGCACAGTAACAGGCAGGCTCTCAACAGATTCATCAAATGTGATTAAGAAGCGAGGATACATGGCAGTGACAAGTGAATACAACAAGTAATGGAATTTACCAAAGATAACTATTACAAAAAAAAAAAAAAAAAAAAAAAAAGTCAGTAGGAGGCACTTGTGGCCAAACGCTTTCAGGACTTACATGATTTGTGATCAGTAAAAGCAATGATACTTGTCATTAAACCAGCAATAGCAACAGGTGACATGATTTGACGATCGGTGTGGAAGGGGTTCAATGTCATTGTACCCTTGGCCATGTGCAATAAGCCTTGTGCAATACGGACCATGAACAAGCTAGAAGCATCCTTGTGGTAGAAGCTGGCCAGTTGTCTCAACATTTGTGCAAGACGAGCATTGTTAGTACCAGCACCTACAATACCCATGGCAAAGATGGCACTGATAGCCACTTCGCTGTCATTGTCGTGAGAGTATTTACTGAGTGTATCGAGAATGTTGACTTGAGGATTGGATGCACACAAAAGACCGTATGCTAGGGGCACAGTCTTTCTGATGACAGGTTCGCCATAGTGCATCAAGTGGTTAAAGGTGCGCAAAGACATTTCTGATCCAACTTCTTCGCCCATAGCAATCAAAGCAACACCGAGCGTAGCAAAGCCTTGGAAGGTGTCGTCGTCCTTTTCTTTATCCAAATGATCGTTACACATGTGGAGCATCTTTTGCACCTTCAAGACGTTGCCGGTACCAGCATAGGATAAGGCTTCAACCAAAACTTCCGCTTGCTTACCAAGAGGATGCTCAATGGCCTTTAATGTCTCCAAAGTAGCTTCAGAGGCATCTTGCTTGCCGAGATATAAGAGACCAAGACCCAAAGCCATGAAGCGAGACCATGAATCCTTGAGGTAGATATCTTCACGCTCCATCATTGTCTGCAAAATAGTGCTGGTAATGTCGCCATCACAAGAACCAACAAAAACGAGACCAAGGGCCAAAGCAGCTAATGAGGAGAGCTCCATGGCCAGGTTGGTATCGCTGACAATAGGCAAGAGCAATTCTGACACTTCTTCACGAGCGGAACCAGCGTAGGCAAGACCGAGACTATACGAAAAGCATAAGATGAAGGCTTTATATAAGAGACGTCTCCATATACTTACCCAAAAATAGCAGCTTGCTTGATAGAGAGACTTCCGCTCTCCAAATGTTCAGACAACAAGGCTATTGCGGGATCAGATTCCTCACGCACACCGGAATTGACAATACCAATAGCAAGCAAAGCACCAGCCTTGATATGGTCGTCCGTAGAGTACATGTATTTATCAATCAAACTCAAGCCAGTTTCAATATCCCAGAGGCAGATCAAACCCAAAGAAGCAGTAGCACTGGTCATGCCATGCTCCTTGGTCTTGTAAATCCAAGAGGAATCACCTTCATCGTCAGTAATCATCAATTTGTCCTTACAGAAAGCAGCGTTCACAAATGCATTGACAAAGGTCGATGATAAGTTGTTGCGAGCAGAATCAATGTTGCTGCTGAAAGCAGTTCTGTGGTTCTCCAAATGGCTCTTGTAAATGTCTTCAGGGACCTTGGGTTCCATTACATCCAATTCACGTGCAAGGGAAAGGAAATAGCGCGAGAGGTTGCTGTTGTTGATGCAGCCGTTGAGATCAGCATCGTCTGTTTCAATGTAAATTTGTTGACGGGCAAGTTGGAATGCCATTTGCTTCTTGAGAGTGCTGTTTATCACGTTAGCCACTGCATTTTAGCTGCCATGTGTCATCTCAACTTACGGATCAGGGCATTGCTCAAAGTCCTCCTTGATCAAATCCATATCGCCAACACGGATGGACAAATTAAGTGCTTGAGCGTATTTTTCTTGCTGACGGTAAATGGCACGAGCTGTTTTGAGGAACTCGACATCATCGGGAGGAGCCAACAAATTGACACAGCTGGTGCGTATGATATTAGTATTCCCGCTTCTCTTTTGCACATACCAAACACTTACCCAACCATATAAAGACAGACACGCTCATAGGTATCCTTATCGACAAAACGAGTAAGTTGGTCAATCGATTCAACTTCAAGCAAGAGATCAACAGCATCAGCCTCCGCGTTGTGTTTGAGGAAGAAGGGAACAATCTCCAAAGCCAATGTAATCAATTCCTCTGTTGATTGATCGTTTTCTAAGCGTGCTTGATATTCTTGCATAATCTCGCCTGACAAGTGTCTAACATACTCGTGTCCCCAAGAACCGATATCCTCTTCAGTGGAACCTACGAATCTATATCTCAAAGCTTCACGTTGACCTTCCTCAGCATAACTCATGGAAAGCACTGACAAGATATCAGCAAGAAGCTTCTTGTCTGCAGAATCGGGCCATGACTCATGCAGCTTCTTTAATAAGGGATAGTATTTGCTCAAAAACTTCAATGGCTTGGGTACAGAAGTCATTGAGCTGGTGGAAGTACGGATCGCTGTACGCAGTTGCTCGAGTGCAGGACGATGAAGTTCCTTGTTGTTTTCCTGCTCTGCCCAGTCAACATGCCATTGCGATTACAAAAAGAACTGTCAAATACATACCCTTAGGCGCTCAACCATCATCTCTAATTCATTCTTTAGCTGCTGATCTTCCTCAGACTACGGCAAATGTTAAAATCAATCATCCAAGCATTTGAGCATCCACATAAGCCAAGTGTCTATTTACCAACTCTTCCTCTTGCTCCTTCTTGTCGTTTTTGTCCTTCTTTTCATTGTCTTTGGTGGATTTTTCATCAACCTTTTCCTCGGTGGGCTTTGTGGCGGTTTCGTCTTTCTTTTCGCTGACCATTTTATATTGTAATATTCAAAGAGAATAAGAGAGAGAGAGAGAGGGGCTATTTGGCATCGCGTTTTTTTTTTATTCTAATGAAAGTTGAATTACAAATGGCGGGACGCGCAACCACCACTCACCTTTGCATGCGTCACTTTCGGGTACGTCATGGAGCTTGTATCTGTGTCTATCCAGGAGTCACAGAGGAGAAGGCAGCAGCAGCAGCAGCAGCAGCAGCAGCATCAGCAGCATCAGCAGCATCAGCAGCATCCATTGTTGCAGTGCACGAAATGTCATTTGGTTTGAAAGACTCATACACAGGTGTGAGCAATTGAATTGGCTTGAAAACTTGTGCCTACATACTTTGATATGTTGCTTATACAATCGCATTTTTATCTAGGCTTATCATGATGAGGCTCTGTATGCTGGCAGCATCTCAAAGCTAGCATCGCACAGTTGGCGGAGTTGCAGGAGCACCAGCAGCATCACAGACATTGGGAAATGCAATGTGTCCTTCAACCAAAGCCAAATCCCGAGTGCATATAGTTGAGCCTCGAGCCGGATTATAAACAGGTTTCAACTGCTTTATTATATTGTAAAATGAATTTCTAGATGAATGCAATAATGGTAAATGTCTCTCGCTTTATAATAATGGCAAATCTTCTGGATCAGGGCGAGTGACAATGAAGCTTGAAGCAGTTCTATTCATGACATCCAGGAACAGGTTTGTACAAGAACCTAGATTGAAATCTGATCACAGTCATGGATGAGCTATACTGACATGGAGAAGCATTTGCTTATTAAAACTTACCAAACGAAGTGGAAGGTTCACAATAGCATTTGCTGTTGGTGAGCCATTTTTCTTCTGTTGGGCAATGCTCAAAATTATCATGCTTGTAACCAATGTCGTAGAACCAGTGTACGTCGCTTTGCTTGAGCATAAGAGCCACAGCAATGGAATGAACAGGAGCATCACCCCATCTTTCATAAAAGAAGCCTCCAGCTTCGTCGAGGTACTTGAAGTAGGACTGATAGCCTTCTGATCGCATGTATTTCACAGACGCAATCTATGGATGGAGTTAAGTCAAATTGGATGATATACCTGTAGTGCTTGATGCTTTACCTCAAAGTTACTCCAGAAATGACACAAATTATACGACCATCCATTGTCATCGCTCACGAGTCTCAGCAAGCTATCAGGTCTTGTGCGAGGATAAATGTACTGAGGATGCGATTTAGCGAATTCTAATGTCGTTTTCCATAGTGAAGGGATAGTAGCTCTGTATTCTCTCAGCGCAATAGTGAAGCCATACTTCAAATCTCTTTCTTGCATCAAACGGAATGGATCATAATCCATATCACACGAGAATTTAACTCCAGGCTCAACACGCCTAAATGAAATATGGATTTGTTTGTTGTGTGATATACATAAACAAATGAATGAGTAAACTTACCAATAATAATCAAGGCCATCTAACAAAGGATGCAGCATGAAAAAGCCTGACTGATAGCGGCACATGTGTCGATAACTCTCACTGCCTCCGTATGGAATGCCTTCAGCGGCTAAATCCTGTCTGCACTGAGCTGCGTAGTCTTGATCTATGTAATCGGGATAGCTCCAGTGCTCTTGTGGCACCAAGCCATAGTGCACTTCAGCATTTGTCATCATGCTAGTCATATTTCTAAATTCTTCGGTGAAGGGTTCTTCATTCAAGAAAATCCAGGGGTAGTTGTACTTGTGGTTGAATCTGTCTTCCAGGTAGCGCATGGAGGAACGCAGGGCATACAGCTCGCTGTTTCTGACCAGCACCACAAACGCACCTTTGACACGCGGTAACGTGGCATCGGTGAGTCGCCTGTATTCGGCATCAACGCTATCATGGGGAGCTATCACTTGCTGATCCTCTTGGTCTAATTTCATAGCAGCAACTGCAGCAGCAGCTTTAGGCACATCGTCCATGGACACGCCCAGGGCATTCTTTTCTTGCATCTGTTTAGGGTCTTGGTACATGGCTTCATACGCTTCGTCTTGCTCTTTGAGCTGCTGTCTCTGCTGCTCAGGATGTGGCTCTTGTTGGCCGCCGTAACCTGCCAAACTGGAATCTCGAAACTGCTTTGCCCTGTCTTTGATCAAGTTGTAGCAATCTGACGATGAATTGCAGTAGCGGTTGTGTGGGATAGACGACGGCTTGTAAATTAGCAGCACGCCTAGCACCAAGATGCAGGCTACAATGATGCGGAACAGGTTCCTTGAAGAGTACATCTGTCTTGAATTCAATGTCATGACAAAAGAATGAAGAATGAGAGGGGAGGAGAGAAAGCAAAAGAAGAAGAAAAAAAAAAAAAAAAAAAAAAAAAAAGCATGGCTTGCTGTAGTCTTTCATATCTCATTCACAGTTTCAATGGAATGTTGTCAATCTTTTTAATTTATTCAATTTTGGAGGGAATTTCGATGCGCTTTTCCTTGATAAAGTCGGTCATTTCAGAGAGGGTTTCAGGATCAATCAACTTGAGCAGCTTCTTTGTGCAGCTGTCCTGGTAAAGATCTGTTTATGTTTAAAAGGCTATATTAATAAAAACACATGTAAACAGTACAAAGATACACTTGCCGTAATTAGAGGTAACGTCGCAGCTGCATTTCTTCAAAAGTGTTTCATTGTAAGGGCAATGCAGAGCACTTGTGTGCGAATAGCCTATCTGGTTGAAGAAATGGATGTCTTTCTTATTCATAAAGAGAGCGGCTGCAATGGTCTGTACGGGGGCATCGCTCCAGCTTTCCATAGAGTGTTAGTCCATGGTATATATGTCATGTCAGTGCTGATGCTTACCGCTCGTAGAAAAAGTTGCCTGTATTGTCTAAATACTTGAAATACTGCTGATATGCTTCAGATCTAAAGAATGACAGATCAGCCAATTGGAAGTTGGACCACAGATGGCACATATTGTAGGTATCGGTCTCCTTCTCCACGATCCACGGCCAGATTGTCTCACTTTGGGGCAAGATGTATTCTGGATAATAGTCCTTGAATTCATTGATACGAGCCCATAGGGTAGGCACTGTCACTGGAGATTCGCGCATGGTAAGCACAAAGCCTAGCTTCTTTTGCTGCTGCTTCATAAACAGAAACATGTCTTGATCCATTTGACAGCTGTAATCAGCGCCTGGCTCCACTCGCCAAGTGTACTCTACATCTCTCAGCAATGGATGATGGAAAAAGTAGCCAGCGTGGTATCTCAGCATTTGATGGTGCGATAAGCTGGCCCCTCGGTTAGCACCGCGCAATTCTTGCTGCAACATGAGAAACTCTGCTCTTGGAATATCAATCCAGTGAGGATACTCCCACACTTGCAAGTCAATTTGGCCAAAGAAGACGGGCGCAGTGGTGATCTTTTTGACGAAACGTTTGAAATCAGCAGTGAAGGCTTGGTTGTTCAGAAACACCCAAGGATACCGAGTGCCGTTGGTCATATGGTCTTCCATGCTCTTGATGACGGATCGAGCATCACCTAGGTTTTCATTCCTAACAATCATGTAGTATGCACCCTTGACTGGGAGATCGTTCCATACGTGATCAGGAATGGTGTCATCTGCAGGTGTCGTATCGGATGGAAACAGGTAGCCAGTCTTGTGATGCTCCAACTCTTCTTCTGGCGCCAATGCATTGGCTGCTGCTTCTGTGAGTCCGTGCTTGGGTGTCGCTTGTATTTGGTTGCAAAAGTAGCGCATGAAATCGACGTCTTTTGTGCTGTATCCGTAGTTCTCTGACAAGGCACCCCAATGGATGCTTCGGCCAAAGAAATAGCACACTGTGATCAAGGTACAGACCAGGGACGAGCGTATGATGATTTTCCACAGCCTGCGACGCCTGTAGGCGGATGGTTTACTAGGCGATGAGATGCTGTCTGTTTCAAATAGATTGTCCTGCAAATGAACCATGTCTAGCGAGCTGCTACTGATGATCAACGGAAAAGAAGAGTGAGAGAGAAAGAGAAGAAAAAAAAAGAGAGAAGGGAAGGCGAGAAATGCTCAGGAAACCCTGTAGTCGTTTGAAGAGAGTAGAGAATGTTGATTTATGTGTGTCTATGTTTATGTGTATAAGCATGAGGCACATTAATATAGACTAAAAAAGCAACATGTGTATATGTAACATTGACGATGATAAACTTTAATCCTCTATAAAGCTGAATATGTCTCTTTTTAGTTTTTGACCCTCTTCTTTCCTTCTCACAACTTGATCGTACACACATCCAATGGGCATACGAAAATACTCTTGCTTGCTACTCCAACTAGGCGTGGGCGTGTATCTCCTAGGCGCACTGTTCTTCTTTGTGGGACGCAAGACCAATCTAGCCCTGCCCAGCTCGTCGTCTGATCTCTGGGAGACGCTCAACACATACAATACCCACCTACAAAAAGACATTCCCAAGTACGATGCTCAATTCAACGCACAACCTGATTCCTACATCATTGATCCGCCCAATCTCCCCTACACAATGAAGGTCAGCTTACCGCCTGCCAGCAATACAACAGAACGTCAAGCAGCTGCCTTTATTGTGCTGGTAAGAAACTCGGAGTTGCCAGGCATGCTACAGTCCATGCACGACGTCGAAGGCAGATTCAACAAAAAGTTCAATTATCCGTGGGTGTTCCTGAACGAAGAGCCGTTTACAGAGGAGTTTAAGCAATTGACAACATTGGCAGCAGCGCCCAGCAAGACACATTACGGGCTCGTGAATGAATCCATGTGGGGTTACCCTTCTTGGATCAGTCAACCAAAAGCGGCCAAGATGAGAGAGATCATGAAGGATGTGCCCTATGGCCAGAGTGAAAGCTATCGCCATATGTGTCGTTTCCAAAGGTATACGCCGTATAAACGCACAATTTTAATCATATATAGCCTAATTTGGACATTTGCATACTATAGTGGCTTCTTCTGGCGCCATCCGTTGGTGTTAAGTCTGAACTTGGAGTACTATTGGCGAGTGGAGCCGGATGTCAGATACTTTTGTGAGCTGGACTATGACCCCTTTCTCTACATGAAGCAGAACAAGAAGAAATACGGTAAATGACGTGTGGGTTATAGGCTGTTTGCAGAGGTACTCACACTGTTTGCACGCAGCCTTCAACATTTCATTCAAGGAGCACTCTGGCACCATTGTCACTTTATGGGACACGGTCAAGAAGTTTGCTCAAGATGCTACCGCGAACGGCAAAAATTACTTTCCCCACAGCGTAAAAGACACCATCTTTCGCTTCTTGTCGACAGACGAAGGCAGAACCTACAATGGATGTCATTTCTGGACAAATTTTGAGATTGCACGCCTGGATTTGTGGCACACGGAAGCCTATCAGGAGTTTTTCGAGTACTTGGATCACAATGGTGGCTTCTTTTATGAGCGATGGGGAGATGCGCCTGTACACTCCATATTTGCTGCACTGTATTTGCACCAAGACGAGGTGCATTTCTTTAACGACATTGGCTACATGCATAGCATCTATCAACATTGCCCTGCAGAGGATCGCTTGATTCGTCGTTGTACTTGCAATCCTAGCGATAGCTTAGGTTAGTATATGTATCTATAGGAGCATTTTCTATGAATACAATGAGGGGGGGGGGGAGCCTGTGCTAACTTTTCTGTAGATTTCACGGACCATATGAGTTGCTTGACCGAATACATGGAAGCAAGACATTATAACAATCCCAATGATAAGAGAACTGTCAATGACATGCTTTTAACGTAGTAAAAGCATAAAATAAATTCGCCGAATACTGGTTCTAGGGCCTTCCTGCTGCGTATATATATCCGTCAATCCAAACAAGTGATCGAGCCACGCAATCCTTGTTTGTTGTTGACAGCTGGCTACGTTTAGAATATATTTTGACTATAAAAAAAAAGAGCATATGGCTATTCTGATCCATAACACTTTCATCTTGACTTATACGCTAGACATGTCTTGCTGGAGTATTTACTTTGACATGGAGCAAGCAGAGCTATATAGATCAAATAACGGTCAATTTTCAGCTCAATATCGAAATGATTACCATACCACTATGGAACATATGTAACTGCTACAGCATCCAAATCCTAGTTTCTGAGTATCTTCGATACTAACGATGGCCTCTGTGTAGATTTGACCGTGCTGCTTTGCAAACAAGACGAACAAGCTCACCCCATCAGTACGAATTGAGGGTGCAGGTATCCCAGAATTCAAAATGCAGGCACTAACACGGCCTTGTTAGACGACAGGCGAGTACCTTGTCATGTGGAATGTGCAAGATATATATATCACAGGCGCATTGACACATACAAAATCAAGAAATTAGACGAAATGATTTTGGCGAGCTGTCAGATCAGTACAAATAACAATGTCGTTGTCACTGTAAGCTTTTCATTGCTCTTTATTACAACAATGATACACTCGTTTTATTATACATAGGCTGCGAATGGCATCACCAAAGTGCCCTTGTCAAAACGCAAAGCATCATCCAGTCAAGCTCTCATGCTGGGACAGCCAGCAAAGAATTCAGAATGCCTTGCAAATATGTAATCGCATTTAGTCGATATCCATTGATGTTGGTGTGACATGAATCGAGGGATCGTTCAACACTTCTATATGCCTATTCTTTCCTTTCAACGAATTCAACATATGCTGGTACGCTAGCTTGTCTCTTGGATCAGTCAGCCTAGATCAATTCAGAAGATGAAAAGCATGAATAAAGCATTGAACCGTTCTGTACATGGCACAAGGATTTTTACCCTGAATTTTCTAGAACAAAATCAGGAATTCTGGGTTTATGCTCGCCTGGCCGTAGTTCCAGCGGTAGTCCGTTCAAAGTCTCATCCACAATTGCTTTCTTGCCATTAATGTCTATAAAGACCATATTACCAGGCTTCATTTCTACACTATCCTCGTCGTCGTCATCATCCGACAGATGATCAATTCGTACGACGTTTTTGTTCTGTGGCATGCTTGTTGATGGGCTGCTATGTGATCCAAATCTGTTATTGTAAAATTGATAATATTGTTGTTGTTGCTGCTGCTGCTGTAGTTGCAAATCTACTTGTACAGAGGGCTGAGCTCGTATGTGGAATGCTCAGCAGTGTCATTCAAACTTACTAGGGTCCAGAGTCATTGCAGCCATTTCTTTTGCAAAGCTTTCTTCAGATATAAACTTCTTTCTAGGTAAACCAAATGAGGATATCTCCAAGTCGTCTGATTGCAACCTCTTTTTATGAGCGTGGTAATGTGGGCTAGTGTAGTTGCTATTCATTGGGAGAGGGTTTAAAGATGATAAAGATGATGTTTATGTATTGTATTTTGGAGTATGCAGAAGAGAGAGAGAGAGGGAGGGAAAGGAGCAAGCGAAAAAAAGCCGGACAATTAATAGGCGTGTTTCATGCTTTATGCTAGCGATGATGATGAATCATTTTCGGATGGAGTAGTAGCACAGCCACAGGGGTATTTCAATTCAATGCCGTTGCAATCGAAAATAGGTTTCTTTAATCGCTCATTCACCTTGTTGTGCATTGCGCATAGCCATTGAGACGCTGAGAACCTCGACGATGTTTGCGGTGGATATGTCGTAATGAGTTTATTGAAATGGTTGGCACTGCATTGATAAGAGTGTCAGTGACTTTTACATATTTCATCAAAAGGAAAGTATTTACCATTCACCACAGGGATATAATGTTGAGAATAGCATCATGAAATCATGCAAGGACTTTCTCTCCTCCTTACTTGGCTTCTCTGGGTACCTTGCCATCATTGTATGCAAAAACTATAAATTGATTGGATTATATTAGATTATGAAGGTTCTGCTAAATGCAAAGGATTACCTTCCAAGTTGCCCTTCCAAGCTCTGCCCTACAAGAGGCATCGTTAGTAACAAATTGGCGAGACACGCAAGCTAATTTCATATACCTCTCAGTCTCATTGCCCATCGCACTCATAATAATGTTGCCGTTTCCTTGAAAGTTGGGTACCTCAGGTACAAATGTTGATTGTTGCTGACTTTGTTGAGCAACATGCGTATCTGACTTGGTCTCGCTAGTATATACAAATAAAATAGAAATAAAAATTAATAGGAAAAGGCCAACTGAGGCCAACACGCTTTGTCGCTTCAGCATGGAGATCATTAGAGAAAGTAAAAGGGAAAAAGGAGGTGTGGTTCTTTCTACCAGGTTTTTAAAAACTTCTCCGCATGTCTTTGTCAGAGGGGGAGGGGGGGAGGGACACCTCCTGGCTATTAAAAGATTTACAGATACATCTAGCCTGTATGTTTGGCAGGTGAAGAACAGGTTCAAGTTGCATGATCTTTCTGATCTATTCCTTATAAAAGTCGAACCTTATGCTGGCACCTGTCAATGAGATAGACGATAATCTAATGATTTGGCATTCAAAAGAATCAAATCTCAACTTGAGTCTCCAAGCACCACACATGCCCAAGTTTTGCTGGCCGAATCAACACTAGCATAAGCAAACCATGCATAAGTTCTCATTGATAGACACGCTCGTTAACTCTGCCAACAAGCTAGCTATAATGACAGACGCGACGGTAGTTATTGTGCGCAATAGAATAACTTCGTGACAAGAATAGCTACAGTTGATCAATAGTTTGCAAAACACGCAGAAGTCTGCGATTAAAAGCGTCATTTCCGTAGATCTGACCTAACTTTAGCGCACATGAAATCAGCTATTCTACTATTAAGCACTGCTGCCATGTTACCATTTGAATTTTCATTGCTTCATGAATGCCATTCATAAGCAACCTGTAACTGCGGATGCAACTCTTGGACGACACTCTATATCTGTTTTGATGAGAACAGGTCATACAAGGACATATAATATACTTGCATTACCTCTTGCTCCCCCCCCGAACTATGCAAATTGCAGCAGAAATAAGACATCTTTAAGCAACAATTCCTAGTGATATGAGCCGTTTTGGGTTGCGAGAATAGTGCCAAACAATTGCTCTGATCTAGCCGTTACTTTCCAGCACCTTTACTCAACTTTTTGGGGATCGTCAAAATTCGACTAAATAGCATGAGGGGTACCTCATGGTTTTCATCGAAAATTAAACGATTGCGTTTTTGATTGCAAAAATGAAGACTTTTTCTATAGCACATATTAGATAAAAATGCTTCTAGCGATCCAACGCTGCCCCCCTAAAAGTCTGTTTGTGAGACGCTCATATATAAATTCTCGGCATTTTGGCTGAAAACGTTAATTCATATTTTCTAAAATTGCTCAATAAACTCATAAAAAAAATGTTTTTTATATACCACGGTTGAATGCGTCTTAAAAAGTACTCCTAGAAAGCTTAAGGGTGCATGAAAGGATCACTACAGCTTACATAGTCGAATCTTGCATAATAGTTAGATGAAGTCGATTTTAATCAAGTTTTGTCCAATCTGGAGCAGAAGAAGAATTGCAGAGATTTAGCTGATTTTGTCGCCATGATGGTAAATGAATGCCACTACTCTCATTATGAAGGTGAATATCAATACAATGTGCATCAATGTCACTATCACCAAGGTCAAATTACGTTTGATTTTTTGAGAGCAAATCCTGCGCTTTGACTTTAACTCAATAGCCCCCCCCCCCAAGGCAAAGATATTACGTTATATGATGTAGAGCAATATGATATAGCCATTTGTTGAAGAATATAACGCGCAATGCTCAAGACTGTCATTACATGAAACAGGATTGGGTTTTTCTTGCCCTGACTATCTATCTTAATAAAGTACAGCAAGTTGGCACATACCAGAAGCAAGTGTTGAATATGTTATATTATACCCTGCGACTACGCAGCGAGCTGCCATATAAAACGATTAGCATAGCGAGAACAAAGGGGCAATGGTTTAGTCAAGTAATTTTAGAAACAGGCAATGTTTTCCATTGTGCGCTGATCTTTATCTCTCATTGTTACGTCTACGATTCCGATAATTTCATGTAATGTATCAGTAAGCGGAGAGGATGAATTTTCTATTGTTCTTGATGAAACATTAAACCATCCCAATTTTGTGGACTTCAAATCCGTAAAACCAGTTTCATTCTATGATTGGTTTTGGTAACGAACAATAGGACCATCGATTTTAGATGAAGGGCAAATGGAAAGGACATGTCTCTGCGAAAAGTGCGTCAAGAAAAAAAACCAAATACATGCTTATCTGAGAGCGTAAATATATATGCAGCGTAGATGAACAGTATGTATTAATAGACTTTTGATTAGATGCGTAAATACAAAAAGTAGCATGATTTCGGAGACGCGGGAGTCATTGCCGATGATTGAATGCGAGGCAATAGATGAAGTTTTTGAGCTTGCAAATTGAATGGATACAATATGGCAGAAGCACATTATTGAATAGTGGCCAGCATGTTGTCTACAACACTAGCGCACAATTTTGTAGCATAAAGGAGATGCATGCAACGAGATGCCGTCATATCCACTTATAGTAGTATTGTTGTGAGATAAATGGGGATACGTGAATTCATCAAGGGTTTCTTTCTTCATCGCGACTACAAAACGTGCAATGGTATAAAAAGGGTCGTCCTTTGCAGGCAATTCTTTCTTCTTTATTACATTACATTAACCAATCTCCTCTCTCCCCCCCCCCCCCCTACTCTGCTCACTATTTGTTTTATACTTGCACTGAAAATGCCCTATTCCAACAGCCAAACCATCAATGATCTTGTTGAACGTCGAGTTGACAAGCTCTTTAATGAATTCTTTACAGACTGTCCTATTGGCCGCAAGTCAGTTTCTGGTTGTCCTGCCATTGGTGATGGCAAAACATCTCTTCACTTGTCGTCCAAATACGCCACTCAATTTTTCACCGAGTGCCCTTATGGCAAAAAGGCCATTGCTGAATGCCCCTACGCTAAGGAAATCCTTGAGAAGGCTCACAAGGGCAGGACCAGTCATTTCCATGGCCATGGCCATGGCCACAGCTCTGGTAAAGTTCCTGAATACGCCACTGAGTTCTTCACTGAATGCCCCTACGGTCGTCGCGTTGCTGATCAATGTCCATATAGTCATGATATCGTCGAAAAAGCCCACAAGAAGACCTTCCATGCTCATCATGGTCGTGGTCATGGCCATACGCGCCATCCTGATTACGCTCAAGAGTTTTTTACTGAGTGCCCCTATGGTAAGAAGGTTGCTGATCAATGTCCATACGGCCAAGAAATTCTTGATAAGGCACACAACAAAAAATCTGTCAAGTCATGTCATTATCACGGAAGCAGTGGTCATCCTGATTATGTCGAGGAGTTCTTTACTGAATGCCCCTATGGTAAGAAGGTCGCTGACCAATGTCCCTATGGCCATGAAATCCTTGATAAGGCACATAAGAAGGCTGTAAATGCTTGTCATCATGGTAGCAATGGTCATCATGATTACGTCGAGGAATTTTTCACCGAATGTCCCTATGGTAAGAAGGTTGCTGGTCAATGTCCTTATGGCCATGAAATCCTTGAAAAAGCCAGCAAGTCTCCCAAGTCTCGTCGTTCAAGCAGTGATCATTCTGATTACGTTGATGAGTTTTTCCTTGAATGTCCCTATGGTAAGAAGGCTGCAGAAGAGTGTCCCTATGGTCATAACCTTTTGGAGAAGGCTGGTATTAATGTGCCTCCATTGAAGAAGCATGAAGAAGGCAGTGAAGAGCCCGCCAAGTGCCCTTTTGCTGGCATGTCTTCTCCTGGAGATAAATGTCCTATCTCTGGTGCTACGGATGATACGGATGCTACTGCTACTACTACCAAGACTACTGGTAAGTGCCCTGTGGGCGGTGTCATGCCTCGAAGCGAAAAATGTCCCATCAGTCCCAATTACAAGAAGCCTTTCGTTCCTGTTGTTGATTCTTATGAGACTGATAATGATTTCAAGTTCTTTGTTGAACTTCCTGGTGTTGGTAAGGGTGACATCAAGTTGGATATCAAGGACAAGTTGTTGACTTTGTCGGGTGAGGTCAAGACCACTGCTGAGGAATCTGAAGGCAATGCCCGCTTCACTGAAAGAACATTGGGTGCTTTCTCTCGTACCATTTCGCTCCAAGACAATGTATCTGTAGACAAGATCAAGGCTAAATTGGAGAACGGCGTTCTTGCCATCACTGTTCCCAAAGGTATCCCTTCTGTGAAGAAGTCTATTACCATCAACTAAATAGCGATTCACCAAACTGTTGTAACGCACATGTTTTCTCTATTTATTAAACACTGTATGCTTTTTGAAATAAACCCAATGTTCTTTTTCATAACCGGTGATTGTAACAATATAATAGTATTTAACAAATTGGGTGGTGTTAGTGTATGTACTTGTTCTTAATGTTGCGCTTGATTCGCAAAATTGGTATCCTATTTGAGGCATGAAATCAGCTGCTGAGACTACCTGTATCGTATCAGCAACATTTGAAGCACTCTTGTCAGAGATTGTGAAGGATGGCGTGGTGCCTGGGAGCTTGGCTCTTGACATTCCGTTTACAGGGTGGCAGTAGCTTTGCCCAAACCAATATACATAGTTGACGACACGACGCATTTCTATATATATTAATATACTTCATTATGCCCATCCATTGTTCTTAAAAACGTGCTTGAAGACATGATGGTACTGATATCATCTCAGCAAAATAAAGAATAAGGTTGTAACTTACGTATAATCAATTGCAATTTTACACATAGATTATATCATACAATGATCTGAAATTTTTAAACTAGGGGAAGTTAGCAAGAGCAAATGCTACTTTACAGCTGCAATTGTTCTATTGAGCCAGTGTAGATCAAACAAGGCTAGAGGAGTCTTCTAAATATCGCTGAGTGATTGTGCAAAAATCGGGAATACATAAGCCTATACCAGTGCAATCTCTTTGTGTATAGGTGCGCTTGTATACTGAATTGCCCTATTTCAAACTACTTAAAGACACGATGGATCACCTGCTAAAAGTTAAAGCAATCAATACTTATAAAATACCACTATTATACAACATATTATCGACAGTGTAGCGTAAAAACATATTACGTATGTTTCATCATGCCAATATTTAAGGCTTAATGATGAATATTATCTTATTGTAGCCTACTTTCTGCAGAACAAGTGATATGCAAATTAGGTTCATCATAATTTGCCAGAAAGATCTACAAAACAATTGTGATCTAGGATCCACATAAATTATTAGCATCAATCATGAACATCAAATTTACATAAGGAGAGACTAATTGCATAAAATATAAAATTTCGCTTTATCATTATTAAATTATCTGACAAAACAGCCTCCAAATTATTCAATCAATTTGTTATACAGTATCAAATGTCCTAGCAATGTTTCGCACTAAAGGTTTTCTTGGGCTATTCTTAGGCTCTTTGGGCAACTCTGCTTTATCATAATCTACAAATCACTTGCTAGTAGGTAGATAGTAAATCAATTTGTATTATACTTGATCATCATCTAGTAGACCCTACTAGCATAACGAAAAATATATAAATGCATTCTGAAGTGAACTAGACTAGATTCCCATCATAAACAAAGCCCGAAATAAATGTCATCTCAATAAAACCATGCTACCATCAGCAGGTAAGCATGCATAATAATAGTATTAGCATGGTGATAGCAAGGGTTAAATGCTTTAAAATAAGAGATGACAGATACTAAAGTAAATGTCAAGGGTATTGTAATGTGTTGTAACATAAATATACCTAAAAAGGATACAGGCTCAACAATAAAGAGCTATTCTTTACGCATGATTCAAAAACCATATATTGAAATACCGTTCTTGATCCATCAGATCAACAACTAAATGACCCAACAAAAATATATAAAGTAATGGAATCACTGGCAACTACTAAACTGCTGCCAGATAAGAGATATAGACCAAATAATATAAATAGAGACATAGAATATACACTTTATTGCACATTATCCTAATTTCAAATAAAGAAGGATTTTAACAGTATTCTACCTGCTTTTTTAACCCCTTTTTTACTGCACATTCCTCTCAGTAAAATTGTAATTTTTCGGCAGATTTAATTTTATATTTTATTTTGACATAACAATGTAAAAATATATCAAATAGATGATGATTTTTATTATTTCTCAAATTGATTCAGCATTTACAATAATCGAAAAGTTACACGCAGCAGACCTCGTCGGTACTACTAATTGACAGCTGCTTATGCCAAATGTACACTTGCCGCCTGTAGAGATATATTTTTATTACTGTTTGACAACGAATGTAGCGATTGAAGATCCATTCATATGTTTAGCAACCGCTCAAGTAGGCATATAATCCTCCTGATAAGAACATCCTACTTCTGAATATAAACAGATTTAAGTTATATTTATTTGGATACACATTTTATTACAAACACAAAACTATCATAAATGACAGATCAATAGGAAATTAACTGGTTGTTGACCTTCGCTGCTTCAACCTCTCAGCCAATCAAGTCGCTCAAAAACTCCGCTGACCTAAAAAAATTTTGCGAGGGTTTCCCCCTGTTCTGATGTGAGGCAAAATTTTAAGCTCCGCTATATATAGCAATATAGCTGTTGCTATCATCAAATTTCCCCCAGGTGCTAGAGCATGCCTTACTTACACCACCTAGCTTTAAATTCAGGCATTGAGACCCTCAATCATCACTAAAGTAAGTAGCGATGACCAAGTGGAGGCGGCCTATCTACCTCCTGGTGTCGGATAAAGTCTTGTTGAGCTTCAGGGATAGGCACATCCACACAACGTAAAAAAAAGGTATGCTTCAAAAGAAACATAATACTATAAGAGTATAGTAGTATGTAGGTAAAAAAAAAAAGAAATGCTCACACGAAGCAAGTCAAAGAAAAGCATAACAAATACAACATCAAAGATGTTTAAAAAAAATCGTTGCTGTTGCAAGAAAAATGCATACATGAGCAACGCGCATGATAGTAATAGTCGGATGTAAAGCAACATGGCACAAATACGCACAACTGCAAAAGCAACAGTGGTATTATAAGCTTGCGATACAACATAATGACTAATATTGTTTCATGTAAAGCTACAGAGGAAACACCACCAACAAAAGAAAAAGAAGAAAAAAGCGCAACAAGGCAAACATCATGAATGCATTATCACAAGAAAGGAAGCAAAAATATAAGCGTTCAAAGAAGTTATATATCATTGCGACCAGAAGAAAGAAGATACTTACCACTTACCACAGCCACAGATAAACCAGAAGAGTATAGGCAATTACCGGAGACAGACCAGAGAACGAGCATGCATCAAATATAGTAGACCGGGAAAGACCATATAAGCAGCAGCAGCAGCAACACCAGCGCCATAGAAAACCTAAAGAACGAGCGCCATCAGCAGAGAGCAGACAAAGACCAAAGAAATTACTTACCAATTATCACCACCACAGGTACGCCAGAGGATATGCAATCACCAGAGATAGACGAGAGAACGAGCATACATCACAGATAGCAGACCAGAAAAGACCAGACTAACAGCAGCAGCAAGACCATTAGCAACACCAGCAGCAATATCAGCACGGTAGAAAAACCGAAGAACGAGCGACACCAGAGGCCTGACAGAGACTAAGGAAGCAACCGCCGGAGACAGAGACCAAAGAAGCAATTACCAGACATAATGACCAATGAATCAGACAACAGAGAGAGCAGAGAAGCAAGGATATCAGCACCCACGTCAAACAGGCAAAAAAATTATCAAAACCTAATAAACAAATTCGATTAGTACTAATTCTACGTCTTCCAGTGCTCGTTATGGAATGGTACCTACTATATCCTACTTGAAAGAAGCAGTGTCAAGCACTTTTAACAGTACATGACCGTGTTATCAGAAGCTAGAGTGTTATTTTCAACCAAAAGGGTTCCAAAACCAATATGGTTTGATACTAAACGCGTTTTGCAAAAGGGATAAAAAAACGAGTGAATGTAAAATGAGAGAACGCCCTACTTGACGTCACGGCCAGTAGATTTGTTCTTAGCCTTCTGCGGTGGTGTCAGCCGCAACTGCTGCACTTTAATTTGAAATTGTGCAGTGGGTATTTTCGTGCTCAAATTTGACTTGATCTCACATTCTTTAAACGTTTTTGCTAAATTTGATTATGAAAACTGTCGTTGTAATACTTTACTTTCTAATGTGTTTATAAAGAGTCAATGAAGACGCATCGAATGATGCTAATTACATGTAGCTCTCAGACCGAAAATAACGAGCAACTTGCAAAAATATGAAAACAGGTTTTCTGTGAATATGTCAAAATTTAGCATATGCAAGTCTCATAGAAAGAGTATCTAGTGCTGCATTCCATCTTTACGATTGATTTGGTCTAATATGTATCATAGAAAAAGTCTTCATTTTAGGGGTGAAAAACGCGATCGTTTAATTTTCAAGAATTTTCCCTTGCTAATACTCATGGAAAAACGGTGAATCTCATGAATTTGGAATGACCCAAAAAAAACTGAGATAAAGCATCATTAAGTAAGATGTATCAAAGGTGAGCCGTTTGTTGCTATTCCAGGCGCACAGAACGCTTTGTAGTAGCATGAGTTATAATTTATTATAAATAAATTATTTATATAAAAGAGCATGAAATTAATCAGGTAAATAATATCGTTTATTACATTATTGGAAATACGAGGGTTTATATACTATTCAAATTGAGGGATTTGATGTGAGGATAAGGTATTAGATGGGTTGATTTGGGTGATAGGATAATAGATTGGATCTATTATCCTCAACATGCCATGATTCGGATCCTAACTGAATCCTGTTGTGGAATTTGAGGCTTGATAGACTAAAATTCACGGAAAAAAAAGAATAAAAAAAACAGTAAAGTCAACTTGATAAAGGTATGTTTTATTATCAAACTGACAGGTGTAAAGTAAAACTGAAGTCTCTCTACTGGCCAGGTAGATGATCCTTCTTATATACTATAACAATGGATAAAAGTTCTATTAATTAGATTAACAAATAAGTCAACTCAGATCAACTAATGTCTAATCATGCTAAAAGACAACTCCAGTAAGCTAATCATGATTTAGCTCTGTCTGGATGAATAATCAGACTCTCATCCGAAGTACCCTAATCTATCCTTTCTATAAGGATAATTAATATCGATCTAGTAGCATATATCCGATAGGTACAGTCTTCTTAGTCTATATTAATAGTACATATCTGAGTGTATATCGCTGAGCAGACATTTTTAGCATGTATCTGGATATATGGCATGTCTATAGCATATCGTATGCATGTCTGTAGCATGTCTCATATATAGTACAAGTCTGTAGTACATAAAGTATCTGTAGCTAGTATCACGGATATAAGCATGTGTCTTATAGCGTGGATCATGAAGTGCACATCTGAAGCAACAAGCTCATATTGCATTAATTTTGGTGCCTATCCAGATATGTCAAACATCCGTAGTCAATGTCGGAATACAAGTATAAGTCTATAGCGCCATCCATGTCCGTGGTGCTATCTATAGCCTATATCTTATATAGTATGAATCTTATAGTACTAGCGTATCTGAAGTCCATATCTTCTTATAGTATAAATCGATGTCGTACATCTAATCCAGTGTACATACAGTTTATATCTAAATCTGTTAACTGGATAGACTGTCGGAATGCAGATCATAGTGGATGTATTGCACACTAAAGATTAATCAGTATCTGTCATCAAAACATTTTGTTAAGCATTACTAAACATTGTAGACCAAAAAATTTCCTATCCAATGAGCCTTTGCTCGAAGCTCTGGTATAACTCTATCATGAAATATTGACAATCTTGTCCTAACCAAAAAATCGTCATCGGATTTTTTGCTTGCTATCACAGGCAGATTTTGAACGAAAATTAGTGATTTTGCATGATACCCTTTTTTGGCAGTATCTCGACAAACACTCACCGGATTCGCACAAGACAAAAACCATTCGATAGCTTTACATAATATCCATTGTAATATAAAGGTTTTAAGTACCAGATGTACGTTCCCTTCATAAATTTGCTCAAAATCATATATTTTATGAGCTACAAGCAGGGGATATTCAGAAAAATTTATATTTATCTATAGTAATCATACCATCGTATAGAGAATCCAAAAAGTAACAGAAGCTACTAAGCTTTAGGCTCGGATTCATTTAGTAAAATCCTAAGGTAAAACCTTTTGAAAACTAACCGTTTTGACTATTTTTCCTCATTGCTCATCCAAATTGTCCTCAACAAGCCCAATTCAAACACGTCCTAATCAATCAAAGTACCCTCTACAACTTTTACTGCACATACAACCATCATTTATATAATGTTCAAAAAGTTTTGTTATGCCAGAAGGGCTACAACTGTCTATAAAGATTAAGGTATTTTTGATGGGTAGATATGTCTGTGTTGTGCAACAACATGGACAAGCTATGATAATTGAAGTGCATCTCAGCTATCTAAATACTGAGGTTCATCAGATGTGATAAGCGTTGTACAAGATTAATTGCTACTGTTATATCAAATGTCATAGCAAGGTCTCACACTAAAGGTTTTAGGCTATTCTTAGGTCCTTTGGGTAAATCATGCTAATCATGATTTACAAATCAATTGTTGGGTAGATAGTAAACCTATTTGTATTATAGTTCATCATCATGCTGTAAACCCTAGCATAATGAAAAGTATATAAATGCATCCTTGGGATGCATTCTCAATAAAAGTGTAATTCTTTGGCAGATTCAATTTTACATTGTATTTTGACATAACAGCTACTTTGGCATTCAGAACTTAGTATAAATAGAATAACTCTTGTCTTCATCAATAAATCTTTAGTTTTTGTGTCTGATCTTATTCAAATAAGTCTCTTCTTGTTTTTATAATATCGAACATTTTTTATAAGCTACAAATAATAATCCTTTTATTCTTTGCGCTTAACAAGTTTTATTAATAGCTTCTGTCCAAATTTCGCAAATTTCAAAAAATTACTGATTCCTCATCATCAACGCATCCTATCTAAAATCCAATTGCACCATCGTCTTCTCCGCAAAAATTCGCTATAATAATATGCTACTTTCAAAGCTCTAGCATCAATATTTCAAAAATCGATTTTCGATCGTCCAAAAGTTGAAAACCTCAAAATCAAAAAAACATTTTGTACATTTAGAATTTTTAATCTAAGTCAGAGGATAGCGACTGATAAAAATGAAACATATTGCAAATCAATGAAAAGCAACGCATATTTGGCAGAGCATTTGGTACTGAGAGGACCTGGTACAATACCGAGTGTACTCCTGTATCTAGATATATCACTTTCCCCAGAGAGTGACTAATTAAAGGATATCCCTCAACTGAAATTACGTTAGTTCTATGGATGCTACAGCAAATAATTGCACCTTATTCTACTCTTGAATAAAGACGGGTTTAAGTTGTGTCTATTTGGATACCCTTTTATTACAAACATATAATCGTGATTGTTTAGGATATAGATCATCTCTGAGAGGCAAAGGTATTACAAGTTGTATAGTGCAGAAGAAGGACTGAGCAGGGGCAGAGATGCGCGGTATATTGAGATCTCTTTATTCAGACAGTGCAAAGGAATAAGAGTGGTGCTAATCTACATCCTGATTCCTAAAGTGTGGTAACATATGGCCTTTCGTCCCTGAAAGCGGATTTCAATTCTAACAAATATTCTTCCGTCAAAGCTACTATGAAGAGTATTCACTTTTGAATCCTCATTGTTGTTCATTCCTGACTGGTGGTTCATGAGCTTTCGCGCAGCACATCTTCGTTAACTAGTCCAAGGCTTATACAGCTATCCCGTATTCAAGATTAAGGTCCTATTGCTGCGGCACTGTCAAATAACTATAAATGCCTTCGAATTTACACTAGTTTTAATCCTCTTTCAATCTTGGAATAACATAATTAATATATTCAATTCTAATTGTATTTTCCCTGTCTATATTTCGCTATTTTAAGAAAAAACTACACGATACGGAAATGAAATCCTGAAGAAAAGATATATATATATATATATATTACAGTAGCATACAAGTAATAGCTAACATTTGGCTCGTAGAGAATATGAGATATATACATTTTAAAGAATAAGGCCATTATGTCTATTCTATCAGCCTACCGTCCACCTTTGGGCCGCATCACCAATTCAATATCTTCATCTGAATCATGGTTTAATCCGGACAAGTTCAGCGATGAAGACCCAGCTTCATGGTCTTCTAATAGTGCAGCCTCCTCCATCAAAAAGCGTTCATTTTCATCCTCTTCTTCGGAGGAAGTATCATCATGCAAATGATGGGTTTCTGATCCTGAGCCTCTGGCAATTGAATCTAATAAATAAACGCCTGTAAAAATAATGATAAATCCACAAATCAAGGAAGCTACGTTGATGGGATTGTCCGTGTTGAAGCCCTGGAATAAGATGGCTGAAGCAATAATTGTGGCTGTTGTGAAACAAACAAAGTAGATGGGGTTGACGCTATGAAAAATGTAAACTGAGGATTTGGACATTCTGCATCGTACGAATGTATACATACACGTTGGTAGAGAATTGCTCCAAGGCCTTGTTAAAATAATTCATCTGAACAACAATGCAAATTGCTACAATCAAGGCGAAAGCATAGGTAGATGGATGAGTGAATTGGTTGTTTCCAGCAAATGTTAATTTCAGTGCAATTCCAAAGGCTTTGATGGCCATCACTGACACAGACCCCACCAAAGAGCAGATCGAGATGTAAACAAACGGATTCTGAGTGCCATAGACAGGCACAACATTGAATATCATAAATAGGCTGACACAAAGTACCATGATACAGTACATTACAAAACCTTTTGATGATATTCATCATGAGAACAAATAATTTTATTTTCCACCAACCACAACTCAACTTACCTGGCTGTAGCGCATAGAATAATAGCTCATCTATTGAAGTTACATCCTTGTCTTCGGGAGCATGCAAAACAACTATGAATGCCCCTACTACAGATAACAAACATCCAACTTTTCCAATGGCACCCAATTTTTCCTTCAAAAATACTGATGCGAATATAGCCCTGAGGATAAAAAGTTAGTAAAAGTGCGAGATACAAGTGTCTATAAACCTACCCGAGAATGACACTGAGAGATCCCAGAGGTGTAATCTAATATGAACATCATCAACCTCTGCTTACCCCTCAGCACAAATCAAACTTACTAATATCGGTGGTGCAAATGAATATGCCGAAAAGTTCAATATTTCACCGACGGCCACTGAGGATAGATTGTTAGATCAAAGCATTCCCCTTTCTATTTGAAATTTCTTGATATATACTTGTTCCTATTCCAGCCCACCATGTCCAATTCCTTAAATAATGATGCTTTCCCTCGGCTGCTGACGCACCTGAAATGCCGTTAGCGTTCAATGATATGTTGCTCAGCAATTCAGCATTTACCGTGTCGTCGTTTGGAGCTCACCAATCCTTTCTTTGTGATGACAAATGAAAGCCCAATGAAAATACTAGAGCTCATTGCTAGTACCAACCCAATGTACTTTTCCTGCAACATTTTAATATATGTATATATAAATAATGGGGGAGGAAATGAATGAGAAAGAGGAAGAAAAGAGAGGGTGAGAGAGGGAAAGATGTTGGAATTAAAGCAGCAGCCCACATGCTTTTAAAGCCCAGTACGAGAGTGGCACAAGCTATTCTGGATTCTCCTCGATACACCCTGGCGCAATGTAATTAGAAAAGCACCAATTGACAATCCTAGCCCTCTCTCTCCTTTCATTTTGTTCCTTCATACCAAGAAAGATGCTTTCTCTTCTCACTAAAAATGTGTTTGGTCGTTTCATGACACAATCAACCATCAACAATAACAACATGATGGCTCTCCGTACCATGGCAACCAAGACAAACAAAACTGCCAAACTTAAGGGTGCACTGAAGGTATAAGAAAAAATTTCTCATTTAGCAGATTACAATGTACTTATACAATGTGTAGGCCAAGCAAAGAAAGAGACGTGCCAGAGTTGCTAAATAAACCATTTGTAGATACTTGTACATGACTAGATAATAAATGATATTTTATTATATAAACGAGACAGCAGGATGGAGAGGGGTGGTATATGTGTGTCATTTTCACATTGGAGAAAATGTCTTTAGCAAGGGCAAAATTCAGTTGAATGAGGTCCGTTACAATTAAAGCATGTTTGGATAGGATTCAATGCTTTCAGGACTTGAAGATTATACATGCTCGGCGATGAATGCAACGTTGGCTGGAGATTGGGTCGAGGAAACGAGTTCAGTACGGCAGATTCAGTGACTACAGATGGCTTTTTTACTGTGGAAGTGGTTGAATACTGAGGTTGTTGCTGTCTAAGGACAGTAGACGAGATGGGCCCTAATGATTTAGCAGCAAATGGCTTTGCTGTGGTTGTCAGTAAGGTCGAGAAGGACCCAAGAGGAGGTGGCATTGTCTTGTTTAAGATGAAAAGGCGGGAAGAAGAAAAGAAGCAAACGTACCATCTCTGCTTCTCAAATACGCAAACGCCGTCGTCTAGTTTTACCAAATGAGAAACGCTGATAAACTTTCTAGAAACAATGTTCTCTGGGGATTTCTATTTCTTGCATTTTCCAGTTTACCTGACATTTGCTGCCATTATTGAAATGTATTTGCAGTAATTAAAGAGTACAGGATTTATTCATTCCAATTAAAATTACAAGGCAACGTCAGGTTTTATGATATAATTTCCTCTGTGTGCGTCGTGCTGATAATCGATAGCAACATCGGGGACATTGATAGATGCAACTGCGGTTGTCTCTGTGTTGGTGTTTGTCATTGCAGGCGAGAACTGTATCATTGCTTCTTGCTCTTGAACACTAGGCTCGTATGGTTTGTTATGGCTGGTGTATATGTCTTTTGTATTAATGTCTGACACTGGATATGCCTCTGTGTATCCGCCTTCAATAGCGTCCCAATCTACAGAGAGTTGTTCTTCTTTGTCTTCCTCGACTGGCTTCTCTTCACTCTTCTTTTTTTTCATTAGAAAGAAGGCAATCAGGCCAATGACCAGAAGGCCGCCTACAGCACCTCCAACAGCACCTCCAATGGTGCCGCCTGATCCATTCTCGTTGACAGGGGCTGGCACGCTACTTTCTACCGGCTTGGCCGTTTGAGTACTATCGACAAATGCCACAGCTTTGGGGTCAGAGACATTTAAAGCAAGGACAGTATCATAGTTATCCACCACAGATTTGTCATTTGCATAGCCAAACAAGATGTAGACAATCTTCTTGGCGTCATCCAATACAGCTAAAGTTGATAATTCTTTTAGCACTTGTTGAGCAGTTAATGATGCACGCCTTCAGCGTACCTGAGTGCTCGGCTCGATATGTAATCCCGTTATTAGGTAATCCAATAGTGTTGCAGGATGACCAGACAAAGGTCTCCAGATTTGCCACAAAGCAAAAGTCTCTTGAGGCTATCATGACATTAGGGATTAGTATATTATATAACTAATAAAGGGCAAGGATACACTTACGATTTGCATCATTTGTAGTGCCACCATACAGCAAAACATCTTGACCAGAAGGCACTATCATATAAAACCGTGTAAATACAAAGATTGCATCAATACTTTGGAAACTCACAAAGTGTCATTGTGTGGTATCTTCGTACTGTGGGAATGACACCGCCAGTGAAAGCTTGCTTGCCCCATGTTGAAGTGGCTGTATCAAACACAATGGCTTCTTGGAATGTCAAATTTGCTGTTCCAACTGCACTCACATCATTGTAGTATCCTCCAAAATAATAGATTTTCTTACTGCTGGTATGATAGATAGATGATTGCATATAGTAGTCGATTGTAGGGGGGTTTTGTTGAGGAATGATTTGCCATGGCTATAGTGACATTTTAGTAGGGAAGTCATGTATGTACGCTACTTGCTCTTACATTGCTTGCTCCACTGTTGATATCAAGAGTTGTCATTCTGTAGTATCCAATTTTTGATCGAGTAGCGTCAGATGCGAAGATTGGGTTTGAGATATTTACATTTGTTAATGTATCGAGGTACCAGGTATTGACGGGGTAGTTTTCCACACCACCATAAAAGTAGAATTTTGATTGTTCTGGAACATATGTGGCTGTTGCTAAATAACTACAGAAGGATACTTAATACGAGCCCTCAAATATCGATATACATCATACATCTGTCTGTATTTCCCATTTGGTCCATCGTCAAACTCTGCAAGCGATTTCCATGATTTTGTTTCTGCGTTAAAAACTAAATGTTGAGGTGTGGTGCTATGGTTTGAATACGGGAAACCTCCACTAATGAGTAGATTTTTGCCATCACTTGGAACTGCAACTTGTGCTCTTCCTCTGACTTCAGTTGACGCAATATTGGCATTTACTACATTTGTGATTTCTTCCCATTTGGTTTCAAAATTATCAGTGACATTCGTAATGTCCAAAGTATAAAGCGATGTGTCTCTTTTTACAGCTGAACTGGGCCCTGTCCAGCCGCCATAGCAGTAGATTTTTCCACTCAAGAGAGCACAGCCTGGTTTTGTACTCCTTGTTAAAAACTTGATTCAGCTATATAAACTATATAAACATACTGGGTGATCTTCTGGGAGGAGGTGTTGTATATATTTGAGCGTTGGTAAATGTTATACCAAAAGCCAACATAGTTACGGCCGAATAATAAAAAGAACGCATATTGCAGCTGTAAGAAAAAAGAAAGAAAGAAAGAGAGAGATCAGTCTTATAACCGAACGAGGAAGAAGGAGGAGTATCTACACTTTTTAATGACAAGTGATACCTCATACATGAAAATGGGAATCTTACAATTTCAGTGTCGCACAGCATCAAAAGCAACAAGCAAGCTCATTGTATGAACATACATTCCTCAAGTTATCATGAAGAACCACCTCAAAGAGAATATGCAATCAAAAAATACAATCCGTTATAGCAAATGCTATTCAAAATTGCACTTTTGGCCATGCGTTTATCACTCAAACGACTGCGTCAAGTGTTCCATAAATGAAGTTGCATCCTGTAATTGAACAAAGTTTTTGTCCTACTGTAGATGCTTTAAATAGTGAACAGCCTGCGCTAAACTGAGTTGTTGTATATCAGGAGTGCAACGTGAGACCAGAACAAAGTGTTCTGCACAGCCCCAAGACACCTTATTTTAGTGATTGAAATCTGCAAGCAGGAATATTTCATAACTGCAAATCAACATGTGTTGGTCATACCAACTGAAAAAGAAACTCGATAAAGGTTTCAGGGCTCATCCGTACGACTATTTTATATTGCTTAGTACATAGAGTCGTTGCATGTATTCCAAATACATACTAAATCTTGCCTAAATCAAGAAAGCATTGCATTAAGGAATCACTATGAAACGATATATTGACAAGCAAAAGTGCGTATAGTTTTAGTGGCGACAATCTACTCTTACTGCCATTCAATGTTTCCAACAGGTTGGTTCTGTGTCCAGATAGTGTCATATGCATTTATGAAGATCAATTAGAATGTGCTATTTTTAAAAGAGGACCCTTTGTAGGTACTGAGTACACTGCCAGCAACAAGACCTTGTGATATATACTGTATATATGTATTCTCAAATGCATGCGAAAGAGTGGGGGTAGTGATGGCTTTAATTTCAAATATTTCAATGCTGTAGGCATTCGAAAACTGTGTACGTTGTAACCGAGCAAGCTCAGCTTAAAGCTATTTGAGAAGTTTCTTTCTAGACTTTAACATGATGGCAAATGCTGAATGGCTAATAAGGCACGAATGCTTTGTAAGCTCATAACATTCAAGTCATACTTGGAGTGCTACCGTAATTTGTGCATGGTATTAATATGCACTTACGCTTTACTTGACACATTTGCATTACCTTGTGTGGAGCTTCTACAAGCGGCCTGTAACTGCGGATCTGACTCTTTTAAGATGCATCATAGCTGTTTTAATAGAGACAATTTATGTACGAGCTGGCAGCAAGCTTTCCTTGCCTCTCATTAATCAAGAGTAGACAAAACACAGCGAAATTTGGGTGCACTTGGGCCGCGATATCTCGTGTTAGAAGCCGTTCCAGGCTGTCGGAATAGCACCAAACGGTTGTTTTCACCTAGCACTAGCTTCCTAGCACCTTCGCCAAACTTTTTTGGGATCAGAAAAACATCACCAAAAATCGACCCCAAACCATGAGGGGTACCTCATGCTTTTCATCAAAAATCAAACGATCACATTTTTGACCTTCAAAATGAAGACTTTTACTATGGTAAATCTTGAATCAAAATGTTTCCCTCGATCCAAGGCAGCCCCTGAAACTACTTTTGTTGGACTTTGCTATGTGATTTCTCAACATTTTGGCGGAAAACCTCAATTCATATTTCCCGATTTGCTCTGTGAATTTATTCTAAATGTCTATTATGATTGCCACCGTTAGATGCGCCTAAAAAAGTAATACAAAAATCTAGTAGATCTTATTGGACGATTTCCACTATTTCCATAGTCGAATTCTGCAAGATAGATAGATCAAGTCGATTTTTGTCAAAATCTGTCCAATCTCAAGCAAAGATATAATTCTAAGTTTCAATATAATCTGGCTGAGAAAAAGCTGAAAAATTAATGTTTTTAATATCAACAACCAGAAGAGAATTGCGACAGGTACAAGAGCTTAATCCGGATACTTGGCTTTGTTTCTACTACATGCTATTGTAGGGCTAATTACTGAAAATCATGTTTCAAATTCGAACCTTGATGCAAAGTGCAAATTTGCCACCTTGATTCGAATGTTTCGAGAGCGGACCCTATTTTGTTTTATTTTAAATAGTCTTCATGGTAATGATAGCATCAGACATGATATCGAGCAAAACAACGAAACCATTTGTCTATTACCACTGTGTTGAAGCGTGAGAATCCCAGTACCTTATGTCATTAGACATTTCCAATATACCAATACCATTGTCCATCAAATAATCGAACCACAGAATAGAACAAGATCCTCACTGAGCAATAGTGAGGACACAGGGCTAACCATCAATACTTTTTTTGCATTCGCACATAATTTGTTCAAACGACCATGTCCCGTCATCTCATAGAATGCCCCATCACAATCCAAATGTAGTTGCTGCAATATGAAATTACGCATAGTTTTCAAAACTTTATTCCATCCTCCTCTCTATTATAGTGTGGTATATTGGACGTAGCAAAAAGAAGGCGAACAAGTGTAAGAGGTATATTATCTAGGCTGTAGCTGTCAGTTTCTGTAGTTTGGTGCAGTCGTATCCATGTGCACGGATGTCTTTTTTGGTTTCCGAAGGGTCATCCAAGGTTTGTTCCAAATAAAAAGCCTGGGAAATGTAAAATTATCAGAATCCCACACCATCACCATGTTGCAAAGCACTATTCTACTTACCAAAAACCCCTTCTTTGTCAACCATCCCTGGTCATTTGCACCAAATCGCTGACCCATATTCTCGATAAACGATGTAGGAGGATGCTGTCCATTTGTTGAAAAGACGAATAAATCCAATTCTTTGGGATTGAGACATTCATCACGATCCTCATCAAATCTGTTGAAAATCTCGAATAACACCCGTAATAACTCGGGTGATAAGTTTTCATTGACTAATAGAGGTAAATCATTGACATCTTGCTTGTCGTTCTGCATGATAGATAAAATTTCCTTTTCCAGTTCTAACGAGCTATCAGCGTCAAGCCAAATGCCAACCCACGCTTCTTAGCACTTACCGTCAAATGGCTCGAATGACGAGTCGACGAGTCTTCCCATATCCAAAATATCCAAAGCATCTTCCAGTTGATTCAGGATGAACAGGATAAAGCCCAAAATGTAGTAGCATCCAGCATGTCCCGGTAAAATGTCTAGTTAATTCAGGTTGGCATTATTCCAGAAAGTTCAGCGCTAAATAGAAAAAAAAAAAAAAAAAAAAAAACTTACCTAATATCCACAGCATCTTTGAGGCGACATGCACCAAGACAGAGTAGTTCATGTCATCTTGCAATGTCGTTAATGATTTACGAGCGTCTTTATATTCTTTGTTTCCTTGATCCAGCAAGGTGGCATTGTCAGCTTCGTTAATTGATTCAGTTTTTGCAATGTAGTATTCACGCCAATTTCCGGGTTCCTTTTCAAACTTCTTTGATAGATCGTTTGATAATTCCAGGCCAGTGGATTTGACAATGATGTCGTATAAGCGAAATAAATCACCAAAATCTTGTATCGATTTACTGCCGAGAACGTTAATGCCATGCTCGCCATTGCTCTATTCCAATCTTTACTCACTTTTTCCAAAAATCCTCATTGATGAGGATATTTTCATACTGTGACCTTGAGCATAAACCAAATGTGACGATATCCTTTGGATCCAAATAGAGTGCAATGTGTTTAATAACACCTGATGGTAATTTTGAAAAAGACATTTTTCGATTAATATAATTTTTAGTATAAATTGGAAACGAAAAAGAAAAAAAAAAAAAAAAAGACTTGAATCAGAGTGAAACTCTCTTTCCTTTTATTCATGAGCTATCGGCAAGAGGGAAAAACGCCGCCGGAATTAAGTTGCACTTTTTTCTCATGCCGATTCAACTGCATTTCCAGCGTTGAAGTGATGACAATGGCTTTAATGGCCAAGCAAAGGTGTTCTCTCTCCTAGTCTGTTAGCCCAAGAGCTGAATCTTCTATTGAAACGATCCAGCCAGTTGGGAATCAGTGTACGAGCAACAGCGCTAATAAGAATACCAACAACAATGAGGGATGTGGTATGAGGGACATTGCTCAAAAATACAGCGGCACCCAAGAGGATCCTAAAATCATGTTGAAAAAGGGACGATCAGTATCTCATTGGCCAGTATCGTGTGAGTAATAGTGATCTCTGGCTGAAACATAGAGCAGGATAGAGTTGAAAATGAATCTGAGAAAGCTCATTTTTCTTTCCTACTATGCTCTTCAGCCCTTGATTTACTATCATGAGTTTACCATCCAGTTGTCAGGGCATAGACCCAATCTTTTCTATGCGAGTAATCGACCAAGTGAAGGCCGACAAAGCCAATCACGATAATGATAAAGGTGAGCACCTAAGCAACCTTGAGGTAAGTAAACATCGCATACGTCAGATGATGCTGTATACATACAATATCGTTGTGTTTGGTCTGATCGTGGAATTGGAAGGCTTGCCAGAGAACAATAAAGAAGGAATAGGCAGTGTAAATGGAGAAGGGTGCATTTACAAATGCATGATCTGTACCATTACGAGGTGGATAATCACGCAGGCGATGATAGATGAACACCAAGGTAGCTAATTGCCAAAGAAGACCAACGAAAGCAAAGATACCGAGATGGAAGAACCATAAGAAGGCAACGGAGCTGTTGATCACAGCAACCAACAGATACCAGAATCCAATGGATTCAAACACATCTAGAGAGATACATTTATACCTGGTATCAGTCATTTTGATTGTATTTTATGTACCTTTTGGAGCGCTGGGTAGATACTGGTAGATGGTAAATCCGATCAGCAAAAAGTGCAGAACGCCCGTCAAGATGATGATAAAGTCCTTGGGTCCAAATTCATAAGAATGTCCCAAGAACCTGTATAGCGTATACAAGTTAGAAATTCTCATCTTTTATTCATTCCTGTTTGGGTTTACCATCCAGAGAAACTGAATCCTTGAGATCCCACCAGCAAGAGCGTAGCAACTGTGTTTGCAAGTTTGAATTTTATGTCGAGATTTGTCATGTTTGTTGTTACAAAGATAAAGAAGAAGAGAGAAAAAAAAAAGGGAATAAAAAACTTGAAACGGAAAACTTTTCCTTGTCTCCTTCTCTCACTCTCACATTGCAGTGCCTCCAATGCCAGTTGACGCTTTTTAGAGTATCCAATGCGCGGATTTCACTGGCTCAATTTGTGCTTTTCGGCTACACTACATTACGCTCCTTGGTTACTCAATGCAGGGTGACTTTTGGCAGTAGCAAATTATGGGGAAAATTAAACAAAAGACCAAGTCTACATATGCCATCCATAGCTATAATGGAAGTCTATTCCAATCCTTATTTGGCTTTAGATGGTTATGCTGAGCAACTGAAAGAATGATATATTGATGACTTGAAGACTATAGCATATTCAATAACAATGGAAATATAATAATAAAAAAAGGACCCAAACGAAACATGCCCGTCTTGTCTTTGTACTCAGTAAGTTTTAGCATGCTGCAAGTAACAGCTGTGGAAAGAGCCTCCTTTGGTAAAGAAGACAGCAACAGATTTTCGATGGTCTGTGTGTGTTCTTGCTTAAGCTTTGCAAGATTGCTTACTGTGAAAGCAAACAATGTATGGTACTGCCTCATATTCTTCAAAAAATGAGATGAGCGTGGATGGCTTCCGTTGATCAAACCATTCAAGAGCTACCTACAGCGATTTTTTTTTGAGATATTGTTATTGCAAAAGACATCTTTATAAGGCAAAGCTCCCCCAAAAAAAAGTATTCGGGCTAAGCAATTGCCCTTTCAATCCCATGATCTCCATTGAATCAGTATCGCAATCATTATTGCCATCATCAGAAAGGCAATTGGGTCAGCCAGCAGCAGCATTACCACTACCAGTACCACCAAAATTAATTTAAACTCAGTTTGTTTTCTTCTGTTCAAGATTGGACGGATATTGTCTTTTCTCGACTTCTTTAATCTATTTTATCAACTATTTTGTCAATCTATTTTACTTTGTCATCCCTTTTCGCATGTCAGACACTAGTCAAGTACATCAACGTTCCTCGCAAGCTGACACTGCGGCTCCACTGTTGTGGACTCATGTGGTTAACTCACGCCGCAAAGGGAACAACAGACAACAACAATCCATCGTCTCTTTCAATCCCACTATCGTCAAACGACCTGTAACGGAAGCAGAGGCCTCGCAACAGGCCATCAATGGGGATACTTCGCCACCTCCTCAGGCGGTTATCCGTCCATTCCTCAAAGGCGTGGAACAGGATTCCGTCTTCATCGATCTGACACCTATCAAGGATCGCAATCTCTTGAACAAGGCTCTTCTTCAATTCAACGAAGCCTCTAATGCTGAAGACATGTATGAAGAATTTCTTGGATACCGGAAACAACCTCGACACTACCTCAACCATGCCTTCTTGGAAACCATGTGGCTGCCCAACAGCGAAGGTCGTAAGACTCTCATTGAAGAAGGTATCACTCTAGAGGATGGCACCTTTGTGAAAGGGTTTGCCTCGTACCATGCTGATGCTACGATTGTGAAACTGACCCTGGAGAATCTTCCTTTCTTGCCGGCCCTTCAGTTGAAGGAGGAAATGGCTGCCCGACTTTCTGCGTTCGGGGATGTCTTGGATCACGGCATCTCGAGAACTGATGGGATCTATCAAGGAGAAGGTTATGCTACACTTAATCTAACGGTTCCTTCCAGCCCTGGTTATGAATGTCAAGAGTTACATCCCGTTGGGAAATCTTGCCCTGGTCATCGCCATTTGGAGAAACTCAGTCGTGTCATTGTCTGGGATTTGACAGCTTCGGATCAAAGAAAAGTTTTACTCCAATGGGATCAAATGCCGGCTTTCTGTCGTAATTGTCAGAGCTCTGAACACTGTCGGGCTGATTGTCCTGACTACAAGAAGTGGGTCCGCTGCCATCATTGCAATGAAACTGGACATGTGGTGAAGAACTGCAGTCGCAATGACAGCCCAAACAAGGTCCGTGCGGTGGAAAACACTCCTGCCAAACCCCGAAAGGGCTCTCAGGTGGCCAAAGAGGGTAAAAAGGGTACTCAGGGTGGCTCCAAAGTAACTCCTGGTGGTGCTCCAGTTGGAAACAAAGGTAATGCCCAAGGAAAAGGCCAGGATGTTGCATCTGGTGGTTCCCAAGGTGATTCCGATAATCGAACTACTGCTACCCAGCAAGGTAGCACTCAAGGTGACGCTGATAGTCAAACAGGTGCTAGAAAGCAGGTAGTTGATAGAGATGTTCAAATGGATGATCTTCCAAAACTCCAAGTTAAAGAAGTCGATGGGAAAGGGGCTTCCAATGATATTATCATGTACGACTCTTCTACCCATTCTGCTAATGAACGAGAGGAGCGCCCTGAACGCCCTGCGAAGAAGATCGGTAAATTTAATGGCGCGGATGATGTTAGTTCTGCCAAACAACAAGCTGCATCTAATGAAGTAGAGACTGGACATCAACTCGGCTTGACAGGCCCTCCTTCACCTCCCCAACATTAATATGATTAATCAGCAAAATACAGTGAAAATAGCCACCCTCAATTGCCGTGGCCTAAAAAAAACAGATAACACCAAAAAAAGACAACAATTTATTAGATATCTTCGAACATTAGGATATGACATCTTAGTGCTTCAAGAAACACATGCAACAGACAACACATTTATAGACATACTCAACACTCAATTTACTTGCAAGTCGAGTCTTTGGACTCAACATTGCGGCATCATTTCCCTCAACACTCATTACTCACTCAAACACATCTCAGAAGGCATTGATGGGGGTCGATTTATCTTGGCTTCCCTTCATCTTACTCGAGACCTGGAAAATTCACCCAATTCACCACCAATAGCAACAATACTTAATATTTACGGTCGTGCGTCCGCTCACACCGACCGATCAGCGTTCTATTCAGAACTCATTGGCACACAAATTGTCAAAGAAACTATTACTACTACAACAAACACCGTCTTTATCATGGGAGACTTCAACTACCAGTACAAGGATCGTCGAGTCGATGGCACCCTCACCAGTGCACCAGTAGAATGGACCGATCTACTCGATGATTACTTTATTGACGTTTTTGGGGAAGACAAACACAACACATGGCATAGTGGAAGCAATTCAGGGATTCTGGATTACATCTTTTGTAGTTCAAACGCCCATCATCTAGTCACTAGCACCAACCAGCAGTATCTGTCTCCTGCCTGGACCGACCATGAACTCTTGGGATTCTCTTTTCGATATCAAGATGCGAATGGCCGTGGCCCTGGTAACTGGAAGGCAAATCCGTTCTTGGCTTGCAACAAAACATTTAGGAAGGCATTGGCAGAATTCCTCATTGATAGTGAGGCGCGTCTGGCAGAAATCAAGCGTTTCTCCACTCCCCAACAACAATGGGATTGGATCAAAGCCGAAGTAAAGATGTTTATCAAACAGTATCAAATGGAGGATTTGAACTGGCGGAAACAACAGCTACACCGACTGCTATCAAAGAGAAACAAGATGATGCGGCATAAGAAGACAAGAGGCTTGGTGTTTCAAGGCTTGGACACGGTTAATCAACAGATTCAATCTCTCCAGCACTCTCTTGCAGAAATAGAGATCTTGAAGGCAGGAAAATTTTGGCGGGAACATGGTGAGAAATCTCCAGGCTTCCTGAAGCGCTCTGTGGTGTCTCGAGAAAATCGTCGTTCAATTGTGGAACTCAGGAACCCTACAACTGGCGATCTATGTCAAGATCAACCTAGCATCTCCAACATTGCTACCAACTTTTACACCTCACTGTTCACACCGGAGGCTCTGGATTCAACCTCCCTCAGTGTTATAATTCGCAACATCCCAGGTCATTTGAAGCTCAACAGCGAGCAGCAGGAATCATTGATGATGCCGATTGATGTGGAGGAACTCTTGACCGATAGCAAGCAGACTCGTCGTTTGAGTAGTCCTGGACCTGATGGATTACCTTATGAAATCCTGTACTTGGTAATGAAATTTCCACCGTTCCATGATCTCATCCAATTAGTCTACAATGAAGCTTTAAAGAAGGGTAAGTTCCCGCCATCTTGGAACGAATCCGTCATGTGTCTGCTTTACAAGAAAGGCGATCCAGCTGAAATGAAGAACTACCGTCCTCTGTCTCTGGCTAATTCAGACTACAAGCTCTTCACTCGCAATATCAACCGTCGAATCATGGAAGTCTCTTCCAACTTGATCAGCCGACATCAGCTTGGGTTTATTCCTGGTCGATTCATTGCTGAAAATGGAATGATCTGCCAGCTCCTAATGGAAGATGCTCAACGGAAATGGTCCATCGCTGAACAACAGGAAAATGATCCTTCCTTTAACACTTTGGATTATGACATCGGTCTTCTTCTGGATCAAGAAAAGGCATACGATCGGGTGAACTTGGAATATTTGAGGAAGGTATTGGGGAAATTTGGGTTTCCTCGCCCTATTATCAAGTGTATCTCCAAGTTGATGGGTGACAACCTCATACGTATCAACATCAATGGCCATCTGTCAACTGAAGTGGCGAAACTTCGAGGCTTGAAGCAGGGGGATCCTCTCTCTCCTGTACTGTACAACTTGGCATTTGAACCTTTTCTGCTTGCAATCCTGCATGATCGCCAATTTCAAGGCTACTTGATGGGTACTGCACGAACAAAACTCCTGTGCTATGCTGATGACGCTTTGGTGTTTATCCATGACTCCAATGATTTGACTCGGTTACAGCTCCATATGGCTCGTTACTGTGCTGCCTCCAACGCCAAGTTCAATAATGCCAAGGTGGAAGCCTTTTCAGTGTCTGGTCGGGATACATGGGATATGTGGGATGGTCCATTATCACAAATGGGTATCACACATCTCCATTCTGTTGAGGACGATGAACCGTTGACCTATCTGGGATTTCCTCTCGTCCAAAGTAGGATTCAGCGAGTTCACTTTATGGGTGCTTTGGTAACAAAGATCAAAACTGCCATCCAGATTCATTCTGGTCGCTCCCTGTCGGTCGTTGGAAAGGCTACAGTGCTGAACTCTCTTTTGCTCTCCAAGCTATGGTACATCCTGCGTGTTACGCCTTTGACTCAAGCTGACTTCAAGCAGCTGCGTTCTCTGGCTATTCAGTTCTTGAGAAGAAACATCTTCCCCGTCATCCCTTGGAAGGTGTGGACTCTACCAAAGGACAAAGGTGGTCTCGGTGTTGTAGACATCCAAATACAAGCTTCAGCTTTGTATTTTCGTTGGCTCCACCCATTACTGGTTCAAGATCAAGATGTCATAGATTCCCATCCTGTGTCGTACCTCTTAAGCTACCACATTCGCAATGTTAATGGTTACCCCCACCATCAAATCCCGCTGCTATTTCCCTCTGCTCGTCGTACTAAGGGGTTGAAAAAGCAACGCACGGGAACTGTCGATATGTTATATCGTACAGTTGACTATCTTCCTAAGTTGTTTGATGCGGCACCGATCAATTCTGCAACTGCCATGGCTCTTCCATTACAGGCGGCTTTCTATGTTCCTCCATCCTCCTCACTGGTTGTTCCTCTTAAAGTCAAAGAGATGATGGTTTCTGATGTATTTCAGTACGATGCCCGGCTTAACTTTGTACATTGGAGAGACACTCGTGACCCTTCCCTCCTCAGGTGGAAGAGAGCTCCTTCAACAGTGTTCAGAGGCCTCGCATCTGGCACTCTTAAATTCCAGCCCTACTTCCTCCCAGTGTGTAATCCAGCCCCTGTAGTAGATCCTGGAGTCTCTTTTGCGCCGCTGGTGGATCAATTTTGTCTGCACGATGGCCAATCTCTTAGAAACGCTCAGGCTTCCGCCAAAACATTTCGTCTGTCTGTACTGTCGTCGGTGGAACAGCCCTTGGTCTTGCAAAATGTCTCTGCTGCTAATTGGAAATTCTTTTGGTCTCTGTCTCTTACCTACATTCAACGTAATGTGATATACCGATTCATCGCAGGCTGTATCCCTTCTAGAAGCAGATTACACTACATGATGCCTGCATTTTTCGAGTCCCACAATTGTCCTGTCTGCTTGTCTCCCAATGAAACTGCCAGCCACCTGCTCTTTGACTGTCCATCCAAAGAAAAGGTATGGCAAGGCGTCATTTTTGAGTTCCTATGGCCCACCACGTCCATCACTGACATCAAAGAGGCTCTTCTGTCCCTGGACTTTTCAGATATCTGGTACTCCCAAGTCAAAGGCATCCATCCATACAGAATCCTACTCATCACCCTGTCTCAAATATGGCTAGCCCATATGCGCTTTGTTTTTGACGGCACTATCTTTGTCCCTGAGGCGATTCTGGTACATATCCACTCCACTGTCCGACAGACAGTGGATGAAGATCAAATCCATTCCCTCTTGTAATTTAGATAGTTAGATAGTTCCTTTTGTTAGTTTAGTTTAGTTTCCATTTATATTTATATTTTTTTCATTTCTCAATTGCACCCGCCTCTTCACTCTGACCTATTACTCTTAGTGTACGCGGCTCAATCAATAAACACAATTTAAAAAAAAAAAAAATCTATTTTATGATATTCGATTATATAAACTGTGATGATCACCCTACGCTTTCTAATACATTCTTGAAGTACTTTTCAAGGCGCATCCAATGGTTACTAGTAATATAGATGTTTTGAATAAACTTATTGAGTAATTTCTGAAAATATGAAAAGAGGTTTCTGGCCAAAAAGTCAAAGTTTTACATATCAAGGTTCCACAAAAATGATTTCAGAGGTTACGTTAGATCGATAGAAACATTTTGGTTCAATACATACCATAGTAAAAGACTTCATTTTCAAGGTGAAAAATGCGATCATTTGATTTTCGATGAAAACCATGAGGGGTACCTCATGATTTTTTGTCGATTTTTGGCCATGTTTTTTTGGTCCCCAAAAAGTTGAGCAAAGGTGTCAGGAAGTAACTGCCAGACGAGTACAATTGTTTGGTCCTATTCTGACGATTTAAAACGACCTTGAATTCGAGAAAACGCAGCTCAAACGCACTCAAATTTTGCTGTATTAGGAACACTAAGGACTAAAAAGGGAAATACCAGTATGCTACTTGCTTGTACATAAAGTAGCTACGTGTATATGGATGCAGAGCATCACATAAGAATGAGATCCTCAGATAATATGAAGGGCTTTGGTGTGTAAGTGGAGGGTCAAAATGAAAGTAGCAGTATTTTGATAAGACATCCAAAGCATAAACACTCGTATTATATAAAACAATTAAACGGTATGGGGATATTTTGCCTTTCTTTCAGTTGCACCTTCTTCAACATCGTTTGAACAGTATCAAGAGGGAATGTACCTAAATAACATAAAACCAGCTCAAATATCAACATCACAACTCTATCTGTTAATCTTGAAAAGGTCTATTCGTGCCGTAAAACAATACTAAAATTACATGCGAGATTCTCTAGAGCGCGTTCTTTGTCTCCCCTTTCCACTACAAAACCACACAATCGTGCAGGAAAAGTTATTCTACATCGGTCATGAACTCTGTAACCATTACTGTTATGCTGTAGGATTTTGTAAGGCATAGGGGTAGTTCGGTTGTGAATAATCTTAGTAGGCTTGATGGTCTACCTAATACGCGATGCAACTAGAGGGACGTTTCCAGAGCTGGCTATCTTGTAGATTGTACGAAATTTGCGTTTGCATCGATTTACAAGTTAGTAAGAAGAATACATGGTCTTCACTGAAGTTGGCAAAAATAACATGGGCTTTGTTAAAGCCTTTGAAGAATTTGTTCACACTAGTTCTCAAATCAGTCAACTATTCGCGATTCATCCTATGGGATTTTAGTCAAAATAGCATAATCTATGAATGTTCTACCTAAGCATATACCTCTAGTAATCAGAAGTGCCTTGAATCATATAGTCACCATCACCATCATATAATTATCATTATATAGAAAACTTCAACATAGAAGCATCGTCGTAGCCAGTCAGAGATTAAAAGCCCCTCTCCTAAGAACACAGCGCTTCTAATCCAAGTGATTTCTTGCCTGCTATTTGGCTGTGGATTGAGTGATTTGTGGTTTCAAGGCAACATTTGGTAACATTGACCTTAAGAAGGTTTTACTTTAACGAAACAAACGTGCGAAACCTTAGTAATCAAGCAGTATATTTGGCTTCTCATTGTCATTATTAATAAGCTTACCAACAACATAACGCATCAAAATATGTGTGAATTAACTTCACCAAAATTAATTTACCTCCTATTCGAACTAGAAGTTGCACGGGCTGTAGAACTACTCTTCCAGAAGATTTCAGCTACCAAAAATGTGATTCGTGTCGTGTAAATGCAAGCTGTACAGCAAAAACATAACCAAATTTGACAGCTTTCAAGCTTTTGTATTTTGACATGTAGACCTTTCTGAGCCGCCGGAATGACGCCAAACAATTGTACTCGTCTGGCAGTTACTTCCTGACACCTTTACTCAACTTTTTGGGGACCAAAAAAAACATGGCCAAAAATCGACAAAAAAGCATGAGGTACCCCTCATGGTTTTCATCGAAAATCAAATGGCCGCATTTTTCACCTTGAAAATGAAGTCTTTTACTATGGCATGTATTGAACCAAAATGTTTCTATCGATCTAACGTAACCTCTGAAATCATTTTTGTGGAACCTTGATATGTAAAACTTTGACTTTTTGGCCAGAAACCTCTTTTCATATTTTCAGAAATTACTCAATAAGTTTATTCAAAACATCTATATTACTAGTAACCATTGGATGCGCCTTGAAAAGTACTCCAAGAAAGCTTAAAGGAGCATAAGATGATCATCATATTTTACTTAATCGAATCTACAAGAATAGTTCAATCGAGTCGAAAATCATCAGTATTTGGCCAATCTGGAACAGACTATGAGTCTGGGTTTGAATTAATTTTGGCTTATGGGGTAGGCTGGCAAACTCAATGCCCTTCTAATCATGAAGGCAATACAGTAATAGATGCTTTTGAATCGTAAGGAGAGTAGGTGGTAAATTACATAATAGCACTACCGTAAGCCATGCTATTTTCCTTGCGTTCTATATTTAATAACGCCAGCCTATTAAAATACTTGTTAGATCAACTTTTTTTCTTTTTGAGGCTTTGAAAGTGTCTAGGGACCATAAATTTATTACGTTACGATGAGCACTTTGGTTGGTTTCCTGACCTACGCTTCACTCTGGTGGAAGCTAACCTAAGTTCAGGTGGCTCGCGCTGCCACGGGGCTTTGGCTAATATTCCCAAATTAATAATAGCTACAATGTTAGATGAAGCTTGTTTGTTGATTGATAGTAAGTATAGAATCTCTAATCATATATATATATATATATATATATATATATATAGGCCATGCCTGACGAATGCCTGGCAGCTCAGTTTCCATATCAGGGTTGTAAAAATGTCTACCGACTATGTTATGATAGCGCATTTTGCAGGATGTCATTTCTTGAAATGATGACAATCAGAGTCCACCAGTATGAAGGTTAGGAATCTTTCCAATCCAGTTGATGACTATTTACTGAAAATTATGGCAGAACACTTGCCTACTCTTGTCCTCTTCATTACCCATTATGCTCGATAAGGGTTTGAGCCAGACATCTTATAGGAGACCAGAATGATTTGCCTAAGTAAACTGGTCACGAGCGTTATAATCCATTGCTTGTACTCTGCAAACAGAGAATTTATATTAATTTCTCGGATGCGGGATACCTAACCGCTTTTTCCTCTCCCTTTTCAACAATTAGTTCATGTCGACATCGTTCAGACTTCCCTATGGCTATAGAAGTGCACCTGCTTGGCCATCATTATATTGGCCATTTGGACCAGATTTCGACCCACTAAATCTGGTAGCGGATATACCTCATTCTTTATACTATTTGCAAGGTAGGTGTCTAGTGTACAAAATCAAAACTGCTCTTGGAAGTAATGAGAATGCACTCTAGATATTTGGCGGTTCACTGTGATCTGGTCGTTGCTGTTCTCTCTCGCCATCTATCTGCCAGCAGGCAAGTAAACAGAAAGAGCATTTGAATACTTTTTTTGTATTCACCCTCCAGTTGTAACAGGAATATGGGCGTTCATCATGCTGGCAAAATCTCGCACATTGAAATGGTATGTGCTTGTCACGATCCCCTTTATCTTTGTGTTGGGTGGATCTATCGCATCGTTTGTCATTGGCAGTATTATGGGTAAGAGAGAGAGAGAGAGAGAGAGAGCATTTGATCCACTATAAAAAGACGACTCAATGTCTATGTAGGTGTGGCTCTAGCGTTTGTATACAACTCGGGATTCTTTGTCATGTCTACATGGATTCCATTTCTGTGGGCTCTGATTCATATACTGGTAGTGCTTGTGGGCTCATATTCTACCATTACAGCGATTCTTTAGATTGCATCTTCATCTTATATTATACAGATACCCTCAATTCCTATTTTATGGTCATTGTAACTCATATGATCTCTTCATTTTGTACAACAGGTTAATAACAACAATCATCCTTTTCGGTCAATGGTAACCAAGTAAAACATTTCTATCAAACTCATTTTGCCGAGCAATTGGATATGTGATGAGAATGTGGTTTTAGTCTATAGAATAGATCAGGAAGCAGCGTCTTGGTTGGAAGGAGAGATCAGCTAGATCAGCTAGATGTTGATTCAATAGCACGTGTAATTCATGTTACTACCACAGCAAACAGATGTATCTCATGTCCAATTCATTTTCGGTACCCCCAAATCCAAAAAAGCTATATCATCGGGACATCAACTTGCAATTGACCCCCTCCCATCAACTAATTCGACCCCTTCCTAAGAAAAAAAAAAAAAAGCCTAAAAAAACATTTTCTTTCTCTCTTTCCTGTCAAACTCTTTTGAATTTGCATCATGAACAGAATATGTATATCCGTTCGAGGTTTGTTGGGCTTGAGAATCAATGCAACCAATACCATGGCTCGTCGTCAAGTTCATGGTGGTGTCATGGATCCCTTGCAGTTGCGCCCTACCCGCTATCACACTGAAATCCAAGACAAGTTATTAGCAGCCATCCGCAAAAGAAGCCCACCTGCTGTTTGGAAAGCCTACATGGAGATCAGCGACAACAACAACCTTGGTAAACTGCCCGCCGAGTATCATACCATGACAATGCAGATCTTTCAAATCAAAAACCTCGCTTCTTACAACCACGATGAAGTCAAGTTTTATCGCAAATGTCTAATGCATGTGATGGAAACCATGAAGATTCACAACATTAAGCCAGACATCCGTGATTACAACTTGATGCTCGACTTCTATGGACGCTCAGGAGACTTTGAATCAGCCACCAAATGCTTCAACGAGATCCCACAGCCCAATGAATACAGCTACAACTTGTATATCCGTGCCGCCTTACAGAGCAAACACTACGAGGAAGTGTTCAGAATCATTGCAGACATGCGAGACAGTATTGGGCTGAACGAATTTACGTATAATACCATGATTGAGGCGAACGGATTGATGGGAAGTATCACGGAAGCCGATAAAGTATTCCAGGACCACTTTGCACCCAAGGTGGAAAAGAGAGCATCTTTGATCTCTAGTCTTTTACACAAGAAAGCGCCATCCAAGTTTCCTACCTACTTGTCGGCTGCAGCACCTCTCGGTCGTACTATACCTTATCAACACAAGCAGCAACAGCAAATGAAACCCACCGCAGACACATTCAATGCGCTCATTTCAGCTCACGGTCGCAACAAGAACACACTTGGATTAAACCACATTTACACAAAGATGATGCCTGAACACCATGTCAAGCCCAACCTGAAGATATTCAATTCCCTAATTGAATGGTATTGCTACAACGAGGATGTGGATTCAGCCAGAAAAATATTCATGGACATGGAAACAGCTGGTGTCAAGCCCAATGTGGTTACTTTCAATCACTTGTTCCGCCATGAAGCGTTAAAGAGAAATAGACCCAAGGTGGCTGAAACGTTGATGGACTACATGAAGAACGAGTACGGTATAAGGCCTCTTTTGACCATGTATAGAACGTTGATCCGAATTCACAACAAGCACAATCGTGAGGACGAGGCAAAGAGATTATACACGGAATATGCTGTGCTGAAGGCAAACGCAGTTACAAAAAAGGTCAAGGCACCTGCACCTGCTACCACCTCCACGCCTGTTGCTGCTGCCTCTGCACCATCTGATCCTGCCACCCTCGCTGCCACTGCAACTGAATAGACCATGATAGAATCTTCACCTACATCCACATCTTCGCTACATCGCTTGACTATATTAAAAATGTATATTCTTAGAATGATCATCCTAGAAAAAGAAAAAACCTCCACTAATCATCCCGTTCCTTGTCGATCACTCGCCACACTCCCTGCTTTGAAAAAAAACCCATTTCTCTCAAAATATCTCTAGTTACCTTCTCGCCCCCTTTTTTTATTCATCATGTCCAACTTCAATTGATCAAATAAAGACATGGATTGTATATATACAACAAAGTTTGGTTTTATAGCCTCTATTGTAGAATTGGGAGATCTATGCGTTGTCCATGGTACTCAGATGCTCATTTTGCTGAAATGGAACAGAACAATGAGAGATGTTTGAGCGTCGAAATTGGGCATCCTGACTTGCATGGGCACATTTGAAGCTAACAGAGACAAGTGGATTGGCAAAGGATTATTGCATAGATCGTGCGGGATGCCACCAAGCATAGAAATGACCATTTGTAGCTTGGGCGTGGCTGATAGCTTGCATGGAGCTTGTGAGATGTTGGAGTGTCAACTTACAGTCATAACAGCAAATGTAGATACTAGACTCAATGGGTCTTCTATTAGACATGCTCCTTTGAAATGACGGTATTTCTCATCTGAATACCATGCGAGGCATCGACTGAATGCATGCTGCTAGCACATGGAGCACAAGACAGAGTTCATGTTACTGAATTGAAGAGGCATCGTGGCGGTTCCTTGCAACGACTGCTTTTCATTAGAGTTTTTGCATTTCAATGGTCACGGAAAGCACATCCCATCAAAAAAAGTCGAAAAAAGCACAGCTTTGTTTTACTCTTTAGTTGCAAGAACAAGTATTGATAATGAAAGACAATACGATTCCTCTTGAACTGAATACAGGTCAAGGAGCCAACCGGTTCAAGGTAACATTTCAGTGCTTGTCTGCCGAGAAACATTGCTCAATGTCATTTCTTATGTAGTACCAAACTTTCAAAACAAGAGTAGAACGCATCAAGGTGGATGTGGTGCGTAGATCCAAAGTAGTGGATGATGAGCCTGATGAACATGGCTCCTTCTTTTACGAGGCATTAATGGAGTGGAAAGATTTGAACATGACTCGAAATTTCAAGGATTTTGCAAAGGAGATGACACCGCTTGTCAAATCACTCCCTTCCATCATTTACCACAAAGACGACATTGTCAATATTCTTGAAAAGCACCTTAAAGTCAAGGACAGTTTGGCATTGGATGGCCTATTAGAGTATGTATTCATGGACCAAGAATAAGCAATCTGTGGAGGTATTGATCAGCATGTGTGGTTTTAGCCTAGTGACAAAGCTTGCCAAGGATCTGGAGGGAGAATTCTACCCTTACTATCCTCGTATGCTTGCCAGTGTGTTGCCTTTGGTGTATCATCAAGATATCAAGTTGCTGGAAAGCGTCTTTAATTGCATTGCCTACCTCTTTAAGTTTCTGTCGAGACAAATCTTGCCTGATTTGGATCAAACATTTCTGTAAGTGACATGAGGGATACTGTTTACATTGTAGCCATACTGACCTGACATGTAGTTTATTGGCTAAATTACTAGGTGAAGATAATCAAGCGAAGCCTTATGTTCGGCATTTCACCGCAGAAGCATTTGCCTTTTTACTTCGGAAGGCTCGTGGAGCTGATTTAACAAAGATTATCACATGTATTCTTGATACATTGAGAGCAGATCCCTCGTTGGAGTTTGAAGAAGGTTTGGCTATGCTGTTTTTTGAATCCATCAAGGTAAAATTGGGCACTGTCTAACGTATCAAGGGGTTGACTGACATTTATCTGCCACAGCAAATCGACCACCGCATTCACTCTCGAGGTGAAGCTATTTATAAAGAGTTATTGATCCAATCATACAAGGAAGATGTTACAGCCAACGATTTATCTGACAGCCCAATCCACAGTTTATTGACAAAAACGACACTGTTAGTGCTCCACCATACCTACAGACAACACTTTACACCCATCATCCACATTGTATTGAACGAATTAGAGAAACACACCAAAAACATGGATGAAAAGACGCTTTCCATCAACGTCTCTCTGTTGACCATGATCGTTACTGTGCGTAAGGGCAGCCGTGTTGAGGATTTCAAACCTATCATTGCTCGCATCCAAGAGCTCACCAAACTCATCTTCAGCTCCAACATCAACACTTATTCCAACTACTTGTACACACAATTACTTCGCTCCATCATTGGTACGCTGAATCACGGCTCGTTAGAAGTCGCTGTCAGTGGCGGCCGAGTCATTTTGGACACACTCAACAGTTTCCAGGATATTGAGCTTATTTATGGATTCTACCTCTCCTTGGCCAAATTGGGATGGTCCAACTACACACAAATTTGTTTACCCTACATCATCAAGTACAGCTCAGCTCACTTTGACACACATCCTTACGAAACCATCTTGTTTTTGTCTGAAGTGCTTTCCACAGATGCACTCAACCTGAATTCTGGATCACTGTCTTCTTCTCTCACACCAGAGGGTTTGCTGCGATTCCCCAACGCCGCCAAAGGCAAGAAATCGATGGTGGAAGGCATTTTGGACATTCTGAGCAAGGAGTACGACTGGGAAAAGGAAAGAGATACATTGAATGCCACAGATATGAAGGTAAGCGTGTTGCTCAGTGCCCGCTAGCTTAGGATTTAGTATTGACATACATGTTAGTCTGAAGAATCCAATATGTCTGCCATCACCATTTTAGCATCTGCTCTTCGCATTTTACCCAGAATCCAAGTCTCTGTCGATAAAGTGTTTACAGTCAGTATGTCCTTGTTCATGTCTCTTTCCGACTTTCTCAAGAAGCATGCCGACGACAATGCTTTAGTGGAGACACCGTTTGTATTGGCTCACAATAACTACGTTTTGGAATCCTTGATGGGTTTGGTGTTGGAGTCTTTGGCTGGCATCGCTGCCAACAACACAGCTGTATTCAATGAAATGAAGAATATTCATAGCAAGCTGGTGGATGAGATCTTGAGAGACCATGCTCGCAACGAGGTGGTACTTTCTGGTATTTACCGTTATTTGGACTTGTTGTATTCAGGGTAATGTCTTGCGATATCATTGACATGGGATGTGCTGACTCATTCTATGGTTGTTGTATAGAAATGCGGATCAAGATAAATTCTCACTGCAACAGCTGGAAAGAATTTATCCTGTTCTCAAGCTCAACTTCAGCTCATATAGACGCAACTGCCGCTTAAACACACTCAAAATCATTGTTCTTTTCGACCAACCCATGATGAAGACAGACCAAGATCACAAGATAGCCGAAGTGTCCGAGATTGCTAGAATTGCACTCAACATGGAAGAAGTGGATGCCACCTTCAAGGAATACCGTGACAAGGTTGTTTTGATTCAAAAGCTCAACTTGATCACCAGCAACAAACGCACGCCCGATTTGTATGTGGACTTTGCACCTCGTTTGAGTTTGGGTGTACTTACGGTTAATTTGCGTCCTCTTTGGGAAGAAGCCAAGCGCTTGCTCATTACCTTCTCTCAAGTCAATGCGGAAATGTACTGGGATCTGGTGTATGGCGAAATTGTCAAGTACGATGATGAAAAGAGCCTTGTATGGGATGGATTTGCAAGAGATGTATTGATCAAGCTGAACACGCCAGATGAGCCCAACAATGGCCACGCCACCAAGACAGGCAAGATTTCCTTTGAGTGCCCTACGCTCAACACCTTTGTCCACGTTGAAGATAGATCATGGCGCATCATGAAAGCCGAAAAGGCACAGAGTTTGGCCTTACTGTTTGCTGAACTGAGCCAACAAGAACCTGGCCATATGGACTTTTGGAACTACTACAGCATGTTGTTGATGACCCTGAAAGAAACACCCACCATCACAGAAGCAAGAGGTCGCAATTTGGTTGTGCTCTTTTTCCACTTTTTAGACACTGAATTCACATCTGCCCCTGAGGACGAGGACGGGGACGAGGAAGAAGTAGATCAGGACAAAGAAGATCAGCATGCGACGGGTCATTTCGACATCTTGCCCAAGAATAGTAGAATCACTAAAACCAAAATGGCCAACTGGTTGTCCTTGTTTGCCGTATTTAAGAACACAAAGGCCGTGTACAAGACACACGAACTGAATGCTGCTTTCATGCGCATCATTGCTATGGGTGATGCTAAGCTTCAATTGGCTGCCATGGAGTGTATCTTTACTTGGAAGGATCCCAACATCAAGCCTTATGCTGATAATCTGCGCAACTTGGTGGACGATATTAAGTTCCGTGACGAGCTTGCTACATTCATCCAAAATGAAGAACAAATCCTCATTGATCCCGCACACCGTCAAGGCCTGATGCCTGTTGTCATGCGTGTGCTGTATGGTCGTTTGATTCAACGCAGCAAAGCATCCAACAAGAGCAACAAGAGTGCGCGTAGAAAGGTCATTCTCGGCGGTATCTCGTGCTGTAAGCCTGAGGAAATCAGGATCTTTATCGATCTTGCTTTGGAACCCTTCCAACCCATTTTGGCGCTGCCTGGTATGGACACTGACGATGAGGGTCATGTCACTGCATTCAAATTCGACCCTGAAGGCTATCATTTGATGGAGCACATTGCTTGGAGAAAGCAAACGGGTCTGTTGAACCTGATGGAAGACACCATCAAGCAATTCGCTACACATATCTTGCCGTTTTTGCCTGATTTGCTCAAGGTGGTTTTGTACATTATCAACTTTGCTCACAGCCGTCGTAGTCAATCCCACCCAGAGGAGGATGCCATGGACGTGGATCAAGCTGATGCTGGCAAGGTGTCTGATCAAAGCACCAAATCCAAGGAAATCAAGGCTTTGGCATTGAAGCGTATTGTCGACATGTTCAAGATCAATGGCGATTTCAATTTCACACCCTTTGTGCCTAGCATGTTCTCTGCCTTTATTTCGGCTCGTTTGCCTACGCTGCCCTCAGACGCCTCTCAAGATTTGTCTACCCTGATTAACCTCTTTTTAGTCTGGTCCAAGAAGAGCACCTATGCACCTTTCTTGGTGGACTACGATGCGCGGGTGCTGCCTCAAGTCATTGCCACACTGTCCGTCAAGAGCTTGAATGAGCATGTGTTGAATGTCCTGCTGGAAATCCTCGAGTCCTTATTGAATCTGTGCGATGAGGAAATGGATGTCGATGGCGAGGCGTCGCTCAAGGAGAAGCTGGTGATTCCTCATGTGGATCTTATTCTGAATGATCTCAAGTTCCGTCTCACACAGTCCAAGGACGACACCAAGTTTGGCAGTGGTCGCTATTCTGTGCGTGAAATCTCTATTGCTGCTCGCGTGGCTCCCTACACAAAGAATGGCGAACAAGCCGCCACCATTATTGAGCTCTTGTTGCCCAGTCTAAAGAAGCCTTCTCGCACCATTCCTGAGAAATCCAAGCAAGACATCTTTACCATTTGGGCCAAGTTTATTCGCATTGTGCCTGGATTTGAAGCTGGATCCACCTTGTACCATCATTACTACGTGATGGCTTCCTCCATGTTTGCCACTGCTTATTCGCGTGAAAGTCGTGTGGGTTTGCTGGACGTGTTCCATGCCTTTGCTGATGTCAACCCTGAACTGGCCAAGGTGGATGAGCTCTTGACCATGTTGAATGCCTACTCTCAAAAGCGCATTGATCAACCCGACTATGACTCCATGCTGGATGCTTTGAGTGCTATTGCTGAAACCTACTATGACCAATTCAACGTGCATCAATGGCTCCCCGTGTTGCATCAATTAACCCACTGTATGCATGATGCTGAAGAAATGGCAATTCGTGGTACTGCCACGCACTGTATGGCTCAATATCTAAAGGCAACTGCTGAGCAAGCAGACCAAGAAGAGAAGCGCAAAATGCTGGGCTACGTAAACCATGTCATCTATCCTGCCATCAAGCGTGGCCTTCGTTCCCGTGTGGAGTTGGTGCGCATGGAGTTTGTCTCTCTCTTGTGCTCCTGTATCAAGACGTTCCCTGAACTGCCCATCTTTGAAGACATGGTGCCTCTGCTCGGTGATGGCGATGAGGAAGTCAACTTTTTCAACAATGTCTACCACATGCAAATCCATCGTCGTGCGCGTGCTCTGCTTCGTCTCTCTGAGTTTGCTGACGAGGGTAAGCTCAAGGTCGCTACCATCAACAATATCTTTATTCCCATCATCTCTGCCTTCTTCAAGGAAAGTGATCGCACGATGGACCACAACTTGCTGCATCAGTGCACCTTGACGCTCTCTTCTCTCGCCAAGGTCCTTCCCTGGAACCACTACTATCGCTTGCTGCAGAGCTACTTGAGCTTGATCAAGGAAAACGATGAAAAGGAAAGACTCTTTGTGCGTGTCGTCATTGGTATCCTCGACGCTTTCCATTTTGACCTGCAACACATTGAATTATCCGATGACACTGTCAAGAAGATCATGGGCCGTCAAAAGGTGAGAATTGACTATTTGACCAACGAAGAAATCATGAAGCAAGCTGCTAAGGATGCTGGTGAAGAAACCAAGGAAGACGCAGAGGAAGCAGAGGAAGCAGAGGAGGAGGAGGAAGCTGAAGTCAGTGCTGAAGCCGAAGCTAAGGACAAGAACGAAAAGATTCATGATGTGCTTGTAGCCAAGGTCATGCCTGAACTCAACAACCTCTTGAACAACAACAAGAGCAGAAAGTCTGTCATTGTGCGTGTGCCCCTCGCTCTTGGTATTGCTAAACTCTTGTGCAATTTACCTGAAAAGTCAAAGCGCATCAATTTGCCTGGCCTTTTGACCTCTGTCTGCCACATCATTCGTAGTCGTGCTCAAGATGTCAGAGATATCACGCGTGAAACACTCATCAAGATCAGCGCTTTCTTGGGCTCGTCTTATTTCAACTACATTGTCAAGGAGTTGCGTGGCGCTCTCAAGAAGGGTTATGAATTGCACGTCCTGGGCTACACGGTCAATGCCTTGCTCTTGGACATGATGCCTCGATTGAAGGTGGGTGATTTGGATTACTGTCTCTCGGATCTGGTGGATGTCCTCGTCAGTGATATCTTTGGTGCTACTGGCCAGGAGAAGGACACAGATGAAATGACGGGCAAGATCAAGGAAGCCAAGAGTCGTCGTAGTCCTACTTCGTTTGAGATGATTGCTAAAATCACACATTTCAAGAACGTGGGTTTGCTCTTGGTGCCTCTCAAGGACATCATGTCTCATACCGAGAGTAGTCGTACGTTGCGCAAAGTGGAAGATTTGCTTCGTCGTATTGCCCTTGGTCTCGTCAACAATCCCGAGTTTGAGTCATTGGCATTGCTTGATTTTGCCTACAATTTGATCAGTGAAAACCTCGAAGACTTCAAGGCACAGCCCAAGACCAAGGTCAAGAAGACACAAAAGGAGCTCAATTTCGAGGTGCAAATGAAGCGTGTTATGGTGGAGCCTGTGGATTACTACCGTGCCAATGCCTATCGCTTCGTTTACTTTGGTCTGAGTCTGCTCTCCTCTGCTGTCAAGAGGATTAAGTTTGATCTAAGCAACGACGAATACGTTTCCAGGCTGAGAAAGCTGGTCAATGCAGTTGGCAACACGCTGTATGCTAGTCAGTCTGCCAATGTGGTCCTTGCTGCTCGTATCATGTGCCATTTGATCCCCATGAAGATTCCCAACATTCAGTCTGCTGTGGCTGTCTCCATCGAACGCTCCTTTGCTCTCATCAAGTCATCTGGTGGCTCTCAGACAACCACGGTGCAAGCCTGTCTGAGACTCCTCACTGTCTGTATTCGCGACAATGACAAATCATCTCTCACTGAAGCGCAATTGACCTACATTCTCAACTTTGTGCGTCCCGACATGGAGGAACTGGAGAGACAAGGTACCATTTTTGCACTGGTCCGTGCCATCATCTCTCGCAAGTTCATGGCACCTGAAATGTACGAACTGATGGACTCTGTGTCTCATGTGATGGTGACAAACCAAAGCAGAGAGATCCGTGAACAAGCTCGCTCCGTGTTCTTTATGTTCCTCATGGACTATCCTCAAGGTAAAGGTCGTCTCAAGCAGCAAATGAGTTTCATCATCAAAAATTTGGAATACGTATATGAAAGTGGCCGTGAATCCATCATGGAGCTGTTGCATCACATCATCTCCAAGTTTGGTGATGACATTTTGGCGGATTACATTGATCCCATCTTCTTTGCCCTGGTCATGCGCTTGATCAATGACGAGTCTAGCAAGTGCCGTGAAATGGCTGCTGCGCTTATCAAGGAACTACTTGCTCGTAGCACGGAACGTCTGCCCACCATCTATAAACTGCTCAACAAATGGCTGGATCAAAGCAGCAAACCCAACTTGCAAAGAGCTGCTTGTCAAGTGTACGGTTTGGCCATCGATACCTTTGAAACACAATTGCGTCCTCAAGCCGCTGGTCTAGTACAACGTCTCGCTACCATACTTGAATCTAGTCGTCAACGTGCTGAAACCTTGGCTCAAGAAGCAGCAGTGGTGGACGATGAAGAACAGGGCGAAAGCATGGACATTGATATGCAATGGGAAGTAGCATACTATGCCATCAACACATTTGCAAAGATCACAAAGACCTTCCCCAGGATTGTGTATGACCAAGAAACTGAATCCGTGTGGCGTGGTATGCAATACATGCTTCTATACCCCCATGCTTGGATTCGCTCTTCTTCTGCTCGTTTGTACGGTGTGTATTTCTCGGGCATTGATGCTCAAAGTCGCATGATCAAGGATACCACTACCCAATGTCGTTATTTGGATAGAGAAACGCTTCGTGTGTTGGCTACCGACTTTTTGGAACAACTCAAGAGTAACCATATTACTCAAGATCAAGCAGATCAAATTGTAAAGAACCTGTTCTTTATTGGTAAATGCTTTTATTACATGCCTGATGAAGAGGATGTGGACAATGGAGAAGAAGAAGAAGAAGAAGTCAAGATTGATGATGCCCGCGATGAAGTCATTGATGAAGAAAAGGGTAGCAAGGCTGCTCAAGATGCTTTGACTAAAATTGCTCAAACGGCACACAAGAAATCGCTCAACTGGTTGTTTAGAAAGGCATCGTTTGATGCGCGTGGTGCTGCTATCAGAAAGATCAAGAGCGCCATCATTCTCGTAAGTGTTGATTCATAACAGTGTTGTAATTCATGTGCTGACTCTTGTGTAACTTGTAGCGTTCCTCCATCTTTAAATGGTTTGCTGCTATGTGCAACACAATGACCACAGAAGAAATCCCTCCCTACTTGATGCCCGTCGTTGCGCCCATTTACCGTACAGTGAATGATGAACAAAACAAGGCGGCTGGATTTGAGGCGTTACAACAACTTGGTAACGAGATTCTCAATTTACTTCAAAACAAGGCAGGTCCTACTGTGTATTTCGCTGTCTATCAGCGTGTGCGTCAACAGGTTATCAAGAGCAGAGAAGATCGTAAATCAAAGGACGCTATTCTGGCGATATCTAATCCTGCTCTGGCTGCTAAACGTAAACTGGATAAACATCAAAGATCTCAGAACAAAAAGAAGCGTACTCGCTTGTAAATCTCTCTCCCACACACGCACACACACACACTAATTAGATCATCAACGTGCAAAAATCATGTTTAAAACAATGTATAGAATAAAGAATATAATAATTAGCTTGCAACGTTTCTCCAAGTTGAAAGAGATCTTGAAAAGGAACTTATTGGTTACACACCAACGCTTAACAACGAATAGATCTGTGCATTAAAAGATATTGTGAATATAGTACTACTTGATAGAGTAAGGAAGCCTAGTCCTTTATTATGGTATGATTATTTGTCAATTTAGCCGTATCACAGGCAGGTATCCAGTGTCTGCATCAATGTTTGACAAAGTACAAGGCATGTCTCTTCATTTGATTTCTATGGCTATTAGATGTAAAGCTTCTGAATACAAGCTTCATGGTAGTGTCAAGAGCACACACGTTGCCCTATAATGAATAAAGCTATACATGCATGTATGCAAGCAGGGCGGTATAAGTGAAATGTTAGCTGGTGTGCCCATCTTAAGAATGATAAGAATTTGAAATGCATATCCTCACAGCAGTATAAAGATTAAGTATCTTTGACTAGATAGAATCAATGAAAGACCATGTGATGGAACGAGATGAATGAAGTACAACCATAAAAAATATGAGACAATTCACTTAGCCACAAGGCGATGTCCATTACGAATCCAAGATTCTTCGCAATGTATTTAAGTCAATTATGTATTGACAATTCTTTATTTCTTTATCTTTCCATACTTCTCTCTTAAACTGAAACCAATTTGGTAACGCATGACAAGCCATGAGTTGGTCTAATATTGCAGGCATGACAACAATCAAACAAGCTGAATTTTCAGAGACCAGCCCTGTTATAAAGAAAATGGTACTAAAGAAAAACTCTTCAACAACAACAACAATATTCTTGCAGCATCTGCTGTTTAGGGAGGAATTTGACCTCAAGATTATTTTCGAGATTGATGGAATTGATCATTAATGCCAAAACTCCTCAAAATCCTGTGCCATTATACACGAACTCGCAAGTAAGGGTGCATATCATCTGGTGTTTAAACTCTTCAAAAAGAGCGTTATTCGGTCGATAATCTGTTTAGGCGAGCAGAACAGCTCAAAATTTGCATTTGGTTTGGCTGCCCTTGGAGTGATGATTAGGGAATATAAATTAACTACTGACATACAGTGTCTATTCTTGGAGCGGGTGTATAATCAGGCAGCTAATGTGATGATACATTGTCTGTCTAAAGCAACGACAAATGAAATTAACATTAAAGGTTTGGATCAACACTTGATCAAACGCCTTAAAGAAGACTACCACAAAGAACTCTGTGATATACCTGCCTGATTTACATAGTCAACGTTACATAACAAAAGACATTAGCTCTGAAAAGTTCGTAAATAAATGCGTAGCTCTCTGCTTTCTGCCTATGTAATCTGTCTCCAATTCTTGTTTTCGCTACACATCAATCCAAATGGACTGTATTTCAGGACTACGAGTAATTCGAGTCGTTGAAAATTATTCAGATAAGTGGCATTATGGTACTTTTTTTTTTTGTTTATAAAAATCATTGTCAGTACGAATCGCTTCAATAATATGCTTTAAATCATACCAAAAGTGATACATTGAAGTTTAATCACTGTAGATTCATCCAAATAGACTGAAGATGCATTGAAGAGGGATCAGCAAAATATCTAAGCTGGAATTGAATTTTACTAATCTCTCATGATTGTCTGGATCCTAGTTTGAACATTTAAAAACCTTTCAATGGATATTACACAAAGTTGTATTACATAAACAGCAGGTGTTTCTCTAAACTCTTGTATGCAGAAAAGAGCAACGAGTCCAATGGTGTAACTTTTAAAGCGGCTTCTTTACTCTGTGAAGAGTAATTTCTAAAAAATGCAAATTACGTTTTTCGAGAAAAAATCTACAAATTATCTAGTAAATCTGCTAGAGGACAGTTTTACATGATTCTTTGCGATTTTACGGTTGCTTTGAGTTTAGAAATACCATAGTAGAAAATGTCAATTTCAAGGTGAAAAACCTCATTATTTGAAATCATCAAATTTTCCCTTGCTACTACAAGGGAAAAACGGCCAAAAATCGATGATCAATTCGTTCCCTAAAAAACTGCTAAAGAGTGATCCGTAATCTAATGTCAGGTTTTAGGACATGATTGCACCTGTTTTGAGGCCGAGATCATGCTTAGTTGACGAGATATGAGTGATCCAAAACCTCATTTTTACAGTGGCGGATGCATTTGAAGGCTGTTCACTCGACAGTATGTTTTCTAATGTTCCAGTTCAAGTTTTGCGTTTGTTTATCTTGCTGAACAGTGCAATATCGAACTCTTATTCTGTCGAAAACGGCGAAATTTAAAGTGGATTTTTCTGCGTAAATTTCTTACCTCTGTGATATAGTGACATTTAACGTTTCGTAGGTAGTAAACCAAGTATTTTTGCTACATAATTGCGACAAGATGCTGATTTGGCACCAAGTGGATGTCCTTACTCAAATATACTTACGTTGAAAGAGTACAACAGATTGGCAGAGATTGCTGCACAGGGAAAAGAACAAACCACGAGAAAATAACCCTTAATTTCCAACTAAAGCTTGATGATAACATTCAGATAATACAGCATGATACATAACAATATTAGAAACTATTAAAAGAGGGCTTCTTGATGCGGTATGCTATCCTAGTTTGTAACGAAATGAAACCGCGTTCTAAGATTTCTCAATGTTACATCTATTTGGCTATGCCTCATTATAAGCAACTCATATACGCAGAATTCTATAATAATCGCGTTTCTAGCATGACCACGGGTTCGTTTTCAAGCTAGCCTTGACCAACAAAGCAACATGACATTGATCTACAAAGCAGCAATAATGTAACATGTAGTTGATATATAATTAACAAAGATCATAACATCTAGATTTTTCTTATTAGGTAACAATAGGCAGCAATCAACAGATGAATGGCAGATTATCAGGCACAATTGGATCAATAATTGTACTTTATTTTTGTTTCATTTCATGCTCATAAGCCTACCTTTTACTTTCTTGATCCATGTCACTCTGAGTGACAAGATGTAGTTTAGATAAAACGCCCTTTTTTTTACAACAACTCTCATGCGGGTGGTACAAATCTCTCTGCTCTTGAACAAGCAAACTCTTCTTAAACGCAGTGCTACCAGGAGAAACTACATACTCCTCTTGAACAAATATCAACAATGAATGTCCAGCTTCCAAGTAATTGATACTGTATCCTGTTCATCGTCAGCTGTTTGACATCTTGGTAGCCTTTGAATCCAGTGTGATGCAACAAGAAGAATAGATATGTATTACGTTACATTGAAAGAAGATTCTTTGAAATTAGGTTATAGTGAGACGAAGCCGTCAGCCCATTCACCGAGAGTTCGCATTAATCATAACTTGGTATACTATGTAAATCTGAAATTGAATCAAACAAAAGATGGCTCTAATACGCCAGAATAAACAGGTATCACATATATCCATTCTTATACATACTGATACACACTCCATGGTAATCATACCAGTTCCCTGAACTCTTCTACGCTTCCAGACTTTGGCAGGCAGTACATGTTGTGTTACAACAATGCCCCAATGACATTGAACGTTGGAAGAAAAAAGATGAAGACAACAAATCCTCTTTGCATGTACAGGATTCTACGAACCAGAAAATAGATTAAACTTTTGCCTCATCAAAGTGCAACTAGTATAAATATATAGCAACGGCCTTCTTTTTCATTTCCTTTTGTTTCCAAAATTCATAATATATGCGGATCTGTACACACATATTCGCCATCGCTTCGACTTTAGCTTTCTTTGCGACATCAACATATGCTCAAACGTATGTGACACCTCCGCCAAGAAGATCACCCAGTATGTGTTGAGAGCATATTGCTATATGATCTGTAAATTGCTAAAACACACCTTGTACCATACATAGATTGTGCCATGTTGGAGGGCGGCAAAATATACTGCTTTGGCGGTCAAACAGGCGCGGGCGATAGTTTAAGGAAATACGCTTCGTTGTTCTCACTAGACACCTCAAAGGTGCAAGGCGATTATGCATCGCATTGGGAGCAGATTACGGACACCATCAACTCTGAAATCTACACGGCGTGCCCCAGATCCAGAGCATCATTGTCAGTGACTGAAGACAAAAAGAACATGATCATTATTGGGGGTCAATTCACTCCAACAAATGGCACTCCAACACATAATGTTGTTTATAACGTAGACACAAAAACATGGAGAGCACTGCCCAATTTCGACGATGGTGAAAATGGAAATAACAGACAAATGTAAAACAGCAGAAGCAATGATCTGATGTGTAACAATTTGAAAGCTTACAGTATATATGTTGTGTAGTCAAACAGTGTCTTCAACGTGGGTACCAGATCAATCCAAATTATATTTATTCGGTGGCACAGAAGTGTAGGCAAACATGTGGTTTTTTTTACTTTATCCATTAATGTTAACTCATTATTCATTGCAGCTATACTACTCGTAGATGGTATTACGATAGTCTCTATGAAAAGAACCTCACAAATGTGCAGTTTACAAGTAGCAATCGCACATCAAAGATCGGATACTACCATATGACGACCTTGAATATTGCAGCAAATGCTTCTGAGGTACGCACATTATTGTTGCTTGAAATGATGGTCAAAGCATTAACATTTATACAAAGCCATGGCAAGTGCCAGCACAAGAGAACGCCCCTGTCTTGGCATACTACATGCAAGAGCCTGTCTACCACCCTACTTCCAAAAAGATTTTTTACTTTGGTGGAATGCTCAATAATGCGACGACTGAAGAGCTGACTGCCACCCAAAATGTGTCCATGTCTGAAATACTGACATTTGACACTGTAACTAATACTTGGGGAACTCAAAATTTCACTGGAGAACTGATACCCACTCCTCGAAGATCTCATACAGTGACCTTGCGTATGTGCTGTATAGTAAATCGAGGCTAAATATGTAAGCGTTTAACATTTATCAATAGTATCATCTGGACATGACATTCTCTTGTACGGTGGCACATTAAACGACCGTGCATGTAAGCCAATATTTCACACAAGACAAATACAATATTCTGATTGGAATGTGTATTATTAGATGGCCTCCCAGATTTCTGTTATACAGCAAACCTGCAGACTTTTGTTTGGAAGTCTTGCAATACTATTACTTTGCCCAACAAAGAAAACCCCTCTCGAACAGAGCATGCTGGTATGTATTGATTCGTTGAAAACGCTATGTTTGAATTAACATGAAACGCCTTCTCTTTTAGCTGTATTGGATGAATCAAAGAATATAGTATATATTCTATTTGGCTATCAAGACACTAAAGCTATGGTGAATACGTTTGACACTATGCTTGCAGTCAATGTTACTGATCTTGCGCACATAAGCTTTGTGGATACAAATCAACACTTGTCTACTGCAGCGGAAACCCCAACTCCAGTAACCAACGATACAGAAACAGCATCTCCAACACCGAGTCCAAGTAAAAATGGCAGGAGTGCAACTATTGGTGGTGCTGTTGGAGGTTCACTTGGGGTAAGTTTCTGTAGAGATAGTCGCTGAAGAACAGAACTAATCGTTTTATGATATATATAGGGTGTGCTAATCATTGGTGTTGTTGCCTTTTTCATCTGGAGAAAGAAGCGAGCCGAAAGAAAAGCCAAACAAGCAAGAGATGCTGCAGAGCGTATTTCAGTTGATTGGGATGCCATGGAAGGCGGTGGATACACAGAGACGTATACTATGCCTACAAACGAGAAAGACCAGCATTACCGATCTGTTACAAAGCCGTCTGGTGATTACCCTTTGAAAGCAGAAAATGAGCAATATTTCGTCAAGATAAACGGATCTGGTACCACCACATCTGCCTCGCTGCCTGTTCCTGATATAGATACCATGAAAGCCGCTCTTGTCCCTGATGGCGGTGCTGATTCTGATTTAATGACAAAGCCAGATGTATGCGCTGACGATGGAAAACGAGAAAAGTAATCACATATTTGAGCCAATGCAGCAAGCGATTAGTCTGTCTTGGATGAAAATCATCAACGAATCTATATACCAATATTCAAACCTGATTTGCTCACTGAAAATAATAAGTTAGCACAAGGCAATAAACTCTGTGGCTTTGCTTTTGATTTGGTATTCCTTGCAAAGAAGAGATTAATGCAATTGAATTAATAAGCTTTTGTTTTACATGTCGTAATTTGGTCGATAATGTGCAACTATGGCCATCCAATAGGTGTTCCTGGAAAAACTAGCCAAGGTCACAGTTCATGCTGAAATGCTATGCTGAATAATACAACTAAGGCAGGAAATCAGACCTTAAATAAGCCAAAATGTTGCTCTTGTTCTCAGTATTTACATCAGAATAAACTACTATGAACACAAAATTGGGATTTATTGGCTTGAGTGCAGGCTACAGCTGGGCAGGTAAAGCTCACTTGCCTGGGCTTCGTCTCATTAAAGATAGTCCGTACAAGATTACAGGCATTGTCAATTCAACATTGGAAGCAGCCGAGGCCAGCAAAGAGAAAAACGAGCTGCACGATGCTCAGACGTTTGGATCTATTCAAGACTTGTTATCTCAAGGGGATGTGGACACCGTTGTCGTGTCTGTCAAGGTCCCGCACCATTACGAGTATGTTCGTGCTGCATTGGAAGCTGGAAAGGACGTTGTTTGTGAGTGGCCCTTGGGAAATGGCTTGCAAGAAGCAGAGAAGCTAAGCAATCTCTCCAAGTCTAAAAACGTCAAGGCTGGTGTTGTATTGCAAGCACGCAAAGCACCTTCTATCATTAAGGCGAAGGAGCTAGTTGAATCAGGTGCCATTGGTAAGGTTGTATCCACCAACTTTGTGGGATATACAGACAAATGGTCTCAATACACAGATGAATACTTTCCGGAGTACCTGAATCAGAGAAAAAACGGCGCCAATCTGCTTGCTATACCAGTGGGCCATGATTTGGATGCAATGGCTTTTGTCTTGGGTGAATTCGAATTTCTGAATGGCATTGTCAAGACTCATTTTAAAGAAACCCTGGTAACTCATACTGATGAACATGGCAAGAAGTCGCTGACGGGAGAGACAGTTCTCAAGGATACACCAGATCAAGTTCTCGTTCAAGGCCTTTTGCAATCTGGGGCAACCGCTTCAGTTCATATTCAAGGTCTGCAGTCCTCTGAATTAACCAAAGAAAAGGGATTCAGTTGGGAAATTCGTGGATCTAAAGGCGATATAGTACTCTCCTCAAAATCGCTTTACAGTGAGCTGGAAGAAGTAGCTATCCAAATATCCAGACTAGACGGCAATGGAAATGCTCTACCTGTGGAGGACCTCGCTGTTGAGTACGATCCTGTAGCTGGAAATATGAAAACCTATTACCAAGATTATGCTGAGACCAAGAACTCTCAATATGCTCAACCACAGCTGAACAAGGTTACCGGCTTTACTACGTTTGATGATGCTGTTATCCGCCATCGACAGATTGAGGCTATTCTTAGATCATCAAAATCAGGCAAACGGGAGACTTATATTTGAATCGTTGCAATGAATAAACCCAATTTTTGAAGTAATATGAATTTGTTGTCTGATGTGTCCCTGCTGGTGCTTTTACTGGAAGCCAAATCTAGCCTCCTGTATGAATAACTTTCTAACGGTTGCACAGGTTATTCTGCACTGAATTAACAGAATTTCTTCTTACATCTCACATCCATTAAAGGCAGGTAAAACAATCCTTCTTACCAAGCATTTCAAAATGCAAGTAATAGGGATTTAACGAGTGAAATGCGACAATTCTTTGACGCATTCATGATTTAAATCAACAGTGGCAGAGCAAATAAATGCTCTGCACCACGTTACATGAAAAAAAAAGATTCCTTGAATCAGTTTTGCAACGGTGGGACAAGACATTCAGCACGTTTACCGAGAACTTTCATGAAATTTGACTTGTTACAAAGGCTTTAATAAGTGATACGTAGCCCTGTCATACATTCTATGACAAAGAACTGCATGAGATCTCATTATTGTATCATTTCAGTCAAGGACAGATCCAAATATAAGTTTATAGTCTGTTGAATTATACAAAGTATGCGACAGTGATATCGCTCCAAGAGACATTGAATGTCAGTGAAGGTGAGGCAAAGAAGAATGAGTCCACATTTTTATGTAGGAATGATTGGACTCCACAACCCAAAAGAGTGATTCAAAGGTTGCGCCATGTCGAACACCAATCAATATATAAAAATACGAAGCCCCTTATCGCTGCTTTTCTTTCTTTCTTGGTTTCCAGAAATCAACCAATGCAGATCTGCACATACACTATAGCTTTTGCTCTTATTACAACACTAGTAAATGCTCAATCATATGTTACGCCTGCTTTAAGACGATCCCCCAGTATGTCTCGAAAGAATTATTAAGAACTTCATATCAGCAAGCTCACAAACCTCTTGCACAGGTTGCGCCATGCTGGATGCTGGTAAGATTCATTGCTTTGGCGGTCTAGCAGGTGCTGGTACCACTGGAAGACTCGATGCCATATTATATACACTCGATACTACAAAAGTCCAGAGCGACTATGCAACACATTGGGAAGAGCTTACAGACTCTATCAATTCGGAAATCTTCACGACTTATCCAAGAACACGAGCATCAGTGGCTGTTACGAGCGATAAGAAGAACATGATCATTACAGGAGGAACTTTTGGTGTCATAAGTGGCACTCCAGTCCGAAATCTGGTTTACAACATCGATACAAACAGTTGGAGGGCATTACCAAATTTTGATGATGGCGTTAATGGCAATGATAGACAAATGTGAAGAACCAAAAGACAAATATCCACCTAACACTTTTACTGACATGATGTATGTCTATATAGTTATGTTGAAGCTACAAGTTGGGTTCCAGATCAATCCAAAGTTTATGTTTTTGGTGGCACTCAAGTGTAAGCAGGCATATAGCTTCAATAATGCACGCGACAGCTGACTCTGAATCTCTCAATGATACTACAGTAAGCCTGCTTATAGATGGTATTATGATAACGTTTTGAACAGAAATTTGACAAATGTGATATATGCAAAAGATGATGCATCATCGAAGATTGGATATTACCGCATGACAACCCTGGATATTGCAGCACATGCTGCCACAGTAAGATCATAGTAGAGTTAAAAGGAATCACAGCTACAGCATTAACACATATGCAGCCATGGCAAGTGCCAACGCAGCAGAATCCTCCTGTTTTTTCATACTATATGCAAGCATCTGTATATCATCCTTCTTCAAAGAAGATTTTCTACATTGGTGGACTAGTCAATAATGCAACGACTGAAGAGATAGCTGCCACTAGAAATGTATCCATGTCTGAAATAACAACATTTGACACTGCAACTGGTGCTTGGGGAACTCAGAATTTCACTGGAGAACTGATTCCTTCTCCAAGAAAATCTCATACAGTGACATTGTGTATGTCTTGAAATCGCAATTGTAAATGAACGACTATAAAATAACACTCGTATAGTACCTTCAGGGCAGGACATTCTCATGTATGGAGGCACACAAAACGACGATTCTTGTAAGTTGATATTCTACTTGAAGCATGCGAAACCCTTCAACGCAAAGTGATTTTATTAGACGGTGTAGCAGATTTCTGCTACACAGCAAACCTACATACATTTGTATGGACATCTTGTAATACTATAACATTGCCCAACAACAACCCTCCCACACGAACAGAGCACGCTGGTAAATATATTGACTCATATTACCGTTGATTTCATTCGTATTAATTGTATTTATAGCCGTGTTGGATGAATCCAAGAAAGTAGTATACATTTTATTTGGATATCAGGAGCTGAGATCCTTGGCAAACACCTTCAATACAGTGCTTGCTATCAATGTGACAGATCCCAAGCGAGTCAACTTTATAGATACTTCACGAAAGCTGTTCACGGCAGCAGAAGAGCCAACTTCAGCAGCAGATAATAAAAAAGATAACTCACAAACAGCAAATCCTAGCAATGATGACAGTATAACCGTGGGCGCTGCTGTCGGGGGATCGCTTGGAGTATGTTGTCGATGACATCTGGTTCATCTATAGGGTAGCTGACAACTTCTTATATAGGGTCTGCTGTTGATTGGCATCGCTGCATTTCTCGTCTGGAGAAAGAAGCTAACTGACAAGAAGAAAAAGCTCGCCAAGCAAAGGCAAGAAGAGGAGGCAGAGCAGTTGTCTGTTGACTGGGATGCTATTGAGGGAGGATTCACAGAATCATGTCCTATTCCTATAAATGAAAAGGACCAACAGTATTTGAAGCCGTTTGATCCATCAGTTCTTACCGAGAATAAGCAGCAGCCTCTGGTCATGAAAAGTGAATCTGCTGAAAGCACAATGGCTTCGTTGCCCGTTCCTGACGCCGTCGCAAATGAAGTTTTGGTTCCTGATGGTGGGGCCCTCAGTGAGCTCATGACAAAGCCAGACGTACTCAGCAGACAGTGACAAATATAACTGCCATGCGCTATATACTACAGTAGCGTCAACAGCAATGAAATGTCTATAGTTCATCCAGCTACTTTAAATTTGGTGCAAGTCAGAAACTTTGAGTTGATATAGAGTGTAATAAATATGGAGTCCAAGATGAATGTACTAGCCTCATTAAAGTGCCAGGAAATAGCTAGGCCAAATGCCGTAACAGCTGGTTTGGAGGAAGTTTATTTTATTAAAATTCATCTCAACAATTTATAATGATTTACAAAACTTGTCTATGGAATTATTTGGCTTAACTGCATTTTCTGGCTCAATCGTCAGCTTGGAATCCGTCAAAATTCTCGTTATACGCCTCAACATATCTCATACTGCAACTGTAGTATATTTGGAGCTGGGATACATCGTAGGTTTGTTCCAAAAATTCTGGCAAGTTTTTCGATGATTTTGCACGAAACCCTTTTTTAGTGTATCTTTGCAAACACTCATTGGACTTGCATAAAACGAAAATAATTCAATAGCGCTACCTTATATCCGTTATGCTACAGGTGCTTTAGGTACCAGATGCACGTTCCCTTCATGAATTTGCTCAGAATCTTATGTTTTATTTGGCTACAAGCAGGAGATATATAAAATTCAAAAAATAAATCTATAAAAACCATACCATCGTATAGAGAATTGAAAAAGAAACAAAGGGTAATAGGCTTCAAATTCACGTTCACAGTGAAATCCTGCGATACGGCCCTTTGAAAATTGATCATTTAGAATATTTTCCCACTTTGAACATGCCCTACTCAACCAAAATACCCTCTACAACTTTTACTACGCATACATCTTACATTCATATTATAATTTAAAAACTTTTTACTAACGGCATCTATCCAAAGTTAACCATTTTCTAAAGTCATTGATTTCTCAACAACCATGCTACCTACACAAGATTAATTTGCACCATCGTTTAAAGGGCCAAAAACTGGTATAGGAATATGCTAGTTTCAAGGCTCTGGCATTAATATTTGGAAAATCGATTTTCGATTGTCCAAAAGTCAAAAACCTCAAAATTAAAAAAAACATTTTGTACATCCAGGTCCTCATAGGTAAAAAAATTAGAATCTTATAAAATTTAAATATGTTGTAGAATAATGATATTGGAGCACATCCTAAGTGGGAACATTATACTGGAAATGCATACTTCATGAGATAATCAACATTGGAGATGCTATTTTTAAGCGGGGGAATATGCATACTTTAAATTGGGAATCTTATTATTCCTGAACAAAGCAAGCTACAGTTGTCTAGTCTTGACAACAAAATTTTTCAACATGTCAGGTATCTATTGATAACTTAAAACCAACAAGTTAATATGGCCCTTTTCGTACGCTCCGATTTTTAAAATGCTCGGTCAAATTCATCCTTGTGTGGTGTACACGTGCAGAAGGTCAACGGAGCTTCACTTTCTATTGTTCTGAATGATGGTCCATGGGATTCCAAAATCTATCGACCTTAAAATTACGCGTTTCGTGATAGTAAACACCTCTTCAAACTTATATGAAACTTGTAAATAATTCAAAGGAGAATACAACGGTATCCATTTCAAGTCTCTGGTGTACATTGTTGTGCCAGAAGGGCTACAACTGTCTATAAAGATTAAGGTATTCTTGATGGGTAGATATGTCTGTGTTGTGCAACAACATGGACAAGCTATGATAATTGAAGTGAATCTCGGCTATCTAAATGCTGAGGTTCACCAGATGTGATAAGCGTTGTACAAGATAAATTGCTACTTTGGCATTCAGAACTTAGTATAAATAGAATATCTCTTGTCTTCATCAATAAATCTTTAGTTTTTGTGTCTGATCTTATTCAAATAAGTCTTTTCTTATTTTTATAATATCGAACATTTTTTATAAGCTACAAATAATAATCCTTTTATTCTTTGTGCTTAACAAATTGTATGTTGCATACAAGCATGCATCTTAGGCTACATTCACTTTCTCCTCAAGCCACCTTTTACAGTGTAGCAGCATAGATGATGTTTATCGTATCACATCACATCTATGTTTACAAGTCCAGTCAATTGTGTGTGCACAGGTGCCTCAGGAACTACAATACATTCAATCTCCCCAATGTCAAAATATCGAGATCCACCTACACTACATGAAACATACCGACTTAGGTGGCCTCTCAACAAGCTATACCAACAATCCATAAGGCCCCAGTGGCCTGCTATTTATATACCATCTCAACGTAGTAGTCATTGACCAGGGATCTACCATATTTAAGCAAGCTAGATGCCCTGTAATAAAGAAGCTCTTTGCTTTCGTTTTAGATACAGTTGACAACTGATTATTATCATCGACTTATTATTACGAATTCATCATTTTTTTTTAATCAAAACCTTGATTGTATCAATACTACTACTCTTACTACTACTACTTCTCAATTTTGTATACTCTGATGTCTGCTCAAAGTACCACCACACCCCCCAGTTCCGAATCTAAGCCTGCTGGAAACACTGAGCTGCGTCCTTCAGACGCCAGTGCCACCAAGGCTGTAGATATTACTGGCCCTTCTCAGTTTTTTCTCGCTGAAACGTCTCAGAAATTGGGTGGTCAAGCTGGCGAAGCTCCCACTACTACTGCTAGTGATGCGATGGACCTCGACCCCCCTTCCTCTGCTAGTTCATCTTCGAGTGATGTGGATCTTCAAGGTCGCACTGATCAGTTGAAGCTAATTGTTGACAATCAGCTCGCCGAAGTTCAGCTTCTCTCTACGACCTTGCTCCTCGAGCAAAGTGAGGAGGCCAGAGCCCAGGCCCTAGCTCGGTTGATCCAGTTGAATACGTCCATTCAAAGTATCATACAGATTCGAGATTGTTTGCTTGCATCCAAAGCTACTGCAAATGATAACCTCGTTTCTTCGGCTGCTGCTTCGTTTGGCTCATCCTCAGTCGATGGAGTCAAATCCAACAAGAGCGCCTCTGTACCGGTTTTCTTTCCCAACAACTTACCTGCATTTCAGTGGGTTGGTATGGATGAATTCGACCCCAAAAGCCCTATATTTCCTACAGTCGACGCTTGTCTGTTGAAGTTTGAGGATGTCATGTTCGCTTACAAGATGGATTTCGACAAGGAATATGCTCGCTTAGTACCACCTATGCTGTCTCCAGAACAACGTACTTGGTACGGCTCGTTCACTTCTGCTTGCACTGCTCCTGCATCGTGGAATGATTTCAAGTCGGCTATCAAGGCTCGTTATGGCATTAGCGTATTGGAAGAACGTCAACGTTGTGCGTCTGATTTGTTGAGCATTCAACTTTTGCCCGGTGAAAACGTGAAGGCCTTTCTTGATCGTTTTACTGACTTGCGTCGTCGATCCCTGGATCAAGCCCCATCCGATTACTTGTTGGCTAAGTTGTTCCTGGATGCCATTCCTTGGGTAGTCAAGGATAAGATCAACACCATCCGTCAATCCAAGGGCATCATTGATAGTTACGATGTTGACATTATCGTCAGTATCGCTCGTGAATCACTATCAACTATGACCGCAAATGAGATTGCTGCCATCTCAGCACCCGCTTTTGCTCGCACTGCTGCTGGATCTGCCGCATCACAATGGGCTCCAGTTGCGTCCCCCCGCCGCTCACATACCATGAAGGCATCATCCTCATCTACTGATGGTCCTGCCGCTGTGTCTCGTGCTGGTGTCTCTTCTGGCCGCGTGGGCAAGCCTCACTTCAAGGCTACCAAGTCGTGCACTTTCCACCATGGAAAGCCTCACAACCATGACACCTCGGAATGTAAGCTCTTCTTGGAAGAGTTGAAAAACAAAGGTGGTGCCAACTCAATGCCAACCAGCAACCAAGCATCGGGTCGTCGTTACATGATGTCGCTTGCGGATGCCAAGGCATCAGATCGATGCCGTACTTGTGGTGCCCACAATTACTCTGCTGGTCCCCATGAGTGCAACACGGCTGTGCGTACTGGTGATGCTCCTACTAGTACTTTACATCGTTTTGGTATGCTGCGCCTTCAAGAGGGCGTGGTGTCGTCTGCTACCACCGCTGGTAGCACTGCTATTGCAACTGCTCCTGCTGTTGATCCTACTGTGGGCTCGTTGCCTGAGGCTGGTGCAGCCAAGTTCTGCAGATACCATCCAAATAGCAAGACCCATAGCACTGACGACTGTGTTGAGCTTTTGCAAGTGATCAAAAAGAACCCTCCGCGTTCTCAATCTCGTCTTGCTGTTGAGACCAATGGTGGCCGCAGTGCCGCATTGTCGTCATCGTCTATTTCGTCTCCTCAAGCCCAACCTACTACTGGTAATTCTGTTGTTGTTCAGGAAGATCAGCAAAGTAACAACAACTCGAGTGAATCTGGTTCCTCGTTGTTGGTGCCCGCTGCTGTTGCTAAACAGAGTCGTCACGATCAAAGTGATTGCCACTCGGCTGTTGAGCCTATGGACATTGATCTACATACTGCAGTTCATGCACACAAATGTAAGGATAATCAACGTTCCATCTTGCCTGTTAATAAGTCTAATTCACTTCTTATTCCGCTTGTCGTAGAATCGCACAAGGTATATGGTGTTTTAGATACGGGATGTACATTTTCAATTTGTTCCCCTCGTTTCGCCAACCAGCTTCGTGTTCAAATCAACCGCTCTGTTCATGGTCAGGTCCAGTTAGGCCATACAGACAGTGTTAAACCTCGTATTGGCACTTGCTCACTTAAAATCTCGTATAATAAACGCAGTTTTATTCACACATTTGAGATATTTGATTTCTTTACTGATTCGGATGATTGCCCCATGTTGCTTGGGTTGGATATCATGCCTGATCTACAGATTGGAATCACTGGCCTTGCTTCAACATGGTTTGAAGAGCTTGGACCCAGACTTCCCGACCCCATTGATCCTGACATCGAGCCTAATAACGATCCATACGGATCACCTGCTGAGCGTGCAAAGGCTTTCAAACCTATTGAACAGTTATTGGTAGAAAATGCTGCCATTGA